ATGACGGCTGAGGAGTGGACTTGGAAGCGGAGTGTGGGAGATCTGAAGGGGGTGTGCTGGGGGTGGGCGTGGTTGGTAAGGCGGAGGTGGTGAGGGTGAGGGTGGCGAGGGTGAGGGCTGTGGTTGAGAACTTCATGGTGTGTGTGGGTATTACTGCGGTTGGGGTGAGAGGCTCGGGACGGTCTGAGGCGGGTGTGCAGAGGGTCAACGGTCGACTCAGCGAAGGACAGTGAACTCTTTCTCAACGGTGTGTGTGGGTGGGTTAGGATGTGATAGGTAGGCACACAGGAGGGAGCACTGATAGCGTTATATAGCCAACGTCTATGTTCACACCATGGTCCAAATTTGAGCATTATCCTCGGCGTGAGCAGGAGCCGGTGTTCTAAAGGCAAGCACGGTCCGTTGCTTCGTGTCCCTTCAGCCCTTGCAACTATAAACACCCCCTCACCCCCCCACCACGCCCAATGCGCCCTAACCTACGACATCGCCTCCTCCATCATCGCCGGCTTCGGCTCCCTCCTCACCTCCTTTTCCAACGACACCGCCAACGACCTCCTCTCCGCCACCACCTTCACCGACATATCCTCCTCAATCAACTTCATGTCCAACCAGCCTCTAAATGGCGTGACCTTCCCCAACAGACAGGCCTTCATCGCCGGCCAAGGCCCGCAACCGGCTATTGGGTTTGAGGTGTTGGGGATCGATGCGATTACTTGCAACTACGCCGATCCCAGCCAAGGCGTGGTTGCGTTCCGGTGGTTGGCTACCGTTGGCGCGAATAAGACGGGTGGGGCGAAGGGGATTAATATTCTGTATGTGCGGGACACTCAGAACGTGCAGCAGGGCGTGGAGGGTGCAGTCGGGTGGGTTATTGAGACTGTGTACTCGGAGTTCAATTCGGGTGTTTGGGTTGAGGAGTTTGGTGGGAGTTGTGCTGTGCCTAGCAAGAGTGCATAGGCACGAGTATGCTATTGTCAAGCGCGTTGTTAATTAGTCGTATTTGGCATGCGTGTTTTTGGCGCTGGTAATATGATGGTTTAAGTCGGTCTTTGACCGTTCCCAAGCTGATATTGAAGTCATGGGTAGAAGTCAGATCCTACCTATAGTCTCCTCTTCTTTGAACCACTGCCAGCAGCAGCAGTTCGGCGCTTCAGTTCCTCCCGCCTGCGTTGCGCTGCTCGCTCGGGAGTTTCGACTTCTTCTTGCTTTCCAGGGGCCTTATGGTCGATTTTGTCGTGCTGCTTGTCCCCTTTCTGCCCAGTGTTCTCTGTTGGCTGTTCTTGATCGCTGGCTTCGTGGGCCGTACTCGCCTTTGCATGGGAGCTGTTGTGCTTTTGAGGGGCTGGTGAGGCGTCGAGATCAAGCTCGTCCTCGCTTCCACTTCCATCTGCGGATTTGTCCCTCTCTTTTGTGAGTTCTGGATCTCGTCGATTGCGAAGAGCACCGAGCTTGCTAAGCTTCCGCTTAGAAGGAGTCGTCTGCGTGGACTCTTCTGAACTCGCAGACTCACTACGTTCGCCGCCTATGTTTCTATCGGCATTAGTGCGCGGGGATGGTGAAGCTGTGGATCGGTGGAGGCGGCCTAGTCGTCGAGACGGTGTGGTGGGTTTGGATGGATTTGAAGGGGCCGGTGAGCTGTGCTTTTTTCGACCCGGGGCGTTGGATGTGGCGGCGTCGTCGTCTGAAGAGGAGTCATTGTCGTTGATTGCAGTGCTCTGTTTGAGTGAGCCCGGATCGCGATGTCGCTTGGGAAGACCACCGAGTCGTGCGGGCTTTCTCGGCGGTAACTGATCAGGCTCTTGCCGCAAGTCGCTCGCCTCAGCAGACTTCTGACGAGTGGCACGAGTCCGTGGCGGCGAGCCGTTGCCTTCCCCTTCTGTCTCACTAGCAGTCGCTGTCGAAGCATTCGACGCCCTCCGGTGCTCCGGCTCCGGTGACGAGCTGTTTTTGCGAGCGCCGGCTTGCATTCTCCATTTGTTCTTTCCCAGCCCACCGAGTCTTGCACCTTTCCTAGCTCCGGACGCTTCTGGGGTTGACTTCCGCTTCTTGGACGGAGGTTCAGCCTCGCTATCGCTGCTCGACTGGCGTTCGCGCCTGCCTTGTTGTGCCGCAGGAGAAGTTTGTTTGACGGAAGACGTGAGTTTCTTCGCACTCGGTGGAGTTGGCTGACGCTCGAACTCGTCTTCGCTTTCCGTGTCGTTGGTTTCGCGTTGCGCAGAAGTTTTGGCAGCACGTTCCGTGTCTCCGGCCCTGCGTAGAGGACTTGGCAGCCCCGGAGGGCATACGCGGATGCGTTCTTCTCCTTCCAGACCTGTCTCCCGAGGCATCTTTTCAACCCACGCCCCTGCTTTCCCCGGTTTCGAGGTCCTGTCGATCCGAGCGTCCACACCATCAACCTCACTTAGCAGCCCATCTAACCCATTTGCATCCTCATCCTCACCTTCACCACCATCCTTGAAAGCCGCCACTCCCTTGACATACTTCTCTGCCGCTTTCACTCCCCTGTCTCCAGCCCTCTTCCCATTGAGCACAGGAAACACTACGCTGAAATCTCCTTGGACCTGCATCGCCACCCTGTCCATCAGCTTTTGGATGACCTGGTCTTTGTCCTTGATCACTTGTGTAAGATGCTCGGCGTTCTTCTTGAATGCTTTCAGTGTTTGTAGCAATGGCCGCATGAGCACATCCGAGAACTCCCCCGCCGAGAGCGGCCTCAGCGTAAACGTAAAGCTCAGCTCCGGCAATGGCGAAGGAAGTGCCGTCGTGGTGCGCAGCTTCAGACAGCCATCCATCGCATCCCGACTCCCATCGTGCCAATCATCGCATCGAACAAGCACGTTATCTCGGCCCTGAAGGCCTGAGAGAGGTAGTTGAGCAGAACATCGAACTGCTTAGCATCAGTTTCCGGGTCGATTGGCGATTCGCGTTCACGAGCTTCTATGGTGATGCCTGTGTAATGCATCTTGCAGGAATACAGTACTGTAAGATCGCTTATGTATAGTGTCAGGCGCCATTTCTCGGATGCGGGATGGGTGCTGAAATTGTAGTAGAGGAGTGGTACGTCGCTGGCATTGTTCGTGAGCATCAATGGATGCCATGCTGCATCGGCTTTGCTGGGATTTGAGGCGGGCATGATGAAACTACATTGAGCTCAATCCGGTCGTCTTGATTTTGAGGACCAAAGGACCTTTTCAAAATACGATTGCATGACTTTAAGCTGGGCGTGACAAAGGAGGGATGAGCGAGGCAACCTGAAGTTGCTGCCTTGCTGGGCGTGGGCGCCAAGCCTTTGATGCCTGAATGGTGGTCTCGCCTTCCTGAAGATGTCAACAGATACACATTCCCGCCACTTGAGCAGCCACGCATGGATCGACTTGAGAGCCTTGAACTGTAAAAGTTGAAAGCATGCGATGATTAGAATATCTCTGACTACCTCAGTGCATCAACCCACACCCACACCCGTCCCCTTCCGCCTCCCTCTTCCTATGCTTAAAATCCCCATGATAGTTGTCCAACACCGCCAGCTGCCCATTGTCGTTATTCGGCAAGCCAGGCGGACCCATCCATGCATAATCACCCGCACTCTCTTCATCCGGGAAAAGACTCTTCAACTCCGCCTCCGCCACTTCTGGAAGTCCCAATCCCGAATCCCCCGTCTTGACATGCTTACTCCTCAACTCCGCCGTCACAGCCTCAACATCTACGTCCAAGTAACTCGCCAAAAATTGGCCCACCTCAATATTCTCGTGGTTACCCACCAATTGAGGAGCATGCTTAGGCGAGGAGGCGTAAATATTGACGTCAACCCCACTATGCCCGTGCGTGGACCAGCCAATCTGCGCGCGGCGGGAGATCATATCCGCGAAGAGGTAGCTGGGTGGCCAATTTGGTGCGGCTTCAAGAATGGAGGTGACTTCCTCGCTGGTATAGTCCACGATGCCAAGGTCGTCCTTGATAATTGCTTCGACAGTGCTGCGTTTGGTGGCTGTCGTGGCTGTTGACGCAGCAGCTGAGTCAAGAAACTGGTGCCATTTCTGCGCGCCATACTCTGCCGAGTGCGAAGCATTGGCTAGCACGCCGGGAAACCAGTAGTAGTGCGGGTAGTCATGGGTGAGTTGGCGTGCGGTGGCGAGTCCGCCGGTTTCGTGGTCGGACGTGCTCACCAGGACGCCAGGCGTATCGTCTTTGTCGAGGAAGTCGAGCACGGTGGCGAATGCCTTGTCGTGGGCGAGGACTTCATGGACTTGTGCGGCGGGATCATTGCCGTGACCGGCGTGGTCGATTCGGGAGCCTTCGATCATGATGAAGAAGCCCTTCTCTGAGTCCTTGGTCGCGGCGGATAGGGCGTGGAGGGCAAGTTTCGCCATTTCAGCTTCGCTGGGGTAGATGTCCTCGACGTGAGCGCGGTCGATCTCGTAAGGAATGTCGGTGTCGGCGAGCAAGCCAAGGAGTGGGAGCTTAACGCCACCTTTGGCGTTGAGCGTGTCGAACTCGGAGCGGGAGGAGATGTAGTGGAAGCCATTGTCTTTGGCCATGGCGACCACGTCTCGGTCGTCTGCGCGACAGGAGCCTTCGGTTGTGTTGGGTAGGAAGTGACATCGTCCGCCACCGATCATCACGTCGACGACACGGCCTAGCGGATAGTGGCCGATCATCTGCTCCGCTATCAGGTCTTCGTATTCTCGACGATTGGCGTGAGCGGCAAAGCATGCCGGCGTCGCATCTGTCAGTCGTGTTGTGACGACCAAGCCGGTCATATAGCCGGCTTTCTTTGCTGCCTCGAGGACTGTTCCGCAAGGTGTATGGTCCGGCAGAACTGAGATGGCGCCATTGTAGCTCTTGAACCCACAAGAGAATGCTGTCGCTCCAGCTGCCGAATCTGTGACCAAGCTGCTTGAACTTCGTGTTCTCGATGTGCCGATAACATGCTTATCCAGCACCAGGATATCGTCTATCGGCAGTCCTCCAGCGTACTGCCTGTAACTCCTGGTCAACGCCAGTGATGTTGGGCCCATGCCGTCCGACACCATGAATATCAAGTTCCGCTTTCCCGACGGCTTGCCGTCTTCTCCCCATCCAGGGTCATTCGGATGCCGCAAGGCCTCTTTCTGATGCTGCGCCACGACAGCAAGAATGATGACGGCAGCCGTAGCGAAGAGCGCCCACGTGAAGAGCCCGATTTCCCGCCATTTGTGCCGCTTGTCTTCCGATCGCGCCGTAGGCTGGCCCGTGAGAAGCGCGTCTTCTTCGGCGAGATCTTGTGTTGAGGACTGGGGTGATGTAGGGCGGGCGAGGAGGGGCTCGTCGCGCCCGGACATGGTGACGGGCTTCCAGGCGGAGTGTTGGCTGTGAGCTGCTTTTGTTTACGAGATGGTGCGGAATCGCATCTAGCGACGGCGATCAGTCAAGGGGTGTTCTGTGTGCAAGTTCACCGAGCATGAGGATTGGGAACGCAAGATCAACCGCGATCAACTCCAGCCCTGAAGTACTCCAGGGTCCAATTGGAGGCATTTCCGGCGCCACAGGCTTGGACTGGACGCACGGACAGATCCGAGAGGGCCATCGAACACCTACCAAAGTACCTGGACCGCTCCAGCCTGAGACCTTGGAGCGTTCAGCACGCCGTCGATTTTATTGATTATCTAGCATGCGTGCCATGTGATCGTAACATGCTTTGACAACAGCGAGCCTCCTGGTCCCAGATATAGACACACTGCAGATGTCTTCAAGCACGATCTTGACCGTGCGGCATTTCGTAAAAGCACGGACCTCGCTAGACGCACGAAAGGGCCGCTTGTCAGCGCAACACCTCCTTGGATACGAACGACAGCTGGCATTTGAACGTACGAGCGCGTGCTGTGAGCCTATATCGACGTCAATCGTCTGACTTGTGATTGTTGGAACGATGTATCTGATTACAGAACAATCTGGTGTTCTGGTGCTGGTTTATCCTCAATGCCACAACCGATTTTGTACACGATCAGAATTCTTCCAACCGAATAGCATATACTGACGCCATGAAATGCTTCCATAACACCATTACCGCAATGCATGAGCTGGTTCCTCGAAAGGTAAGTGAAGGCTCAACAACACCTGTCAACTCCGTGGCTTGCTTCCGCCACCGTCTAGAACAACTTCATCGCCTTGCCAGCATAATAGCTAGCAGCGCCACCGCCCAGGAGTATACCCGTCCAGGCCATCAGACCTCGTCGTATGCTTCGCTTCATAAAGTCTTCCATGGCCTGAGCATCGTTCATCTTTGGGAAAGGTACGCCCTTTGGAACTGCCACACCAAGCATGTCACATAGTGGCGCCCAGCCATCTCTGACATCGAAGAACATGAGCTTCTCCTTCGGCACGACCTTCTTGAGATGTTCGATGTGCCGCTCGTACATGGCTCTGGTTGGACGTTGAGGTTCGCCTTCTTTGAAGTACAGCTCGCCGACTCTGCCCTCGTCCAGAACGTCGTGATATCTGCGAAACCGTCGGAGAGTGGGAAGTGGTGCAAGGATCCAGGACAGCATAGTCAAGTTGGCATTCTCGACAATAGGACCATGCTAGCCCACCACTTGTCCGGATCTCGGACTGTGCAGATGACTTTGGCATCAGGATATATCTCCATCAGCTCTTCCACCAGGCAATTGGCCGGCAGGTCTGTGCAGCCAACGAAGCCATCCAGCAGCTCTTCTGTGTTCCGCAGAACAAATTGGCGGTCCTCTTCGGTCTTGATTGGGGTGTGCTCGAAGACCTTGATCCACTGGTCGATATGTGATTCAGGTGATGTCAACATTTGAGTGCCACCGTGGTATACTGGACCGTCGAGGAGAACGGAGAGAGCATGGCCGAATGATGTAGTGCCGGTTCTGCCCAAGCCTGCGCCAATGACTTGCAGCTTGCGGCCTTTCTCAGGTAGGGAGGCAGATTGACCCATGTTGAAGTAATCTCTAAACTAATACGGTGATATGTGTACACGAAGAGTTGGTCTGTCGCATTGATGGTGAAAAGAGAGTCGACTAATGTTGTGTTACGTGGCCTACGCAAGCAGAATGCGCGAAGAGGTCGTGGTATGTAATTACGGTGGAAGAATAAGCAAGTGCCTGGTTTGTGTGAATATAATGGGAAGGAACGTGGTTGTGTAACAGAAGGAGCGGACAGTACACTTATGTGTAGCGTACTTGCTTGTGATGTAGTACTGCCATCAGTGCACCCACCTCATCTCAAGTGCGCAATCAGATTATCGTCAAGCGATGCGCGTCGAAAGGAAGGCAATCCGTGGCAGGGAAAGTTTGATGACCCTTGTACCCAGTAGAATGATCGACATGCCCACAATTCGGATTGCGATGCGTTTAGTCCTTCCACCTTAGACAGGTGGCTGACAGGGGCGGAAGTATCCCAAACCACTCGAGCGAGTCCAATTCGCGGGGTGTTTATCGGTGTTCAAACTGTATCCAGGCAGACCTCAAACTGCATGGCACAATCTAACGGCTTCGCAGATGGATGTTCTCTTCGTGCAGAACGGCAGCATCATCCATATCGATGCCAATGTCCGCCCAAGCCTTATCGCGCCCATCAGCATTTCCGCTCAGGCTCAACGACATCATCCACGACCTCACCAATATGCATACCAAGCACGGGGTTCGGAAACAAGCAAATTCTCCTCTTGAGGGATCGTGTTACACACACTAGAGTCCCTTGGCAGCGCGTTCCTTTTCCACCATCGGGCTTCAGGAGAAGTGCTGCCAGGTGGAAGACAGCGCTGATCAATATGCTTGAGTCGGACTTGAGAATGGACTAAGAGGCTTCATTGCAATGCCAATTTCCAGGAATACATCCAGGGACTGACCACCGCTAGTCGTTCGACTATGGTTCGCTTGGCATGTATCAGTCACCACAAGATACCCAGGTGCAGCACCGAGAGGATCTACAAGCGCACGTTGAGTGCTTTGCGGCTCTTCGCTGCAGGCATTTCTTTGTTTTCCTAAACCAGCCCGCGGCAAAGGTACTGCGAATATGGCAAGAGCAACCACGCATTCCGCCAACAATGTAGTAGACCATTCGCTTGGTCGCAACCCGCGAAATGGCCCGAGCATCAACCACCGCGAACGACAAATCGCAGAAGCGAATCCGCTGCACACTGGCCCTGGGCTAGCACATCGGCTCACAAGCGAGACAAATTCAAGGGCCAATTTGCCTTACCCAATGCCCAGACGTTGCTACGCGGGTATCGGGTAGAGAAATCAGGGTGTCTCCGATAGCCGTCCTTTGACCCCTGATTACTGCTATACGACCGAATAACCACCGACCACCTGGGTACTTCTCTAGGGTTTTGGAAGTAAGCACTACATTTAATACAGCATCTTGAAGCGCTCTCCATTCTCAGCGCGGTTTCCTGCTATTCTGAAATGCAACATCAACGGCTGTGTGTGGCCGGCTCGTGGGCCGAAGGAAAAGGACCCCAAAACTCTGCTTCAGCCTTGATACGAAAAGTGATTCCCCTGGTCTGGGTCCAGGTTACAATCCAAACAGTCAGGAGTATGTCGACGACAGGTGCAAGCTATCCCCGGAGCGTTTGCAGACTCATCGTTTGCTATTCAATTCAGTGATACGGTGCATCATGGCGCTGTAAATGCTGCGCGACAGGCACACCTTCTCACTGTTCCTTCCATTGATGCCCTCCATGTGGCTTGCCAGAACCTACTTATCACCTCGACAAGGCCTCTCTACAGAAGCACAATGATGCTGTCATCCTTGACCAAGCAACTGAGGCCGCTCACAGCCGTGCTTCCAACTGCTGGCTGTTCCGTCGCCGAGTTGTTCACCGGTTGCCTCTAAGCTCCATGCCATTCACGTTGTTTCCCTGCCTTGTTGACCGTTTTCGTCTCCTGGCAATAAATATCTCGTCGCTGAATATGTGTCTTGTACTCGAGCAGCTTGCCGGCGGCTCACCTTTACTCACAATGCGCGTGGCCCAGCCCTGACCGCACGACTTGGTCGTCAGCCTCATGATGGATTATCGGGGACGGACACACGAGCCACTGCTCGAGGCAGGCCCGCATGGCGACTCCCTCGACTCTGTGTACGACGGGAGGACGGTGGGCGGAGAAGAGGGAAATGGTTGGGCGGCGAGAGAAGCGGCTAGTCCAAGTACTCTGGGAAGACAAGGCGTTCATGTGATGTGTCGGGGATCGCTGAAACGGTTTACATTTCGGCGTCATCAAGACTGTTCGAACGCCGTCCATCAGACCTCTACTCCACGTCGCAAAGTCCATTGATTTCCAAGCTCAATACGTCTTGAACTTCAACGGACCCTGCGCCCTCCTCAACCTCTTCCCGAAAAACGTCAACACAACAATCACCACGAAAGCGGCAGCCATGATCCCCGACTGAATCCCATACTCGACTTGCGTTCCTGCACTCGCTGCCCACTCCAACTGCACATAGCCGATAATGAACCCACCAATCGTCCTCCAGAAATTCAACCACGCTGCACTCTCGCCCGATGCTTCCGGGTAGGCATCGATCAGATACGCGCCCACGGCGGCGGTCGTGGCGATGGTGCTGAAGTTGTGCATGCCCCATCCCACAGCGACGATCCAGTATGACCAGTGTTGTTGCAGAGCGGTGCCGATGAGGTTGTAGCCGATCAGCTTGAAGGGCAGGACGAGCCAGATCATGATGAGGCGGGCCTCGGGCTCGATGACGCCGGAGTGGAAGCGTGCGTACACATGGCCGATTATGTCGAAGAGGAAGTGGCCGACCTTGAGAGGGAGGTTATCAGACGGAAGGACTTTAATCACTGCTAACGGCAGAGGCAAAGAATGGACCATTGATGTGTAGCGGAACAAGAGACTTACCACGAGGCCGAGTATGGCGCCTATGACTGGGGCGGTGTATATCGCCGCGAGGTTGAGGAAGTCAAAGTTGTACGCTGGGATGATCAACACCGAGATGGTGGTGTTGGTGGCGATCGTCCAGGGGAAGTCGAAGAAGTAGAACAGGCAGGTGAGGAGGACGGGCAGCTTCGTCAGGGTGAGGAAGAGACGGGAGCCGGACTCGAGGAGGGTGTTGGTCGTCCAGTTCGTGCGGTATTGCTCCACACCGATGAGGCGCATCGCACGTGATCTAAGGTGAATCGACTTGTTAGCGACAGTGAGGTAGGCAGTCTTGCTCCTGAAGGATGCGACCTGATGGTTTGAGAGGTCTGCAGCTGTACTGCGAGCACATCGCATCCTATTGGCGGGAGCCAGGCGGTCATTGCCATTATGCACAAGAAGCGACTGGGGGAACATCATGGTATGGTTATACCACCTGGATCAGAGGTAGCAATCAAGGCGAGCAGTACTTACTTCTTCTGTGGAATCTGCTCTTGAGGCAGATGGCGCGGGTAGAAAGTTTCCTCGCCAAGCACGATGGTGCATACCAGACCCAGGCAATCAGGCCAAAGCAGAGCCACATCCCAGTGCGCCAGGTAGACGTGCTGAGGATCGCAGCCATGAATTGAGGGCCCAGAAAAGGACTTAAGATGATGGCGGTCGACCAAATGTTGATCTTTCGGGGGTGCTCGTGGAAGAACCAGACGTCCTTGCTGGGGGAGGATAAACGTTAGCACGACGCCTATTGCACCACGATCAAATACACCCTTTTCCGACAATCAGGGAGAAAATGAGGACTTACATCCACATGAGACCACCTCCCGCAGCAGCCACAGAAAAGAACCCGTTCAGAATCCGCGCAGCCATATAGCTCTCGAAAGACTTGGCCGCAGCAGTCCACGCGGCCGTAGCAGCGCTTAAGCACCCGAACCAGAAAAGAACCGGCAGTCGACCAGCCCAGGCGCTCAACCAGACAGCGGCAAGACCACCAACGCCGAGCATAAAGGTGTTGCCGGCAGTGGCATGGTTCACGGTGTTGGGCGAGATGCGCCACTGCTCGGCCTGAGGCAAGAGCGCGCTGCCACCGGTCGCAGCTGAGTAGTCGGCGGTCGCTGCGTTGATGGAGAGAACAACCAGGATGGCGAGTTTACGCCACTTGGACCAGTTTAGTGGGTCATTGGGGCTGTCGCTTGGTTGAGGGATCAGGACTTTGCCGTCGGACGACTTTTTGAGATGAGCGTCGGGGCTCAGACCGAGTTGCCGCTTGAGTTTGTCCTCGTCGAGGACGTAGCCTTGGGTCTCGCCCGCGCGCTCGACGTCGACGACGTTGGCTGCGGGATCATTGGTTGGCTTCTCATCTGTGTTGGCTAGCGAGGACTGAGAAGTGTTTGACACTTCTTTGTCGGCGACGACCGGGTCTTGCTTGGGATCTTCTGTCATGATTGGTAGTGCTAGGACGAAGGTACTCGAGGACGGTGCAAAGAAACGCTGGGTTGGTTTCATGCATCAAGGGAGGGCGCAATGCAATTTAAGGGTCATATCAAAGGTAACACAAACTTTTCAATATAGTGTCCTCGAATGTCCTAGTGGACGGTCCCGACAGACACGCTAAACAATCTGGCAATGCATGTCGCGTGGTCATGCATTATTATCAGGGAGTGATGGTGGCGGCTTTGATGTGAGACATCTGGATCGCGAGGACGGTGGCACGAGGGGTGCCAGTCGCTTCGTACATTACAATGTCGTTCCTGCGCTCCAGCAAGTCTTCGGCGCTGCGCAATTCAGAGTGTATGAATGGGTTGTACCAGCAGAAGGCAAGCATGCAGTCATTGAAGCTTTTTCGACCAAAGATGCCAATTTCGCATTCCGTGAAGTCATGATGCTTGATTGGCTCAAAGTTCAGATCCCTCCGCAGATCTGCCCCTGGCGGTACACGGCATTCGGACGTCCTAGTCCCTTCTGGTTCTTGTGCTTTTGATGCGCCAAGTCCGTCGTGTGATAGATGTCAGTTCGGTCAGTATGAATAGTATTGAAGACATGAAGGCGATGATTCGAAACGGCTGCATACATAGATGAGCGGCGTGTTGCAATACGTGACCGTGGAGCGAGTGACTACCTCCAGCTTGCACTATTACTGAGCTGTCAGTGAGCGGACATCTATCATGCCTCTGTCAGGCATCGAGATTGACAATTCTGCACGCAATCACTTCCAGTAATGTTCTTGAGCCGAGCTTCTCTTGCTGGCCCGTCGTACGATGGTGCACTGAGAAGGACATCTGGCACATCTTGCAAAACAGCCCCTGACTCGGTCAGATGTCCATGCCTTGTGTATGCAGGCATATCAACGGTAGTGCTGCGTGAAATCGTACTCGATGCTCGAGGTCTTCAACAAGAACTCCTTCGTCCCCTCCGCATCCCCCTCCAAACCCCTCAAAATCCCCATCAACTTATCCTCCCTGACCACTCTCCCCGGATCTTCATTCCTCACCCGCTCATAATTCATCCTGCTCCTCCGATCTACGTACTGCAAAAACTTCTCCCTCCTCACCTCCGCATACAAATCCAGAATCTCCTCCCCGGCTTTCCCCTCAAGCAACCCCCTCAGACACTGTGCCAATCCTCCAGCATCCAACACCGCAGACATACATCCATACCCGCCCCATGGATTATTCACGTGCGCTGCATCGCCCACCAGCAACACCCTCCCCACCCGCATACTGTCCACACATCTATTATGCGTCCGGAAATGATCGGTTTGTTCCACCTTATACTCCCCTGCTTTCGGGTGGCCAGGCAACATGACCTCGAACGCCTTCTCGCGCCTCAATTCATACTCAGCGTCGGTGAGACCAACAGTATTGTCGCCGTAGGTAACGCGCCAGAGACCACCCTTGCCGCGATTGGCGATCAGGCCCCAGTATTCAGGATCGATCAGATAGTTGCCTCCTGTCCAATTATGGGTTTCGAAGCCGGGGTAATAGACGTTTTGGACTGATAAATGGCAGTCGAAAGTGACGCCAGGCCAGTGGTGTCCGAACAACGACTTCCGTACCGCGGATCTGCTCCCGTCGCATCCGATGATGTAGGAGGCTTCGAAGCGCTGGATTCTTTCCTCAAACTTCATGTGCTCCACCTCGCCACCACCTGCACCCCCCTCGCCACGATCATGCTCCTTCCGCGAACCATCACCCTTGACCCGCACATCAACCCACGCCTTCCCTTCGGCATGCTGATCTCCAATAGCCTGGCCGACGCCTAAGACTTCATGCTCGAATAGAATCTCAACATCCGCCTGGCCTACGGCCTTGCGCTCCGTCAACATCCCATACATGATCTCCGTCAGCTTATTCAACGGCAGAATAACCATCCTCTCCTCGTGATCCTTGATCACGCTCAGATCGACCGTCACCAAGATTTCATGATCCTCGCCTGTCCGTTTGCCAGGGCCAGCTTCATCGTTCCTTTCGCCCGTTCCGTTGCTGTCGCTGGAGGAATTGTTCGGGTCTGTCGCGCCTCGCTGCGAGCCCCGTGTCCGTCGCCAGCAGATCTGCGGGAAACTCTCAATGCTGGCGGCGCGGATGCGGGGAAGCAAGCCAGGAACCTGGGCGAAGACGCGGGTTGCGGGGACGCCGTACTGGGTTGCGCGGAGGCGGTGGTCGAGGGAGGGGTAGGACTCCAGGATTGTGATTTTGATGGGCAGCGGAGGAGATGGTGTGGGGGAAGAGGGGCTAATTGGAGAGGGAGAGGTTAGGAGGAGGGCGAGGAGGAGGCCTGCTGGGCCGGCGCCTGCTATTATAATGTTCGGGTGCGTGGACGGGCTGCATGTGCCATTGGTGATTGTGGGTTGCTCTGGCGTGGTCGCGGGCTTAGGCGTGGGCGCCGGCGGGTCTCCATCCGTAATGCCTTGTATCGATTCCATGCTCGATGGGGTCGTTGGGTGTGAAGTCGCTCAGCCTGGAAATTGGGAGCTGAAGCTCACCTAGCTATATACCGTTGAAGGTGAGACTCGTGTGCGAGGTTGATGTGTGGAAGCTCTGGCTGCCTTAAAGTATATGTAGGTCGCGGAGAGCTGCTCCTCACGCACACATGGGTGGTATATAGCCGTTCTTGGTATATGCACCGATGATGATGAAAAAGAGATCTGCCATGCACTGTAGCGAGGACACGAACCACACAACATAAGGCAGCATTGGACGGTCTGGGTGATCGAAGTACCTAGGTATGCGTACGAATCGTTTGCTGACCTCAGTCATCGTTGAAGTATTCGAAGTCGGGGTTTAGTACCACCAGTTGGAGGTAAAGAGGCGGCGGGGATTCCGCGTCGATTTCAGGCGAGCTGCGGGCATGGACGGCAGAACGATCAGTGAAACTCACCTGCAGACTCAGGCTGAACCTGACGAGCTAACCTTCCAGGATTGGTCTCTGATGTAGGCGTGGGCTTGTAGGGCAAACTGGTATATGTCAACGACACGCAGCCTCGATAGCTTGACGTCGCAGTTTTTGATCTGTCTCTTGGCGTAACCATGACCTCGGGATGCCTGCGACATCTAGGTGCATTAGGCACGTCGTCGATCTCAAGGACCGGCATCACCGCTTGTCATTGAGACTCGAGCATCGCCTGCTCGAGAATACATTCTCGACTCCAGCGCCGCTCGACGCGCACCTTGTAGACGCAAAAAGAATCCGACTGCAGGGTCAGAAGGTTTGTGTAGATCGACACGAAGTTACCTCTCATTCGGGCATGAAACAACACCCACGCGTTTGTGACAGGATCTCACGCTGTACGAATAGCTACAGTACGAGTCCGCTGCAACGCCTGAGCACAGCGATTCTCCCATGGTGGTCTTGACTGACTGATCGAGCATCACGTCCGGATTCCATACAAACGCAGGAAAGCGAAGACTCGACTTGGATCTGAGGCAAAAAAAGATCGATGCAGTGGCGGTACACCCCTTTTGTCTCACAGCGGGCCGACTTCTGACGCCAATGATTGGCTTGGAGGAGAGTCATTCCTAACCAGCACAGGCTTAGACTGCTCTTGTGCCCCGTGCTCAATTGCGCGGCGTTGGGGATGATCCGAACCAAAGTTGCAACGAACCAAGTCATCTTCAAGAACATCTTCATCTTGATCGTTCTTGCCTTTGTCCATCTCACTGTCGTCCTCGTCCCCTAAGCACATTCGTTCGTTGCTGAATCGCGCTTGCTTTCGCTACCAGCACCACCTTCGCTCTACCTTTTCACACCATTGTCGATTCTTTGGGTATTCAGACATAGTAGCCTTTAATTCACTCGTTCGAAACTGCGCCCCCTGCGCCTGCCTACATTCTTCGACGAAACAAAGAACAACGAACAAACCGAGTTTGCATCACACGATACGACTGTAAACACGCATACGACGTAGTTTTACTGCACGCATTATCTTTCATTCGGCTCACCGGCCACACATTTTCGACTTCACGCGCCTTGTATTGGTTAGCGATGGCCAATTTCGTCACCCGTGCCGCCCTCTTGGTGGCACTGGCAGCGCCCACAGTTTTCGCACAGGACGCCGACATCAAGTGCAGTTCTGGAAGTCCTTGCCCAAAAGATAAGCCATGTTGTTCACGTAAGTACCTATTATTTTGCCGGTTGCTGAGGTTCCTAGCTGACCCTCGCAGAATACGGTAGCTGCGGTGTTGGCGCTTACTGTCTCGGCGGCTGCGACCCCGTCAGCTCATTCTCACTCAACGCCTGCGTGCCTATGCCCGTGTGCCAGCCATTCGACCAGGACAGCTTCAACAATCTGGACGGCTTCGTCAAGCAGGACGAATACTTGGGCGATCCCACAGACGGAGCATGGGTCTACTCTGGCGAGCCAGTCACGAGCAATGGCGAGCTGTGGTTGACTATGGCTGATGGAACAGTCGGCACTCTTATCAAGAGCACAACTGCCATGTGGTACGGCACATTCGAAGCCTCGATTCGGACATCACCAGGTGCTGGTGTGGTCACCGCGTTTATTGCCCTCGGTGATTCAAAGGACGAAATCGATTTCGAATTTGTGGGTTCGCAACACCTGTCGGCGCAGACAAACTTCTACAGTCAAGGTGTTACCAATTGTAAGTTCTGATTCCAAACACCACACGCGCTGAGACATCGACTAACAACCTCTAGACAACAACGGCAAGAACATCACCGGCCAAACAGACATCACCGCCGATTTCCACGACTACAAGATCGACTGGGAGCCAGACACCATTACTTGGTACATTGATGGCAAGGAAGTCCGATCTCTCGACCGCGAGTCGACATGGAACTCCACCGCCGGCTTCTACTCATACCCACAAACTCCCTGCCAAATTCAACTCTCACTCTGGCCCGCCGGTCTCCCATCTAACGGCGAAGGCACCATCGAGTGGGGTGGCGGTCTCGTCGACTGGAACTCTCCCGACATGACCAACGGCTACTACCACGCCGACTTCAAGAACATCAAGACTACCTGCGCGGCGACCCCATCTGGCGCCAATGTGACTGGGAAAACATCCTATGTCTTCAACGACCGCTCCATGACAAACCAGAGCGTGGCCATCACCAACAATCCCACCGTGCTGGGCTCCTTCCAGGCATCTGGTCTCGATATGGATTTCGGCAAGTCGCAGGAGAAGAACACCACCGGTTCCATCCCAGGTCAGAGCGGTGGCGGTCCCAGTGCTGCTGGACCAGTAGACAACGGTGACGGTGGTTCTTCTACCAGCGATAGTGGCGATGGCAGTTCTGGCACCTCCCCCTCGGGCAGTGCCAGCACTGGCTTCGTCCAGGGCAATGGTGGGATGAACAATGGTGCGTCGTCAACGCAAATTGCACCGGAGCAGATCATGCAGGGGAGCCTGTTTGCTGCGTTGGTCGCTATCGTTGGATTGTGCGTGTTGTAAGCATAGGGACAGTACTGTAGTCTAGCATTGGGAGGTAGCGTTTGGTAATGTCCAGAACTCGAATTATGACTGCGCTGATTTTCCAAGATCACTTCGCCCGTTCTGCTTGAGCGTCTCTTTCCATGAGAGACATCCATCCAGTGCGAGAAGAAGCTCAAGATTGCTAGCATTGCTGAACGATTTCAAACGTGGTCCTGGCATGCCGTAGCTTTATTGCAACATCTGCAGCCCGTGGCCCACTCTGTACATCAGGCAGTGAATAAATGTTTCCACATCTTTTCTCCGACGACGAGTCTGGAAATTTATATTCACGTCATTCAACCCAACACTTATATACATTTACGAGTTCATTGACTCGCGTTCCTACTGCGCAACTATTCTGCTGCACTAAATCTCGACAAGGCCTTCGTATCTTGTCCAAGCCGTCACTCCCGTCAGTAAATCTCCCAAGATCATTCACGAGCCGCAAACACCCACAGCAACAGCTCGTCAGTCCACGGCGAGCCAGCGGCTAGCGAGTCGAGCTTGAATTCGAGCTCGAGCAGAGGCAGGGTAGACCACGAAAACGTTGCCCCGGTGGCCGCAAGAGGTCCAACCACTGAGCCGGAAGCAAAAGAGTCTGCGCAAAGCGGAGTAGAAAGGAGACGGAGACAAGGCATACAGCATGTCCGTCTCACGCACAACCATCACACCCTCGATGCAAGCACTCCGCGTTCTGCAGAGACTGGCTTTCCCACCGTCCTCCGTCTCCAGGCCAGCGTTATCATGCCATCCTCATAATGGTAGCCGCAAGGCAACACACACCGCACGCCACTTCCACGCTACGCCAACCGCGCACTCATCCTCCTCACGACCCCTCCCAACACCCACACCCTCACCATCCCGCCCTCCAATCAACCGCTGCCAACGAAACCCCTACGCGCCCTCCCTAACCCGCTCCCGCGGCCCCGCCAGCACCGAGTCCACCGCCCTCAGCGACTTCTCCAGCCTAGACATCTTCTCCAGCTCCTCCACCCCACCGCCCGCAATCAGCGTCGACGCGACCTTACACGACGGATTCCACCTCTCCAATGGACTCAAGACAGGTGGGCTGACAGCGAAAGAGAGGGTCGGGAAGGAAGAGTCGCCGGGCTTGATGTTGTTGGGCGGTGAGGCCTTCTTGTGGCGGCCGTGGACAGCCTCAGAGGCTGGCACTGGTGGAGGGGGGCGAGTTTGATATCGAAGAAAGGAACACTGCACCTTCCGACCTCATCCCTCTCTCTGCTCACGCATCTACACCCGCGGCCGGATCTGCTCATCATCGGTACGGGACGGACACTGTGGCCATTGAGCAAGGAGACAAGAGACTTCTTCAGTCGTGAGGTTGGCGTAAGGCTCGAGGTGCTTGATACGGCGAACGCGAGTGCGAGCTACAATCTGCTGGCGACCGAGAGAGGGCTTGGTGAGGGTGGTGTTGGTGCGTTGCTGTTCTGTGCGGGTTGGTCTGGGAGGTGATGCGTCACTGTAGAGCCACGATGTCGATAGCATAAATCAATTCATGGCCTCGGGTACGTGTTCTAGCGTTCTCTAGATGAGCACGATCGGGACAGCGAAATCATCATCGATGAAGATGACTGATGAGGATAAGAAGAGAAGGAAAAGAAGAAGCAAAGTAAGCAGGAATCATTCAATTCACTGTCTAAGGATGACCTTTCCACCTCACTAACGATAGCTAACAACCATTGACGACACACTCATGACCGTACATTCATGCCATCGTTCACTGACTGTCTTCCCATTCGTCATCCTCATCGTCCTCTTCGGGAGCATCTTCCCAAGGATACTCAGGTTCCTCAGTCTCTTTCGGGGCGTCTTCCCAGGTCTTGGACGGCTTCTCGTACTCGGTAGTCGAGGTTGTATAGTCTTCCCATGATTTCGAAGGTTCCTCCGTCGTCGATGTGTAGTCTTCCCATGACTTGCTGGGCTTTTCGGTAGTCGTCGATGAGGTGTAGTCTTCCCATGACTTGGATGCCTTCTCGGTGGTCGTCGACGAGGTGTAGTCTTCCCATGACTTCGAGGGTTCTTCGGTTGTCGATGAGGTGTAGTCTTCCCATGACTTCGAGGGTTCTTCGGTCGTCGTTGAGGTGTAATCCTCCCATGACTTGCTGGGCTTCTCGGTGGTTGTCGAGGAGTAGTCTTCCCATGACTTCGAAGGTTCTTCGGTGGTCGACGAGGTGTAGTCTTCCCAGGACTTGGAGGCTTCCTCGGTGGTTGTTGAAGAGTAATCTTCCCATGACTTGCTGGGTTTCTCGGTGGTCGATGAGGTGTAATCTTCCCATGATTTCGTAGACGTCTCGGTTGTCGTCGACGAGTAGTCTTCCCAGGGCTGTCCAGAGTAAGTAGATGTCTCTTCTGGTTCATCTTCCCACATGCGGCGAGACATCATGGGTGGCATCATCGGTGGTTCCACGAGGATCGTCGTATCGGAAACGTAGACTGAAGAGGTGGTCGTGCTGGCTACGCTTTCAGCGGTGGTCGTGCTGGTTGCATACACGATATCGGCTACGTGGTTGAAGCTGACTGACTGGAAAAGAGTTAGCTGGGTTTGATGCAAGGTATGCAGGTGAGATGTACCATATCCATCGCAATGGGGTGGTAGAAGATGCCTTCTGTCTTGCATTCCTCGATAGCAGTTTGAATGTACTGGTTGTTGTAATAACCAGGGATCGTCATGCCAGTCTTGATCGTAGGGTCATCCTCCGGTCGGTTGAGGGCCATCAGGCCTGACTTGCCTGAGTTGGAAAAGCCGTGCCGAGGGAGGTCTAGGAGCAGTTAGCTGGGAAGGAAATCTTCCGACATCGATGTGAGACAAACCGGTGCGGGGATGAGGACGTATTGGTTGATGGTGCATGAAGGCAGGGAAGTTGTGACCTTGTCATCGTAGAACATTGGGACGTTGGTCATGCGTTGATCTTGACGAGCCATGATCGACATGTCGTTGTCAGGTTTGGTCTCCGTGGGGATCGGGACGTAGATTGTCTGGCCATCTTCGACGACGGTCGGGCTGTAAGATGGGGGTGACGGATTAGCAATGATAATAGCAGGTGGTTCATTGGTGTTGATCGGGCTTCCGGTGGTGGATTGGAGGAGAGCCGAGAGGGTGACCAGGAGGCCGGCAGTGGGAACTTGAGAAGTCTTCATCTTGAAGGATGAAGAGAGTGGTTGATGGTAATGAGACTGATTGATTCATAATCCAAGTCGTATGAGTGTCGATACAAAAAGAAAGTGTTGTTGTGGTATGAGTGAGTGGTATGAAAGTTGGACGGAGGATGAGGGAGAGAAGCGAGAATAAATAGTCGAGAGAGAAGTGGGAGGCACCTGCCCTTTTCGACTTCCTGCCTCAATATCACGACGGATTGGGCGACGTGTCGTCATATATTGGATGGCTGCCTGGATTTTGTCGTCATTGCTAGCTCAACACCCCAACAGAACTGCTGAGGAAGGTGCGCGACGGCGAGGAAGGAGCTGGAGGAAAGCTTGGCGACACCCGGCGACATGCTGGGCGACGACGACCAACCTTGAATCGCGGACAAATGCTACCACCCGCGGTCTTGTATTGAGCTGAAGGCCTTCGCGCGCTGTCTGTTCAGGCCAGAAGGCTGTTAGGTAGTCCAAACCACCCATAATGCTGAACCAGAGGAAGTATTCGATGATCCCGACTTGACCCACGCATCACCTCGATCTGCCTGACCAGTTCTTCTGAGCATACCAGAGATACTCAATCTCCTGCAATCCATTGAAATGGGAATTTCTCAGCCCCTGTGAAGCCTGCTGCGTCAAATGCTATCAGTCTATGGCCATTCTAGTAACAAATCCCACTGCGGTCCATTCATCATGTTCTCATCGTTTTTCCTGGAAGCATTCGGCAATGTCAGTCACGGCTCGAATACTAAGTGTCCTCGAAGAAGCTTCACGCGCTCGAACCGCTGTGTCGATTCTTCAGCTGCATAAGTTGCGTTGCCTTCGTCTAATCTAGGCCCTTTGATCACGTTGACCACAGGGAGGATCGCGAACAGGAACAGATGACCAGGCTTAAGTTGCTGCAGGAGAAATACACAATCACGGGAACACGACGCAGAAGACGGCAACAAACCAGAGTACCGACCGTCGTCTTTGTCGAACATGTGGCCATGACGCTATAGACGACACCTTGACCGACTTCGAGCGATGAAAGGCCCCTCTGCCAGTCAACACAATCTGCTGCGAAGCTCATGGTTGATCGTTGCGTTTGCGGCTCGAGACCAGTAGCTAGCCTGGGGCAATCAGATACAGTATAGTCGATGGTCTTTGATCTCGAAATCTCCGGCTGGTGCTAGGTCTGAAGTCAAGGACAGAACGGCCACCGAGACAACCTGTGAATTCCGAGTCATCCTGATGAGCGGAGCCACATCCACTCGAAGGCAAACACACCTGTGGCGAACGAAGCAGCTTCATGTAGCGGCAGGAATGGAATAGATCATAAATCTGCTCCCAGCTGCCTAAACTCTTGCTTGTTTTAAGCGGAATGGAGGGAGGACGTGGGAAAACAAGGCAACCCACAACCCAACAGCCCCTGAGCTGGCAACTGAAGGAGGTCATGTGACTCCAGTCCCTTCGTAGAATGTCGTGATCGCACACCATTGCATCCATGACACCTCTTCCTCTCCACTCCCTTTCCACCCACGCCAGCTCGGTTTTCGTCTCGTAAGATTGACATCCGCCATTGGAAAGTACAGCCATGCCCAGACCGTGAGGCGGGAAACCCGCTGCAACCCAAGACTTCGAAATATCGAGGTATATGAAGTTTTGTATGGGAAGGCGTGATCGTCTGATGGGAATGCGATGATGAACATACCGCCCCGGCGGTCTTGGCCTTCGCTCAGCACGCTGAACTCGGACAGCGCGATGCGACGATGTTACGATGCGTCGCGAAGGTTGACAGATAGTGGGTACAAGCGGATTGCGGTGACAACATGAGCTGCTATAAAGGGCGGCTGGGGCGGCCCTCTCCTAGGACCACGTGTGCGAAAGTCTGTTCGGACTACTGACCTGAGCTCAGCTCGTTCTACACTGCAGCTGTTTGCGAGGACTGTGCGTATCTGGATTGGTCTCATCGATTCCCATAGCGCCAGACGGCCTCCCAAATGGCAGGAGTAGTCGACACCAAAGCGGCCGTGCCCGTGCAGCGGACTTCCTCAGACAACGAGAATGGCACGAAGAACGGTCCCGAAGACGGCAGCGTGCAGGACGAATACTTGTACCAATACGATGAATCGAGAAAGCTGGGCATCACCAGTTCTGTCTTCGTCATTCTCAACAAGATGATCGGAACGGGCATCTTCTCTACGCCGTCTGGCATTTTTGCCGCTACTGGGTGCGTGAGCTCCTGTTGATGCCATGACTTCCACTGAGCCCATGGACTTGGGATTGAAACGGCATTTGCTGACAACAGCTTTCTCAGATCCGTCGGCGTCAGTCTCTTCCTCTGGGTCATAGGAGGCGTCCTAACCTTCTGCGGCCTCTCGGCCTTCATCGAATTCGGCCTCGCCATCCCACGCAGCGGCGGCGAAAAGAACTACCTCGAGCGTGTCTACCGCCACCCAAAACTCATGGCCACCTGCGTCCTCATGTCCCAAATGATCCTCCTCGGCTTCTCCTCCGGTAACGCGCTCGCCTTCGGCCGCTACTGCCTCTTCGCTTCCGGCTCCAAAATCGCAGACGGCTGGGAAGCACGCGGAATCGCCATTGGATGCATCACCTTCGCCGTCACCCTCCACTCGATCCTCCCCAAATGGGGCCTCAGACTCTTCAACGTCCTCGGCTTCTTCAAAGTCTTCATTCTCCTTTTCATCGTTTGTTCGGGCTTCGCGGCACTCGCAGGCCACCGCAAAGTCCCCAACCCACACAACTTCGACAATGCCTTCCGCTTCGAAGAAGGCGAAGGCTACGGCGGCGGCGGAGCCTACGCATACGCCACCGCCCTCCTCCGCATCGTGTACTCGTACAAAGGCTGGGAGAACGTCAACTACGTCCTCGGCGAAGTCAAAGACCCTAAGAAGACCCTCAAGATTGCCGCACCCCTTGCCGTAGGCGGCACAACCATCCTCTACGTCCTCGCCAACGTAGCCTACTTCGCCGCCGTTGGCAAAGAAGAGATGGCCAATGCCGAAGTCACCATTGCCGGCCTATTCTTCCGCAACGTCTTCGGTAACTCTGCCGGCGCCCGCGCCCTTCCAGCATTCGTCGCCCTAAGCAATCTCGGGAATGTCCTCGCAGTCTCCTTCGCGCACTCCCGCCTCAACCAAGAATTCGCCAAGGAAGGTCTCCTCCCATTCAGCAGGTTTTGGGCATCGAACAAGCCCTTCAACGCCCCAGCGACAGCGTTGTTCCTGCACTGGCTGATCACGGTGATCATACTTGTCGCACCCCCGGCCGGCCCAGCCTACAATTTTATCACCGACCTGTACACCTATCCTGGCGCATGGATCAACGGCTTCGTTGCCGCCGGGTTGATCTACCTACACTACAACAAGAATGAAAATTGGAGCTCGCCATTCCACACTTACTTGCCTGTCCTGGTTATCTACCTCCTCGCCAACGTTTTTTTGGCGATCGTGCCGTTCATTCCGCCCGATGGAGCGAAGGATCCGGATGGGTATCCGTACTACGTCTTCCCTGTCGTGGGTATCGCGGTCCTGCTGGGAGGTGTGGTCTACTGGGCGATTTGGAAGAGGGTTTTGCCAAGGATATTGGGCTACAGAATCGAGACCGTTCATAGAATCAGTGATGTGGATGGGAGCGAGGCGGTGAAGTATGTCAAAATTTATACCAAGGCGGAGAAGGGGCATTGAGGTCAGCTTGGAGGAAGAACCGCTGGCCACAAGTCCAGGCGATATATCATCGTCGTCTGTTTCGCAAATCACACAAGACCGCTAGCCTTCGACTTCAGCTATCCTGCTACTCGATATCTTACCGTATATATGTAACCTTTGATCCATGCCTGAAGACCCCTCCAGAGATAAATGATAATGGTCTGCTTGGTTTCAGACCGCAGACAAAACGCGCCAAGACCTCCGGAGACCTAACTTTCCCTTTCCACGGAAACCCAAATCGAGTCCATCTCTTGCAACTCTACGGAGTACTCCCTTTGCCAACTACTGATTATATCAGGCGCACTTATGCTGTTGATGCCACATTGGCCGCCCCGTAGAGTCTTCCATGACGCGAGCTTCCCCAAGGAGGACTTCATGGCGGCAACCCGGGCGTCAGTAGCTCCTTCTTGGCTTGTGGGGCACCTACTCCTCCCCAACAAGCGATCCCAATCCCAGAAGCGCTTCATCACGTCTCCAGGACATTGGCTCCTGGGCACATAGGACTAGTAGCTTGGACTAAGAGTCGAGACTCGAATGGTCAGCCTTTGACGGGAGACAGATGCCTTGCTGCCAACCGGCAGCTCACTACCTCAAGAACCCATCGGCGGAAATGATAGGTCTCTTGAAGCCCCACGAAGCCGCGACGCCGTCGCTGGGCGGGCACTGGCACTACAATTGCCAACTGCTGACAGCAGACGGTCATACTTTTGGTGCCGACATTGTGTCCGGCTCTCAATGGGAATGGCATTGAAAGCGCACGAATACGGAGAGGGACCTGTACCACACAGGGCCAAGAGATGGGCGTGGAGCTCCCACTATTGCTAGTGCTCGGTAAGTCGGTGAGTGACTGACTACAAGGTAGGAAGAAAGCCAACATTGCTGGACGTCTGTTGAACGTCTCTGCTCGCACCTCGCCCGCTCCCTGTGTTTGAGATCCTATTGGTATAAGTGCTCAGACGCGGATTGAGATCGCTTGCACTCTACGAGCAGGCCCGCTCGGCTCTCTTCGCACCCTTCGCTGCCCACCATGGCAAGCACCACCATCGTCCAAGCCGAAAAAGGTGGCGCTGCCGCTGCCGTACCGCCTGCAACAACGCAAGAGGCCACCACTCGTTCCAGCTCCATCACCAAAGAGGACCTCGCCATCTCCCAACACGAAGATGCCTCTCTCGAGCACGCCAGTCCAGAAGACCCAGCCTTTCGCAAGGCCGAGCTCAAAGTCGTCACCAAACTCGACCTCTACGTCTGCCCCATCCTCATCGTACTACAGCTGATCTCTTTCCTCGATCGCGGAAATATCGGATATGCTGCGACCCAAGCATGATCGCCGACCTCGGCCTCAAAGGCACCCAGTTCAACACCGCTGTATCAATATTCTACCCACTCTACATCCTAGCAGAGTTCCCTGCCGCACTCATCGTGAAACGCCTGGGCTTTAACCGCGTCATCCCCACAGCAGCGCTCTGCTGGGGGATCGTCTGCCTCGGGAACGGCTTCGTCCAGAATTTCAGCGGTCTCGCAGCGTGCAGAGTCCTCCTCGGCGGGTTCGAGGGCTTTCTCTTTCCGAGCCTTACTCTCATGCTTGCCAACTACTACAAACGTGATGAGATCGGGCTGAGGATTAGCTACTTGTTCATTGCTGCTGCTATGGCGAGTGCTTTCGGTGGCCTCATCGCCTCCGGGATCCTATACATGGATGGTGTGGCTGGCTATCCTGGGTGGCGCTGGCTGTACATTATCGAAGGCGCTGCCACCATCGCCATCGCTCTAGCCTGCTACTTCGCCATACCATCCTCGTACACCACAGCCTGGTTCCTGACTGATGCCGACAAGGCCATCATGCGCCGTCGCACGGAGATCACCGAGGCGTACTCGGGTGGCGACGGAGTATACACGAAAGCCGATCTGGCGATGGCTATTCGAGATCCCAAGACGTATCTGCATGGGGTAGTGCAGATCATGTGCTTGACTGTGCTGTATGGCTTCTCAGTCTTCCTGCCGATCATCCTACGTTTTGGTTTCGGAATGACGGTCAAGGAGAGTCAGTATCTAAGCATACCAGTGTTCTTCTGGGGAAGTGCAGTGTATGGAGTCGTGGCCTGGGGAAGCGATCGCATGGGTAGGCGCTTCCTGGCATGCGTCGCCATGGTGCCTCTCGGCGTAGTAGGCTATGCGATCCTGCTAGGTGGCGGAGACGGCAGAATAGCCGTCGGTGTGAAGTACTTTGCGTGCTTCTTGATTGCGAGTTGCGCATGGGCGTTAGGAGGAGGGAATTTAAGTTGGCTGAGCACGGTGAGTCTTTCGCTTCTTTCTTCTCGCCAATTTTCACGAACCATGGCCTAGCAGGCGATCGATTGCTTCCATGATACATTCATGTTCACTCACTAACGTTCCCCGCCTCCACCAACAGAACACAGCGCCAGACGGCAAACGCGCAGCCTCCATTGGCCTTGCCCTCTCCATGGGCAACATTGGCGGTATCGTCTCGGGCCAGATCTATCCGCAGACGATGGCGCCAAACTACTACCTGGGGCATGCGTGGTCGCTGGGCGCGGTGTGCATCAGTCTCGTCCTCTGGCAGGTTCTGAGACAGCTGTACTATAGGCGCGAGGCGGGGAAGGAGGTGCTCAGGCAGGATGGCAGTGCGGAGGCGACGGTGGACAGAAGTGATTGTGGTGTTGGGTATGTGTACCAGCACTAACAAGCTTGTGGGAAGAGGCTGGGGAAGCTTTCAGATCTCTCATCGAGGTCGTTCGCGGATTATGACGTGCTAGTCCAGTAAGCAGGCAATCAAGCAAGTGAAGTAGGTAAGTAGAATATGGTTGGATTCTCGGCTGGGAAGGGCGCTACAGTCTTGCAAGCTGGATTGATACCGGCTGTCAGAGCACTCCAGCAGAGTCTCGGCAGAAGCTTTCATGTGTTCGACCTCTGCGCTGGTCTCGATCATATGCACGTCCTGGTCGCCATCAGATGGGTTCCTGCTTCTGGGGTTGGCATTCGTGCTACCAATGCCTCCCTTAATCGAGATTAACGCCCAAAGCGCTCAGTCCTGATCGTATCGCCTCTCTCGTCTACAGACCATTCTAATTTCACATCATCAAGCGTCAGACTGAGGTGACCGCCGTAGCTCCAGATCAACTGCTTCACCATTTCGTCTAGAGGCACTGGCAAGTACCTAAAAAAATTCTCAGTCTCAGCCAGTCGAGCAGTCTCATAACTATCTCTCTCCTTCCGTGTGTTGAATGTAGCTTCACAGACGGCAGCATGCTGCACCATCCCAGTACGATCACCTACGACCCACGAAAACCAGGATAAGTACCCAGAGATGCCCCTCAGACTAGCGATAGCTCCCTGAGGTAGCTTGCGCAGAGTTTCCGAGCATGGGGTAGTGATGTTGACGTAGGCTAGTAATTTGCGACAGAAGTGCAGCGAGGTGTGGTAGTTCTCAATTAAGAGGGTGCTGTGATGCCGCTTCATCAGCTCCGAGCGAGTGCGTCCCTGCGTTGCGGCGCCCTGGAGAAAGATACCAACATCTTCAAGTCCTAGACAAAGTTTCGCATAGTCATCCAGGTTGATGGCTCCGAGAGGTGAACGAAATGGGATCTCGCCCCGTTCTCGACGAGTATCCTGTAAGAGCGCCGATCTGCTTCGCGCGACCTAGCCAAGGCCTGCTGAGAACTTGAGACAATCTCCTCATCAGCCTCCTCCCACTGCGATCGAGCACCACAGCCCTTAGCCCTCTGATGCCGTAACAACACGCGCTCCTCCTTGTAATTTGACCCACAACCGGAGCAGGTAAATCGTGAGCCACTGCTGTGATCCCGCTTGACGTGTCGTTGGAGTTCGTCGCGACGTGTGTAGCTTTTGCCGCATGCAGACTCTAGACAACAGAATCGCATCCAATCATGAGCACTCGCTAGATGGTCCTGTAATCGAGCTGGCCGGGCAAAGGTCCGGGTGCAGTCTGCTCGTGGACAGAGTAATGTTGGCGTCATGGCCAGACTGGTGAGTAGCTGGTGCTGCGAGCCTTCAGAGGCGTCCTGCTGGTGAGTGTTGGGATTGTAGAAAACAGAGACACGCTGGCTCCATCTTGGGAGTCCAGGACATTCTTATAGCTTGGATGATCCGGCAGAGGTCTTCGTGTAACGCCAGTCAGGCACGAGATTTTGCATCGTTTTGACAGTGTACCGGCACTGAGCTTCGCCACAAGTTCGCGCCAGCGCTCCTTCCAAGGTTCCTATTGGCAACAATGCAAGCCAAGGCCGTGTTGCCTGCAGGCAGGGCAGCGTGCCCAATCGCGACGATCTCAGATCGCTGGCCATGTACGATGGACCGCAGTTCAATGCAATTGGGAGAGAGGTATGTCACGCCATAGCAGTGTGTCAAGACTCTACAGCGCCCTCTTCAGCCGGGAGTGATAGGCGGTAGAGGCGGAGGCAGAGAGATGATCTTATGGTGGAAAGGGCTTTGGCGGACAAGGTGGAAGCTCTAGGGGGTCTTGGCAATGGCACCAAGAATATGTATGCTGTAAGCATGCGCACGAGGTAAGGACTTGCCGTGTACGCGAAGACATTGGGTATCTCATTGCTTGTACTATGAGGCGGGCTCTAACGCCGCTTCACTGTGCATGCGGCACTTCGGTACGCGTCGAGGCGCCCCATCATTCATCGACTCTGGGGAGGCCCCTACGGAGTCGCCGACTCTGGCTCTCGTCCTCACCATCAACGTCGAGCTATTCACAAGCCGCCTACTTCTTGTGGCAGACCGTCTGCCAGCCATCACTATCCTTGGCCGGTACCTTCTTCGAGTTGCGTCTCACAACGCCACCTCCACCACCGTTGCGCGTATTGGATCGATGAAGTCCATTGCCATTACCAGCACTCTTGGCGCTATCACTTCGGGGACGCTGCTTGTTGCTCGCCGGCTGAGCGCCCAGTTGGGTGATGAGGTTCATGGGCTTCTCGCAGGGATCATGTGAGTAGCTGACGTGGACATTCTCGTATGGGCCGCGCTGTTTGGAGCGACGGAGGAAGGCTTCGCGCACGATGCGAGCAATACCCGTTGAGGCGAAGACAACCGTGGCTAGGAATCCTTAGTAAGAACGGCAGCAGACATGGGTGGAAACTTACCATTGCCAGAATTGAACAACCAGACGAGCTCGACATTAGCTTCGCCAACCAATTCATAGATGTCGTTGCGGAATCTGGTTTCGGTCATGCCATGAGCAAACATCTGTGACCGGGCAAATGTCAAACGCCGACGCTCGTGAACTGGACCACCCATGCGTCTCAAGTCATCGGTCAGTGGGTACGGCTGTCCCATCTGAACCTTGCAGCCAACGCCGAACAAGCATTCTCCCTCGTTGTCTTGGTAGAGGTTGCAGGAGTCGAAGAGAGCCTGAGCGGACTCGGCATACTGGAAGACGATGCAGACCGCGCCATAGTCGGCAGCATAAGCCATAGAGCAGATCGGACCTTGGGTGACATATTCAGAGATCTGTCCAAGAGGTCGACCTTTGGCCCAGCCTTGAATCCAGACGACACGCAGGTCTGCAGGAGTTTCTTTGGGTTCTTTGTAGCGCTTGACGATCGAATCGGAAGGGTGGAACTTGATCAGAGGATTGGCTCCATGACCAATAGATTTTGCGGCAATCGAAGCCCAGCTTCCTCCAGTCGCAACAGCAGGACGAGGCTGAGATGCAGTGCCGGAGTTGGCCAGACCAGGAACAGGCTTCGCAGAAGGTGGCTCCATTAGGAACATCTGTAGATCCCATGGCGCGGTTGCGCTGTTGAAGGACTTGACCGTGTCAATCGTGTTTTTCGCGATATCGTTGGCAGCATCATTCTCGCCTTGTGCGCGTAGCTGGTGCCCAGTCAGTCTTTTGCTCTCTGAACGGGATCCAGCTGACTCACATGGTTGACGACAGCATCAAGCTGGACGAGCACTTGCTGGATTATGATGCTCGCATCCACGTATCCGCCTGACGAACTCATCGCGAGATCGCTGATCGCGTCGGCAAGTTTCTCCTTCGGGTTGTTAGGGCGCTCTTGATACGGAATGACTTGAACAGGCATGCTGATTACCTCGGAATCGTCGCTATGATCGCTGAAGACCAGAGAGGGCGCCGATTCTACAGAAGAAGAGACGCGAGACTGGTAGGAGTAGTGGTTGAAGGTATTATTAGAAGAAGCCATCTTGTTGCGACAGTAACGGGCGCGTTTGACTCATTCAAAGGTGGTGACAATAGAACGTGGTTGCCGGGCAGAAGCGGGAAGAACTTCAAAGATGAGGAGTTGAACTGTCACTTGCACGTGTGCTGCTCAGTGCTGTCGTGATGTGCAGTGGTGAAGACTGTAAAGTATTCTGACACTGCAAATGTGTTTGCTGATATCGGAGATGAGAGAGAGAGGGAAAGGTGAGGATGGAATCTTTGTGGAGGAAAAGGCTTCTTGCAGGTTAATGGTAGTCGCAGCGATGAGTTCTTCAGAATCTGTGGAAGGAGCGACCGTGGTCCAGAGTATCTTGCCGTGATGCGTTACCGTTGTCTCAACGTCCCGCTGCATAGTTCAGATAAGTAGGTTGGATTGAGAGAGTGCTCTCATTTGTCTGAAACATATTGTGCTAGCTCCATGATGGTGATCGCATCTATTGCTATCCGGATGTGCGCCGTGCCATATACGACAGATGTATCCTGAACCTCCAGTAATTCGTGGTGGACAACCCAAACATCCAGCCGGCTACCTGCAGCAAAAAGTGGCTCCCATCCCAAATGTGACAGATCGTAATGCTCGTCCAGTCGTGATCGCATTTCCCGTTTCAACGAACCAATCCTACCCGTCGCAGTACTTCCTTGCTCAAAGCCTTCCGAGCCTCCACCGTTCGGGAGACTGCATCCTTATTTTCCTGAGCGCGTCGCAGAAGGTACTTCATGCATTCAGACATCTTTCCCCACACTAAATACTTGTATGCTTGTGGAGCATCTAGATTCGTGTTGTTGGTGTCCGTGGATGTTTGTTTGGCGGCGTGGACAAGATCGCAGCTCACATTGTCGGCCATGCCCATCAATTGGCCGTAGGCGAGCGGGACGAGTTCTTGACCTGCCTGAGCTTGCTTGTTGCGTAGCTCACGGACGATGCTGACTGATTCCGCGTTGTGACTTGCAAGGACCACGTTGACCTTAGGGAACTCTACTTCCGCTGCCTGAGCAGGTCGCAGCATCTCGCCATACTGACGTTGTAGGAGACTCGTAGCGATGCCGTTGTAGCATGCGTGTGTTCCCTCAATAGTTGGCCAGAACAACTCGCGAGGATCGCTTCCTAGGTAGGCGCCCCGAACAAGTTTGACACCCAGGATGAAATTCTCTTCCTTAGCTCGCTGCAGATGTGCTGCTAAGACGCCTGGCGTGCGCTTCGCATATGCTTGATATGTGCCGTAGACGAGCGCTTTCTCGCCTTTGTTGTAGATCTTGGCGAAGTACATAGTCCAGGCATCAATGCCATTCTGCAAGGCAGCCTGCTCGGCATCAAACAGCAGACCCACGCCGCGTGCTTGTGCTCGTTGACACATCTCGTGAACAGCCTGCTCGAACTTTGGTGCACAAGGAATGTTGGCTTTCAGGTGTTGCAATGCCTGTCTGCCGGCGCCGGTGAACTTGAGCGCGACGAAGTCACCCTTTTGCGTTAAGTCTATGGTGTTGATGGTGTTTTCCCTCCAGCGCTTGATGTCCTCAGCATTGCAACGAGCTTGTTCGCCGCAGTCGTTGTCTGGGTTGAGGCCTTCCGCGTCCGCTTTGGTCAAGACCACTTCTCGGGCATGGCCCAGGATTACACCCTTGAAGCCAGTCTGTTTCAGCCCTGCTATCGTCTGTTGGACTTCTGTGGGTGTCTCGCCGGCACAAAACTGGGCATAGAACGTTCTCTTGAGCGCTAATCGAAGGATCGGACTCGTGTCTGGGTTCAACAGGCTCGATTTCGAGTGGGCGAGGAAAGAGAGGATGGTCATCGATGGTCGGAGCAGAAGCGGAAACGAAGAGATGGATGTGATCAGCATGAGCGGAGGAGAGTCGGCAGAGGTAGGCATGACATGCTGGAGCACTCTTCCGTCCGAGTTTCTAGTGTCGTTGGTAGCGGCTCCGAGGGTGTGATGGTCGTCGAGACATGGCGTTTTGTGTGAGCATGTCGACGCTGTTTGATGGTAGTCTGTTGGGAAAGGTGATGGGTTCGTACGGTGTGAAGGGAACAGAAAAGAGAGTACACGGGTTTTCTAGCAGTAGTCTGTGACATCAGTCTGCCAGTGGCAGCGAATGAGACTTCCATTGTCGTACAAGTAGTCTACGATAGATGGTAAAGACAGACTGAACGCGGGCGCGCAGGCTTCGGTTATATCAGTACTCGAAGCACCATTATCCACTTACCGTCAGGAAGACGAGTCCACCAGCCGCTTTGTGCCATGTCAGATAACGTCAATCAGAAAGCGTAGATGAACAATCGCCTGATAAGCTTCCGCTCCAGCGCAACAAACAAAGGCCACGAGACGTCAACCAGGCGGGCGTTGTGAGAGGGCAAGGAGGGGCAGATCCGAAGTAGCCGCACCTGAGCGCGCTGATAAGTAACAGCCTCCATAGACTTTCGGGCTCTCTCAGCGGAGAAATGGCAGACGTTGCTCTTGCAGACTCCGTGAATTCTCTACACGCTTGTCTGTCGGCCATCGGTAGGCCTTCCGATGAAGACTGCGGATGGTGAACCGGGTCATTTTCCTTTGTGTCCGAGGTCAGAGCGCTCCACGTTGGACTCTGCCGCATCGAAGCTGCAGTGTAACAGTGATGAGGGCACTCATAACGACCGAATTCGCTCGAGTTGTGTCCTCAGATGAGGCAGGCAGGAAGTTGACGGAACAGAAGATATTCGCATCACTCGAGCTGGATGTTTTACCTTGTCCTGGTGTCAGGGCTAAAGGCGTGCAGAAACAGGTGAGCCACATAGACAGGTATAGCGTTCATGTTTCATTGCCGTGTGAAGGTCGACGACGGGTACATAACTGCAGCTGCTAGGCGGCCTTCATCGCCAATCGATGAGGTGAAGGCGCACAGAAACGATGCAGCGCACTTGTAGCCATCAGGCAGGTCGGAGGAGCAGCAGAGGCAAGAGCGCCAAGCCTGGCAAGCCTGGGTCGCAGTTGCCCCTGACAACGATGGCTCCATCCAAATTGGGAGGACTTTGTTGCCCACGCCGATTTGCTTGAGCGATTTGATGACATCGAGAGACTGCATTCTATGTTCGCCACCAGCATCGTCGACAGCCTTTTACACTCCGGAATTCCACAGGAGACTTAATGCTGGACTTTCACTTGCCCGAGTTTGCTGTTTTTGCGTGGTAGGGCTTCAAGATGGGACCAGTCGATGCAGGCGCTTCTTCAATCTCAGTTGCGATCAGAGTCCGGCCATTCACAATAAGAGAAGCCGCTCAACTTACAAAATGCGACGACTCGACACTCTTCCTCGGCGACGGTTCGCTGGCGGCCGCCCCGACTCCCAAGCTCTCTCAGAAAGGCATTCGCTCCATCATCAAGGTCGTTGACGACAAGTGCTTGTAAGTATGCGTGGAGATTGCATATGTTTGTACTGACGTCCCGATAGAGTGTTCGACCCTCCCGAAGACAATCCCGTACAGAAGTTTTCGCGATCTGTGGTACCAATGGGAAAGAGAGTCAAGGACCAGACCTTTGGCTTTGACCGAATATTCGACGAGAACGCGACGCAGAACGATGTATACGAAGCTACGACCAGATCCCTGATATCAAACGTGTTTGACGGCTACAATGCGACCGTCTTTGCGTACGGCGCCACGGGTTGCGGCAAGACACATACCATTACTGGTACAGCACAACAACCCGGCATCATATTCCTCACAATGCAAGACCTGTTCGAACGAGTCAACGAGCTCAGCGATGAGAAAGTCACCGAAATATCGCTCTCATACCTCGAGATCTACAATGAAACGATTCGTGATCTGCTCAGTCCAGATGGCAGTAAGAGTGGGCTCATGCTACGAGAAGATTCACAGCAGGCAGTGTCTGTCGCAGGCCTCTCAAGTCACCGCCCACAGAACGTGCAAGAAGTCATGGACATGATCGTCAGAGGCAACGAATTGCGCACAATGTCACCCACCGAAGCCAACGCTGTTTCGTCTCGATCACATGCCGTACTTCAGATAAATGTCGCCCAGAAAGACCGTAACGCGAATGTGGACGAAGCACATACAATGGCCACGCTCAGCATCATCGATTTGGCCGGCAGTGAGCGTGCGAGCGCGACCAAGAATCGAGGCGTACGGCTACTCGAGGGAGCCAACATCAACAAATCGCTACTTGCGCTTGGAAGCTGCATCAATGCCTTGTGCGATCCTCGCAGAAAGGGCCATGTACCATACAGAAATTCCAAGCTCACGCGACTGCTCAAGTTTTCACTCGGCGGCAACTGCAAGACCGTCATGATTGTGTGTGTCAGCCCCTCAAGCCAGCACTTCGATGAGACACAGAACACCCTGCGATACGCCAATCGGGCAAAGAATATCCAGACCAAAGTCACGCGGAACGTCTACAATGTCAATCGCCACGTCAAGGACTACCTCGTCAAGATCGATGAACAGATGGCTCTCATCAACGAGCTTAAAGCACAGCAGAAGGACCACGAAGCTGTTGCTTTCTCAAAATTCCGCAAACAGTCCGAGAGGAAAGACAACATCGTCCGGGAAGGCATCCTCCGAATACGATCAGCGTATGATAATACTGCTACAGAGCGGAAAGATCGCATCACCAACATGGTCAAGCTGCGACAAATTGGTAGGCGGATAGCTATGCTGTCATCCTGGATAGCCGCGTTTGATCATGTCTGCGATAACGTCGAAGGTGATAACGCGCTCAAGAACATGCACACTGTACGGAAAGCGGCTCAAGGAATCATGATTGAGCTCGAGAGTGGACGCAACCACTGTCAACAGAAGGTCACTAAGAGCAATTGGGATCGACCACTGAATACTGCTCTGTCTGCGAGCCTTGACCAGCTAAGGGAAGTGGACACCATCGATCACATGGACTCAGAAAACCTGAATCGAGAGGTCGAGTTGCTGAAAGCAAATGCTGAACGTGAGGCACTGGTTGCAGTGCAGATCAAGACAAGTTGGGCGAAGCGTCGACCATGCAAGTTCTTGTTCAAGCACATTTCGAGATCATCGCAGCCATCGACAAGCTCAATGCAATGACGACAGATGAAGCTGTGGAGGTCGCACCGAAATTCATCAATAACATGCTTTCTTCCGCCACCAAGGCCGCTTCATACGTCGTAAAGCCTGACGGCAGCATCGCGCCTGTCGAAACTTTTGCACCACGAAAGGGAGGTACTCCAAAGCGACGAAAGCAGGCCGTCAACACGTCGATCCTCGAAAGCCCGTCGATCGCCCGACAGATTCCGGTCATGGAAGTTCCTGCGCCTGTCTCAATGAATGCATCCCCCATGAAGCTTCTCCAAAACGACGAGGACTGATGCTAGGGTCAAAGAAGGGCGTCACATTCCAAACTACGCCAAAGAAGCGGAAAGCTACGGTCAAGCGAGCTGTCCGATGGAAGGACGACACGGAAGACGGCGCCTTAGCCGAGTTCGAGAAGACGCCACAGCATATCCCGTCATCCTCACCACCTGAGGAGAGCACAGCGGAATTGACCGTTCCACAAATCTCAGATCTTACCTCCAGCTTCTCAGCTCTGAACACCATCGGTGATGACAATTCCTCGCCCATCCCGCCATCGCCAGAAGCGTCCTTCGCACAGCCCACAAGCAACCGCTTCAAAGCCGGCTTCCTCTCTAAGAAAGCCAGCGAAGTCTCTCCGCTGTCCGCTTCCATGCCGCCTCCGCCAACGACAACAATATTCTCCTCGTCCTCCGACTCTGACTCCTCCCCACTCCGCGAGCTCGACCCGCAGCCCAATCGTCGTTCCCTCACACCACTCACGGCTACCAATGGCAACAAGAACTCTCCTCCGCCACCAAGCCTGGGCGACCTCCCCAGCAGCGACCCCTCCCGCCCATCCTCTTCGGACACCGAAACCACAATCCCAGCGGCTCAACAGCCATCAAGATTGGCGCGATTCGCCGCTCAAGCAGCGTCCGCACATCGACTCACAATGCCTCGCGAACCCACCGTCGACGCTCTCCGTCTGCTTCGTCCCCACCCAGCAATGACCATATGTTCGGAGCTGGTCATGTTAGACGCATGGCTGGCGACAAGGGCGCAGGTGGAGGACTTGGCAATGACTGGGCCAAGAACGGCGTGCTTAGTCCGCGTGTCAGCGGGGTTGTGAGTGCATCTAAGATGGGTTTGGGCAGCGCGAGAAGGACGACTATTATGGGGAGTGGGTCGTTTGACCGACCGAGTGGCGGTCACGCACGAGGCGAAAGCATGAGCGGTACTGGAGGGATGACAGTGGGTGAGAGGGCAGCAATGCGGCTGAGTAGTGCGACGCCGTTGCGGAGTGGTGCTGGAGAACGCGAGAGGGGGAGTCTGATGCCAGGAAAGAGTGTTTGGCGTTGAAGTGCATTGTAGGAAGACGACACTGTGTGAAATGAGCGAGCATCCCTTTTCTGCGATAACGAGCCACGACACGGCGTACAGGGTCTGCTGGACGTGCAACTTTGCGCTGCACGGCATGGGATGCCACTGGCACAGCACGACTGTTGCATAGCGGAGCATATTTCCTTACACTTGGGTTCGGGTCGGCCTGGGCTGGGTTGAGCTGGGTCAGCATAGGACAATGCTAGGCAGGATACCTATCGGTAGGCCTATTCGAACGGGCCCGAGGATGAGGCGCTCTCCACATCCCAACGCTGTGCTGTACTTATAGCAGAGCACACTTCGAGAGGAGAACAAACGTGTACCATTACCAATTCCAACCGATATCCTTTCTACCTAGGTAACTTCTCGCGAACTTTTCTCTCCAGCCAGCTCACCACAACTTCTGAGCCCTTTCTTCCTTCGCAAGAATACATCCAGCCCAGTCGTTGAGTGAGCTTGCCAGACGTATGCGGAGACGTTTCCGAGACCGGATGACAAGAGCGCGTGTGGTCACCCGGTCTTAGATCAAGCGCGTCATCCGGTCTCCCGTAAGCCGGTGATTCCGCCAGCTCAGCTCCCCTGAACAGATCCGCCAGGCAGAGCGGCCACTGCAAGAGACACAGGCAACTAATTGAAACAGTGAACTCTCGTCGATGTCTGTCTCTGATCCGGGAGTCGACGAGTAGTATGGACGGCACTGCAGTTCGAAGCAGGCATGATGGCCGTACAAACGTGTACGTGACCCGCTGTGTTTATATTCACAAGGTGACAGACGTGACGAGCTCGCCTTCCACCGTTGGCAAAAACTTGGAAGTTGCTTTCAACCATAGAGTCAAATTTGTGCAGCTATCGCGAATGAGTGCAGCAGCCATGCGACTAATGATAACGCCTAGACCATCCATAGCTAAGGCTGGAAGGACTTTGCGCCCTTCACCTATCCTCTTTACCAGAAACCTTTTTCTCCGCCGGAGGGGCAGACTTGACCATACAGTCGACACACCAGCAGTGAATCTGAAGGTGCAAACCTTGCGTGTCCTCTGCCGCCGTGGTCCACTCCATTCCATCGTTCCCACCTTCTCTATGCAAAGTAGTCATCCCGATCAACACCCCCATCCTCCAACTCCCCAAAACTGCTAAAATGTACCGGCCGCATCACCCCATCATAGTACCCCTTGGGCACATCCACCTTCACGAACACCCCCCTCTTCTCCACCCCACCCCAGCTTGCGCCCATGAACGCGTAGTTCCATACATCATTCTCCGGCGTCATGAAGTATCCCCTTATCTTGTCGGATAGAAGGAGTTGAGTCTTCGTGCCGAAGGACGTAGAGAAGCCGGCGGGATTGTCGGACTGCGTGTCCTTGTTGGTTGCGCCCCATTTGTATCCCTCAGGCGTCAGGGCCCAGGATGACAAGCTGACGGAGCCCGGGGTGAAGGCGACGGAGAGGGTGATTGTCTTCTTGTCCCAACTGTCAAAGCGCTCCATCAACCTTGCATGTGTAGTAACATCGGCGGGCGTCATGTACGGACTCTCGTTGCCGGAGACAGTGTGGATGAGGCCCAGGGGTTCGAGGTTGTTCAAGTTCTCGTGCTGCGGAAGTTGTTGGGGAAGTTGCACGTCACGCAGGCCGCCGACCTGGGGGATCATGACTATGCATCGGATTTCTTTGACTTGTGGGTTGTCGGGTGGGGAGGAGCCGTAGATGTAAGCGGCGACCTGGACGCGGAGGTCGGCGATCGTGATGAACTTCTTGAGGATGTTCTTCGGAAGGATGTAGGTAAAGGAGTCGTCGGTGTCGGTGATGTCGTCGCTGGGCGAGATGTAAATATTGTTCGCGCGCGTCCGTAGATTTGAGCTGGCGATGGCTCGGGTACGCCATTCGGTCTTCGAAGCGAACTGTTGCTGTTCGTACTGGGAGGTAGTTGTGACGATGATCTCTTCGCCGCGTACGTTTTGGGTCTTGGTAGTGACCGCGGTAAGTTGTTGCTGGTCCTTGTTCTCCTCGAGCTCGCTGGCTTGTTGACGCTGCAACGATGGAGCAGAGATCTCCATGCCCAAAATGATGTCGCGGACTTCAGACTGTGTAAGTGACTGCATGTTGACATTGTTCTTCTTGCAGTAATCGTTGAGGACTAGATTGCGGAGCTCGACTTCGACTTTGACCCAGTCTTCGTCCGTGAGTGTCGGCCAGATATGATGCGCTTGAGTGATGACCGTCTTATCGCGACGCAGTAGCAGTTTTGTCTTGTCCGGGTTGACGTGTAATGCTCGCAAAATCAGCACGAGACGCGAGAACGCCGTGTATGACGAGACGGATTTCAGCCATTCGTCGTAGAGGTTGAACAAGACCATCTGTGGCTCCTTGGCTTGCAAAATCATGTCGGCTAGCTTCTCGACCTTAACGGCGGCCTTGAACGGAAGCTGCAATTCGGATGCTCTGATGGAGATGTTTGGGAAGTCGAGAAGATGCACTTCCAACGGATCAAGTAGACCTTTGCGAGTAACAATAAGCTGCTTGGGTTGCTCTTCAACGGGCAAAGATCTGATCAAGGCTGCGACTTCTTCTGCAGTTTTCCATTTCGCCAGCTGTCCAAGACGCTTCTGGCCAGCCCAAACACTGGTGTGAATGATCTTGAGGAACAGCTGGCCAGTTCGTGGGTTGAAGATGAAGATCGCACCATTGATCGGCTTGGTGGTCAAGTTACCTTCGAATGTCTTGTGGATCGTCACACGATAGACATTGGTGTCATCGATGAACAGCTGCGTCTGGTTGCTGAAAAGTTCCGAGTAGTTCTGCGAGTTCAGGAACTCCTGATTGCTCTCGGATGCATACAACTGTAGACCTTTCCGAATGCGTTCTCGCAGCACGTAGAGTGCAGGATTGGCCTTCATGATCTTAGCCATCGCTTGTTGAATAAGCTGCTTGAGACCAGGGAAATATTGACCATAAGCAGAATACAGGTTGTATGCCAGATCGATACCAACCATAAGACCTGACGGTGAAGGATAGATACTCATGCTGTCAGTAGTGTAGTCGAGGTACTTCGCTCGGACGTATCGTTCAATGTCGTGAGAATCGTAATCGCCATATCGTAATTGCACATCAATCCAGAATTTGTTGGTCGTGGTTGCCTCGATCTGATCTTTCGTGTCGCCTAGCAGAGACGGCCGAGTGACATTCCACTTGTGGCTGGCGAACAGAAGGATGTCGGCACAAGAGCTGTTCATCTTGTACGACTTTCTGGGATGGATTGTCTCCTTTTGAACGTTCTCAATGCCAAGCTGCTCGAGATCCTGATCGAAGACCTGGCAAAGATCCATGACCACACTTTCGTGGATCTTCTGCCACAAATGGGCACGGAAGATCTGGATCAGCGAAATCTTGAGTGTCGGGATTTTGCCGTGCAAGAAGATGCCTGTGAGATCGAGTTGGACCTGGAAACCGACGTAGACGTTGGCTCTATTGATGCTGCCGTAGAAGTTAGCACGTGTTCAATCTCGGGAGTGGGGAGTGAATGGGACTTACGTTGGTGACCACCACAAGGTGAAGCGACGATTGGGGATCTGGTTGAGACCGCTTCGTTGCGCGTTGGTGAGCTTCTTGAATTTCATTGACTCTTCGAAACCACTGGCTCGTTCTGATTGAGAAGTTAGCATAAGATGCCTGGGGAGGACTCTGAAAGACTTACCCCAGAAAAGACCTTCCCAGGATGGAAAAGCTGTTGCTTTGAACAAAGTGTGCTCAAGAATGGTCTCTACACCACCGAGAGCCTGAATAACATCTGTCCTGTACGCGTTCAAATTCCAGAGCTTGCCATCATGCCGTTGACTGGTCCACCAGAAAGGATTGCTCTTCATGAGCTGGTATTGCTTGAATTCGGTCCGGGCGCGGAAACCTTTGTCGAATGACAGCGTGCTTCGGTCTTTCTGGAATAGCGTATTGATACGAGGTAGACCACGGTCCCAGCTGTCTTCTAGATCCTCGAGAGTAAGTCGTCGGTTCTGCTGGTTGGCTTCCATCCGCTTCTGGGAGTACTCCGTCCACACGCGTTGAGAGTCGATGAATTCCGCCTCCCACGGGATGATATACCGGAAAATATTGGGAATCAAGGTCTCTTCGTCATGCGTCATGCCGGCGCGATAATGAGTGACGCCAGTATCAGTCTGCTTGGACCATCGCTTGTCACTTGTCGGGATAAGGATATGCGAGCCAGAGATCATGCCAAGACCGCCAAGCTCTTTCGGCGTATAGAAAACAGCAGGCGGGAACCGAGAAGGCATCTTCGAGTTCAGTCCTATCTTGACTCGAGTCTGGATTTTTGTCTCACACTTGACGATGGTATCGAGAAGACTGACAGTGGACACAGCTGCCTCGCGGTAGTACGTGAAGAGTGCGATCAGAGTGGTGTTCCATTTGTTGGCAATTTTGGTGAAGGTGGTGCTACCAGAAGACATCAAGATTTGTCGTATCCGGTTATTGAACTTCGCGATGTCGTCTTCCGTGACCTGCAGGAATGCAAAGGCTGTGCGCTCCTTCGTCTCATTGTTGGCAAGAGCCCATACGCTGTCTTTCGTGGAGAACTCATCGTTCTGTGTTCTGCTCTTGGGTAGGATGCGGACTTCGAAGCCGCACATTGAGAACAGCAGGTTCGGATTATCGCGAGAGTACACACTAGCGAAAGTGTCGTCCCATTCGACCGTAGTGATGGATCGTGGCAGTCTGTTCTTCAGGTCCCAGAATACTGCTCGGCCAAGATTGACGTCGTGTCGCATTAAGCGCATTCTAGAATCGCGTGGCCAGCACTTCTTGTTCTTGTAGCCGATAACATTCTCGAAATTTGGGTCCGGCTGTTCAGTCAAGAATCGCTGGATTAGGTCCTTGGACTCTTCGGCAGTGAAGCGGAAGAAGACCCAAATCCGGTCGATGTACCTCGTGTAAAGTCTGATCGGATGCCTGGTCTCGGTCTCACGATCTTTGAATTGCAGGAAGTCGTTGGGACTTTGCGGAGGCCCAGCTAGTTCGCTGGCACGCTGCAAGCCCAGCAGGAGCAGGTCGATGACCAGTCCATAGTACTGATAGACAAAGCCTGAGAACTGCAGGCCTCGGATCAGACCGAAACTGTTGGTGTGATTCATGTCCTTGTAGTTGAGCTGAACATTGTTCTTTGACGTGATATAGTCCGCCAAATTGTGATCCATGATCAGTCGAAGCAGTCGATTCAGCAGCGTTAGATCGATCTTCTCGTAGATCTTGGAAAGCTGAGTCTCAATCATGACATTGCACTCGCCTTCAGACGTCTCCCAGACATCAGTAAGGTTATTGATTCCCTGCGCCCACTTGTAGGTGAGTAGCGGTGGCACTTCAGAATCGGACGGCTTCACCCACGCAGGGAAAAGATTGCGTGTATCAGCCTGGTACCAGAGATACTGGTCGAGGTACGCATCGGTGATCTTCTCAATTGGCTCGATATCGTAGACCGGGTTGATTGAGCTGTAGTTGTCGTTCATGTCGATGCCGACTTCTTTGAACGCACGCTGTGTGAGCAAGAAACGCTTGATTCGGCTCAGTGTAGTGCCAGGTGAGTCGTATGCTTGCTCGATCAGGGCAAGCTCTTCTCGCTGACTCTGGTTTAATCTTCCTTTCACCGAGTATGCCTCTCGCAGTCTTTCGAGCGCAAGAATGAGGATCTTGGTGTCGTGCTTGTAGCTCACACTCGGAAATGGTATCGGTGTGAACTTTCGAGACTCCAGCCAGTGCACAGTCGTCGAGTAGATCGCCACAGCCTCTTCAGACGATACGTATGGGCCGTCCTTGAGGTAGTTGTGCTGCCGTTCTTGTTCTGCCTTCAGCCAAAGGCGAGTCAACCGTCCCAAATTCTTCTTCGCGACTGTCTTGTCGACTGTGGCTCCACGTCGGATACGTTCGCGGTTGTAATGAGCGACAGATATCCACCAATCAGCTTTGCTCTTGACGTATCGCAGGATGATATTTTCAATGGCAGCAGGGAGACCAGGCACCTTCCACGGAATGTTACTTTTCCAGCACCTCCAAGCTTCGGACAAGTGTTGAAGAACAGTGTTCACTTTGTTCTGTCGAATGCCCTCAGGCATCATATCCATCAGATCGGCCATGACCGACGCTCGCAGCTCCAGGTCGAAGTGTGACTCAACACGCTGCTTTGTGACCGTCTTCGCGACACCCTTGCTGTGGCGGCCTTCAAACTGACGAGATAGCAAATTACCCAGCCAACGCTCAAGCAGTGGAATGATGCCTCGCATGAAGAACAGCCACACCCGCCATGCTGGAGCCCAGAAGCCGCAGCCAGGACCTTTTCCAACAGGACCGGAATTGAAGCGATAGTAGATCAGATGCTTCAGATCTTTGCAAGACCGAATCTGATGCATCAGTTTGTACTTGTATCGGTACATACCAGTGAGCTGGCCCACATGGTTGAAGGCGTACAGGATGCCATCTGCGAGCTGGAAGGCATCAATGTTGCCGAGTCTGTACTGGACCTGGGCATCCACGATCAACTTTGTCAGCCGTAAGATCTCACGCATGAGATGGAAAGCGTTGCCGAAGCGTGATTTCTTTCGCTCCTTAGTAGTCAGCGTCTTGACTGGCTTCAGGTTGAAGTTGTAGTCAAGATGGAGATACGTAAGATTCTTGCGATGGATGAGCAAGTTGAGCATATTGAAGCCCTGCCGACAGACTTGAAGACCAGCTTCGACCCAGTCGATCGACGTCTGTTGGAAGAATTTGGTGGCTTTCAGCGTCTTCAGCAGATCCTGTCTCTGCATCGCTTTCGGTTTCTTCTTATGCAGCTCATTCAAAACGAATGACTTCAGCAGCTTCTGGTATGAGACCCTGACTTTGACCGGCTGACCGGACGGCACATGCTCAAGATACCACTGCTTTACTAGAGGTACATCCTGGCTCTGACCATCTTGCCAGACCGACGGTCGAATGGATATGGTGCCCACCACAGTTGGATGGCTGAAGCAGTCTCGTCATTATAGAGCTCTTCCTCAGCCATAAAGGGCTCCACATTGCCTGGCAGCTCGAATTCGTCCTCATCTTCGTCACCAAATATCTCGTCCTCGTGACTGATGGTCAGGTTCTTCGGTGCAACGGAGCGCGAGGAGATCGGATTGATGGTCGTGTCGAAATAAAACGCCGGCAGATTTGGATCATCTGTCCGCTGGTAACACACCTGAGGGTGTGAATACCAACCAATCTTGACGCTCCGAGGCAGAGAATTGTACAAGTAAGGAAATGCCACGCGGTACTCCGTACGTACCGGACCTCTGAAGATGATGCGATCGATTGCGTTGAACTCGCCGAAATCCTCGTCATTCGGATCAATGTCTTTGTAGAGCGGCTCAAATCGGGGACCGCCAGGGATGGCCACATTCAAAGCTTTCGATGTGAAAAAGCTCTCCCGATCGAACATGTGAAAGTAATTCTTATCGACGACATCGCTAAGGAGTTGATGGCTCAGACGGTACAGGGTTGCCATTTGCGGTAGCGACAGGTTCCATTTTCTATAGCTGGGACCATTGACATGTGACGAGTCGATGAGCGGTCTGTGTTCGTAGAACCATTCGATGACGGCAGAATCTTCGTCGGGTTCCAGCTCCATCTGTATAGGCTCCGGAGGATCAACGTCTTCGATATTCTCGGACCAATCGAGTGGCGGCTCCTCGTCGTCGAAAGGTGGAAAGCGCATTCTCTTGAAGTGTCGGCGGTCGCTCTTTTCTCTGCGCATGGTAACCCACATTGTAGCCCATTGTGCGTGGAAGATGGGTTCGATAACTCGTGGCGATTCATTGATCAGAGTCAGACAGCCGTTGACGTGATATAGCACCTTGACTTCGCGCGATTCCTCCCATGGCATTGGCATATTCTCGAGAAGCTTGTAGACAGCATGAGGCATGTACTTGAGCGCACCGAGATAGCTTCTCTTGTCTGAGCTGTACTTCTTCTGGCTCACATCTCCGATATCCTTCACTATCTTCCGCAAATGCTCGGGTGGCATATCAGCCTTCTGTGTCTCGACATAGCCAGCTTTGCGCTTTTCGCCGAACTTGTTGCGCTGCGTCCGTAGCCACTCGGTTTTCTTCTGTGCAAATTTGGCCACCTTGGGGTCGACAGGCGGTCGGTAGCCAGGAGGTGGGGGAGGTGGTGGTGCTGCTCCCATACCAGGTGGCGGGGGAGGCGCGCCGGCATCCCATCCTGCGGCGGTGGAGGAGGTATCGACGACATGTCGAGGTGACAGTGGTATTATAGCGACTAAGCCGAAGACAGGATGAACTTCTGTGTCTTCGCGTGTGTCTCGAGGGTAGATCTTACCATCGATGTGATCGCTTTGCCGCCGCGTCTCGACAGCGCACAATCAATGTCTTGTAGTGGCCCTTTCTACCTCCCTGCAGTCTATCGTCGGGGTACCAGCCTGCTCCGACAGCAGTCGCGTCAGTATTCAAGGAAAGGTGTTAGCAAGGTAGACTCAAGGCAACAGTGCACTCTGAAATCTTTCGACGACGAGCAGTAACTTTTGATGCTTCCCCACACCTGCACGTGACCAGGATCTATGAGAGTCTGGAAGAGGTTAGCGTAGAGAAAATCTTGGCAACTTGTCCGCACCGCAGTTTTTCGTGCGTTTGAGCATCGAACCGCAGCGGGATTTGACGACGACACCCGTTCTCTTTCTTCGTTCGCATCGACGTCCCATCATTTCACACCACTGACGAAACGATGGTCTCCCAACGCCTCACATACCGCCGACGTAACGGGTACGCGCACCAATCCCTCGCGGAGATCATACCATGAATGAAACACAAATGATGCTAACACGAGGAATAGCTACAACACCCGCTCAAACAAGGTCCGAGTGGTCAAGACTCCTGGCGGCAGCTTCGTCTCCTACACTTGAAGAAGCGAGGCACTGCACCAAAATGCGGTGACTGCGGCATCAAACTCCCAGGTGTACGTTCCTCCCGAATCGCGAAGCAGATTGCTCCAGAACACCGGGGTCTTCGGACCACGATACGCACCGAATCTGCAATGCGCATGGCATAAAGCACATACTAACTGAGTCTGACAGGTCCCTGCTCTCCGACCTCGCGAATATGCCACAACCTCGAAAGCACAAAAGACCGTCCGAAGAGCATATGGTGGTTCGCGGTGCGGCAACTGCGTGCGGGATCGCATCGTCCGAGCTTTCTTGATCGAGGAGCAGAAGATCGTCAAGAAGGTTATGAAGGAGGCTGAGGGCAAGAAGTCAGGCAAGAAATGAGCGCTTTCGAATTAGCAGTGTGTGGAACGAATCTTTTCAAGGCATTGGAGATGTGGTCCTCGCGAAAGCGCTGTCGAGCGGTCGGGCTGAAGGAGAATACCAGCGGCGGCAAGAAGTCTGCGGCTACAACTCCACGACATTTGCGAAGCGCTCAGGCCGAAGATACCCAAGTGTGACTGGAGGGCCTTCTCGACTCGACGCAGCAGGACTTCAGATCCATTCTACCAAAATGAAACATATCTCAAGCCAAGGACGCCATGGACCTACGAAAGATTCCATTGCGGATACGTTCTGATTCTTATTTGATGCTGCTGATGTTTGCGTTTGCGTGGTGCCCCTTGACTTGGTGTGGAAATCCCCTTCATACAGTCACCTCGCTGTCAATGCCCTCGACGTCAGTGCCATGAGCTACTCCCACTGACTCCTAACGTCCTAAAGACAGCACGCACGATTGCCTATGGCGCCAAAATATCACGAGACTCACGCAATGGCAGAAAGTCGAAGCGTCGCAGGGTCGATGAGGTCGTGTATGAGCCCGGTTGACTGTTTGGGATAAGCGGCAGGCGCGACGGCAGTGTGAATGCCCAAAAAGACTGGCTGGACATGATCTCCCCTCAATCACGACGACCTCGACCAGCTCAGTCAAGGTAATCATCACTCAGTCCATCTCGCAACACATGTGGGCGGGAATGAAGACATCTACAACCTCATATTGATCCCACCTCCAGTTCTCCTTTCATCAACCGGCAGCAACACCCACGCCCTCCCGTCAAAACCTCCACTTACCGCTGTCAAACACCACTCATCTCGCAGCCTTCTCCCGCACTCCCTTCCGCTGTCATATACAACCAGTACGGTGCAACCTCGACGCACGCTTCCGCTGTCAAAACCAACCACATCGAAGCTGTCGAATCCAACCACGCCAAAACTCGCGCCCGTCTTGTCTTCCGCGTGGGCCGAAAATTCCTCATCAGCATATTTCTCTGTCTAGCAGACTTTTCCACACTTTTGAGCTGACATTCGAGCAGAGCCAGTTCAGAAACACACTGGCCCGATTCTTGCCGTATTCCTTCCCGCCTGCCGCAGCAACATCTCACATTCGAGCGACGCCTCCCTGGTTGTGCTCTCGAGGGCGCTCTCTGCCTCACTCATTGAACGTTTTCGACAACCAGCCAAGCGACTGCCATGGTGCAAGGAGTGCACGATCCCGCTGTCAAATACAACCTCGACGGGCATACAACCCTTTCAACCTCGTGCACTGTGGATTCTTGTGCTACCTTGACCCCGCCCTTCCGGCCAGAAGCCTCCTGCAGCCCTCTCGAGTCTCGACACTCATCTTGTTTTGCAGGCAGAACGAGTAACACCACTGCTGACCTGTTACTCTCCAGCCATATTGACGGCAGCATGTCTGAGACTGCGACCATCCCGTCCAGCCGATGCTTCACTAGCCAACCCACCACCACAACTACTGTTCTCCAACGTCAACTAGAATACACCGGAAGAACCAGACTCGAGTCCGGACACCTACATGACCCCTCGCCCAGCACGAAAGACCTCACGGCGACACAACTCAGGTTGTATCTGACAGTTGACAGCTTACACAGAGCACAAAACTTCAAGCATCACTCCACTCTCACGGAGGATGGAACTGTCAGAAACATCCTCTCACGAGGCGGCCGATGTCGCGCAAGAGCGTTGAGTGGGGTCAGAACTCGAGGATGAGGGACACGATAAGAGCAGCAAGGGGAGTAATCTGTTTAGGGCATGCTTGTGCAACACTGAGGTTTTCTGCGCCGATACAGGACAGCCTCAGGAAGATTGCAATGCTTCGCCATGAACACATGTGTTCAAGGGCTTCAAAATGCCGATGGACTTCCTTTTACGTACTAGAAAGAAGGGAATCGCCCCCAGTGATTAGGTACTGATACATGCTTCAGAGAATCATCCCTTTGAAAGGTATCGATAGAACCAGCTCACCTTCAAGAAGACCGATACATGCAGGCGCTAGAGTGAACCCCTAGAGACTTGAGCAACACCCAGTGGGAGAGAAACAGAATCTCAAACGCTCGCCATACTGAGATACGGGAACGATGTTGCTGCTTCTGTAGAATGTATCAAAGAAAGACTTAACCCCCGGTCGTGCCTGATCAGGCACTGGTTCAGCAGAGGGCCTTGCCCTCCCGCAATAGATGCAGCCGTTAGGTCTGTAACGAATTTCGGGCACTGACACGTATTCATCCACGCTAGAGACAGATGGCCTCAAGACATGAATGCTTCCAATATGATAACAGCAACAGTGAGCATGACGTTAAGAAGAGAGCGCCGGACCTCGAGGCTTTCAGCTGATTAGCACAAATTCGTAGTAGCCCAAAACAAGCAGCGAAGCGTGCAGATCGACGGGCTGGGGAAGGAAGAGGCACCCCAACAAATAAAGCACGTCCCTCGTCGTGTCGATGTCTTCCCATCGAACGCTCTTTTGAGAAATGAACAAGGTCTCTCGTCCCACCAGGCAGCAGATACTACCACAGCATGACAAGTATCACTTGCCACTCATATTCTGCTGGATGAACAAAAAGAAGGAGAAGTCAGGGCAAGGGACATACTTACAATTGTACCCTCGAAGTGAATGTCCGTCGCAAACCGAGAGCATCGCTTCACTGATCCAGCCAGGAGGTATTCACTGCTCGAAGCTTGGTTGCTGCCTAGTGTCATCCACTTCGACGGGCACGCCAGCGAGTGAAGCACCCCATGCATCTGCAATGTTCTTAAGCAACGAGCTTCCGTTGACGGCTCGTAGAGCTGTTCACTGTCAGCGGAAGCTTTCACGTGAAATTTTGTAGCAATCCCTCACAAGACAATCGTGATCGCTACCTGGAGGTTGTGGACATGGACGCATAGGACAGTCAGCCAGCGAGAGTACGGCAACTTCGTGTGCGTACACTAAGGGCGCCTTGCTCATGGGCCTGGCATTACCTCTGAGCCCTCAGTCAACACTGGAAGATTGGTGTCAGAAGCTGTCGAAATGCAACGTTGAAGACCTGTCAAAGCTGCCGTCACGCGAGACACAACGGCTGTCACTGAATCCCTACCTCTCAATGCTCTCTCAGAGGTGAGGGTACAAGACTCACTCCAGTGGTGGCTTGAAGTCCAGGTGCGAGTCTTCACGGCGGTCAGTAGTGGCTTACCCTGCGGGCTGCGTATGACCGATGAGCTAATTGACAGCACTGACAGCCAGTTGGCAGGTGGGATTTTGTGACATGTCCCTGGCCATGCGCCAACCACAGCCTAACGCGGACATTCGGGTCCTTAGTAGTTAGAGCATTGTTGCTATGAGCTCTGATCCCCAGACCGCGAGTGGTCAGAGCATAAGCTGAAGGGATCCAGGGACAATGCAATGCGCTTGCGAGCCTAACGACCGAGCCTAAAGAGGTCGGTGACACAACAGGGTACTTGGTCCGGACCTTTAGGGGTCAATGGGGGTCAGGGATGGATTGGGCTTATTTGACGCATGCGTCAAATTGTGCTGCGCTATACAAGTAAAGCGGTCATTTTCATCGAATTCTGTCCCGCAATATACCCGCGAAGGTGTCTTGGGCTTGGCTAGGGGCATAGCCTCTGGCTGGGCGAGAAATTTTTTGGGATTTATACCCTGGACTGTCCGAAACTTAGGCTTACTGATACCCTGCTGTCAGTTTCCCGAGGTCGCCAGCATGCGTCAAAAACTCGATGTCAATTACTTGTCGAAATGAATAGTTTACGCCAAGAGTCCATCTCTGATGGGGGTGGTCAGTGGTCAGATTGAATAGTTCTTCCGGCGTTGACAAGTTGTCAGCGTCACACGCACATTCGCGGGTTGCGAATCCTTGTTGATGGAAATATTCTTCCACACAATTCTTTTGCTCGAGGTGAGGAATGATGTTCTGGCTCGTGAGGGTGTATAGATCCCGAGACACGCATTGTCTTGTTGCAACGAGGATGGTGGGGAATGCAGTCGACAGGCTGCACGGTCATGGCTGGCAACGTCTGCACAGCGATGGTCTGTCGGTGCATTGCACCGTGGTCGCTACCATCAAGCAGCAATGCTTCCTCAGGGCCGCTTCGATGATCAGCACACATCCGCCGCCCAAGCTGGAGTCAACGTGCCATGAATATGTCCATGCGCCCTTGGTTACTCCGGAGGAACCAGTCGTCACTCAAAATGTGCGATGGCTGGCTGCTCATGCATTTTCACCGGTGCTGAATCCGCTGAAGCCTAAGCAGAAACGATCTGGCCTCGCCGGACATGCGAGTCGGAACCGTACTGGGATGGTCCTGGGCGAACAAGGGGCAGAATTCGGTGATACGAAGGAACTGCTGAAGAACAGTGGAGCTGTAGTTACCGCCGAGGGGATGCTGAACGTGGTGAAAGGACGTATCGCTGCTCATGATGCCCGCTCAAGGAGCAGAAGACTTCTTCGGCCGTGCTTGATCATTACAGCCTCGATAGCTGCCTCAAAGCGGATGTAGTCTTCCAGCGAAGGAGAGCCGCGTGGCCTGGACAACGCCGTACCAGACTTTGTTCGCCTGGAGGTGGTGTCTGTATGTCTGTACCCGCAGCCTCTCGTCTCCGTCGGCTGCCTCAGAGCCCGAGCTCATAGGCGTGTTTCGATCAAGCGATGATCGCTATGGATCGGCCGAAACTCCTCGAGCCTGTACAGCTAGAGCATACTTTTAGAGCTCCTCGTCATCCCGGTGGGGATCGACGGGGATGGTAGCACCACAACGTACCTTGTCAGGTCAGCCTATACATGCAAGCCTCGAAGCGGCCCGTGCATACGAAGAACACGACGAATGTGAACGGTCACAACTGTCAGTTTCGGTGCTCGAGCTGAGTCTTGAACGTCAAGGACGGATGGCTGCGATGACATATGCGGCTGAAATTAGTCGCTGTGAGGAGTGTAGCCACGTGTTATTGACAGAGAAGAGTCCGTCAGAGCCCGTGAACAAAAGTCCATTCAGAGACACGACTTCTGTTAAAGACCCCGAAGAACATCCCGCTTTCCTTAAGCAGCCTTCGCTCCTGAGGATTGTGGACCATTCTGCAAGCGATGGCTAATTCGGAAGCCCTACCAATCGGGCACAGTAGGTGCGTAGATGCGATGATCTGATCTTGATCTTGTGCCATCCCCCGAGTACATCGCTGTGGTCGAGTTTCGGTGTCTGTTTCGACCAAAACCCCCCGCTGTGATGCCGTCGCCAAAGACGCGAGCGAAAATTGTGATTCGAGCCAGAATCACTATACACATATGATGGTGGTTGCATTTGGCTCGAACCGAGCACTTTGACAGCCCAGGGGGTGGAAAAGCGTCAACTGCTCGCGAACGGCGGGCCGCGCTGTCAGAAGCACATTCAGCCAAAAAGGGGTGCTGCTTCAGACCAGTATGGCTGAAATGAGGTCGAGTTGACTATGATAGGCCTACGTGAATTGACAGAGTGACAGCTAAGAGCTGTCAAAATGCAGTCTTGCGACCTGGCAGGCCGTTGAGGCCAAACGGCCGCTAGGATGTGCCTTGCAGATTTCTGGCTGTGCATAAGCTGGGCTCCGGTGTTCTGCATTGTCGCGAAAGTCCGTATTCGAGACCTCGAGCACATGAGGACCGAGAATACACCTCGAACGATGCTGGCGGTGACAGAACAATCCCACGCTCTCTCAGACAAGTTGTATGATTCATTGATCAGCGCACTGAACCCCGTAACGGAACATGGCCCGATCATTCCGTACATTGACCGGTAGACGCGCCAGGGGCCATATCGCCTTTAGGCAGAGTCCGAACTATGCACAAATCGCAGTCGAGCTTCTGAGACGTTCTTAAATACTTCCGAGAATCCTCGCCGGAGTACAAAGGTCTTCGAGAAGCGTTCCGACCGAGGCTGGGAGAAGGCGAAGGCGTGGGGCGATCCAACGTGCACCAGCTTTGAGCAATTGGAAAGGCTGGTAGCTCACGGCCGTTGTGGACGAAACTCTGTGAGCAGATCCGATATCAGATTCTTTTGGCTGAAAAGGAAAAGCTATCGCCGAAACGGGTCATTGGCGCCAATCCAACCCCGGGGACGGTCCTTAGGGCCACGAGTCCGATGTACCAGATGGGAGAAATTGGCCATCGAGGAGCGGCTGGCAGTAGATCGTCTAAGGTGGCGTTTGAGCACTTGCAAAGATTGGTGAAGTTACAGGGTCATCTTTCCGTCTGATTTGCCTGCCACACGGGGCGGATGTTCCGTCGTATCAGGCCATGCAAGAAGCACCGAATTTCGGTGACGATGGGCCATTGGCCCAAGTATGGGTTGCGCAAAGCGAACCACTGAGCGTTGGTCATATTCGAAGCGAAGGTGCAAAGTCGCTAGAGAAGGACGAATGCGTCGTAGTTTGATGCAGTATGAGATCGTCGGAGGTCGGAAAAGGAAGAGAACGAGTGTGCAAGCGAAGGCGTGCCTGAATGGGGATGTCAGATCAGGGTTGTCGCCAATGCCTTGGCAGGAACTCACCTCCTTCCTACTGAAAAGCGTTTGGCTCCTGCGTCGTTGGTGCCGCCAGGTGGCTGCTACTGAGGAAGTCGGGCTGTCTCGGACTAGAATCGGCAGTGGCAGCCTCGACGTTCAAAGCAACGAGCATCACAATATTCGAGCACGAGCAAAGTGGCTTTTCGAGCTGGACTTTTGACAGGACCCTTGTCCCAAAGTCAGTATGGTTTACGAAATTTCACCTTTCAGCGGAGAGCCTTATTCAACGGCCCCTGGATGCCTCATCAGAGCTGCTACCTAAGCTGCGTCACAGAATTTAGACGAGCTGTTCGGCGCATATGGAAACAGAAATTCGAGTGATTATCACTCATGTGTCATCGCCAAACGCCTGTATGCTACCTACTGAAATGCCAAAATGTGCCTGACAGCCCACGCTATGCTTCTGTCCATACACGCTAATGCATTACTTTGCGACAGATAATCAGCAATCCCTTCATTGCCATTGCACCTCGCTCGCTTGCCCGTATCCCGCTTGAGCCAAAGCGTCCTGCATTCGTAGATCACTGAAGCTGAGCCGATTTGCTTGACAATCGTACCCAACTGAGTTGTCCAGAACATACTCCCGGGAGGGGAAGTAGTCGGTCGGTGTGCTTGGTAGCTCCTCGGGAGGAGAGGGAGGGCTGCTTCCCCGGGTACAGGGATACTCAGCCATTGCATTAGCGGCCCGTACCAGATTGTTGAACGATTCATGCGTGCCAACGTCGACTTGCTGCTGGTGAGGCCAGCCTTCGGCTCTCATACGTCGCATGTGTGTTGCTTTGCGCGCCGCCTGGCCTCCCTTGCGACCAGAGGAGATCCGCTTCTGATCACGGTCATAGCGGTGTGCTGCCGGACGACGAGCATGGTTGTTCTTGCGATATCTTGTTGTAGACTCGACGCCATTGCGAAGGGCATATGGTGTAAGGTACCAGATGCTGGTAGCTTTTTTGGGCTCGCCTCTGGAGTTGACATTGGTGGTCTTGTCGTTCTTGAAAGCCTGCGACTTGTGTCAGTCTCGCTGCGAGCTATGATAGGGGAACAGCACGTACCTTGTTCATCGACAGATTGTGTCGAATGCTGTTCTGCCAGCCGGTACCACCTGATTCGAGAGGTTTCGTGGTGTTGGCCTCGAACCAGTCATAAATGTCTCTGAGCATCATGCGATGACCCGGAGCCTGTAGCAGACACTCCTGAATCAGCTGCGCGTACGGCTTGCCTGTGCTAGGCCCTTCAGCCTCCTCCATGTCGTACTCATCACTTGGTCTGCTTCTGGGAATTCGAGCTCCGAGAACGGGTGGATACGGCTCGGGCGAGGAACAGTACTCGGTGTAAGGACCACTGCTGTAAGGTACGGAGGAGGACGAGTATGGTGACAATGGTGGCGCTGAATATCGAGAGTGCATATATTCGTGACCCAGACCCCAGGCAGTATTGGATCCCGGCGGAGGATAAAGGCCATCATTCCAGGGAAGCGAGCCGTGCAGATTTTGCTCGGTACTATGCTGCAGCTCCGATATATGCAGATGGTGAGGCGGAGACTGGTCGTGGTTTTCGAGGTACTGTGGAGGAGAAGTTCCCGAGTAAATCAGTGGTGGCTCGGCTGTGGGTTGACTTGGATGGTAGTAGAATTGAGCTTGCTGGTACGGCGGCACATCTGGTATCGTTGTCTGTACACAAAGTGATGGCAGCCGCTGTGGGTTCTGAGGTAGCTGGTGGCTGCTGAATGATGTTGCTCGCGCTACTGGACTCTCCGACGTCAGCCATTCCTCGACTATGGCAGACGATTGCCGACTTCGATAGACTGAGGGGTGACGATATGCTTCTGCCAGGTCTGGAAGACCAACACCAGGCTCAGCATTCATCACTGTTGGGTGATGATAGGTGACAGTGTTTGTTGAGTTTTCGGGTTGTTCCATGTTTTGCTGACAATGCCAGTAACGAATTTGCTGAGGCTTGTCGTCGATGGGTCTGGCGAAGCTATTGCTGTGCGGAGGCAAGCGAAGCATTTGAGCGGAAGTTTGGCTGGAACAATGGCCAGAACAATTCAAAGTATATACGCTCTGAGATCTTTCGAGCTAGCAGGTAGATGATTGCTTCCTAAGCAAAGAAAAGCTGCAGCTAAGATTGGCAACAAGCAATTGGTACAATTGAACATGCAAACAGGCAATAAGCGGGAGACAACGACGCAAACAAGGGTCAGTAGAGGAGGTATACCATTGATGTCAATCTAGACGCAGTAGTGGATGATGTCCAAAGCAGACGTCAAAGACGAGTGCCCACTATTGTTGAGGTGAAGCTGGCGAGACGCTCGTTGTACCACAGACAGCATCCAGCGAAGCATTGCAACTGACTGAGAGCAGAAATGCTCCGACTGATGGAGGCCAGCCGGAAGCCGTTACGCGTGTAACCAGGCAGGGGACTGTGCAGCGTGGCAGAAGCTTTAGTCCAAATAGCAATGCAAGACATCCCGTCCATCATGCCGCTTTTCCTGCATGGAGTCATCGCATTGGCGTTTGCAGGGGTAGTGCATCGGCCTAAAGGCCATGCCTTCTGCGAGCCTTGATCGCGGGTTGTTAGCCGTGGGGTTGTTTCTGATATCAACTTTTCGCAGATGCTGTGTGATCAATGGTGTCCATGTTTGCAGAGTAAATCTCCTGGGCATGCTTCAGAATCACCAGGTGCCATCCTTGCTTGTTGAGGTGCATTTCGTGGGCAGGACAATTGATTTTCCGTGCCGAGGAGGGCGAATGTACTTCATACCGGGTACTTGCAGATGCCAGCAAATAAGGTCCACTGGGAACCTGAGTTACTGGTTAACTCGTTGGCGCGAACATGGTGGCCAGTGACTTCGCTGGAACTTCTGCAGACACGGCGATAGAACGGTGAGCAGCATTCAGCACGCACTGTTCCTGCGGTGAGAGGAACTTTGCAGCATCTTGCGCATAGATTGAGATTCAGACTTGCGGCGAATCGCTGAGACCGCCCTTTTTACTGGACAAAGAACCTACACTGGCGACCGGACTTCCAATGTAGCTCAGTGGCCTTCGGTGGATGGCATGGGTACCTACGAATGCGGAAGGCGCAACCGCGCGATGTTGTCTCGCATCAATGAGTGCAGAGAGCTGCCTGGCGATGGCCCAGCGAAGCTGCCTGTGTGCTAGATGTGTTGGACTCACCAGATATGGGCACCAGGGGAACTCTAAGGACATGGCCATATACGTTGCCAAGGACGCGTCGCCCGCTGCCAGCGGCGCGTGTACTCTTCAAAATAAATACGACAGCGCTGCGTACTGAAGGCGACGTCAACGATTTTGTCTGGTTGACTTGAAGTTGACATGAATGTATATGAATGCCGCGAAGGACGCGAAACTCCTACAAGATCGGAGCAATTGGCTTGATTTCTGCTTGGCAAGGCTGAACCTGCGAGGCTGCCCTACAACAGCTTGGAGTGCCTAGCGGGCTTGGCAGATGATGACGTCAGCATCATAGATCCCTACCCTGAGGCGCGCCAACTTGTTCTGATGACTGAGATGATCACAAAGCGAAAGTGCCGGTATCAGCATCTACACAATGTTCGCGTGCGTGCGCTACACATCCGGGCCTTCCATTTTGTTGCCCACACAGCCTCAATCCGGCCACCGATCCAGCAACACACAGGCAGTGATATTATTCTCGTGAAGCGTTCCGATCGTTCTTGCTTTCCTCGAGTCCCATGTCGATAGGAGACCGGTAGAGCCCTCCTTACACTAAAATGCCGGAAGTCGTACGGGGCAGTAGAGCGAGCGTCGACTTGCCGCGACCTTCCACTACAGCTCGAGTGCATTTTGGGCCAGACACACCCAACGAACAGGATACACAGCTACAGCAGCTGGGGTCGCGAAATAGCGGCACGCCGAACTTCTCGAGGACAGAGTCGGATGACCCTGCCCGACCTCTGCAGCGCCGCTCGAGCGCCAGATACGAAGACCGCGATGTCGCCGACGCATACTATGATAGTCGAGCCGCGACGAAACGAGAGTTCAAGAGGAGAGCCAGCACTTTGCAAGAATACTATAAACAACACCCGGACTTGCTGCCACAGCTGCCGTTCACGTTCAAACATGGATGGAAACGGCTGAAACTAATGGCCTACATTGGCCTAATTTTCGTGGACGCGTGTGCCATTCCTATCATACTGTACTATACCATGAAATTTATTGGCCACGTCCAAGGATATATCAGTACGTTATTCTCTAGGCGATGTGCGGTGTGCTTTAACTAACGCGTCCTAGTCTTTGCCGTCGTTGCTACGATCTGGGGTGGTCCAACATACGTCGAATTTGCGGTTCGATCGTGGCGCCTGATCAAGAAGGAGAATTTCTTCCGACCCCTTGACACGCAAAGCCGATGGGCTTTCGACTATGTTCACTACGTCTCGTCGGTGGCCATCGGAGCCGTAACAGCATTCCTCATCATCGGCTCCGCACCACACATCGTCTGGCTACGTATTCTTTCCTTACCTGGACCCGCCCTTCTGCTTGTGCTCGGAGTTGCCATTCTCTGGGTTCAGATCTATCATGTCTGCGGATGGAAAGCGCCATTCCGCCTCAGCTCCACGGCAAAGGGCGAGCCAGTCAAGCCAGGCGTCTTTTACATCATCGAAGATGTAGTCGCTGTCAATGCGGGTGCCGGCCGACCATACCGCGAGGCAATCAATGCCCGCTATGCAGCGAGTCCCATGTTCAAACAATTAATGCGAGACCTTTCGTGGGCGTGGTGTATACCCTCGGTCGTCATCGCCATCGTCCTGATCGTGTTGATCTGTATACATCAAGTCGACAAGGAGGTCGCTTATGGAATTGGTACGAGATCCTCCCTTCCCATCCATGACTCTGACTAATGACGCATTAGGCTGGGGTGTCCCCTTTTTTTATATGGCACTATGGGGCGTCCTCTCCGTTCCATATTGCAAGTGGTACCGCGCAAAGGAACGAGCGCAGTGGGAGAACAACGTCTTCATCGATCCCGAAAAGAAGCTTGCCGAAATTGATTCAGCTCCCCCTAGCGAAACCGACAAGCCGCTGACGAACGGCCCTCCCACTACTCCGCCTGCTGCCGCAACGACTACAACTGACCATGACGAGAAGATCGAGGTCGACCCAGCGTATCAACGAGAAGCAGGTGCGACTGAGGAGCCCGTGGTGCCTGTGTCGACGCCTGGCGCAGACCGCGCCAGGCCAAGAGACGGACTCCACTTACGGGTCGAAGCCAGCCACCGCGACCTCCTAACTTTGCCAACTCGTCATGGTGTTCGGTTGTGCGAGGATGTCTCTAAAGCGAGCGAGCGCCTATACCTTTCCTTTCTCTGGTCTACTTCCGCAAATATACCCAACTTTGGATTATTACACCAATAATGAGATGGCGGGAAAGCGAGCGAGCAGCCGCATGTATATTCTGGTCTACATCCAGGTCTTTTGATAGATGAAAAGTGGACCTTTGGTTCGATCTCGTGGTCGCATTCCTATCTTGTCCTTCTCTATGTGCGTGCACTGTGCACTGGGGCCTGTTCCCGGCTCGGGTCGTCCTCATACGCTTAGAAAACATGGCCAATCCTTCTCTGAGCATCCTTCCATTCTTCCTGGCCCTTCGGCATGAACAATGCGGTCAACATCAGTGATTTTCATGATATGACATTTTGCTTTCACGGCAACTGTTCAGAATATTCACACCTGGCAAAAGGGCCTTACCATCCACGCACGCCAACCTAAACCTCTATCTATGGCTCGCTCAATCTTAGATCAGAACCCATCCATCAACTCCCTCAACGTGATCGGTCGCCTCACCGCATTCGAAAACCCCTCGTTGAAGCTCACCCACACCCTGTCCTTCTCCGTCACAGGTTCTGCTTGCTTCCTCGGCGCAGCCTTACCATTCTTACCGCCCTCGGATGACTGGCTGTCCTGCCGAGTTGCAATTGGTCGTCCGAAGAAATCCCGCTTGACATCGTCTTTGCGCGCTGCTGTCGCCGTCTCCATAGCGGCGTTAGTAGGCTCCGTGTTCTCCTTCCCACGATAAACACTGCTGCTGCTCCCGTTGAGGCTGCCAGAGCGATTCTGACTCGCCAATGAGCTCTGCAAGATCTTCTCCTTGTGCAGCTCCTGCTCGAGGACCTGGCGGACTGCGTAGCGGGTTGGATTGTGTGATGTCGGGACCACTGCTGCTGTGTTTGGGTCAGTGCTGTCGGGTATGGCGAAGTGGTATGTGTTCAGTGCGTCTAGCGGTCTGTGGGTTTGTGTCAGCATGGGAAGCACGTTGTGATAGTAGCAATGGCAAGGCGGCAGACTCACGGCTCCATCCGATACGCAAACGTCGCCCTCCCGCCCACGGGTCCAGCATTGGCGTCCAACTCAAGCTTCACCTTCTCGAACTTGAGCTGCAATGCATGCATGACCCCGACACCGATCTGCACGCACCTCTTCTCACTCTCCTTTCTTACACTCGCCACTGACCCTCCACTCCCGCCGTGCCCACCAATAACGACAGGCTTGATATCCGGCGACAACATGCGATTCGCAGCCGGCACAAGTTCCGTCGCGATATTGTCCACCGAGCTGAACAGCCTCAACAGCGGTCCCGGAAACGAGGATTGCAGTTCCGTGAGGATCGCCTTATTCTGCTTCTCCGCTTCATAAGCCACAAAGTCCGCCCTTGAACCGCTGTAAGGGTGCGGCGCTGCCGCGCTATTAGCATCCTCTTCCCGACTGTTGTACTGCTCATTCACCCCCCAAGCCCTGGTGCCCTTGTCCACGCTCGCGAACAATGTATGAAACGCGCACGCCGAAGTATTCATGTACGGGCCCAACTCCCATTCCTGCCCGCCGTACAACCGACTAGAGAGGCGATCGTGGAAGTGCAGCCATTCGTACGCCGCATTCGGCTTCGAAAGCAATGTATCATCCTGGAAAGCCTGAATCGGGTACGCAGCGAAGCAGTCTGCTCATCAGCCGGTCGGTCTCGCCGCACGTGTCGACCATGTGCCGGAGGGCGGCGATGGCGGCGCGTTTGCGGACGTCTGCTACGCCGACAGCAGCGGTGGTTCTGGACTCAGCGACGAGGCGGGCGTCCTCGGCGGAAAGGGCGGTTGGGAGGTCGGGTAGGCCGGCGCCTTCGATGAAGATCCGATCCACAACTTCGCGCGTGCCGCCGCGGCCGAGGCCTTTGTGAGTGGCGGTGGAGGAGTGGGCTTCGCCCATCTGGATCTCGACCCATTTGCGCGTTAGTCGTGGTTTTGTGCCAGTGGTAGTGCGGTTCGTTGCTTGGAATTTATGCGCCATCCATTCCGCCTGCACGAAGATGCCTCGGAGGTCGCCCTCGCCGGCACCCTGGCCACCAAGGCTGTTCTGTTTGCGCGTACCCATGCCCCATGCGCTCTCGCAGATGCGTCGGACGGCGTCGTTGTCGCAGGGGACTTGCTCACTGTCGAAGACGTCTTCAGTCGCGAGATGACTTTGTCCAGCGCAGGCTTGCGTACGTGAATGATCTCGGCTAGGGAGGAGCTTCTCAGGGGACGTAGTGATGGCGCGTAGACGTCGTTGCACACGAGGATCAGTGGTCGACGCATGCGGAACTTATCGCTTTTCTTCTTGCGTGACTTCACGCCGAGGGCGTTGCTCTCGCTGTTGGAGTTCTGCTGGTCGAGTTGGATCAGATCGATAAGAGCTTTCATGAAGCCGCCTTCGCCGCCGGAGCCGGAGCCGGTTGTGACGCCGTCGACCTCGTCGACTACGACGCACACTGGTTTGCCGGCTTTGCGTTTGTTGTCTGTGTCTTTGATGCCGCGGACGTTTTCGGTGCCTAGGATGTCCTTAATTCGGCCTCGGACCACATCGCGGCTTCGGTCGTCGCTGGCGTTGATTTCGAGGGTTTCGTAGCCTGCTTTCTTCGCGCATACGTGTGCCAGAGTCGTTTTGCCGAGGCCAGGAGGGCCGGTCAGAAGCAGGATCTTGCGCTGGGTCTGTGCGGCAACGTCTTTGTCTTCGAAGATGCGCTTCTTCTTGGGTTTGTCGTTTCCTGGGAACACAATCTCGTCCCAGCCTTTTAGCCATCTCAATACCGAGCGGTGTGTTCGCTCATCGCCGACGAGCTCTGTGAACTTTCGAGCTCGGTACTTTTCGGTCCACATAAGGTGAGTTTTGTCGTTTTTGGTCTGACCATTTGAAGTAATAGACCCACGAGAGACAGGTCGCTCTTCCACCGCCACCTGCCGGAGCGATTCCTGTTCTTCGTACTCAACTCGCGCTTCATCCAGCTGGCGTTGAATTTCAGCGTCTTTCACTAGCTTGTGGATCTCGATGCCATAGAACGACTTGACTGCACGGCCTTCTGTGGTGCTGGAACGTTGCGCAACCAGTTGCTCGTAGCTGACTGCTTTCGAGGTTGGTCGGAGGGCAATCTTAAAGGCTATGCCGTTGCTTGTTGAAGCATCAAGGCCAGCAGCCTTGAGTCTGTTCCGCAGCAGAGGCCGAGATCCAGTCTGCAGCAGCGCGGGAAGATCTGGTTCCGGTAATGATGCGTCTCGGGGAAGGATGTCGTCGATATCAACTATGTCTTCCACGGGTTTCGTCTGGACAGGCTCTGCAATGACCTTGAAAGATCGTGGACTCGCGGAGCGCTCATCCTGGCCAGGAAGTTCAGAGGTCTTGAGTTTTTTGGTATCCGGCAAAGGACCCAACGTCTGAAACAGCTTCCGCTTCTTCGTGACTACAGGTGCTGGTGATGAGCTCGCTGGGTACAGTACTGGCGAGGAGCTGAACGGCATTCTTGCGAAAGCCTTTGGTATCTCTTGGGTACTGAGTCCGGGTTGTGGAGTTTCAGGTGGACTTGATGGAAGTGAGTCCGTCGTTACCTCTGACGGGAGCGTTTCCAGTTGAGTACTTCTCGTCTCCACAGTCACCTTGTCGTTGATTTTGTCCTGCTGATGAAGTGCTAGCAGTTCATCGGAGCCTAGACCCTCCGCAGCAACAACAAGCGTATCCTCGTCGCCCATAGTATGCAAAGTGTCAGTCCTGTTGGACGTCGTCGCTGTAGTTTCAGTCGTCCATAACCTTTGGCGTTTTTCGAGCAGTCCTGACCCAAGTATCAGTCCAGATCGAAATACCAGGTTGGGAGCATGAGTGAAGTTCTAACCCTAAGCGTGGTCCGGTGTTCAATACTGAGGATCGAACTTGAGGTTCGCGTCGTGTTTGACGCGTCCAAAAACGCGCTTTGATGGAGCCGCGCGGAATCAATATCCGCTTACCCCACCTTCGATCCGACTGCTGATCGCCATGCGTGAATCATAGACCACTCACATTCCATCGCTAAGCCGCCGTCGTTGGAGCCGCCCTGCACAGCATGTTGCCTCGAGATCCGGTCGCGAAGAGTATGCGACCTGACAACACCAAACAATGCGACCCGAACCGCCTGAATTGCGTCCTAAACCGCCTAAGCTGCGTTCCAACATTGCGTGGCGCAACCGAAACACCGCGGATATGCGAGATAGCATCGTAGATACGCCAGCGAGGACCTTTGCAGAGTGAGTCAGCGGTGCCAACGGCGAGAGCTGCAGTGGCTAACGAATGCGTTCAGGCTTCTTTCAGGCCCTCTTCTTGACATTTATGTCGGTCCGGACGGCCGCCGATGGACGCTACATCAGAATCTCCTCCGCCACCATTCGCGCTACTTCGATGAGAACTCTCACGTCAACGGCGAGCGCAAGCGCATTCAGGATGGGCAACTGCTACTGCCAGAAGAGGACCCTGAAGCGTTTGAACTTCTCGTGAAGTGGTTGTACCAAGGTCGTATCGAAGATATCTCACAAATCCCCAAGGAAAGCCGATGGGATTACACTTATGCTTGCCAAAAGCTGTACCTGCTCAGCACTACGATCGGGCTTCTCGAACTGGCCAACCTTGCCATAGATCAGTTCCGCAAAGGGTGCCATGACACTGGACTAGTGCCTGGTTCTGAGGAAATGTTCCCGATCTACCGAAAGACACCCTCTGGATCTCCCTTTCGAAAGCTGGTCAGCAGGATCGCCGCTCGCCAGATCATGGACCCAGACAACGAAGTAAATGCCAGCACGTATCGGCAGTGTTTCGAGACCAGTCCTGACTTCGCAATCGACGTTATCAACGAGATCCGACAGGGCACTGGTGGACTGCTGCTCGAAGATCCAACCGAAGGTAATTCCTGCAAATTCCACACGCATCAGGACGGCGAGTCGTGCCGCAAGTCAGTCAAGTTCTCGAACGGAGTCAAAGAATCTTGAAGCCAAGGGAAGGAGCGATCAGCGCGGAGCGACGTGAGGTGCAGGAGGGCTGAAGCAATTTAGGCAATTGCGACCATGATCTTACGACAATCCGATCACTTCTGCGCATTTCCAATACGGTCGTTATACTTGTGTCTTACTAGCAGCACGACCTGCCAAACGAGATCGATTCCTTGTTCCTTCTTGGATCATGTTTCTTTGGTACGACTTCGCGGCTTACATCTCTCAAACACGCAGACCGGCGTCATCGTTCCTCTGCGCGGCACACTGTACCATCGGAAAAGGCATAAGCCAATGTCGTTCCCCGACGGTCTCGCTGCAGTCATATCGTATCGATCGCGATGCCAACTGTCGCAGCTAGAATCGACCTGCTTTTCTAGGCGCAGCCGGTAGCTGCACCAGACGAGTTCGCAATCCGAATCTTGGCGAATAACGGTCTAGCAATCATCAAATGTCTTCAACGAGGCTGCATCTGCTGACTCAGTCCTTACTTGCCTATTGTCCAAGTCCGGCAGTGGCTCTAGGCATCTTCTGGCAACACGCACCGCAGATTGCAAAGCACTTACCAATTGATGTACTCACACAGCATCAAGAATGCAACGATACTCAGCAAATTTTGCGCGGCAACAACACCACCGACAGTCTCGGTACGATTAACATGAAAATCGCTCAATCAGGGACCGTGGTGCCTCGTACGAGCTACTCCACACCACTCGACCGAGTGAGGCCTTGGCATGCATATGCACGTGATTTCAAGGCAGATCTGCCTCGAGATCGGGAATCACGCTGCAATTGCGAGTTTCAAGGGTCGCGCAGCATCCCAGAACAGCATTGACTAGGCGCTCGGAAAGCAACCGTACAGTGTGTGTCTGCAAATGATTACCAAATTTCTCCGGTGGCATCGTGTCCAGACCAGAGAATACGTCGTACAACAGCCATAGTTGGGTGCTTGGTCTGAAGTATTCCACACGTCGTCAGGAATGGCTTGGAATGCCAACAAGTATAAAGAGTGCGGCGGGTGACTTAATCCACTCGATAGCAGTCAAGTAGCATTCGACTCACAATCCCACTTCAGTCAGCAAGACCGCAGACGGACTATACCTACTACCCATCCATGATGTCCTCCCTCAAACCACTCACCCTATGGTCCCACGCTGGCGGCCCCAACCCCTGGAAAGTCGCCATCATCCTCAACGAACTCGACGTCCCTTACGAGAACAAAGTCCTTCACGACAACAAGAACAAGGAGAAGCCATACACCGACCTGAACCCCAACGGCCGCTTGCCAACAATTGAGGACTCCAACACCGGCGCCAAGATCTGGGAATCCCTCGCTATCATCCAGTACTTGGTCGACACCTACGACAAGGACAACAAATTGTCCTATGCGTCTGGCCCTGAGAAATACGAGCAGCTGCAATGGCTAGCATTCCAAGCCTCCGGCCAAGGTCCGTACTTTGGGCAGGCGACGTGGTTTCAGGTGTTTCACCCGGAGAAGCTGCCGAGTGCGATTGAGCGTTACCAGAATGAGATTGCTCGTGTTAACTGGGTGTTGGATACGTATTTGCAGGATCATGAGTACCTCGTTGGTGATAAGGTCACCGTAGCGGATTTGGCGTTCGTGACATGGGCGAATATTGGTGCCCACATGGATGGAGGGAAGACCAAGGAAAAGAATCTGACAAAGTATGATGCGTGGATGGCGAAGCTGAATGAGCGGCCGAGCGTGAAGAAGGCGTATGCTGATCAGGCGGAGGCTAAGGAGGGGAAGTGGAAGTGGAAGCCCTAGGTTCGGGCTCAGATTCATGTCGAACTCATCCAAGTGTTTGACTTGCTCTGACTGATCCATTCAGGTACATCGTCGCTAACGTACTCTTCTAAACAACGTCAGCAACTTCCTCTGTTGTTGCACAGTTCTGCAGCAGCTTCTTCATCGCAATCATGGCCTTCTGTGCATATGGGCCCATATCATCAGGGTATTTCTCTGGTGCCTTGCCATCGAACACTTCCATCGAGAACCAACCCCAGAATCCTGTATTCAGCACCGCCCTCGTGAAATCCTCCACGGGCAGATATCCCCCATCATAAGGCAACGGCCGATAATCGTGACTCCACTGCCCTCGCGGTCTCGTCCCGCTCTCATCCACCTCGTCCTTGATCGGTGTCTCCATCTTGTACGCATCAGAGATCTGCAATAAGAAGATCTTCTCGGGTGGCACAGTGGCAGCCAGGTCTCTCAAGCTCTTCTGCCAAGCGCTATCGACATCGTCCTTCTCCACTCGACCAGACGAAGTGCGAGGGTCAGCCCATTCGCCTCCTGCCGATTGGAACGTGTCAAGGCACAAGCCTATGTTCGATCGATCGGCCTTCTGCACAATCGTCCAAACATCCTTCCAATCGGGAGCATGTGTGGCCCAACACCAGTTCTCATATGCGATCCGCTGCTTCTTCTTGGCGAAGATGTCCGCGAGCTCAGCCAGATCAGCCGCGAGTCGGTCAAATTCTCCTGTTATATTCGGGGCGTCGGAGCTTCCGATCTATGAACATCCGTCAGCACATTCCAACGTCCCGTTGAGTAGCAGACTTGCCTGGAGCATATCAGTGCCGACAGCTTCCATGATCCCCGACCACCCCTTTGCCCTATCGAAGGCGTCGTTGCGCTCATCCGAGCCTTCTGGCCAGCCCTCAAAGTTCGCAAATGGCTGTAGCATAAGTATGTGCAATCGGTGCTGCTCGCAGAGCTTTCGAATTTCTTGGCCAACGTGCTTCAGCGTGGCATAGTCCTTGGGATCGACTTCCTTCCCTATGGTCTGCTGCCCGTAAGAAAGAATGTCCGGCATCGATAGCTCGATGGCCTCAAAGCCCGCCTCCGAGATCGCTTCCAACTTGGCTGGGAGGTCATGTTCCTTCTTGTGGCCGATCGAGCACTGGGAGACCTGCCGTTAGCATTGCCCTGGCTAAGCACGCCGTATGACCATTGAGGATGTCCCTTTAATGGCCCCTCTGCAAATATAGAATCGCTACAGGTATTGCAGGACCGCAACTTACAGTTGCATAGCATGAACGGACTTTCTCTCCACGGTAAGTTGCCATGATTCTGCCCTTCCAGTCTTACGAAGTCCAAGTCTCGTGATGCAGACACAGGCCCTAAATAGTTTGTGACTTTCGTACATCCGGCAAAGATAGCATCCAGATCATGATGAATACTACGGCAGATGTGTCCGTTGTGACGTCAGCCTATGCGTCAGAGTATGATGGAGGCCAGCAGTAAATTTGACGACAAGGAGTTCGACGCTTATGAGGGAACCATACTGATCCATTGCCAATCTTGAACCGAGCAAATCCGAAGAAAGCAAGCAGAAGTGGCGCCGCAACGATGAATACCAAGGATGGCCCAGAGTTTCAGAAGGCAAGTCCAAGGTTGCCTCGCGCGAACCCGAATGAGGCAATTAGGCTGACCAGCCCTTCAGCTCGGCATGGTCGGCGCGGGCAGCATGGGTGGGATGATGAGCCTCCTGTACGCTGAGCATGGAGTTGACGTGCACTTCTTCGATCCAAGCGAAGAAAATGTCCATCAACTCCTCCATATGGCGAAGAAGCTGAAAACGGACCATAAGATCGTGCACGAGAAGGACTATGAACAGCTTTGCAAGAGCATTTCGGTCCCTAGCCAGCCAAGACTCTTCGTCTTCAGCATACCACATGGTACTGTTGGAGATAAGACGGTCGACAGTCTTATGCCGTATCTTCAGAAGGGCGACGTTATCCTCGACTGCTCCAATGAGCTATGGCAGAACACCGAGCGGCGGCAATCCAAGCTTGACCCGAAGGGCATCCACTACGTTGGCTGTGGTGTCAGTGGTGGCTATCAGAGTGCTCGTCACGGCCCCTCTATGTCTCCTGGGGGCACTCCCGAAGCGCTCGATAAGGTCATGCCGTTCCTCCGGCGTGTGGCGGCTAAGGACAAGCAAGGTCGTCCATGCACTACGCCCATTGGACCTGGCGGCTCAGGCCACTACGTGAAGATGATCCACAACGGCATTGAGCAAGGTATGATGTCGGCCCTCGCTGAGGCTTGGTCCCTCATGACCACGCATCTCGGTATGACCTACGAAGAAGTTGCCAACACTTTCGAAGAATGGAACGACACAGATCCACTACGAGATAACTTCCTCATCAGTATTGGCGTCGAGATCAATCGCACCAAGGATCCTGATGCTCCCAGCAAGTACCTCCTCGCTAGCATCCGCGACAAAGTCGTCCAGGACGTCAACGAAGAAGAAGGCACAGGCACCTGGTCCTGCTGGCAAGCCATCGACCTACACATTCCCGCACCAACCATCGTCGCCGCCCACCTCTTCCGCCTCGCCTCCGCCGACGCAACTCAACGCGCTGCCGTGTCCGAAGCCTTCACCCAGACCTCCACTTACCTGCCCACCGCATCCAAAATCGACCCCACCGACCGCACCGCCTTCCTCTCCGACCTCCAACAAGCCCTCTACGCCTCCTTCCTCACCTCCTTCGCCCAAGGCCTCCACATCATCCATGCCGCCGCCACCGCGAACTCCTGGCCCCTCGACTTCGCCGCCATCATCGGCATCTGGCGCGGCGGCTGCATCATCCAGTCCGACTACATCTCCGACCTGTTCACGTCCATCTTCACCTCCTCTACCAACCCCTTCGCTTCCCCCTCCTCCCCGAAAAATTCCACACCCACACCGACGCCCTCCCTTCTGACGCACCCTCTGCTCGTCAAGCCCCTCGCACAAGCCTACCCGTCCCTGAAGCGCGTCATCGCAGCGAGCGTCGAAGCGGACGCGATCGTGCCGAGTTTGAGCGCGACGCTGGAGTATTTGAAGTACAGCAAGAGTACAGAGATGCCGACGCAGTTTATGGAGGCGCAGTTAGATTTCTTTGGTGGGCACATGTATGAATTGAAGAGTGATCGGTTGCGGCCAGGGGCCGAGAAAGGGGCTCGGCATTTTGAGTGGCGGCCCGCGAGGGGGATTTTGGATGGATAGCCCGCTTCCCCAGTATGGTTGATACCATTAGCTTCTCCAGGAGTCTGACGCTCGCATCGTCTCTATATGTCAGACTGCATTCACACGACATTGCAGAAGAGAAGTTTCGACTTGTACCGTTCCATTACTTGATTCTGATGCTGCTACCCTCTCCAAAATATGTACAAGTAATGTGCCAAAGCATCGCTCAGAGCGCATCGTTGAAACTCTTGCTCTTCTTGAGAGGAGGCTTCACTGCCGCCGGGCTCTTGCTCAGACCGTTCAAGAACTCCTCCTTCCTGCTGCCTGTCAGGTTCATGTGCTCTGCTACCGTCAACCTTGGCGTCTGTGCCAACCACTGCTCAACGCTGAAGTCCTCGAATCTCGCCGCGCGGAACATCTCCAGCATCTCCACAGGATCATCGCCGATGTTCTCGACGTAATGAGCGTGGTTCTTGAGAATCACAGCCACGTCACCGGCCTGGTAGTTGAATGTCCGCGCATTGCCGTTCGAAGCGAAGATTGTGACGCGTGCCTTGCCGCTGATGAAGAATGACCACTCGTCAGCATTGGGGTGCCAATGCATCTCGCGGAGTGCGCCGGGGTTGATGATGACATGTGCGGCGGCCACAGTCTTGGACATGGGGAAGTTGGTGCTGTCAACAATGCGGACCTCACCACCGTCGAACTTGATGGGCTTCTGCTGGAGGAGACGGTGCGTGAAGCGGTGCTTTGACTGGATTACCTGCTTGCGATCTGCTTCAAGGCTGCCTGGGACGGTACCTTGGAAGATATACTTCTCCTTCTGCGACAAGGTGTCAAATGTGCGAGCGTCGATGCGGAAGTTCTTGGCCAGGATGTCCTTCGGTGTCCGGGCAAGATAGTCGGTCAAGAGAAAAGTCGAATCTTCGCTGAAGTTGCCATCATCGAAGACCAGGAGAAACTCAGTTCCCTCATCACCGGTACCAATGATAGAGTGAGGATAACCAGTCGGGAAGTACCAAAGGTCACCTTCCTCCAGATCGTCAATATAGCTGCCACCCTCGACATCAAGCACGGTCATTCGGCAGGATCCCTTGAGGATGTATGCCCACTCTGCCTCCGAGTGCCAGTGCAGCTCGCGGTATGCGCCAGCCTCGAGACGCATGTTAACGCCTGCAATCTCCTTGGATGTACCGAGCTCGCGGACAGTCGTCTCGCGAGCCCAGCCGCCCTCCTCAAGTCGCATGTGCGAGTCGGTAAATGACCACTTCATGTTGGGCATCTTGCCGCCGTCAGTGACGGGTGGGCGGACAAGTGAGTAGGACTGCTGTGCGCGCTCTGGGTTGTCGGGTCCGAGGATGTTGCTACCCTTGTTGCCACGAATGGGCACGACGCTGTCACGATGTCAGTCAATGTTGATGGCGCCGTCCTGGACAATCTTACCCCTTAGCGGCATGCTTGACACGCTCTGGGATGATCTCAGTCCATGAATTGAAATTAGGGTCACGTCGCTCTTCGAGCACGGATCCCATTCTGTGTGTATGCACCATGTCTGCGGTGATGTCTGTTGACGTGGTGAAGGTGGTGCTGGCGTCGGTGCTATCACTCGGGCTAGTGCTGTCCTGCAGTAGCTTCTTGGTCATACAGTATGAGCTAGGGTGTCTGCGTTGTCACTATTTATCGTCAACGAGTTCAGATCACAATAGCGACGTAAGCAGTCAAGGGGAGTAAGAAGGCATTCGCGTGGCGACACGCTGATCAATATTTATTGCTCCTACTCCGGAGCTCTATGACAGCTCCATTGTGTGGCGAATGGCGAGCTCGGGTGTGGTCCAACCACCTACCCAAGCTGTAGCTAAGAACTCCGCTACGGGCAATGCTCGACGTGACCGCACAATTTCTTGGGGGTTGGTAGAAGCGCGTGAGTATGGTGTGACCGCGCAGAGAAGCCCAGCCTTCTGCGTAGGCTAAACGTTGAACCGAGCTCCTCGGCATTTCGACATCATGGATTTCCAGGAAAAGCTCTACTATGAAACCCCGGCTCTATGATATCGCGAAAAGGCCAGATCACCAGATGAATGCGCTACGACTACATGGTACGTATCCGATGCCAGTGAGGGGTCGCTTGGGGTCATCGTAAGGTCGTCGCGCGTCTGGAGCTTCCTCAGACCAAGACTCTGGGGTGCGTCGAGCTCAAACCTGCCTGGTTCACGAAGCTGCCAAGCGGAGCGAGATCTTTGAGCCGCTGCAACGCACAACCCCAGACACAAGTGCGACGCCCAGCAGCGGAGTGCAGCAAAGGCGGAACGACCAGTGATACGGCGGACACTTGGCGACTGTTATCAGGATCTTCGAACAAAGCCCCTCGGTGGAGCTACGGTGGGCAGCTTTGGAGAGACACTCGATTGAGCAGTCAGCTGTTCTTGGGTTGTGTAAGAGCTTCCTTCACATTCGTCTGATCGTTTTACTTCGGATTTCATATTGTATGAAGCTCCTACCTCTACCCTGTGGCTGTCGACGGTATTGATTGCGTCGTTCCAGACCAGACCACTAATCATGGCGCCTCCAACAGCAAACGGTGCCGCCAAAACCACCACAGAAACCACTACAACAGATATCTCACCTACGACGAGCAACGTGGACAGTGAATCTCAGAACTTCAACAATCACGGCAGCATGTCGGACGACAAGCCAACGCGGTTGACACGCCTTCGGCGGCATATGGCGCAAGATGTCCACGAGGACTGGACCGATGTCATCCTAGTGATACTGTCTTTCATTACCGGCATGGTCGATGCAGCTGTATTCAACACATGGAGCTGTTTCGTCGGCATGCAGACTGGTAAGCATGAGCTTTAAAGGCTCGTGGAGTCACTGACATCAGGCCAGGTAATACGGTCTACGTGGGGCTCGGCATATCTGGCCAGCCGTACAGCCAACCATACCGATGGGCGAAATCAGGGACAGCTATCTCGTCTTTCTGCTTCGGGTGCTATGTTTGGTCACGGCTATCACGCAAGATGAAGCCTTTGGCACGCTCAACTATAGTCCTCACTATGGTTGTGCAGATTGTGCTCACCTTCGCTGTTTGCATCATGGTATGGACGGGCTTTGTACCTCATGACGCCGGCGACAGGATACCGAAGGATTGCATCGTCTTGCTGCCGTTGTCGCTCCTGGGTTTTCAGAGCGCACTGCAAATCGTGATGAGTCGTTTCTTGGGCTTCGTAAGTCTCCCTCTAGAGCTATCAGTCAAAACCACTGTGAGCCATAACTGATCAGCACAGAACGAACTGCCAACCGTGGTACTAACATCCACCTACTGCGATCTGTTCATGGATCCAAAGCTCTTCACGACTCCCATTGCGCGCGGGGGCAATCTTAAACGCAATAGGAGATTCCTCTCGATCATCGCTTTGGTCGTCGGTGCTGCTGCCTCTGGGTTCTTGACGGAGGGCGGCGACATCTCTCAACCACTATGGATCACCAGTGTGCTCAAGATCCTTGTCACGGCTGTGTGGTTGTTCTGGCCTGGAAAGGGGCAGATTCGCCTGGAGTAAAGTCTTGAAAACTATAAAGATCGGAATCGAACAAGAACCATGACACGCCAGTCCGTGGCCGACCTGCCGCCAGGAGATAACGACCGGCTCAAAAAAGTGGCAAATGAGGCAGCGGCGCCCGGATGGGAACAGGTACTGGACTGAGACGATCCGACACGTTCACGCTTCCGTTGGGAGAAGGCCAAGGTGAAGGATAGCTTCAACTTTCGCCCGTTGGCGTGAGGTCGCTAAGCCCAGACAAAGCTACGCTACAACGGAAGGTGCGGGACGCAATCGCTCCTGCTGGCGTCCCTTCGCGGAGCCGTCAAGGGACCTGCCAACCTACGCAAGCTACGCAGCCATGACCCCCGAGGATGTTGGTATAGGGTGCGGTCGAAAGCATTGTTGTCCATGTTTCAGTGCCGGCAGCGTCGTCGAGCCAACCGAAGACTGCAATCAAACGCAGTTCCTGCCGCACACAGTAGCAAATGTCTAGATTTACCTTTGCGCGCAAGATCTCTGAGCCGACAACGTAGCTGGGTACACACCGCATACAATGACCATAGCTATCAGCTGATCAGGAAAGTCCGTTGTACTCTCCTTCTACAAGCAGCCAAGCTTGTAAATCGTGTTCAGCAGTCGATGCCAGCCCTTACCAGGCTGAGGTATCCTCTTCCAACGGTTGAGTGTATCCGGATATCCGCAAAGCATAAATCCACACGACGAGCGGCAGAACCTTCTACCGCAAGTTTTCCAACGTCGTTCCTTCTCCAAAGCCCCTGCTTCCATTTTAGACCTCGCTAAACACCTCGAGGAGCACGCTCTTATGCAGGATGTATGCAGCATAGCACGCGCATACGGCTCACCATGACCAGCTCAAGCGATAGCTCGTTCAGCTGAGGGTGAGTTGCTAGCTATCTGCTATTTCCCTAGAACCATCAAGCCTCGCTTCTGTGGTCACGACTGTACAGCAGCCTCATGTATTCGATGTCTCTTCTGAGCACCAAGTGAGCGTCCCTCGATCAGAGCGCTTTGTCTCAGGCGCCTTTCATCACGATGTTGTAGATATGTATAAGAAATATCATAGATTCCTGAACAGCATCTCATTCATGGTGAATCGTTCACTCATGCAGAACCTGCCTCAGTTACCGTACCCGCACGTAGTGCCTGACGCGGCAGGCACGACTCTGGGTCTTCGCAGTGAGATTTTCCCCTCTGAGGCCCACACAGCGTGGGAGATGTTATAGCCAGCCTTGCTCTTTGCTGAGAGGCCTGCCTGTTGCAAATTCATGCAAAGCTCTCACCGACTCGATCGAGCTCTCACCGGACAGCAGACCGAGTGAAAGGCTCCACGAGAAGATTTCGGCTTCCAGGCCATGGCAAATAGATGTAGCTATCGATATACATTGCAAGAAACGGGTAAACTAGGAGGGAAAGCACCAGCAGAACTTGCGTGCTGGCGAGCAAGTCGTTGAAGTGAGAAAGCACGTGTCAAAGAGTAAACGTAGATAAAGGCATGTATAGGTCCATCATATCATTCGGCTTCGTTCGCCTCAACTATCGAAAGATGTACTCCCAAGATCATGATCCGGGGTCGTGGTATCAACAAGAAAGGGGTTTGTATGCGTCGTAACATCATATCCTTCAGCAATGAGCTCGCCCCTGGGTAACAGGCCTCACCACTGGACACATTCAACAGCACCATCGCTGGCAAGCACGATGCTACTGCAGCAACAGCAACAACTATCATCACCTAACAGCATGCTTCTCATCCATCTCGATAGGCGGGCTCTCAGACGACGCCGGCGAGACCTGTTCCTCCTAACAATCAGCCGAACTGCACACACACATCACACGAACAAGAGTACAGGTAAGAAAGGTATCAACCAACCTTCTCCCGATGCTCCGCCCTCCCATCCAAACTATCCCCCTTAACCAACACCTCAATATTCTCCCGCTCAATCGGCCTCCGATTGGCGATCGCGTCAGCTACGTTCTTGTAGACCTTGACAGTCTTGGGGCCAGCTTCCCGGGCCACGTCATCGCTACTAGTGCTGCCGTCGACGTCAATGACGTCGAATCCGGCGCGCTCAAAGCGGTGGCGGACATTGTCCTGCATGGCAGCGAAGCGGATCTCCACTTCCTTGCCGCCGTACTTCTTCACCTCAGCGAAGACCTCTTTGAGGACGTGCATCGCGGTTGCGTCGGTGTGCGTAACTTTGGTCCAGTCCATCACGACGAGGCGGATGGGTGGAAGAGCGCCGATGTCGGTGATGCCGGCTCTCTTGCGGAGCTTCTTGACGCGCTGCTCGCCGACGACGGACCATATCCGGTCTGCCTCGGCGCCATTGGCGGACGAGTAAGCCGGGTTGTGGAAGGTCTTGACGCCGTCGACGAGCTGGTTCTTGATGCGGGTAGCGTTGGGGAAGAAGACGTTCTCGCCGAAGCGGAAGACGCGGACGTCGTCGGGAATGCGGCTCGGCATGCCCCGTGCAGCGTCGATGGCCCGCACGATCTCGGAGCGAGTCTCGCCGCCCATCGAGGTGGTCTTTTGCCAAGCGAGCCGGAGGAGGTAGTAGACGATGGACCAGCCAACACCAGTACCGATGCCGACCTCGGAACTGACGAATAAGGTAAGCCAGAAGGCAAGCATGGCGGCGATGAAGTCTGCTAGCGAGGTGCGCCAGAAGTTGTAGTATGTACGCCAATGGCCGATCAATGGCCAGATGGCTGTGATGACGATGGCGGCTAGCGTGGCCTTGGGGATCCAGTAGAGTGTGTCGGTCAACAGATAGAGGCAGAGCATGACAACACCGGTGGTGACGAATCCGGATAGAGGTGAGCGAACATTGCATTGAGCATTGACGGCTGTACGTGACATGGCACCGCCAACACCCATGGCCACAAAGAAAGAGTTGAAGAAGTTGGTCACGCCCAGGTAACAGAGTTCTTGGCTAGGGTCCGTCAGATAGTTGCCACGGGCGCCAAAGGCACGGGCGATGGCAATGTGCTCCACAGCGGCAGCGATGAAGGTAGCAATGGCGTGTGTGGCGGTCTTGTTAAGAAGTGCAGAGTCTGGAACTGCAGGGGTGATCAGACCCTTCTGCTTCATCTTCGTCACTGCGAAAAGATAGTCGCTTGACTTCCGGTCCTTGTTGACTCCATAGCTGACACCAGTGAAGATCACCAGGCAAAGGAAGGCTCGCATGATGGATAGTAGCCAAACAGCCTTGTACTGCTTTCCCCATTTCTTGCCGATTTCTTGTAGTGCGAACAGTAGGACTATGCCAGTTATACCGACCGCAGCGGTAGGTCCATCAGCGTCCGGTAGAGTAGCAAATGTGTCGTGAACAATGTTCGCGAAGCCGTCACCAATATCGCTTTGGCCGAGCAAGTTCTTGATCTGGCCGGAGCCGATAATGATGGCAGCAGCTGAGATAAAGCCAGTCAGGACAGGCTCGGAGATGAACTCAAGCAGGAAACCAAGTTTCAGAAAGCCAAGTATCATGCCGAACACGCCCATCCACAGAGCGACTGCTGCTGCTATCTTCCCAGGCTCATACTCGTCCTCGAGAGCATGAACCGCCTCCGAGGTCAAGAGACCAATGAGTGAAGTGGGACCCGTTGAAAGATCTATGCTGGTGTCAACTGTGACTCATGCCATCATCAAAAAGCTGTATCCATACCTTTTGAGGTGCCCATGAATGCATATATTGACGCAGGTAGCCAACTGGCCATCAGGCCGTGCTCGACGGGAATGGTAGCGATGGCGGCGTACGCTAAACTTTGGGGGATCAACATCATGGCCAGCGTCAAGCCAGCAATGAAGTCGACTAGCAGCCATCGTGGCCTGTACCTGGGAAGCCAGCCCACGATAGGCACTTTGTCGAGAAGATATTGGGAGGTGGCGGCAGGAGCGGCTTTGACCCCGATAACAGAGTACCGCCTCACGCGGTCCCAGTTGACATCGGTGGCAAACGAATGCTTTGCTCTTGCGACAAATTTGGACATCTTGAAGCAAAATGTCGATGAACGTGATGCTGGAGAAAAGATAATTCAGCAACGGCGAGTGCTGCTCAAGAAGACGAAGCAGACGAGGACCATGTAAATCACCGAGAACAGAGACGGAAGATGGATATAGTCCACGCCTCGCAAACCAGAGGTGTATTTCCAACCAAAGTGCGTTTCGATCACATCGGCTGCGTTCAACTAGTGAGCCACGGGCCAATGAGCAGATGCTAAGGGAGGCTGGATCGTCCAGAACGGCAGCTGTCCATCAGCAATTGTCGAACTTCCTGGGGGATTTGTCGTGGCGTCTGGGGTCGAGCCATGGGCATCGCTGGAACGAAAGTCTGAAGGCTGACAAGCGATTTACCAGAAGCTTGTTCATCTCGCATGGGAACATGGCTATTGCAGGGTAAACTGCAGAGAGGCCAAGAGTCTAGAGACAACGCTATGTTGTGGAGGAGGATATCCCCACCAATTGAGACTTTAGGCTCGGACAAGAGCCGGGGTTCACTGCGGGGGTGGCACCAGTCACGGTTCATTTGAGTCGTCTCTTTCTTGCTGGCGTCGTTTTCCAGTGTCTGCCGCTTATCTGCAGCCATAAACTCCTTGACTTTGGGCCACGCGCCAGCCTGGAGTCAACGGCTGTTTATGGCTTCTGGCTAATTGATCAGCCGAAGCTGAGCACTCAGGTTGAACGAATAAGCCGATATGTCAACGTCGCCGCTTGGTATGCTTGCGGATCCTCACCGCGAAGATAACCATACTGTGCTGTACGTGTGAACTTTGCACCAGCAATGGTAGTCCATAAGTACATATACAGCGACATCCTCCTTGACCTCCAGTATGCTCATCTTTCGGCGCGCTTCTGCTGTGTCTTTGCAAAGGATGAACGATGAGTTGCAAATCGACTGAGGCAGGGCGCACTTTGATTGTACTTGGACATTGCCAATTCCCAAACATCTAGAAGTCCGCCATGTCGACCAGCATGCACCGGCAAGAGACCCTGCCTGCAGCTGTGTCCCCCAAAGTCAGGTCCAGTCGGGGTTGAAGGGTCTTTGACGAGAAGTGTCGATGCAATTGAGAGCACCATTGGCTTAGAGAGTTGGCCTCGGCAAGGTCTAGTATCGTCTTGCGCTCGGTAGCGGCCTTGCTCGGCGGCATGGAGAAGTCTAGACTGGAAGAACACTCAAAGATGTTGCCGCTTTGAGCAGGTGTGGGAGCTCGTGGTATCGACTAGCGTCAAGGTCAAGCACATGACTGCATGAGTGGCGTTTGGAATGGAGTTTGAGCCTCGTAGACGTCTTTGTCGCTTCTCCTGATAGTTCAAGCGTAGCCTCAGAAGTTCCAGCCTAAATGTCACCGTCACGACGCGAGTATACTTGGTAGACGATGGAAGACGAGAATGCGAACGACGAGGCGTCTTGAGCCGCCCGTGTTCTGAGAGACTTGGGCGCAAGCCAAGGGGGGCTCCAAGCCTAGTCTGATGGGTAGAGTCCACCAGGCCACTCCATTCGTCGTTGCAGCATACCCCTCCAGACCTTTGGCACAGGTATTCACGGACAATCGTAATCGTTGAGTGTTTCTTCGTTCAGCCGACAGATTCACAGGTGTGGAGTGAGCACTGGCAGACTCCTGGTGTACGGCTGAATGTTCTGCTCGCTCTTGGAGAATCATAGCAACAGCCCCAGTGGCGACATCAGTGCGCTTTTTGAGGTGAACTGAGAACTGTGGTACTCAGTGCCAGACTGATGGGTCGTCAGGCGCAAGTCAAGCGGCTGAGCATAGTTGGCTCGCTACCGTAGAAGCATCTGCAGCAAAGTACCGTGTAGCAGTAGCATAGCCATATTTGGTGTTCAATGCCATCGCAGAGATGTTGTCGACAACATTGCTACCCATGGTGCTGTATCTTGTCGTCGTTCATGTCATCGTCCACGCCCGAAAGACCCGATCGAGTGCCACACGGATGCTCCAGGCGCAGTCAGTCCTGTAGCAAACAGCATGCCAGCCTTTGTGTCTGCTGCCGGATATTCGCAGACGGCGTGCGCCTGGGTTTTATCTTCAGATCGACATTGAAGCTGGCTCGGGTCATGCAAGACAGCACTCGTACATGTCCCATGCCGCAGCAGTGACCGCGATGTAATATGCATCTAGAGGAAGCGCGTTGCATTGGGAGGACCCCGCTCTAGTCGTCAAAGACCTCCATCAACCGACGGCGGCTCGTTAGTGGCGACAAGTGCACTGACCTGAGAAGGACTGCCAGCAGGTCCGTGATCTCGAGCACAAGTCTGCACGACAACGACTGCGACTGGTCCAGGATTCTGGATAGCGGCCAGGAAAACATCTATCGTTAGCCATCCACCCAGCGATCCTGTGCATAAGGATCAACAACGTTCAAGCCTCTCCTCCGAGTGAAGCTCAGAACATGACAAGCCTTGAAGCATTGCCCAATACCGCAGGCAAATATGTCTAGTCGTTCTGACGGCCATCTTGCGCCGAGAAATCTGACTCGGTATAGATCTGGCAGATCGAATACAGCAAAGCCAGTAATGAGACTGAAGAGCTTTTGTCAGGTGATCAGACGTTACCTACGATGCTGATCCTGCAGCGAGTGATGAACAAGGTCACGAGAGCCAGCAAGACGGGTATGGCAATGACAGCGGGCTCCTGATAGCCGAGCGGTCTCGCTTCGGTGCCGGGACTGCTTATACAACCCTCAGCTCTTTCCGTCCCAGCTCTGCTTGCTTCCTCGCGGGTTAGCAAACCTTTCATCAGCTTCTCTGGGACGATCGGCGGTAGTCATTCGACTCCAATCAATTATTATGCGCGCCACTGGACTCCTTTAGCTTAGCAGTTGGGTCCCCGGGTGAGCATAACCTTGATATGCGCCCTGGAGGTTCGACCTCACCCTGCGGGATTGGGTCCTGGGGTCAAGCTTTGCTTCTACGCCAGTAAGAGGCTCCAGAGACAAGGCGCGCTTATGTTCGCGATAGAGTGGCCCAGCAGGAGTCGTTGCTCGTGAAGACCTTTCACCGTGAGCAATTGTAGACTGACGAATGAGATGTCTCCGCCCGGCTCCAATTAACGTGGCGATTGCTGACGGTACGAACGCACAACCTGACGAGGCGCAGGACAGCATGCGCTGACATGTGGGAAATGGCTCTCAGGGCGCCCTGTGCGTGTCATGAATCCTGATATCGGGACAGCATCCATGAATTCCACGTGTACGACTCAGGTCCGAATAGCTCAGAACGGTCGACGAATGCCTCCTCGCATCGAATACTCGCCTGCGAAGATGCCAGCAGACGAGGAATGCGATACATCCATCGACAACGACCTGGCAGCGAATCCCAAAGCCATCGCGTCGGTCCTTTCTTCTGTCCTGCTAATACTCATGGTATTCCGCGCATCGGCTATCTTGTTGTTGACAATAACAGCAACGATGAGGATAGTGGGAGCTGCGAACGCTTTCGAATTGTTCAATGGAAGCGACACAGGAGGACGAAGGGTAGTAGATGCCGTGGTGATGGCCTTGTTGATTCAAGCTTCACCAACCTTTGATCGGCGGCGATCAAAAATTGTGGGGCTACAACTTGCGAAGACCGGATGACAAAGCTTCGAATGCCGGACTTCTAGCTCGTCCTCTTCTTCTGGTAAATTCACGGATACCACGTACATGCAGTGACTTCGACTGCATCTTGAGACTTCCGAGCGAGTCCACGGGCATGTCAGTGGCGACAAATGGAAGGCGTAGGGAAAGTGCGATGCGTGTCATCCGCTTCTCAGATCACCTTCCAAATTGGCCCCATCGAATCCAGGGCGGAATATTTACAATCGTGGTCGTCGTTGCATCGTCCAATGGCGTGCCTGCCTATGTTCCCACTCGCTGACAACGTGCGTACCGCACTTTGCCTCATCAAACGAGTTGTTACTACATCTAGATGTCTTCCGGTCTGAGCTTTAGATACACCGTACTTAGAGATCAGGAATCGTACTGCAGTCTCTGGTCCGTGCTATTGGCCACTTGCCGAGTGCTATGTCATAATCCTTCTCGTTTCGCAACGGGTTGCGAACTTACGATGCCTTACTCGATATGGCGAAGGCGACGTCCGTACAGGGCTGGCCTGACCATCACCTCTGAAGCATAAAGCACGCGACAGAGTCACAATAGTTCATGTTGTGCAAACTCGGCCTCTGCTCACGCCATGGACATCAACATAGTCGGTGGCGGCAGTTGCGGTCTGACAGCAGCGATCGGATTGCGCCGAGCAGGACACAAGGTCAAGATCTTTGAAAGGGCATCCACCGCAACCGCATTCGGGGCTGGCGTAGTCCTCGGTCAAAATGCGTCGCTGGTCCTTACTGAGTACGGCTTGGACTGGGCCGCTGCCAAATGCAATCAAGCAGATGGTATTCATCTTCACCATGGCGTCACAATGCAACGCTTATCCACAACACATACGGACAAGGCGGAGTATGCTCCTCGACCGGGCATTACGCAGTATCTGGCGCACAGAGTCGACCTATGTCAGGCCCTTGTTGATCTAGCTACGGCTTCGGATGGGTCATCTACGCCAGTCGAGATCGTCTACAATGCGAACGTGACTGCTTACGACGCACTAGAGGGCAGTCTGACCCTTGCCAATGGGGAGGTCCACAAAGCAGACTTGGTTGTGGCAGCAGATGGCGTGCATTCATGTGCTCCAGCACATCTGCTAGGCCATGAGTCTATTAGGCATACCGGCACCTCGGTCGTTCGTTGGATGCTGCCAACCGAGAGTCTTCAATCAGACCCAGAGACGCGTTGTCTGCTTCAAGACCCCGAGTATGCGACATTCTGGATCTCTGCTGATCGCCAGAAGTACTTGATACAGTACCCTTTGCGGCTTGGAACTTTGCAGAACTTCGCTCTTTATATCGTCCATAAGGAAACCGCTGAACTCAACGACCAGACCATGCGCTCCACTTGCGATCGAGAAAGGGTACACAAGGAGCTCGACGGTTTCAGTCCTGCCATTCATGCCATGGTAGACAAGACTACCGACAGCATTCCGGTGTGGAGGCTCGGCGAGCGAGACCCACTGCCAACCTGGCATAAGTCAAGGCTTGTCATCGTCGGAGACGCCGTTCACCCTATGCTTCCCAATCAAGGCCAGGGCCTAGGGATGGTGGTTGAGGATGCCGCTGCATTAGCCGTCGTCCTCCAAGACATGCCTCCGAATCCGTCGGCAGAGCAGATAGAAGAGCGCTTGTCGATCTTTGAGAAGATCAGAAAGCCGCGAGCTTCGGTCGCGCAGCTACTGTCGTCTGTACCGTACTACGAGGATCCGCTAAAGACTTTGTTGCCGCAGCTCCTGGAACACATGCCCATGAATCAACTTCCAGCATCGGGCTTGCCCAATGATGTGCGACCGTGGTTCTACAGATACGATGTGTTCAAGGAGGCTGAGAAAGCAGTCGCAGAGCAGCAGAAAGAGTTGTCTTGAAGATCGTCACCCTTGCATCGCTGAATCAGGTCGGTCTCCTCAAACGCAGCTGCCAGAACTTGTGGCACGAGTCTCGTCATTGGAAGGGCTATATCTCTCCACAATGCTCTCGATCTGTGGCTCGGGGTTGTATTCCTTGGATGACATCTCTCACATATGCATATTGCTACACCAGCTTAAGGACCAACCATCTCCGTACGCTCCGAGAAACGATCAGCAAACAAATCAAAATGTTGCCGCACAATCAGAGTATACTTGACAAACTCCTCCGCACAGTCTACGACGCGATCGCGATTCGAGCCAGGCTTCATGCGAAACATCCCCTCTTGCTCCTCCGATTCCTCGAAAAGCGTGTACGCTTGAGGCACTGAACTTTGATTAGGTATAGCAAACATCCGCATCCATCGCCCCAGTATGCGCAAACTATTGACGCTGTTGAAAGACTGAGACCCTCCCGACACCATTGCCAGACCGAGTGTTCGACCCTGCGTTGGGCGTACAGAGCCCACACTTAGCGGGATCCAGTCGATCTGGTTCTTGAAGACAGCGGTCAGATTGCCGTGCTGCTCAGGACTGACCCAGAAGTGACCATCACTCCAGCGGCTGAGATCGCGTAGCTCCTGCACTTTTGGGTGTTCGTGGGAGGTATCGTCCTTGACTGGCAGGCCCTGCGGGTCGTATACGCGGACGTCACAGCCCAGGCGGAAGAGAATGCGGGATATTTCATATGACAGGAACTTGGAAAAGGACTTCTGCCGTAAGCTCCCGTACAAGACCAATACTTTGGGTCGGGATGAGGTCTTCTCGAAGTCTTCGTAGGCCATTTTCGTGACGGTGGCAAGCTCCAATTTGCTGACCCAATCCCTTTGCTCCAACTCTGCTGGCAGTAGGAATGGTCGGTACCGTGTCCGAACAACAGGGTCGTCGTCTTCTGCTGAGATTGCAAGTGATCGGTACGCAAAGTCCGGGTCACGCGATGGTGCTTTAGTAAGGCGCATCGAGGAGATATTGTTGAGGTCGCCAATTGATGGTGGCAATGTTACGGTGTGCATGTTTCGTAGACGTTGCAAGCCAAGCCTGCTGAGGGTTGGTAGGTTCCTCGTGCTGAGCATGGGAGGAATGGAGTCTCTACCCCGTCAAAGTCTAGACCAGGCACATTTGAGCTGCTGGATTCAGTCTGCTCTTTTGCGCATGTCGAAGAAGACGAGGTGGTGATCTGATGTCTCACGGGCGGGAGGTCTCGAACATCTCGCCCGACAGCCCAGGTCACGTGCTCAAAATTTGTCACTCGCAGCTTGTCATTGGCCAGCGAACGGTCGAGCAATTTGATGGAAATTTTCCTTATCATGCCTTACGTTCTTTGCATGCCCAGGCCCATCGCTGCGACCACGCGTGCTTGAGCGACAATGAAAGCACTTCGCGACAAAGGCTGTCAGTCAGAGTCGCCTGCACTTCAGCCAAGTCGAGGGTTCGAATGCACGTTCTCTTTGTTCATTGCTTGACTCAGCGTGATTCTTTGTGTCCAGTGGCTCGTGCAGTCATGCGGCCGTTGGACATGCCATATCCGGCCTCCTCGATGACTCGACGGTGAGTCCTTTCCACTAGCAACACAGACTCCTCGCCGCGTAACGCGCCATTGGCTTCGTGAACGTAGATGTTGGGACTCTACCGTCCATGACTCTGATCCTCGAGTCGCCATGGGCCTAACACACTCAATCCTGCCCATCGTGCTACTGGTCTCACAAGCCCTCGCGGTCGAGCTCAAAGCCTGCGTCTTTGAAGTCTTCTTCCGACCAGACTGCACAAGCTCGACACCGATCGACACACTTACCGTCGGCGCTGCAGACAGCTTCGGAATGCACATGCCCACTGCGGAGGACCACAATCTTGAAAAAGCTCAAGGTTCTCACTGTCAATTCTCCAACAACACGGTCTGGAATCGACAAGGAGGATACTACCGCTCTTTCCGGCTCAAGGACACCTCTTGTCTGGTGAATGGTGAGGACAAATACGATGTCGTAAGTCGCACGTCCTCCAACTAGCTACGGTTGTAACTTAGCACACGCTGACTGTATCTCCAGTGGGCAGCACCAACCGGGGATCCCAAGTGTAGCGAACTCTTCTTCTGGACCCCGCCGGACACCCCGGCATGGGAGATCAAGGACAAGACCGGCGTCTGTGTTGACGAGAAACAAGGACTGAAGCAGTACGTGGGCATACAGCTCGTATACAAGCCCCTGAAGACCCAGAGCACGTCCTCAAGTACGACAAACTCTGCGTCGAAGAAGACTCAGAATACTAACACCGCCACCCCAACATCCTTGTGGCTCATGATCTCTACGAAGGGCACCACGACTAGCACTACCACCAGCGCCGTCTCGGCACTTTCGAGCGCCTCGAGCCCAACCATCGCTCCAACGCCCATTACAGTAATCTCAGGAACAACCTATGCACCGATCCCCACCCAGTCAGTCCCCAACTTCGGCGGCAGTGGCGGCAGCTACGCCGTAAAGCAAGGCGACACGGGCTGGGCGATCGCCAACGCCAACGGCATCTCACTGGCCGAGCTCAGCGCTGCGAATAAGGCATCGTCTGGGAGAACTTGCCGATCGGGCAGGTTGTCGTTGTTCCCCCGAAGGGTGCGGGTGCTTGAGGCGAGCATTACTGATACTGGTCCATTGAAATTGAATCATGGGATCGTTGCTGATCGTCGTCCAGCCATCGGTGTGGTACTCATGTGAGCCGACGAGATCTCAAGCGCGGATTCCGGCTTCTGAACGCATTCCATGAAGAGCATTGAAGGCTCGAAACCCCAGATCCACAGATGCGGTCGACCAAGAAGTTCCTGGCAACAACAGTGCATGGACCAAAAAAGACTACACGGGAGCTGCAAGAACCGGAGAGCCAGGCTCGTGAGCAGGATGACGAGACTAAGCTCTGGTGGCAGGAGAACGGGCAGAACTCAATTGCTGGCGAAGTGGCAGAACGGGTCTAGTAGGTCCGTGTTTGGGAGACCTAGAGGTGAAGCAGTGATTTATCTAGAAAGCCAGCGTGGTTCTCGTTGTAAATATGGGTATCCTCGAACCGTCCGCAGCCCAAACCAAGTCCAGTGACTTGAACAACAGATATCGAACAATGTCTACCTAGAAAAAAGGAAGTCGTAAATTCGTAGAAAGACCCCACCCATTCCAGCTCCAGGCTCGTCGAGTTCGACAGGGTACTAATACATGCTCGCAGCCTTGTGCACAGGACACTCTGCCTTCCGATTGAGCCACGACACGATACACTCCTTGTGGAACTTGCAAAAGCACTCGAGCCGGGCCAGCTCGTCTCCGGGATCGTACTCGACCATACAGATGGAGCACTCCGGTGAGCTACCGTCATTACTAGTGCTCACGCAGTCCTTCTCTGTCGCTGTGAAGGGCAGGATCCGTAGTCGGGTGGGCCGCGACGAGGAGCTGGCCGTCGCTTCACTGGGTACCGCGTTGGGGTCCCGTGCAGCTGGGGAGCGAGAAGTGATGCAATCGACGATATGCGCTTCCCGTTGGGTTTCCTCGCCGTTAGGGCCTTTGGGGGGAAGGGCGCGGAAGCAGATTGGGCAGATGTCTTCTTCGTTCAGACGGGGCCGTGGGGCTCGCCGTGGTGCTGACGCTGGTGGGGCTGAGGTGCCCATGTCACGCATGTGCTGGGCGTAGAGTGAGCTACCACGTGGTCTACGTTGCGTTTCGAGGGAGTCGGCCATGGTCCTGGCCCGGAGGCGCCGTGGGTCCTCGTTGCGCGGTGGTTGAGGCGGGCTATTGAGGATCTGATCGAATGTGGCCGTGGAGTGATGACGTCGTGGATGCTGTGGTGGTGAATGTGGTGGCACTGGAGGCTGCCTTGACGTCCAAATTTCTCTGCTGGATGGGTTCACGGACAGGATGTCCATGGCTGATGACAAGGCGCCCGGATCAGGCTGTGGATCCGGCACGCACGGATTGCATAAGCGGACAGGCTCATTCGTAGCAGGCTGGTCCATCAGGTCCGGAGGGTTGACGATGAATTGACGAGGTATAGTGATGCGATGAGGAGAGCACCCGCTGCACACGACCCGGCCGCATTTGCGGCAGTGGTGGCGCCTGAAGAAAGTCGAGAAGCGTCTGTGGCAATTGAAGCACTCATCTGCATCTTCATCGGGCTGCCATTGTGGGGAGTCTGACGTTGGGGATCCTTCTCGAGAGGAAGTGTCCGACATGCTGAGATGGATGTAAGGATGTATACTGATGAGACATCGATGGTCGTTCGATGTATGTTGATAACGGCGAGATGATCACGCGAGGTCAAGATAGCCACCGTGACTTCCAAGGTTCTGTGGCACTTGATCGCCGCAAAAAGTGGGCCTACGGATAAGGTACCCGGCACTGCTAATCCGCCCACCTTCTCTCGAAGCTCGAGTCTTGTTCACTTCCATGCCCACGACGCTGTTCATGGCCCGACTGCTATCTGCAACATTCGAGAGAGGTCTAGAGCCATAGCGGTCACCAACGAGCAACCAACACCGAGCGAGCTGGTCCTGCGCTGCCCTCAGCGGTGCGACATATCGAAAGGTGAAACACACAGGATTTTGTTGGCAGTGTGTGTAACCGATTCTGCTTGAGAAGCTGAGAACAAGGCCTTCCTTCCCGGCTTGGTTCCTCATCCGGGTCAATATCACCATCGATGAGCCGCGACGAGTCCAGTGTTCTGATCTACGTCTACATATCCAGTTGCGACGACGGCAAGTGTTTGTTGCGGCAAAGAATGAGTTATAGGTAACTTCAAATGCCCTATCTGCCGCTAAATTCCTCTCCAAATCGAAGATTCTTAGCGGGAGACAAGCTCGCCTATAACATATTGGTCCTGCTTCAACGGGCATGGACTGTTCTATAATTGCGTGCGATCTGGATCCTTGGGCGTGGGCTGCTCCTCTCGATTACTTGAGCAGCTCCATCCCATGCTCCATTGGGCGTAGGACACGCATTTGGCGATACGTCGCTGGAGCTGCAAGCAAGCCTGCACTGCACTGCCCCGAAACACAAGCTTTCCCTCCCTTCCGCCTCCCCCATCCATCGACTCGTTCAGCCAAAGTCAAACCCTGTCAACAGTCTGTGGCCTTCGTGCACAACTTTGCGACCGCCACTTGCAACGTTGTTGCGCAGTTTCACTCTCAAGCTTTTGCAGCATAACATTCGTTTTCTCTCTGCGCAGTCTTCTCAACGCTCGCTTTATATATATTTTAGCTGTATCTTCGTCAGACAGGTTTTGAAAAGCAGTAGACTGACTGACGTGATCATCGAACTGCCGCTGTTCCGACTCAACGTTTCGACGATCTCCTCACCTCGAACCTCCGAAACTTTGAAAGAATTCGAAAGGGCTGCAAGCCCACAGTACAAGAGCTTGACGACGACCGTGGACAGAAGATCATTCTGCGATTGCGATTGCGGTCCCGCTTCCCACTGCCAACAACTTTTATCCGAAATTGAAGCAAGAGATCTGGTCGTCATACAGATCTGAGAGGACGAAATACTGCTCTCGTAGAAAGCGGACCCATTGCGCGAGACTCGCAAACGCGACACAATGTTCGCCGTTTGAGCTCTCTGGCGCCTGCCGTGTCACGAACATCGGTAGCGATGGACCGGCCAATGTTCGTCGGCAGCCAGCTGTGGGGCGTACGGTCGCACCTTCTCAGAGCATGCGTTCTGCTCTCGTGCTGGACCGCAATTACACGCGCAGCCTATGTCGAGTTCAGCAACTGCCTACCAAGCAATGTCATTAAGTCCGATCCACAGCTGCTGCAGTTCGTGCCGCTGAACGTCTCGGTATTCTTCGACGCGAACGCAGACAATCAGCCTATCAACCTGACGGTCTATGGCAATGTGACAGGCAAAGCTACGGACGAAGTCTACCCTCCACCGTCCGATCCATCATGGAACGACTCATCGAGCCTTTTTGGCAAGATCCCAGATTTTGTACCGGGCTACACAGCAAGGACGACGCTATTGGGACGGTTCAATGTCCTCAGCTATACACCTTACACAGTTGAGCCAGTGCGGTTCTGCAATGCGACCACTCAAGGCGAGTGTCCATTGGGGCCGTCGTTCTTCGCCAGCCGCTACGATCTAAACGAATTGTCAGCTTTCGAAGTCAACGCTCAGCTGAACTCATCATATTCCTTCACAACACTCAATGCGCAGCTTCGCATCTTAGCTGGTGATATTGGCGCAAGTCCGTACGGTTGCATACAGGCATCGTTCACGCCAGATCTCGGCGGTATGCTCAATGATCTGCTCAGATACCTTCCACTGGCAATACTCATTATGGTCGGTGTTGCGACTGTCGCTGCGGCAATCTGGAGTCCATGGGGCAGTTCGGATATATTCCACTGGACCAGCAATTTTGGACGAGACGAAGATCTACTACGACTTGTGACGCCAGGTTTTGCGGATTGCCTGCAGTATATCCAATTCGTCGTGCTCACTGGGAGCTTGACGCTCAAGTACCCTGGCTTCTATCAGCCCATCGTGAGCAGGGCTAGCTGGTCGGCGCTCATGTTCAACGAGAGCCTGGTCACTGACACCTACTTTACGCCAGTTGAGGACGGTGTTTACCAATACGGAAACAGCTCCGTCTATGGCCTGGATCGCATGACGCACCTGGTTGGCATGGGTTCTTCTCGAGATACATGGGCTGGAATGATTACCTGGCTGGTCATCCTCGTCGTCGCCACCGCAGTGCTCACCCAGATCGGCTTCGCAGCTCGCTGGGCGTACCGTCAGATTGCCAAAATCGACACCGAAGATCTTCGCTCTAAGAATGGCCCGTTCACCGCCGGCAACTGCATTCGACTCTGCCTCAATTACTTCATCCTTCCGCTAACAGCAATCTCATTCTATCAGCTTGTGAAGGCTAGCACCGGCCCGTCGTATTCAGTCGCCATTGCAGCAATCGTCCTTGTTGTTACTATCCTCTTTTCAGTCCGGCTTTTCTTCCTCTTTCTACGGACAAAACCCAGAGCTTTCCTCTTCGACGATCTTATCACAGTACTGGCGTACGGACCACTGTACAACACATACTGCGACGATGCGGCGATGTTCGCGCTCATGCCCATTGGCGTGAACTTTCTGCGTGGCATCGCAATCGGCGCCGTTCAACCATCTGGAGTCGTCCAGGTGGTGCTCCTCGCTATCTGCGAGATCATCAATATTGTCACGCTCAATGCGTTCCGACCATATCCAACGGCAACGTCGATGAACATCTACCACACTTCATTCGCCGTCATTCGCTTCATTACGATCCTGCTTTCGATTGCATTTGTACCTTCGCTCGATGTGGATCCAGCTGCTCGAGGATGGATCGGCTACGCAATATTGCTGATTCATGCATGCGTCTTGGTCTTCGGCTTCTTCCTCAACGCGATACAGACGCTTGTCGAAGTCATTGCCCGCATGGCTGGCGCTGGAGGGCACGAGGGAGATGGAAGCGCAGCAAGAGGTGGCCTTGTCAAGGTCTTCGGCATGCGTCAATTGTCACGGAGGACACCTAGACACGCTGGCCAAGCGCCGACACGAGAAAGCATGGCTTCGCACGCCGGCATGCTAGAACGAATGAGTACCGACCCGAAGGACCTGCACATGGCGAGAAGTAGGACTCGAAGTGTATCAGCAAGTTCGACTATGCTACTGCAGCAACAAGCTAGAGAGAATCGCGCTCGGATGAGTCAGAACCTTGACGGCCTCAGTGGTGGAAATACACCGGACACGTCGAGCGTCATGTCTAAGAGGCTAACGAACCGCTTCAGCAGTCAATCTGGCGGAGGCATCATAAATTTGCAGCCGACAGTCGAGAAAAAGGATCCATACTACCGACCACCGAGAAGAAACACCATGGATGCTCTAAACTCGCCAGATAAGCAGCACTCGAGCATGGATTGGTCGAGCCCTAAAGCAGGACTAATGGCTGACGAGGATGCTGTAGCAGATGACGACGCAGGCGAAGGCACATCACATATAGGCCGGCACGAACGGGACGAATTCGAGGACGCGCCAGTTGATTCGTCTGATCCCGCTAAAGACTACGCGGTGCGTGAAGTCGACTTCTACTATGGCGTTCGTGGACCAGCCCTATCTAGTGGGACGCGGAAGCTCAAGACTGGGCCAGCAGATCCGACTGGGCCCGTATCGTCGGCTAGTGGTTGGTTCAAGAATCTGCTTGGTGGCAAGACGAAGGAGAAGCACAAAGGTTTCGAGGTTGTGCGGAGTGCCCGCGCGCCGCCCCCGGGCCTAATGCCCCCACAGGCTGCAGCAGCAGACCCTGAGCGAGACGGTCATGAGCCGTACCGGGATAGTGTACAGACGCCGCTACAGACACCCAATGCAGTACGGACAGCTCGAAGTATGACCGACATGCAGCAGCAGGCGTCGCAGAAAAGGAGAGCAGTCGACGATCCCGATGACGATGACTCATCAGCGAGCTCGCTTTCCGACGAGGAAGACCTGACATCAAGCCCAATCACAGCTCGACCTCCCTCATTACCACTAATAAACGCCCCTGGCGCAATCGAGCTACCCAGCCGATTTGGCTCCGAGAAATCACGCAGATCGAGAAAGGCCCAGAAGCGGTCCAGTAATGACCCGGACGCTCCTGCCGTGCCCGCGATACCCCGGAAGAGCTCACGGCGACATTCGTCGCGAGACTTGGACAGTCCACCGCTCTCCTCAATGCCGCAGGCGACGAGACTTGCTCCCGTACAAGGCTCGCCTAATGACAAGCGCTCGAGTCGCGCCACAGCAGCGAGTTCCTCGACTACAGCGCGTTTGCCATTCGCCAACAGCACAAGTGCGACGAGTAGCCTCCAGCCCTCGCCATCGAAACCCTCGAGAACAACAGCGAACGATAATCGTCTCTCTACAGGCGCCGACTCACTAGCATCGGACTACACACCCGTGCCCTCACCCGAGCCTGCCAACAACCAAGAGAACATCGCGCCATTCCATCATTCCGCAACACAGCCGCAAGCATCATCCTCCCACGCCCGCCACTCCTCCTCGGCACTAGGCAGCCATCACGCACCAGATGTCGGTCGTCCGTCCAGCATAGGCTACGTGGCTCAGCATCCGCACATACACCATGCGCCGAACGCGCACGAAAGTCCAGTCGAGTTTGAAGGCAGTGTTGCTGAGGTGTTGGAGGGTCCTCAGCCTCCCTTTATTGAGAAGTGGTAGCTTGAGGTCGAGAGCGGGTGGACTGTTCTTTCGGTGCAGAACGCGAATACATAATAGACGATGTTTTACGAGTTTGCTTTTTGATGCATATCTAGGCTTTTGGGTACAACAGCGAAGTCGAGAAAACCGGATTGTGAAGGATAGAAAAGTTTTCTTGCGCACAAGTGTATCTGGACACAAAGCCCAAATGTCGGGATGAGATACCGGACGATGACTACATATAATTGACACCTTTGGTACATTGTACTCGTGCAAGTTTCCTTTCGACCCTCTACAGTTAATGGCGTAAGTCGACATAAGAGACAGGTGCAAAGACACAAGTGCAAGGACCGCAATGTGACGCGAGTGGATTTTTACTGCATTTGATGCAGATGTATCAGCAGAGATATACATGTCTGCTTTGCCTTCGACTGCGACAGCGCCTTGCTCTCCCAACTTCAGCACATCTTCGCAAGTTGCAACAGAAGCACTCGAACTCTGCTATTTTCCAGTACTGCATTGCCTGCCGGGCATGCGAACAGCAGGTGCATGTCTGACCACCACACCTTCCGCTGGTCAATTTGACATCCGGTCTGGCGAAAGCTCTTTCCGAGCCGGATGACTGGGTGGATGTTTAGTTTCTCGTCATCCGGTCTGGACAAAAGCACGGTGAGACCGGATGACCAAAGTGTAGAGCAGTGGTTGTTTCCGATTTTCTTTGCTTCTGCCCACTCTGATCGCCTCATACCTTTCAGTGTCATGGCAGCATACACTACTTCCCGCGTAGGGCGAGAGTCGAATCACTGGCAGTCGGTTGACGAAACTCGATGTCCATAAATTGATTGTCTTTGCCGACGGCTGTGATGGTTTCCGACGCGGTCAGTATGGCGAAAGACCCTCTTCCCTTGGGCAAGTACGAGCAAGCGAATGTCCAACGAGCCCGCCCGCTTCCTGACGGATCTGGTGCTGATGACAGCGAACAATGCCACCTAGAACGACCAGCACGTTCAATATAGCAATGACGGCCGTGGTAATTTCGAACGCTGTCAGTATACAGAAACTTCCCCTCTCAGCTCATACGTCAAGTACGAGCAAACAAAATTCCCACAAGCCCACCCGCATCCTGACGATCTAGTGCTGATCACATCGAGCGATGTCATCCAGACCGACCAGCACATTTAAGATATCAATGATCCGTCCATGTCCTTACTGCCATCAAAACTCTCGTACTCGTGACTCAAACGGTACCCAACCTCGCACTCTTGTGAAGTTCCGGAGAACACCCTTCCAGACCGATCATACCTACCGTGTCAAGCAATATGCTCTTCCAGCCGACCCTCACTGCGGCAGCCGTGCTATTTATCCTCGGGAATAAGCTCCACGGCACAAGCAGCCTATGCCGTGCCGACAGCACCATCGATCTTCCCAACGATGTGGCGGGACGGGTCCCATGTTTGTACGCTTCCCCTGCCAGCCTCATCTCCCATAGCACCTGTCCACCTGCTCAATACTGCGAGTATTTGCCTGACCACTCAATTGCAGCCAATGCACCTACAATGAGCCCGGACCACTCCTAGGCTGTGCGGAACGGTATGGTTGCAGATGCTACAAGAACGTCAGCTTCTGTGACATCTTCTGCAGCAACACTAACGCACCTGCATTGTGCCGGGGATACGAAGAAGGGGCGGGAGAACCAGCGAGTTGCACACCAGAGCAGACTGGATGTTGTGGCAAGAATTGCTGAGACGGCCGGCTAGTCCGACGATGTTGTAGCGTGACATCGAGCAACTTGCTTGAGGATGAGGGTGTGTTGATGCTATACTGGTTTGTTGTCGAAAATTGTCGTCAACCGGCTTTACGTCATGCTTCATCGTCCTCTTCGTAGATGATGGCTATCCTAGGTGCAATCTGTACATTGACAATACCACCAATCCAGCACTCCCAGCTCCTCTTGCGCCTTCCTCGTGTTTCCTTGATGACTGCTGCCCGGATCAATATCGCATTCTATATGCCGACCCGCACACTCCCTTGGTCTGCGCTAGAACACGGCGTCGCCATGCAGGGTCTCGCCGCTGCAATGCCGACACCTGAAGTACTTCCAAACTACGTACTGCGCCTGGTGGTCGCCGTTGGTGTCGATCGAGATGACGGGTTCAGCGGTGCATCCTGCGGCGAGTTTCGAAGCCACGAGGGGACGAAGCGTGTCTGCTAGAAAGGGGAGAAGTGTTCCCATGTACTCGTCGAAGTACTTGTCATGCTGGATCCAGAAACCAGGCGGGTCGGATAATTTTCCAGGTGCGCGGATGACGAGATCGACGTATGCGAGGTCTTGCAGTAATGCATCCCAGAGCCTCGAGTCGAGGAAGGGCGGGCTGTGATAGCGGCCGACTTGGGGGGCATATGGGTTGAGTGAGGGCTCCGTGATGATGGCTAGGTCGCGAATGCGCTGCAGATTCGATGGTCCGATGGTCTTGAGAGTATATGAGTATAATGGCCAACGACTGAGATTGATGAAGCAGATGTTGGAGCCGTAGAGCAAGTCGAGAAGGTCCTCGCTGATGGATTTGCATGTCAGGAGCGGGGCCATACTGTGGAGAGGCTTGACCCAGCCCTGCCAATTTGCCCGCTGGGGATCTAGTGGTATGCTGCGGTTCGTTGTAACGAGATAGCTGAAAATGTAGCTACGGATCTCAGCAGGGAGGGTCAGCAGATGAGAGGGCACATTAGGATCCGGGGGCTGGTCTGGCGGAAGGATTGCGCTGGGTTTGTCTGGTTTTCTCGCCACGTCGTGCTGTGGAGGTTGCCGTTGGAAAGGATGAAATGATCTGCTTGGTGGCAATATAGCGCTTGAGCCCACATAGGAGACCTGCGCCATACCAGTGTTGACAAGAAGTCTAAATCCCGACGTGACAGAACGAGAGCATCAAGTAGGTGTGCGATGGCGGTGACTTAGTCGTTGCAGGCAATGGACATAAGTACTGGGTGTTTTCCGAGGTCCGAGAAGGCGCTGATGGTATTTCGTTCTCTTGCTGATCAAATCGGCATTTCTGAGCTGCAAAATCCTAAGAAAGAGATATCGAAAAGCCCTGGCCAGGGAGGACGCTGTAGAGGGTTTTGCGGGGATTTAGAGAAAGCGACTGGCTCTTGCTGCCACAGCTTGGGTGGCTGCATCAAGACTCTGGTGCCTGATAGGCCGACGGTGGCTTTGGGTAGATCGTTTCGTGATATTTCACGGATCGTTGTGTTGGCTGCAGCTGTCACGTTGCTCTGTGAACTCGAAATGTCCACAGTCAAGTCATCAGACTCATCTTTTGCGCGTTTCGGCGCCATTGGTGCGTACCGATGTGATTCCATTCGACCATACCATCAGGAAAAGGCGAGCAAGCCGCCTACCTAAGACGAATTCACTCTGTGGTAGAGGCCACCTGGGGTTGAGTTGCCTGATTGCGGCTGATACCGGTAGCGGAGACCATGCCTTACATTAGGACTCGAGTCTGATGGCAGGATCAAAGCGTTGATTCGTCCTCACTGTCTACAAAGCTTCCCTAATCAATGCCGAGGCGCTGAAATGATGCAAAATCGTTCTTACATCACCATTTGCGGGCATGATGCTTCTGGCCTTCTAGAAGCATATTCGGACTTCCTCGGACATTCTGGCAGCAGAGTGCGGTTAGGTTAGGGGAGCAGAAGGGGAGGGAGAGGCCTAAAATAATCATGGTGTCCGAAAGTGAATGCAGGAGCAGGAGCGGGAGCCCCTCACAAAGTCGCTCCTTCATTTCCAGCTCTACGCCACTGCTTCCTGTTGTTACACAACAAATGCTCCTGCCGAGCCTTTATACGTCTGTCGCGCGATGTGATTGCAGGCGGAGAATAACTTCTCATACACTTGCAACTTCGTAGTGCAGTACAGAGTCCTCCCGAGCAATTGTTGATCGCCCCTGTGACCCCATCGGCGACCGGACGCGAAACGGCGTTTCCTGCTCCCGTTATACCGATCGCGACACGATCTTCGTTTCCAGTCCCCGCGATGGCTACAACGGTCAACAGCAACATCGATCCGGCTCTGCAGCAGCGAAGTCCTCTGACGAGCCCTCGAGAGGCACGACACGCGTATCCCAACCCGAACGGCCCATCATATTCGCCTGTCCAGCCTATACAGCCATCTCCCAACTCCTTCCAAGGACTGCCACCAACACCCACCTACTATAACGTAAGTGCCAGCGCTCAGCTATTCATGGGACAAAGATGTCACCAGAAGAGACTCCAGGGAGGCCTCTGTGAAGATCATTCCAGGCGCCAGTCAAGTTCGTGCAAGCGACTTGTCAGGCCAAGATGAAGCGGCTTTCAGAATACTGACAGACTAAACAGAAGCCATCTCAAGACAGTCCTGAGCAAGATGCCAGCCCGAGAGGCGACCCTTCTGATCCCAATGACATCAAGAGGCCACGCGCGTGTGAAGCATGCCGCGGGCTGAAGGTGAAATGCGAGTTCGACGACAATGTCAACCCAGATGTCTGCAAACGATGCACGAAAGCCGGCCGGCAATGTATTGTGACTGCTCCCAGTCGCAAGCGGCAGAAAAAGACGGATAGTCGAGTCGCGGAACTGGAGAAGAAAATCGATGCTCTCACTGCGACTCTAGCTGCACAAGGACACAGCGAGGCAGATATACACCACTCGGCTGCGCATGGAGGCCTGCCACAGTCCCGCCCTCCTCCATACTCCGAGCCATGGCCGCAAGGGCATCCGCAGGCCCATCCTCAAATGTATCCATCTCCGCAGAATGCAAGTCAAGGCGTGAAGCGGAAGATAGAAGCCGATCACGACTACTTCGGTGGCGAGCTGAAGAGATCACAACAAGCTGCTGCTTTCAAGGCGTCGCCTGCACCAGTACACATACCGCCGTACAGTCGAGAACCGTCGATCAAGCAAGACTACGAAGACTCACAATGGCAAAACGTGGATGTCATTTCGATTGGACTCATAGACGAAGCCACAGCCAAACGTTGCTTTGAACGCTATGTCAACGAGATGAGCCCGCACTTGCCGATCGTCGTCTTCCCGGCTGGTACAGTATGGGACCAGATACGCAGAGATAGACCTATCTTGTTCCTGGGTGTGCTTGCGGTTGCGTCAGGCACTATCAGGAACGACCTGCAGCAGAAATTACTCTCGAAGCTGACCAGGATACTGGGCGATCGGATCGTACATCGCGGCGAGAAATCGCTCGAGATTGTGCAAACCATTCAATGTATAACCACCTTCTATCAGCCACCAGAGAAATACGAAGAGCTTAATTTCAACCAGCTCATTCACATCGCGGCTGTCATGGCCCTCGACCTCGGCATGGGGAAGCGCTTCAAAAAGACCGATATGGCTCTTTGGAAAGGTTATGCCGATGCCAGGAGCAAATCACATGATCCAGCGAGCGCTGAGACACGACGTTGCTGGCTTGGCTGCTACTTTATGTGCTGCAATTCAGCCATGTCACTGAGACGTCCGCTGCTGGTACGATGGAGCAACTACGCCGACGAATGTATCAATATGCTGCAGAGTGCCGAGGATGCCGCTCCGACAGATCCATGGCTATGCTTCCTGGTGCGAGGTCAGCATATTGTGGAAGACATCGGCCTCGAATTCTCCATGGACGATCCAGCATCCCAGGTGTCACTCACTGACCACAAGACTCAGTATCATCTCAAAGCCTTTGAACGTCAGCTTGAAGAATGGTGCAATTCGGCCACGCCGGAGATGAAGAAGCAGCCGATCATGCGGCACATGATGGGCATCATCAATCTTTATATGCACGAGATCGCTATGCACCACAACCACAACATTGATGATTTCAAGCCGCCGTTCAACGCTACTCCAATCGACGGCCCACCAGACCCGGATTTTGTGACACCGGCGCATATCGAGTCACTCACGACTTGCATGAAGTCCGTTCACGATGTATTCGAAGCCTTTCTCTCGATGGATGTCCAGCAACTACGGAGTCTTCCAACATTATTCTTTGTCCGAAACTCCTATGCCGCAGTCGCTCTCATCAAAATGTACACCGCTGTCTCAGCCAAGGGGTCAAAATTTGGTTCCATCATCAGTATTGAAGATCTCAAGGTCGATTACTACCTCGACAGAATGGTCGATCGCCTAGCAAACACGGCCGAAGGACACATGTGCAAAGTCGCGCAAAAGTTCACGATCATCTTTACCATGTTGAGGCAGTGGCACGTTCGACGGACTGATCACAGCAACAGTAGCAATCCTGTGTCTCGGCAGCGCACGCCTCTACCGAATCCTGCCTCTCAACGTCGCGCGTCAGCTAATACCGGCCCACAGCAGCAACAGCCCCAGCCATACCTTCCTGGTCACCCACCGCCAATGTCATCATGGACAGGCCACCCTCAACAGATCCCGCCACCTCATCATGGACCTCCGCATGGACAACAGCATTCTCATGCGCCACAGGGCCCGCCTCGGTCAGGTCTACAGATGCTTTCAGATGCAGCCATGAATCCAGCTGTTCCTCCACAGCAACAACTGGGCCCTCACCAGACCCCGCCCCAACAGCAACCACAATGGCTGCCACCACTCAATACCATGCCTCCTCCACCGGGCATGCCAAACGATATGCTCAATCCAGGCGGCTACCCGATGAATATGGGCGAGTTTCCTGACCTGGATCTCAATATGATGGCGTACGGTTTTGGGGATGAGTTCGTTGCTATGGGCTACGGTGTTGGCATGGGTATGGGTGGGTTGGAAGGGGGACCGGGGCAGAATGGGTGGAATTTTTAAGCTAGGGAGGGCTCTGTGTCCCAAAAGTATGTATTTGGTGGAACGAAATGCTATCGATTTATCCTTCTTTAAGCACCACCTGGATGTCACTTAAGCTTCTTGAACGACCAACACGGGTCTGTATTCTCCAGACGTCCGGGAGGCATCCATGTCGAGAAAGGTCCATTCGAATCAACAGGCCTTTCCTTGTTGATCCCTTCCTTAATGGGCGTCCTTTGAGCTTTGACAACCAGGCAGCAGCACTAACCCGACAGATGCTCTGTGGATGAAAGATAGAAAGCTAGCAGGTCAGGGCAGAGGGAGGGTATATAGTGCTACAGAGAGAGCGCACGTGTCAGTACGGAGTGCAAGATTTCAAGTGTCGCGCTTGGCTCTGCAAAAGCGGAAAAGGAGCAAGGGCGATGCGGAGCAGAGCGGAGAGTCAGGCAAGTTGTACATGCAGTGGGTTTCAGCTGGGTAGGTGGTGTGTCGGCGAAGCAGAGGTGGAGACTTGCGAGCAATTTGGTAGAGGTGCAAGGTGGAGAGCCGGAGTCAGTGCCTTGCCAGGATGTTGCGGGTCGTAGAGGGGAGCGGCGCAGGAGGGAAGTGGTGAAGGAGGGAAGGAGGGAAGCGGCGAAGGAGGGAAGCGGCGAAGGAGGGAAGCGGCGAAGGAGGGAAGGCCAGGAGGGAAGGCGCGAATCGGAGAGGAAGGAGAGGTTCAGAGATTTCCAACTGAGCTTTCAGCGACAGCAGTGTTTGTCGGTGTTATATACACGCCGAACTTCCGAACTGACTGATAGGAAGCTGTACAGAGAAGCCAGCCTGCCGCTTCCGGATGCGACAACGGAGGTGTGGATCGGAGCGGAGGGTTCTGCAGACACGCATCCGCTAATTGATGGGTGCGTGTTCGGCACAGCGGACCATAAACATCCGAAGAAAATCAGACAGAAGTGTCGCGAGGGAAGGTGACCTGCGGTTTTGGATGCAGGAAGAACGAGTGGAGCGGAGTGCACAGCAAAAATGGGGAAAGACGGTGCCGAAATGGAAGCGGAGGAACGCAGTCTGGTCGACTGAGGGGGATCCTCAGACTTTCCGCTGGCTCGTCTTAGAGGTGAAGCTAATAATGGCGGAAACCTGGGGCGTGACAGAGAGAAGTGCTAAAGAGGCAGGGCATTGACCAGAGAAGGAAGGGGCGTCGAGCGGAAAGTCAACAGCGTACCCCCCAGCTGTCTTGGCTGTCTTGGTGTGTCTGCAGAACATGATTGGAGCGGAGGACTCAGGATGAACAGAAAGAAGTGCGAAAAGGGAAGGGAGAGACCTGTAAAGGGTAGGGTTGGACCGAGAAGGAGAGTATATGCCACAGACTTTCCGCTGGCAGTCCTAGGCATGATGCTGAAAGATGACTGGTGCGGAGCCCTCAGGACGAACAGATAGAAGTGCAAAAGCGGCAGGCATAGGTCCAAAGAGGGATGAGTGGAGAGCGGAAAGGAAAGTTTTGGGGGACCCCAAAGGTACCGACCTTTGGCTGTCTTGGCTCTGATGGTGACATATGCCTGGTGCGGAGTGCCAAGCAAAAACAGATAGAAGTCCATATGCGTCGTATTGGGAAGGGGACCGGGGCATAGACTTTCTAAAGGATATGCATATATCAGCTGGCTCCTTGTGTTCAACTGCTGCCTCAGGGATCCATTGCGACTCGCCGCTTTAACAATTGTGCCGCGGGAGTGATAGAAGTGTTCAATGGGAAGGTGTTTATGGGTCGTAATGGTGATCATCGTATAAGTCGTGCGTCGTCAGTCATGTACTCATCTCATCTTGATAGCGGACATATTCACAGCTCCTCGTCCTCGTCGTCCGTGGCCTCAATCTTGATCGCGCCTTTTCCTTCTGCATTGATGTCTGCAGGCTCCCACTTGACCTCCCTCTCCCCGTACAGAACCCCAGCCGGCCTCGAGGCCTCTAGCGCCTCCGCCTCGGCGGCGGCGGCAGCATCAGCAGCCTCAATAACGTCCTTCCGCCAAGTATAGAACTGCCGCAAGAAGTCCGTGCGCTCTTTCATCGTCCACCCGCCTACTCGCAGCGCAAACCCTTCCAGATCCAGCTCCCCATCCTCATCCACATGGCCCGCATACCCAGCCATCATGCCGAACTGTCGCTCTTTCACTGCTTGTGGGGGCTTGTAGCGGTATCGCACGTTGCCGTCTTCGGCGTAGATCGCCCTTCCTCTGTTCTTTCCCAGCGCCGCAGCAGCCTCTCTGCTCGGGGTATAGACATTTTTCGCAGGACTAGTCTGTGGCGTAGGCTGCGTTTGCGTATCCGCCGTAGCTTCAAAGACGCGCTCTTTGTACTGGCTGTGACTCTGCGCCATCGCGGCAGCCGATAGTTTTGATTCAACTTCAGACGGACCGACGACTTCACTGTTCTCGTGGGTATACGTGACGCCTCCGGAGGCGAGAATTGCGAGGATAGGATCGTGTGCAGCAGGTGCAGCAGTGTTAAAGCTGTTGTGCTTTGAGTTGCGAGCTTTGCCCTTACCTGTTCGGCGGACAGGAAGGTCGCTGTCACCAGCGATCTCGGCGACGAGCTGGGACATCGCGGCGTCTTCGTGGTCGGATTCGGCCTTGATGGCAGGGACATTTTTGGCATCGGAATCACCATCGTCGGAATCGGGATCGGATTTGATTACGCCTGCAGCTGCTGCTTCGTCGGCTTCAATGTCCAGGATGCGCAGTCCTGCTCTAGACTCTGCTACGTTGGTCTTGTTGACGATGTCCCGCAGCACAATGTGCTCGTTGTGCCATGCGAAAAGGTTGCTCAGCCCGAAGATCTCGCCTTTCTGGCTGATTTCTCCTTGCACGCCCTGAAAGTATCGTCGCTCGCTACTGGCTGTGTAGCCGATGTTGGCTTGTTGTTGCTTGTAGATCTGTCGGGCATACACGATCTCCTCGAGGGTGCCTTGACTGACGAGGCGGAATACTTCGACATCTCTGGTCTGGCCGATACGGTATGCGCGGTCTTGTGCTTGGAGGTCATACGATGGATTCCAGTTGGGATCCACGACAACGACTTTGTTGGCGGAAGTAATGTTCAGGCCGACACCGCCGGCTTTGGTCGAGATCAGGAAGACAAACTGTGTTGGGTCGGTATTGAACTCTTGGACGGTCAGGAAGCGCTCTTCGTAGTCGATGCTGCCGTCAAGGTACTTGACATTGTAGGATGTGTTGATGAAGAGGCGCTGCAGCATCTTGAGGAGACGGACTGAGTGGGAAAAGACCAAGACTTTGTTTCCTCCTTCGTCGTGCCAGAACTTGAGCAACTTCTGCAAGACGCGCCATTTGCCGCAGTACTCTGGGTTGGCAGAGTGAATCAAGCTGTCTCGATTGGCCATCAATTTCTTCCATTCATTCGGCATGGCGATCTGGAGCATGTTTTCATCTTTGCTCTGTTTCTCGGCGGTGTCGCTTGCTTGAGGGATTAGTGTCGCAAGGTGATTTGAGATCTTCTGCAGGATCATGATCGCAGGGAATACCCACTCCTTCCATGAGGAGCCATCTTCGAGGTACATCTTGCAGCAATAGCCTTGTTTCTTCTTTGAGTCGCATAGGCACGGCAATGAGCTGTTCTTTATCAGTTGGACGACCTCGCTCTCCAAAAAGTTCTGGTACGCATCCGCTTGAGTCTCGGACATAGGACAGAAGACGACCCGATCCGTCTTTTTGGGCAACTGATCTTTGATAAGACTTTTCGTCCGTCGTTTGAAGAATTGAGGCAAAAGATTGTTCACAAGCATCAGTGCGACCTTACGAGCCTGAGCAAGCTGGTATTGAGAAGCATCATGGCTTTGACCTAGTTTTAGTGGATTGCACACTGCTGTCTTCCATTGCGACACCGGCCCAAGTCTGCCAGGATTGGTCCAGTTGAGCAATGTCCAGAGTTCTTCGTACTTGTTCTGAATTGCTGTTCCAGTCAGGCCGATTCTGCACAGGGCGTTGACTTGGACCTGGGCTTTGGTGATCTCGGCCTTCCGTTCCTTGATCTTGTGACACTCGTCTGCAATGACACAGTCCCATTTGATCATGTTTATTTTGTCGGCGGCCATGCGATACGTGTCGTAGGTTGTGATCATGATCTCGATCCGTCCGGCCTCTGCTGCGCGAAGTTTCTCTGCCTTCTCGACTTTGCTACCATGGAAGATGCTGCTGTGCCACCAGCCCCATCTGTTGAGCTCGTCTTCCCAGTTAGCCATTAGACTTCCTGGGCAGATGATCAAGGTACGGTAGTATGGTTTGCCAGCATCCTTCTTCTTTCGCATTCGCTTCTTGTCTCTCGCGTCGCCAGTCTTGCCATACGCTGCCGTCAGGAAGGCGATAACTTGGATAGTCTTGCCCAGACCCATGTCGTCGCCAAGTATGACGCCTTTCTGATACACGAATGCTTCATGTAGGAAGGCAGCGCCGTCAACTTGGTACGGGCGGAGGTGCTGAGCGATTGGGGCAGGGATGACGCCGGCAGAGTAAGGGAGTTCGATATCCTCGTACTTCGCAGCGTCCTTCCGTAGCGGAATCTGAGGCTTCTCTGGCAGACTGCGAAATCGCTCAGGTTCTTCATCTGAGAAGTCAACGTCGTTGTATAGTATTGGCAGACTGAGGCCTCCCTCCTTTAACTTCTCCATTCGTTTATCAAAGACCTCGCGCCTCCGCTGGAGATAGTCTGGCATGGTCCACTCCATAAGTGCATCATCTTCATCATCAGAGTCGCCGTAGATTGCCTCCTTGATCCGCTTCTTACGGACTGCTCGCACACCTACACCCGTCTTGCCAGCGTTCTTGCTCGATGGCCGAGGGTCATTAGCCGCGGCGATAGCTTTTGCCTTGCGGCCAGACTTGGCGGCTTTGGAGCGGGCATCCTTGCTCTTGTTCTTCCACTTCATATACGCATCGCCGTTGAGGAACTCGTCATCCGAGCCGGAGGAAGACACGCTTACTCGCCGTCGCTTTCGAGGCGGAGGTGTAGAGTCATCCTCATCTGATGGCCGCATGGCAGAGACCGGTGCTAGGCGGCGGTGTTGAGGCGGAGGTGCAGAGTCCTCCTGGTTGAATTTCCTGCGGCAGATCTTGGGGCCGACATCGTGCGGGACGTTTGGGAAGGCACGAGCGTTGCAGGTACGGCGTCAACGTCCCATTCATCCTCTGTGCTGTCATCGTCGGTAAATGCCATATCGGATGATCCTCTTTGGCGCAGATATCTTGTCAGTCTGCTGCGGACAGCGGGCGACGGAGACTTCGGGATTAGAGGTCTTACGAAGCCATCTCTACGTATCTGACGGAAATCAAAGTGACGATCGGGGTGAGGTGTTGGTGGCGGGGTCAAACGCGTCACAATCTCCAAAAACTCCGACATATTTCCCCCGCAAAGAAATCAGAACGCGAAAACATGTGACCAAAGGCCATTAATTTTGTACACCACTTCTCAAGACCACAGAGCACTCATCCTCCTGCCTTGCTGCCTGTCCACCTCCTACCTCCACCACTGCCTCACTCAGGCGCGTCCGTGATCCGACTACAGCCCAAGGCCACCAAGTGACCGCCCTGGGCGCTTCACCCACCACAATGCCACTCGACACCCTCTCCACCTACGCTCAAACCCACCTCCGCATCGACGGCCGCCGCTGGAACGAGCTCCGCCTCCTCACCTGCGCCGTCTCCACGCAGCCCTCCTCCGATGGCTCCTCCCTCTTCACCATGGGCAACACCATGGTTGTCTGCACCGTCACCGGCCCCCGCGAATCCAGTCGGGGCGCCAGCCGCGACAATACACAATCTACTGTCGAGACCGAGATCACGATTGCACCGTTTGCGACGACCGATAGGCGGAAACGCCCGCGCAACGACAAACGCCTCCTCGAGCTGCAGACCACAATCAGCAGTGCTTTCCAAGCACACCTCTACACGCACATCTACCCGCGCTCCACCATCTCGATCGCACTACACGTTCTGAGCCTAGACGGCAGCTTACTAGCAGCATGTCTCAACGCCGCCTCCTTAGCACTGGTTGACGCGGGGATCCCAATGCCGAGCGTGCTGAGTGCGGTGACGAGTGGGGTTATTGTTGATCCGGACAGGGACGATGCGACGGCAGAGGGAGTGCTCGACTTGAATAATGCGGAGGAAAATGAACTGCCTTTCTTGACGGTGGGGACGGTCAAGGCTGTTGATGATGGGGACGGCGGAGAGGACAAAGTGAGCGTGTGTATGATGGAGACTAGGGTGCCGGGAAGTAGGCTGGAGCTGATGCTGGCGACGGCGGTGGATGGTTGTCGGGTCGTGAGAGGCCGAATGGAGGCTGAGGTTCGGCAGCAGGGGATAAAAGTGTTGAAGGGCCAGAGTGGCTGAGAGAAAGCAATTGGTCACTGGTCACCAAATCACAATTGGCAAAGCGCCACACATGAGGACATGCGCACGGACACGCGCCTAAGCAGCATACGAAGATCGGGATTGAGGTTCAGGATACTTGAAGTTGAAACTACTCGACATGCTAAGCTCACCGACTACGGAACTAACCTCGACGAACGACCGTCTCAAACGATCCACGATCAGTACTTCTTCGCCAACTTGAACACCGGCGCCTTCTCGAAATCATCCCGATCCCACCTCATCCTCCCCTCACCATCCAACTCCGCCCCCTCATCCGTACTCGCAACACCAACCTTCTCATTCTCCTCGATCTCCTTGGCCGACAGCCCGTTTTTATCTTTCGGGATCCACACCTTCGGCATCTTCGCTGTCAAGGCTGGGTTGATGTACGCGTTCTTCACCTCCTCTTCTGTCAGAGGCTTTTGAGAAGATTCCGCGGCTGGGTTGGAGAGCCATTCGCGGAGGTCGGCGACAGACGGAAGGAGACGCGGTTCGAGGAGCGTGGAGAGCGGGTCGAGGAGGGCCTTGGGAAGTTTCTCTATTGCGTTGTTGGCTTTGTGCGCTAGCGTGCGGATGCGGGCTCTCGTGCCATTGCGTGGTTCATCATCTTCTTCATCGTCATTGTTGTCGTCCGCAAGCAGCGGCTGCTCCTCGTCGTTGTCCGACTGCAACTCATCCAGCGGCAAATACTTCTCCAGCGGCGACAGATAGCGATTCACAACAGCATGGTACACAATCGTCACAACAAGCAACACCGCCAGCATCGCCACCGGCCCCGCCGCATTCTTGATGCTGAACAGCCCCAACAGACACAGCTCAGCCAGATACACGCCAACCATGAGATGCTGCATTGCGTTCGAATAGCACTGCCCTCTCGGCTCAACCTTGACTTGGATCGCGTATAACAATTGGTAGCGGTAGCTGATGTAGAACAAATACAGCCCCGCCGCGGCGAAGCCGAGGACAAGCGGCGCCACGCAGGAATACGCGATTGCAATGACTGCGAAGTTGGCGAATTTCGGATACACGCTTCCCCACCCGATCCCCTTCATCTGCGTAATCCGATTGTATTTCTGGCGGGGCGTGCGGTCGAAGACTTTGTCGTAGAAGATATACTGGAAGAGGTCGGAGTAGTTGAGCACGTTCTTGGGCGCGCTGCCTAGACCCTGGATGATGAAGTACGAGAGGTAGAAGTTGGATGCTTTGGGCAGGTTCTTGGCTAGTAGGACGGGGATGGAGCCGGGCTCGTTGGCGATTTTGGTCGCGACGGTTGTTGCGCCTGAGGAGAAGGTGGTGATGAGGAAGACTTGGATGACTTGGAAGGCGAAGTACCAGTGTTGGGTCTTCTTTTCGGCTTCGACTGTGGTGGGTTGGCCGGAGAGTTTGGCGATATAGCGGAAAAAGTATGGGACGTAGGAGACGAAGAAGGAGAGGATGAATGGGGGGACGAAGCCTGTGAGGATGCCGAGGATGGGGTCGGGGAGGTTGTCGATCCAGCGGAGCCAGTGGATTTTGTTGGTGAGGTAGTTGATGTTGGAGATTGTGCCGACGATGCCGACTGGGATTGACCATAGGATGATTGTGGCGATGATGAATGCGGTTGCTAGGTAGGAGTATGAGAGGCGGGCGGCGGGGTCGATGTTGGCGTTCTTCCAGAGGACCTCCCTGGGTTGGACGTGAGACAGACGTGGTTTGAATGCTAGCGGATCGTGGTGTCGGGAGCTTTTGAGAGCTCGTTGAGCTTCAGCTTGAGTCTTGAATTCGACGAACAGAGCGCCACTCTTCGCCACACCAGGGCGCTCGACGTTCTCTCGAAGAGATTTGATTCTCTCTTCTAGCTCTGGAATCTCCTTTCGTAGCTTGTCGATGGTGTCGATGTCCTCACCAAAGACGTAGTACGGCTTGCTTGCTGGCCGCGTGCCATGTGCATACTTTCCACCACCCGACCCGTTTTGTGGGGAGTCACGGGCTTTCTTCGCCACATTCTTCTCCAGCTTGAGCTCTGCTGACTCGAGCTGATCAATCTTGGATGCCCTCTCGCTGACCAGATCCTCAATCTCTGCAGCATTCGGAGTGTACCACGATCTGACGGCGGAAGGGCCAAAGAATTGCTGCAGTCTCTCCTCGTCCAGAGCGTCTTTAGGAACTGACAGGAACAGCACAACTTTTGATGACAGCCGTGACTCGACATGTCGCAGTGTAGCGTAGGCATTTCGCAGACTGATCGCAAAAAGGCGCTCTCTCGTGATGATCAGTACGATCGTCCCAACGAATACCCAAGCGATAGTTGCGTGAGCGTACAGCCGACGGCTCTCAACGACATTGCCAAACGCAAGCTTGTCCAGCTGCGAGTCATCTCCGCCGCCCGTTGCATTGATGGGCAGAAGGATCGGCCATGTGAGCAGACAACCCAAGACACAGATGATCATGATGACTCGGAGAAACCTGACGAACAGGTATCCGTCCATGGAGGAATGCCTTAGGATGAACTTGTCTTTCAGGACGCGAAAGTCATGGATCCATGATACCTCCGAGTGGCTCGAGGAGGGTGTCCGATCGTGCACTGGATGATTCTGAAGTACGTCCTTGGCTTATAGATATTTTCGTAGGGCTTCCTGAGAACGAGGAAAGCGCCAATGAATATTCCTGCAGTGACCAGTGTAGGGATCAGAGTGGCTGCAATTGCCGCGAAGGATGTCGAGCCAGTCCGATGGCTGGCCATTATGCTGGCTTGAGGCTGTGAATCTGCCATTGCCAGTCACCTATCCTCTGTCGCTGGCGACACGAAAAGGAGAGGCGGTCAGAGAGCTAGGCGATGTCTGCAGTCACACATCGACTTTTAAGGACGGCGAAGCTGTGAATGCATTACCACGGTCTGGCTGTGGCACACTGTTGGTGAAAGTTTTCGTGGTGGATGTGGTGGATGCTGGCTGTTGCGTTGTGGACATGCAGGCCCAAGTTGGCGACTGACGTCAGAGAACCAGGGGCCGGCTTCTTCAAGTTGTTCAAGTTTCCGATTTGTCTATCTGTAGTATCATCTTCGCTTTTCATCAGATTCGACTTCGGCGCAGGAGTCTGACAGTCTACAAACCTCGTGGCCTCTTCTACAGCAGCGTTCGAAAATGGCCTCGTGGCTAAGCACTCGCCGTGCGGCAGGGCGCAAGTACGCTCGGCCGTCGAGTCGAATGTACTTCTGGCCCCCAGAGACTGCTAAGATACACATTGTCTGCATTGTTGAGTAGGCCATCGTCGGGCTTTTCGAGATTGGCAATAACGCGTAGGGTCAGCAACGACGTAAAGAAAAGGGTATAAGTTGCCCAATATTATAGAGCCCTGTCGAAAGGCTCATGTCGTTCTCACTTCAATACACTAACGATTCAAGAGCAGTGCACGAGCAAGTTGCACCACCTTTTCGTAATTAATCCTCGTCCACTCCACACACCCATAAGATCTGGTCGTATCTTGCGCCGCCGTTGTCAGATTAGCATTTCCAGCCGGTCCATATCTCATGAACCTTTCACTCTTCGTGTATGGTTCCCACGGCGTAACACCGTGCGCGAACGCAATCCATGCAGAGGCCATCGACTCCGCCACCCGCTGTGCGTCTGCCGGCAATGCATCGTTTTCCACAAGGTACATATACAGGGCGCACTGGCCGTGGTATGAAAGGCCAAATGTAGGACCCGGGAATGGTGATGGCTCTTCGAAGTGGTACAGGTATGCTTGTCCGCCATTGCTCGTATGATCAAAGGTCTCGGCAATGCGGAGGTTAGGGAATTGGAACATCATATAGCCCAAGAATCGTCGTATCGACTCTCTGTACGACGTCCATTCTTGATCAGATCCAGTGAAGTTGAAATGGCGGCAGAAATTTCCCGATTCTTCGGAACAATGATCTCTTGGATCGTTCTCAACATCTGCTCGGGCTTGATGTTTCTTGCAATACTGTCAAGGATTATACCTTCGACATTGGTGTCTCCAAGTATGATTGATCGACATCTTGTTATGAGGGTGTCTTCGAACTTCCAGTGCCTTGGCAGGAGCACACCATCACCCACGGGTCCCATCGCAGCATTCGAATACTTCTGCAGGATGTCCATCACGGGAGCTTTCCGAAGCGTAGTCACCTGATCGACTGCACTTGCGTCCCGTAAGCCAGTTGCCGCACACAAAGCGTCCCAGGCTTGCTGATAATATTGCGGATCCAAGGGTCCGAGAGTGCCGCCTGTTCCTGACATACAGATGGCTTTGTCGAACATGGGGTCACCAGTCAGAATGTGGTAATGGACAGATGCACTTCCAGCGCTTACGCCAAATGCGGTAACGTTGTCGGGATCGCCGCCAAAGTCTGCGATATGTTCATGGACCCAACGGAGAGCATTGCGCTGGTCTTCGAATCCATAGTTTCCAGACGCTGGGCCTGTGGCGTTGGGAGACGTACCGAACTCAGCCTGTAGCGCATCCGACGCTGCAAAGCCCAGTGGACCCAAGCGGTATCCGATCTGGACTAAGATGATAGGCCGTCCAGACTCACGTGCTCGAGAGCATAGCGCGTGAGGCCTGTACCGGGCGACCGAGTTGGCACCGAATCTGAAGCCGCCGCTAGATATCCGTCAGCAAATTCACCTGCAGCAGACTTTCTGACCTACCCATGAATCCAGAACATTACAGGCACCTTGCGCTTCCTGTGTCCATTCTGAAACTGCTCCAGGCATTCTCGTGGGACGCAGATGTTCAGATTGAGACAGTCGAATTCACTATCGCCTGGTGTTGGGTCGTTCATTCCACCACTCACGAGAACGGCACCCTCTTCTTGTGGGCATCGAGGACCAAACTTTTCAGCGTTGAACTTGTTCGGTAGTTCGTGAAGTATTGTGCTGTGTGTCCATCTTTGCTTAATAGTCGCGTACGGAATACCTCTGAAGTAGGCGAGATCGTGCCTCTCATCATACTCGCCAATCAGCTGGCTGCGCAGTGAAGGTGCATATAATGTTGCGGACATGGTCGTTGGGCCCACGGATTTCGATCAACACTGTGCTTCTGTGTCAGGGGTGGCTGTCGAGCACTGGGAAGCTATATTGCATTACAGCAACAGCAGCAGCAGCAGCTTGACGGGGGACATCTGATCAAGTGCCTGTTTCCGTTCCCGATCACTGATCCGCCTTGGGCCAGTGTCACATTATCCGGAAATCAATTGAAGGTACACCTTCTGGACTTCTGGAGAAGACTTTACGCGCCATGCTGAACTTCTGGCTCCAGACTCACTTCGTCCAACTGCCGTGGTCGAATCATTCTCCGTTTTGCATGACCCGGTCTTCGAGGATGGCGTGTACATGTGGAACCTGGATCTGGGACGGGATTCATTAGTGGTGCTCAAGGTTTCAGAGATCCAATCATCGATGGAAGACTCCATCCCGTTTCCTGTCCCGTTCCCGTTCCCGTGCTCTGGATTCTCGCGTACCCCAGATTTCGGCTAGAATCCTTGGACTACCAAGCAGTTCTCCGTTCCGGGGACGGGCAAGCATGGCTGTCCAGAAGCACAAATATCTGGGGTATGCTCAGCTGTTTAGGTCTCTCGACATTTCCGTCTTCCCACAAAGAATACCACAGCCCTAGCCAAAGACTCATCCTTAGTCAAGATGCACGACAAAACCGAGGTGATGACCTTCGAGAACGCTGCCTCGAAAGCGAGGAAAGTGGCTCCGGCCTGCAACGTCCAAGATGGCGACTTGGCCTTGAATGTGTTGCAATCACATTTCGAGTCGTACACGAAGGAGGAAGAGAAGAAGGTGTTGAGGAAGATCGACGTTCGACTTGCGCTGTTGATGCTCTTCGTCAACGGCATTCAGTTTGTCGACAAGCTCGTACGTCTGCTGTGAGCAAACTCATATGACGATCTGACAATTGCAGACTATTTCTCAAGCCGCAACATATGGCCTCATCCAAGAAGCCCATCTCAAGGGCCAAGAATTCTCGCTACTGATCAGTCTGTTCTACATCGGGTACCTGGTGGCTCAATATCCCACGAATCTCTTGATGCAGCGCTTTCCAACGGGACGATACCTTTCGATTAACTTCATACTCTGGGGCGTCGTTCTCACTTGTACGGGGGCATGCACATCCTTTGGATCGTTCGCAGCCGTCCGCTTTCTGCTTGGAGTGTTTGAAAGCTGTCTGAATCCCGGATTCATCCTTATCACTTCAAGTTTCTGGAAACGCGAAGAACAGCCCCTGCGCATAGCTCTCTGGTATTGTGCGAACGGCCTCATTTCCATCCCGAGTGGATTCATCTTCTATGGTGTGGCCCATATCCATTCGAGGGGACTATACCCGTACCAGTGGATGTTCATCATCTTTGGCGGCTTCACTGTACTTTTCGGAATCCTCCTTGTCTATTTCCTGCCAGATTCTCCGGTTTCTGCGCCATGGCTGAATGAGCGCGAGAGGCTCATTGCTGTCGAGCGACTTAGGACCAATCAGACCGGCATCAAGAACAGCCACCACAAGTGGCCCCAGGTCAAGGAGGCTCTCACAGACATCAAAGTTTGGATGCTGGTCGCTGGTGTCTTCATCCACAACATGACAAACAGCCTGCAAACAAACTTCACCGGCTTGATCATCAAGGGATTTGGCTACTCGACCTACGATGCAGTACTACTGAGCATCCCTTCAGCGGCCATCTTCGCCTTCAGCGTCCTTCTGGTCTCATCCTTCCTCTCCTCCAGATACGGCGAGGGCAAGCGCATCTTCGCCATCATCGGCTGCTACATTCCCGGCGTCATCTCCTGCGCAATCCTCTACGCCTCGCCACTGTCGCAGTCCACCAAGGCCCTCCATCTCTTCGCTGTCTTCTTCATCGGCGTCGTTGCTGCCTCGGCAGGGATCATGTACTCCCTGCTTGCCTCGAATATCGCAGGCTACACGAAGAAGACTGTTGCCGGCTCGATGTTCTTCGCCTCGTACTGTGTAGCGAATATCGTCTCGCCGCAGACATTCATCGCAACGCAGGCACCACACTATACCACAGGTATATCGACATCGCTGGCTTGCTTCTGCGCCAACATTGTCCTTTTTGCTGTGTTGTACTTTGTTTATGCCCGAGCCAACGCCCAGCGACTTGCTGGAAGGCAGGAACAGCCTGCTGATGACATGATGGACGATACGATTCATGCTTTTAGCGATCTGACGGATTTGCAGAACAGGCATTTTGTGTATAAGTTGTAGTGTGGTAGCGAATGCTATTGAGTGATTTTGGACGCCGCCGATGCATCCTTGCAGATAGGATAACTGAGTGTCCCCAAATCAAGTCCAGACCGTTTCCTATATCTTCAAGCTCAGTTCATGGGAGCCAGAGATAGTCAGTATCGCGCCGCAAGCTGGCAACCATGCTTGATCGAGCATTGCCCAGCTTGACGATACCGCTAGCACGGTGTAGTTTTGCGGCTCCTAGGACACAAGCTCAGGTGACCTGATCCATGAACGAGAAGAAAGACTCATCGAGTAGCCAGTCAAGACTATCGACAGGTGGAATCGCCACTGAGAACATGACAGTGCCTGGGTCAGCAAAATCCGCATTGATGTCGTTTTCTGGTTGGTGCGATCGGTCCTCTACGGGATCTGGCCTGGATTCATCGTGCGTGTGCGTGTGCGTGTGCGTGTGCATGTGCATGTGCATGTGCTGACTCTGACTCTTGTCATACTGCCTGGCGAGGGCTTCCAAGGCCGTCTGACAGCGCTCTGCGAGATGTGTTTGTTCTCTGTAGTCAGCCAGGACGGAGAAAGCCGAGGACAAATCGTTCTGCAAGGGTTTCCTTCCAAAGTGCGAGATCAGGGCTGGGAACGAGAGTGCTGCTATGATGACTGTTGATGCAGTGTAGACGTATGTGACCGTGTGCCACCATTGTGGCATGATCTTTTCTTTCGCCTCCAAGGACTGGAGAGCTGTTATTGATATTTTGGAGGCAAGCAGTCCGATAAGGTCCCGAGCAGCGTTGACGCACTCGATCTGGCCTTGTCGATAGAGGGCGCGAGAAAATCGACCCATCGCAATAGCGCTGTGCCGGGTTTGATCGTTGGATACACTGGCTTCCAAGAAGCAGGGTCTAAAGAGGAGAACTTTGATGTACCAGAATCTGGTGGACAGGTGTAGCTGGGGGCCGATCATTGACTCTGCATTACTGTCAACTTTTAATATCGCAGGCAGACTGCCCTTGAACGCTTCGAGGTCCATTTCGGTATCCATCAGCACGCCTACATCCAGTCTTCCATTCCTCTGATCTCGACAGCGTATGTGATAGTCATGTATATCTCCAAGAATTTGATGGAGCCGACAAAAGGAAAGGAAAAAGGTATGCTGTCCGAGGTCCGCGCCATCTCGATCGACATATGCAGTGTTATCTAGATCCTCATCGTCAATGTCGCGAAAGAATGGCACCAGATAAGCGGTGGATTGCGGTATTTGTAAAGGGCGATTCGTTACCATTGAGGTGATGCGATCCATCAGTACACATGCATGCCACAACCTCAGAGACGTTTCTCTACCTCTCTGGGTTAGCATGGTACTTATGTGGTCGGAATCGTCAAGCCTGAGATTCTTCGCAATGCTGATACACAGACTGACAGTCTGTCGGCACCGAAAAGCCTGGTTCGTACTTTGGTACCACTGAATCAGCAAGAGAAGGGCCCAGAGCAAATCCTCTCGGTTCACTTCAGAGACTTGAAGCTGAAGCAGAGTCTCAGCAGTCTTCCCATAAGCCTGAGCTTGGCTTCTATTGGCCTGAACGTCGCCAGTCTGTCGATTTTGTTGCTCTAGTGCAAACATGATGTTGATTACAGCATGATTTATCTGCTCCTTAACCGGATCTCGTACTTGCCGGCGAGCATGACCCAAGGTATTATACCAGTCCATGAACGACAAACGATCGAGCCAGACAATGAACGCATTCTTGAAGAAATCTTTCAGAAGCGCATCTGTCACAGAACGACTAGGCAGTCTGTAGATTGGTGCGGGCAGACCCACTGCGTCGACGAGGCCGGGCGATGCAGTAGCTGCAGTAGCATCCGCGTGCAGAGGAGATGGTCCTTGCTGTGTACTCGCGCCACTCCGAACACGGCCAAAGACAGTCTTGAAAAAGCTCGCTGAATTCGATGATGCTAGTAGACCAGCTTGCAGCATCCAGTCATTATCATCGCCATGGTCATCGGCATGGTCGTTGATTGTGGCCATTTGTCCATGAACGGTATCGCCAGCTGTACCATACAGTAGTGGAATGTTTGTGGTGGCATCAGACTGAAATTGGTCTGAGAGGTGGACTTGCGCAATGGGCTCCTCCGAACGATGCCCATTCTTCGGACTTGAGCTAACTGCCGAAAGCTCATAATACACACACTCAGTTGCAGCGTCTCGTCGCTTCACACAGGCTCCGCACTTGGGTCGGCCGCCATCGCACTTGCTCTTCCGTAGCCTGCACAACTCGCATGCGATTTGAATCTTGCGCCGTTTTGGTCGATAACGTTGTTCGGCTTGTTGCGCGGGCACTGTAAGACCAAACATGTCTTACATGATTATTGCTACATCCCGAGACTGTGTGAGGGCTTGTACATCCACTGTACGTTCAACGGTCGTTACCGATCTCACCGTGTTCTCAGTCTAGAAGAAGGCAGACAAAGGCAACTGGGGTCAGGGCAGTGTGGGTCGTAGGAAGCTTTCCAGTTCGCGCTCCCAGGTCACGTGGAGGGCTTCAAGGCTCCATGACGTGATAGGTCCACGAGTAGTAGTATCAAATAAATTCATCTTGACTCCTTTGACTGATTTCACGTGAGTGTTTTCAAGTACGTTTCCCCTTACCATAGCGGCGAGTCGTAAGAAGAATTAGGTAGGAGCTCAAGTCTACAGCTGTCCGACTATGATCGCTTCGGTCGAGTCATCAGGGTTTTGGCGACTGGGAGGTCGGAGGAGTCGGTCGTGTCCCATCTAGATTTCACTTGATGTTCAGGTATCTCACACATCATGGGCGACACGGGGCAGCAAGCTACATTGGAGCCGATCGCTATGTTCTTTGTTTGCTGCATGTCACTTGCTGCCGTTCTCTTTGTCTTTGACTGGTGTAGGTGACATCGGAGGTTATGAAAGGCCGTTCTTTATTACCACGAGAGACATCGACACGCTACTGCCTCAAGCCGAAATGCCTCAATGCCCTCCGTACTTTATGTTTGCGAGTCACTTCAAAGTTCTTCGTCCTTCCCATCAGTATTCCTCCTCTGCACAAGTCACCTACGAAGAACTTTTCACCATGGGACAAGAACAATCGTCGCTTCGAACATCCACTCAGCCTGCCACCACCATGGCGAAAGTCAGCGCATCTGCTGCCAGCAGCAAAAAGACGGGTGGCACGAAGCGCAAGCGCCTTACTGACGAGGACACTGACAGCAATCAAGCTATCACTGCCGTATTCAAGAAGGTCAAGAAGGAAGAATACGATGACGCTATCAGGAAAGAACTCTCACAACAAATCTCAAGTCAATCATCAATGGCTGGTCCCTCAACTCAAAGTCAGTCTGCGAAGAGCCAACTCAGCCCGCCAACATCACCCGCCAGAACTCCAGCCACAACTAAGAAAATCAGGAGTCCGTTGTCAGGCTTTCGCGATCGAGCAATAGCCAACACAGAGGCCAGACTCCGCGCAGCTTATAACCATTCTGAGAACATCGAGAACATGAGTGGAGAGACCAAGCCCCGGGAGCTCATCACATATATGGTACGCATGTCACTAGACCATGTCCAGCGAAGTTCCTACAGCCTGAACGGCGTCATAAGAGCAGTGGCTATGGAGCATCACGCAGTCGATGCCGAAGCAGTCGGAGAAGCCTGGAGGCGTGCACAACGCGGCGAAGCCTTTCCTCGAAAACTGCTTGCATACGAGGCCACCTCAAGCACGACACGACTGGCGCCCGAGCCTTGGGAAACGGACTCTGAGGCCATACAGCTTCTCGATCAAGATATTGAGGCTATAGGTTTGCGGCAATTGCAGCAAATTCTACAGTGGTCCTACAAGCTGGCTCGTCGAGTCAGTCAGGAGATCACCTTCGACCCATACTTCTCGCTACTCATTCACGTCATGCGACATCTATCTTACCACAAGTTTTCTTTGCCGGGGATGATGCTAGCCATGGCTCGGGAGCTCAGAGGGGAGTCAATGGATGTCGTCGAAGATGCTTGGGCGAAGGCTCGTGTGGCTGACGAGTAAGAGGAGGCCAAAGCACCAACGCTTGACCACTTTTCTCTCAGCAATTACAGGTACACAGAGCGATACCAGGACAGAGACTGGGCATGTCGAAGTCGCCAAGCGTACGATAGTCGCGAAGCAAACCAATATCCATCAAGCTATTCGCAACATAATCGTAGGTAGATGCCAATCTCAACATCAGCAAGTCATCTCTTCCACTCAATCCTCCTCTTCACTCGCCCACAGGTATCTGATTAAATCAGTGACTTGTGTTTGATGAGTCAAGCAAATACCCGCAGGTCCACCAGATCTGAATGCACGTTGCCGTAGCAAACAAGATGTCCGCGTCAGGTCTTCACTACTCAGACTGCACTTGACAAACATTGCTTCCCTACACACAAGTCCTGCTTGACAACCACAATCTTCACATCATCACTCGCGTGGCTATAGCACTTCAACTTAGGAGCTGTTGCCTAGGGTACGCTGGTCTATAAAGGTGTCTTGCCCTCTCAACATCCATAGCCTGACCAGTAGTTTCCAGTAAGAACCTACAAACAAATAACCAAACGCTTAGAACCAAGACAACTCTACCATAAACATCTCAATCATCTCAGTAAGTACACAGTCATGCATGGGCTCAATATGATATAGTGACACTAATTCCCAGGAGCCTACCAGTAATAATGTCTGGCTCAGCCACCCCAACCGCGACCATCAACACTCCTGCCACCAGCAAGACCACCACTCCCACCTCCGACATTATTACCAAGGGAAGCAATGGCGCTGCCACCAATAGCACCAACGGCACCAACGGCACCAACGGCACCGCCAAATCCAGTGGTACTGACACCTCCACCACCGCAACCACTGCCGTCGTCCCGCCGAAGATCAACGACCTAACAGCCGCCGAGCTCGAGACCGCCCTCCACGTCACCTTCGACAAAGCCAAGAAGCTCGCCTGGGACTCCGAGGATGCCACTCCGGAAGCTCTCGTCGCCATCCTTGCCACCTATGCTATTCAGGAAGTGCATGCTTGTGGCTTTGTAAGTTCTCTCCTCCCTGACAATAGTTTATACTGTACTGATATGTTTGGAAACAGCGTCCTCCCTCCGCGATCCGCGCAATGGCCTATAAGATCACTAAGACGGCTGAGACGGGGGAGAAGGTCGCGACGATCGGCTGCTTGAAGAAGGCGAGGGGTGAGTTGATTGCTGAGGCTACTCATGCGAGGAACCTTCAGGTGGCTCAGGGTGCTGCTGGTCAGGTCAACGGTGGTCGAGGCGGCGCGGCTCATGGCAATGGTGCTCAGTCTGGTACTGCCCAAGGTAACGGCACTCACGTTGCTGCTGCTCAGGGTGGTGCTCAGGCTGCGGCTTCTGGTGCCAATGGAACTGCTTGATAGGATCAAAGCTGTTGATTGTGTGCGGTAGCAGGATCCAGCGACATTGCGTTCTGGGTACTTTATCTGGAGTTCAGGATGTGCTAGCACAGGAGATACTTGACGCTGCTGGCCATGGTGGTGCCACATCGCACATCAGGCGTTAATTCACAGGCAAAATCAGCATACATGGAACTTACACGTTGATCGAGATTCCACCTGAGACCCTCCTTGTCCTTTCGCTTTCGAGGTGCACATCGATCACCACACTGCAAGAAGTTACCACCCTTGTGCAGGACGCGTCCCTGCCTTCGTTTCAACGCGTTCCTTCCCATCTTGGCATCTACCTTTTCTGTCACAAGTCTGCATCTTGCCCCAAATTTCGCGCACCAACGTTCGGCATCATCCTACTCGTTGACCCCCTAGCAGATGCTCGGTTTAACTAGCCGCTTAATGCTCCCAGCGACATCCTACTTCTCCATACTCTCAGAAAAGGAAACAACAGAAGTACAGTCTCTTTTGGGCGCTGCTTGCGGTTTCTGCGATGCCCTGACTCACCACCCATACGATCTTCTCGATCCTCCACGCTGCAGCACAAGCCGTTAATGTCGCTCTCAGCACTGCAATGGCTCCCAGAAGAGCACCACTCGAAGACTTGTCTCGACTATTTGCCAACACTACCAGTGCTCCACGAGGTCACTCCTACCTCGACTTGGACAAACCTCTAGACACTAAGTCTGCTTACAACAGTAATACCGGTGTGAAAAGACTTGGAGCTAAGAGACATGCCTACGCTGGATTTGGAGAATATCGTAACAATCCGAGACTTTCGCAGGCCGCGTACAGTTTAGAGGACAAAGACAACAAGGCGTGGGCTGCTGCGCTCGATGAAATTGAGAACCGGAATATCCGAAAACCCCCTAGTCCAGAAGTTAAGCCTGCTAGTAAGGACAATCGGCAGGCAGTTGCTGCCACAGTCACTCCAGTGAAAGCCATACCGAATGCGCCGGCTCCCACTTCTCCTCCTACAGCTCTCCCAAAGAAAATTTTCGCTTCACAGACGGTTGCGGATACAGTGAAGGCCGTCTCAAGTGGAACAGCAACCCTTTCCACGACTCTCTCCTCACAAAAGACAGGCTTCAGCTCGTTTACAGCCGCCGACACGGTCAACAACGGTGCTAAGCGTAAGTGGATAGAGCCAGAATCAACAGAAGCCATCGAAGCCCGGAAGAAACGAAGTCTTCAGCCAGTACCAACCGGAATCACCGAACAACAGAACAGACGAAGTGTACGGCCAGGTCCAGTGGGAGTTACCGGAGCCCAGAAAAGACAAAGTGGCCACACAGGTTGTAAGCGAAGTATCAAGCAAGAAGACGACAGTGTTAGAGACACTGTAATGTGCGATTGCGATGATCCTTTGCATTCGGTGTCAGATGAATAGAGAAACTCAGAAGGCGGGATGCCGAGGAAGCTATGGCCACCAACCAGGCAAGATGTCAATTTACTGGAAAGGATCGCGACCTGGCCGTAGGCTGTATGTAAGATGTTAAGACAGTCGCCGTTGTATGTCTGACTTGCGAAGATACGTCGTTCAGTAGCAAAGCTGGGCAGAAATTCCATCATCTGCGGTTCAAGCGGCCGGCGCCAGCCAAAAAGTGGCACCCTCAAGAATTTGCGCCCTTGTGATCATTCAATTAATAATAAAAACATGCCCATGTCGAAGGTCTATTCTGACTACATCTCTTGTTTATATGAATCTGCTTCGCCCTTGCTCTCCGTACGCTCAGCTCCTTCAGGAAAAGACTTCTGTCGCCACGCCTTCTCTGGGAGTTGATGCAGCACGTTGTCCGGGCGCGGGCCATCGAGATGGCGCCTGCCAATCCCGTCGGCTTGGCTGGCCACTGCCCGACGCGAACGCGCCTGTCCCGATCGCTTCCAGGCTCTGCTGGGGTTTAATCGACCACTTACGATTGCGTGTAAGGCTTCGACCAAGGAGCAAGCAGATGACAAGATTCGTTCAGCTGCGCAGCCTATCAATCTCTTGGAGGAGAGGCTGTGGCAGCATACAGCACTGCGAATGTATTCAAACATTGCTGAAGTGAGCCACATACACCGGGGATCTCCATGCCATCGATCGCAGCATCGCAATCGGTATCCGTGGCTTACCGGACATCAAATGGACATCACCATCGACAGCGGCTGTTCCCCGAACGCACAGTAAGTTGAGTCAGCACTATCGGAGACTGGTCTTCGTTATCTATCGCTGCAGACATACGAGTTATGCGACGAACCAGCGAGTGCCTTCATGTTGATCATGGTAGTCTATTGAATTCTAATAGCCGTCTCTTCCGATCGCAAGCAGCAGAACACATTTCAGAAACCACAATATTCGCACTTCCCACGTACTCTTCAGGCCTGGAAAGTTATGCAATATCGTCGCACACAAGACCAGACAGCGGGCCAAATGAGCGCGACGCTGAGACGAGGACCAACGAGCCTAACTCCCCGCCTGCCAAGTTCTCCAAGACCTCTCAATGCTACTGCCACGACGTCCTTATCAGAACCAAGACCGACTAAGCCGCCCGTTGCGGTACTAGCCCCTGCTTCGCGCGCTCTATCGACACTCACCTTCCTGTCTTGTTCGCCGCCTTGGACGTGCTTCGCTGCACCCTTGGTAAACGAGCTTGATCGACTCGCAAGCAATCATACCACTAAACTGCGTCTGAAGCCTTTCGACCTATCTCTTGTACACAGCCAAGGAAACGCCACTACCGACAAGAACATTGATGTTACCCTGCATGCCACGATTCGGGCGGAAAGTCCATCGCTTGATCGCGTTCCATGCATGTTCTGTGCATTACTGTGCTGCGTTGATGTCGGTTCCAGGGTCCGAAGGAGCATTTCTGGTCGCTTTCCGCGCTCCTGCTGGTAGGACTGGGATGGTGGGGGACTTCGACCCTTGATGGACAGCTTGACGTGCCCAACATATATACCGGCTTGAATTGCGTGCTTCCTTCGCCTGCCTTCCTGCTTCTTGTCCGCTTCTCACCCTCTGCGTGATTCTTGCACGCAGCAATCCCAAACCATCACCATGGACCCCAAAACTACAGGAACACAAGAGCCGTACGTGGTTGAGACGAAAAGCCACGATGCCGAGCTCCAGCCTGAGCGGAAGCACTCGATCACAGGCGATGTTTTCCTCCACGATCATGGCGCAGAGACAGAACTGCGTCGTATCCTCAGCACCAGACATTTGACCATGATTGCCCTTGGGTCTTCCATTGGCATGGGTCTCTGGCTGGGATCTGGTAGCTCCCTGATCAAGGGCGGTCCTGCTGGTAAGCATGTCGCACAATAGGCATTCATTGGGACAAGAGGAGCAGCGTGGCTAATTGGCACTGCACTACAGGTATCTTCCTTGGCTACGTGCTCTCTGGTTTTATGATTTGGTCCGTGTCGCACTCTATCGGCGAGATGGCCGTCATGTACCCTCTCCCTAGCGCCTTCGTTCAGTGGTCCGGCAAATTCATTGACCCGGCATGGGGCTTTGCTGTTGGCTGGGCATACTGGTTTAACTTCGTCATCACTATTGCCAACGAGCTGCAAGCTGCCAACACTGTGCTGCGCTTCTGGACAACAGACGTGCATGTCGCGGCCTGGATGGTGATCTGGTTTGTGGTCATCGTTGCTGTCAATGTCGGTGCCGTTACTGTCTTCGGCGAGATCGAGGTTATTGCTTCCACTATCAAATTCTCGTGGATCTTTGTGGTCATCATCTCTTGCATCGGTAAGTCACAAGCCGGATGCTTATACCTCTCCATTCGTCTACAGAAGGTCAACTCGTTTGGTGCTGACTTCTGACCTACAGTCATCTCCGCCGGCGGCGGGCCCGTCGATGAAGGCTACCCAATCGGCTTCCGCTACTGGAACTCAACCCCCTTCACGCACGGCTTCAAAGGCTTCCTCGCCGTCATGCCAACCTGCATCTTCGCCATGGCCGGCTCCGAGAACGCCGGACTCGTCGCCGCCGAAACCGCCAATCCCAAAAAATCCGTCCCTCGCGCCGTCGGCTCAATCTGGATCCGCCTCGCCACCTTCTACCTCATGGGCTCCCTGATGGTCACCATCACTGTGTCTCCCTTCGAAGAAGACCTCTTCGGCGGCACCGGCACAAATGCGTCCCCGTTCGTGATCGCGTACCGCAATGCCGGTATACCTGTGCTAGCACATTTCATGAACGCGATTATCCTGCTGTCCGTCATCTCCACCGGCACAATCAGCGGCTATGCAGGTGCGAGAACGGCCATGGGTCTAGCGTACCTCGGCATGGCGCCCCAGCAGTTCAAGAAGGCGGACAAGTTGGGTCGTCCGTGGTGGGCGCTCGTGCCCACGCTTACCGTTGGGTTCGGATTGGCTTTCTTGAATGTTTCTGAGGATGGGAAGACGATCTTTGGCTGTAAGTTTCAATGCTCCTTTGTGCACGACCTTTCGCTGATGTATTGGACAGGGTTCTCCAGCTTGACGTCTTGCTTCACCCTCTTCGGATGGGGCATGATCTGCCTCAGCCATATCCGCATGCGCAAGGCGTGGAAGCTGCAGGGTCGCAGGGTCGAAGACCTGCCATGGAAGACATGGACATGGCCTTATGGTGCTTGGTTTGGGTTCATCACGTGAGTTCTACCTTTCCCCTTGCGATCCCCAGGCAGGCATCCAGCCTCCAGCATTTCACGCCTACCCAGACGATTGTATGCCTGCAGCGCACAGCTCGATTCGCACCGTCTCCTCCAACCACCGTTCCTCGCTAACGCCCGCCCTAGCTGTGTAATCCTCCTCGGCGTCCTCTTCTACCTCGCCGTCTGGCCCCTCGGCGTCACGCCCAACGCCGAGGACTTCTGGGCGTCGTACATTTCGGTTCCACTGATTCTGGTACTGTACATCATTGGCAAGGTCATTTACAAGACTCCGTTCTTGGTTGATTTGAAGACGGTGGATTTGGATTATGGACGACGGTTCTATGCGGAGGATGTGGAGAAGAGTGGCAAGAAGGGGAATGTTGCTGTTCGGGGGCTTAAGTCATTTTTCAAGTGAGAGGGCAATTCAGCCATTCCAGCCAGACGGCCCATGGGACCAGCGACTTGGTGGAATTGGAGTGGTCTGCTCGCCTAAACCCTACTTTTAGCAGGGCTTGTGCGACGTTTAGCACTGCAGTAGCATCGATCACGAGCTGGCAGATATACTTCCCTAGCTAACTCATTGACAACGTAAATCAACGACTCTGTGTTCTGGTCGTACTAGATCTTGTGAAGCTTCTCACACCCGTCCACAATTGATGAGCAGACTCAGACAGCAATACACAATACACGGTGAATCACAATCAATAGTAAATGCCACCTGGTCAAGCCAGTGAAGTAGATATCTCGGTTCGCCACGGAAGCTCACTTGGTGATGAGCTATAAGTATGTGCCTTCGTCCTCGACATCGTCTTCTGTTCTTCATGGACTTTCCAAGCCCACGTCAGTGTCATGCCTGATAGCATCCGCTGCTTTCAGGTGGGGCGAGCATCTTCAGTGACCTATGTGGCAGAACCATTTGTCGCAACACGCACTGACGATGCAAAATCAAAATGGTCCGGGTTTTGGGCAAACGTCGCTTCAAGAGTCGTTTGACCTGGTTTTGGAACTTTCATACTGATACCCCTGGCTTGCAGTAGTGTCTGATGGTCAAGCTCCTGCTGCGGGTCTTGCAACCACTGAATCCAATTCATCTTTGCAAGTGTGTGAGCGCGACGTATGATTCACTGACTCTGCGCATCGTTCTCCAGCTTTGTATTAGATCGTCTGAGCGTTGGCTGATCTGAATGTCGAGTCAGATCTCCTCGGCTGGAGGTCTCTGCTTGTTCGGCCGATGTGCCTGCCTGGGTATACACGCACCACGGATGGGGTGAGGTACATGTCAGCTCAACCACAGGCACATCCACTGCCTACACCCAGGCAGCGACCAAACTCGATCACCCGAAGAAAAGTGAATGCCCCGCTGACCGAGTCAGTGAAGCGATGGTCTCGGTTCGTGTCGGATCGTTAATCTGTTGAAGATGTATAAATAGTCGTCTTACCCGAGGCGTTGTCCTCTTCCCTGCTATCGCAAAGACAAGATCAAGGCTTTCTTATTGTCATACCTTGGCAGTATCTGATGCTGCCTGGTGGGACGGGCGCTTCTGTCGTGCGGCCGGCTCCCTCTGTAGAACCGTATGATCGTCTTGCTTGCTGACGTTCAGATAGCCCAGCCCTGCGTTGTCTGCATCCAGCGCTTGGTCTCTGATGGAGGCGGTGCGTCCTTTGGCACTTCCGCAAGCTGATCCCTGTGGTGAGAAATCAGCTTGCGAAGGTAGGCTGTAGAGGCTACTTCCGATGCAGCCATCGTCGTCGCCGGCTTTGACGCGACCTGCATAGCTAGTCCAATGAACGACCCATTGCTCGGCATCGACTTCTTGACGAGCTTCCATGTCTTGGTTGTAGCATGTGCCGTTGTCATGATGTCAAAAATCCCCACATCGACTTCTCGCTCGCCGCCACCACCTTCGACTTGTTTGCCGAGAGCGGCGAATACTCCTCCACAATGCCAGGTTTGGCTGGTGCAGTCAAAGCTGCCTCGCGCACACCTGGCAGTCTCCGCACTGGCACAGTCGCGTCTGGAAGGCCATGCCGGTTCTGATCTGGGTCCACTGAAGTCGTGGTCGTGGTTGCTGAAGCATTGGCTTTTGGACCTCGGCCCAACCTGTTACCTTTCCGCTTGCTGGAGTTGGACTCTCGTCCCAAGTCCTCTGGTGGCCATACTTGTTCCAACTCCTCCAGTGGCCATTCTCGTTCCGAGTCATCTTCCCTCGGCGCAGGAAGGGATGATTTACCAGCATCTTCTCTGACGGATGATTTCTTGAGACCCTGTTGTCCACCTCTCAACTCCCCCAGCGTCGTGAACCTAATGCCATGATAAGGACTCGATTGATTCCGCGACGCAAGCGCTCTCTGAATCTGGTCATTGACTATTCTCCTCCACTCTGTCATCCTCATAGGCGTGGTCATCCGCGCTTTAGGTAGCCAGGTCCGCACCATCGTCATGATTGGCTTTTTGGTTTTTACGTGCGCTTGGACTTCGTCACTCTGCAGAAAGACTTCCAAATCTCTGCGAAGCTGCATCATCTGGGCGACGACTGCTCTGTTCGGTCCCGGTGTTTGTGTCCAATACTTCATCCATACGCTCTTTGACTTTTCGGCGAATTGCTTGTGGTTATTGTCGGTTGGTCGGAGTAATGGTCCCTCGTCGGGCACCAGAGCAAGTGGCAAATTCGACAGGAATCGGCGTTCGAGGACGTCGAATCCCTCGCGAAAGCTGCGCATGCGGGCCTGGAGTGTAATCACCTCGAGATCTTCTTGGGGGTAGTGTGCGAGACCTTCATTATCGCTGCTTCCTCTCAGAAACGTTGCGATGGTGCACTTCTCTTCACCTCCGTCGTCGGCTTCCGCCTTGACTTCTCCGGCTTGGTTGGCGGCTGCTTCAGCTCGTCCCCGTCCAGATCTTCGTTCCTTTTTCTTCTCATGCACGCGTGAGGACTTCGAGCTTCTGCCGACCGCTATCCTCTCTCGCAACCTCGCCCCCAGGTTGAATTTCGGGGCCTTTCTACGTCCCCCACCAATGATGGAGATATAATCCCCAGGGTTGTAGGCAGGTCCTTCGGAGCGACGTGAGGCCTCTTTGAGGGCATCTAGCGCGCTCTGAGGCGGCAGCTTGTCGCCAGTCCCCACAGCTGCTGCTACTGTAGCGAGTCCTCGACGCTGTGCCTGTCGGAGACTCGTATGGCAGAATTGAGGTCTGGTTTGCCGTATCAGGAACGGAATCAACTGCCTGTAAGCGCGGTCTGCCATGCCTACGATGTGTGCTGGTGAGACCACCGCGGTCATGGCTGATTCGCCATTGACGACAAATCTGCTGCGAGTAAAGTCGCTGCATCACTAGTGCGTGACATGACTAGCAAGATGATGGACCGCGGTTGACTTGGTGCATGCGAACACCGACATATGACGCAGGCTTGAAAGAGTGAATTGGAGACCGGTTGACAAGCCTCAATGCTACCTCGCCAAGACCGGATGACACGTATTACCGCAATAAAACAGCTGGTTGAACAAGATAATAATGTCGCTTTGCTTTGCTATCTGCTAGCTAGCTGGCAGGCTCCTTCTCCTTCTCTCTTCTCTTGTTCCCCCTCTGGCAATGCTCATGATGACGGTGCTGCCTTCCTCGAGGCGTCGTCTGCTCACTCCCGTACTTGGGTATCTCTTTCTCTCCGAATCATAGACTTGCGTTAAAGTCGTCAGAGGGCATCACGGGACCTGCATAGCCAATCGCTCCAGCCCTAGAGCCGTTTTGGAGTATGAGATCTGCCGTCCAGGAAGCTGTGTGACCAACCTATCTGCAGTACCGTCCTTGGATTCTGCTCCGACAAATCTCAGTCTTGCCGTAGAAGCCATTCACTCATTACAACATGCGCAGCGCCTAACACAAAGCTGGCCTATCCTACCCAAATCACCCGCCGCTCCCCCTGCTAAACCTCCCCACAACCTCCCTCATCCGCGGCACCAACTCCACGATCCGAAACGGCTTACTGACCACATCATCAATCCCACTCTTTCTTGCATTCAAGATCTGCTCTTCCCTTGCATTCGCAGTCACTGCAATAATATATATGCCCCTTGATCTGCTTTTCGGACTGCATTTGTCGCAGACGGCGGACACAGGTCTGACCGTCCATCACCGGCATTTCCAGATCCATCAGGACGACGTCGATCGTTATTGCGGGGGATGGAGGGTTGTCTGAGACCGTGCCGTTCTTAGCGACAGTGGTGGGTGGGGCGGCCCAGAATTGCGAAGCCATAATCTGCTCGATAGCTTCTTGCCCGTGATTCGCGACGTGCACGACACAGCCGATCTTGCGCAGCTGAGTTGCGAGCACTTTCTGGTTGATCAGGTTGTCCTCGACGATCAGCACGTTCAAGCCTTCGCGTGCAGCTGGTGACGTGGGCGGGGACGGTGGTGGCGGGCTCGCTGGAAGGTACGGCAGAGATGGCTTGCCTCGAGAACCTTTGCGGAACTGCACTCCAGGGTGAACCGGTCCGAGATCGCTCTTGCTGAGCTGTGTGGCTGCTGTGCTCGCCGCGCCTTGATGTAGAACGCAAATGTGCTGCCTTTGCCGGCTTCGGAGGCCACGCCGATCTCACCGCCCTGGAGTTCGACTAGCTCCCGCGATATGAAAAGGCCAAGGCCGCTGCCGCCGTAGCTTATATGCGTACGAGGGTTTGCTTGGGAGAACCGCTGGAAGAGCTGCTTCTTCTCCTCCTCGTCCAAACCTCTGCCAGTGTCCTCGACAGCGAAGTGCAGGAAGACTGCGTCCCCGAGACCCCATTGAGCGGCTGCTGTGACATCGCGATCTTTGCTTGTCCGGGACGGGATGTAGGTAAGGCCCCATTTGTCCTCCGTAGACGGCTTCTCAGTGGATGCGCCAACGTACATAATTATGGTCCGTTTCTCTTGTGTCGTGGTAAACTTAATCGCGTTGGTCGTCAAGTTGATCAGCACCTGTGACAGTCGATGCGGGTCTATCATGACCCAGTCGATGCCCAAGTCCGTGTATGACTGGTCGACCTTGAACTCGAGTACAATATCTGATGTGGACAATTCGGCCTCGAACATCTTCAACGCCCTTTGCACCACTCTGACGGGCTGCACGTCCACAGGTGTGACGACCACCATGGCCGAGTCGAGCTTCGACAATGTCAAGACGTCGTCCACGATCCTCTTCTGATGCTGTGCGCATAGTGTGATTGTTTGTGCCGAATCTATAGTAACATCAAGCAACTCGCGCTGGTCTTGCGTAAGGTCTCGAGCGTTACGAATGTCGGTCAGAGTGCCAGCTATGGAATCGGCGCTTTGCAGTATGGCTGATAGAGGATTGCGCATCTCATGTGAAGTTGTGTCAATGTACTTCTCCTGCTGCCGTTTCATTTCTAGAGCGTCTTCCATACGTTTCGTCTGCATGCTTTCGGCAGCTTTCTGCGCGCTGATATCGGTCATGGAGCCGAAGATTCTCTTCAGATTGCCATCTTCATCCTTCTCCGGCGAGGCACTTGTGAGGACCCAGGTATGGCTTGTGTTTCCTAGATTGTCTCTCCACGGGGTCTTGAAGCGAATCTCGAGGGAGATGGGCGATCTGTTCAAGAGCATGACTTGCCACGCTTCGCGCACTTGAGCTCGGTCATCCTCGACGACATAGTTGATCCAGTCGTCGCTTATAGCTTTGTCGCGCGAGTATGATGTGATGTCGTACCAGGCGTCGTTGACGAGGAACAAAGAACCATTCGAATCGGCAATGAACATGCCTACGGGTGCGAGTTCTGCCATCCGTGTAAACTTGTTCTCCGCCTCCACTGCCTCTTGCGTCCTCGCAACTAGTTGATTGTTCAGCTCGATGCGGTCCTGTGCAGCCAACTGCGCCGCTCTTTCGCCCTTTCTGATTTCCGCTTCGAACAGAACGACTGATGCTATTGACGTAGCCAATTGACGCGCAAGAAGCTGTACGAATAACTCATAATCTTCGTCATATGGTCTTCGAGGATTTGTTCCCATTACCAGAAACCCTAGTGTGGACTCGCCAGTCGTAGGGTGTATCGGGCAAATGACTAAAACACGAGATGGGTCGCCATAGCCGCGCCATTGTATACCTTCAATCAGCTCTGGGTTCAGAGTTCCGTCGTCCTGTCTAAGGACAATCGGTCGATCTGTAGTGAGCGCTTGGCGAAAATACGGAGCAAAGCCGTCTTTGCTGGTTTTCATGTCAATGGTCTCGGGCGCTGCGAGATGTTGGGCTGGGACACCTAGCGTGCCCTCCAGGGACGCGATCTTAGTGGATGCTCCGCTGTTCGAAGAAGTAGAAAGATCGTCCAGATCCTGCATATCGTTGGTCAGCGAGTACACCATGACCATAGGTGTGTCTAGCTCGTTGAACTGAAGACCCTCGATCAGGAGGCTCCAGAAATCATCGACCTTCCGAGCTGCCGCTGTCTTCTCGCCAATCTCACGCAGTGTGAGCATCCTTCTCTCAGCGACTTTTCGACGAGTCTTTTCGAAGGCAGGATTGTAAAGCCCAACCACACTGCCATCGTTGCCGATGAGAGGTATAATGCTCCACGAGAAGTATGTCTCCTCCAAGAACCCATTCCGCATAATGAACAGGCAATCATCATCCTTCATAGTTGCCTGAGCACTATGGTAGGCGTTGTCGAAGACTTCCTGCAGTGCATCCCATATCTCGAACCATGCATCGCAATATCTGCTACCCATGAGCGTAGGATGCTTCTGTCCTGCCAGTAAGATATACGGCTCGTTGTAGATGGCAACATGATCAGGACCCCAGTACATCGCCGCCGGATGAGGACTTGCCATAATCAGGTTGCACATGCCTCTCAGGTCAGAAGCCCAACCTTCAATCGCACCTAAGCTTGTGGAACCCCAGTCGATACCACGAGCAAATTGTATATGTGCTGGCAGATTTGGGCCCAGTGGGAGCCTGGTCCAGTCGAACGATCCATTCTCCGAGGTGATCTGGTCCTGAAGCTCAAGGAGCTCGCCATTGTTAGCCGCAGGCAACGTTCTTTGCTCGGGAGCTGGTGATAGAGGTCCCGCTAAAAGCTCTTCGTGACCCATATCACCGGACGGTGTCGGTTGTGCCTCTATAGGAGTCCGTGGTGATAGAGGCCCATCCAGGCTACCGGAGATGCTAGTCGTGATCAGACGCGTGGGTCGTATGTGGTCGAAATAACCTGGCGATGGATCACGTATCCTGGTAGGCACATATCCATTCACTGGTTGCATGACAGATGGTGTGCTGAGTTCCTGGATTTGAGGCGGCAGGGAGTCTAGACTGCCTGTAATGACTCGAAACCTTTTCGACACTGTGGAAGACTTCCATGTTGTACCCGCGAATGGGAACGATCTGACGGTGTTAGGATCGGAGAAGAGGCCCAGCGCCCATGACTTGAAGTCGGCGAACGGGGCTCCCAGAGTAGTAACTTGTGCAGTATCTGAGCCCAAGCCTCGAACATGGTCCAGAAGTACAGGTCTTTCGCATAGTGCATCGTTAGCGAATATATGGTGTAGCTCGGGGTCCAGACCGTGTGTATCGTCGTATAGATCCACTACGAAGATGGGCTGATCTTCCTGCTGAAAGTACTCCGTGAGACCAACAGACTCAAGCAAGTATGCGCCGTGCTCTGTGCGTGGATCTGGCGGCACTGGTGCCGGAGGCAGTATTTCATGGAAGATCTTGTGCGCCGGCGCGGGTGACGAGGTTGCGGAAGGCCTGCCACTTGCGCCTCTTGCCATTCTGACAGTGCGATTGCCGCCGGTCTCTTCAGCACGACTGAGCATCGTGGAGGCAGCTTCGGCGAACGAGAGCTGGCCTGGTGAACAAGACCGGGGTCTATTCGAGTATGGCGAGGGTCTGTCCCCCAGGAACAGATCTCTGCCCCCTAGCGAGTCATCTGAAGGCCATCGGGTGTGCTGCTCGACTGTGGTTCTGACTCTCTTCTGGCTACGAGGGCTATCTTGAAAGGAGTGACTCGGTGATGGTACGTCGTCTGGAGGGGATCGTTTTCGAGAGGGAGAGTGACCCGCGCTTCGAATGTTCGATAGGGATGGCTCAAGAGCGATATCTGGCTGCCGTTGGTGGACGGGGAGTGACTGCGGCACAGAAGTCATACAACTGTGTAGAGCAACAAGCTGCGATACATGGAACAAGTGGATATCCAAAGGTTGACCGGGGTACTAGTAGTATAGAATGTCCGCCGTTACATCCAGGAGGACGGATCGGTTCGCGTATTGATAGCGAAGGAACACGCGTAGGAGGCTTGGGATAAGGATAGTTGAAGGATATGGGAAGCTCAGAAAGACACCATGTGCAACAATAATGACAGAGGCTGCTAATTTGGATCGCACCTGCTTGGTCCTACTGACTTGCAGAGTTCGAGGCAGTATCGATGCTTGACCGAGCAACCAAATCTACGAGGGAAGGAATGCGAGATCTATCCAACTTAATTCTGAAGCCGCCCATCCTGCTATCAATAAAGGACGCGAGTTGGATGCTGTCGGATATAGAATCCCTTCCTCATGTCAGTAGTCTTATTCACAGTGGTCTGCTGTTCAGGAATCCGCGCCCATCCACATGGTGAATTGTGGTAAGGCAGCATCTTTTCCATCGTACGATAGATCGCGATCTGGCGGCGCAATAGGAGCGACAATCTTTAGAGGTGGAGCTGCACAAGCGGCTCGCTAAAGAGGTCTGGGCCTTCAAGCCCCGCGATTAAGGATACGAGCCATGGGCGTGTCTGCCGCCTGAGCCGCATAATAAGTACTGCTAGGCGTGCTATCCTACAAAGCCTACCTAGACAATCGACGATGTTAATTTTGACCAGTGACAAGACCGATTGTGCCGCTGCTGCATTGTTGAGAGCCCTCCGAGCAGAAGAGCATGGTGAATAATCCTTGCAGCAGATCAGGGACTGCGAGCCGCAAGCCATGAACCTGCCTCGGCAGGTGCTGACCAAGCCGCGAAGGGTCTGGGGAAATACGAGACCTTTGCTCTACAATAGTCGCGATGGTCTGTAAATGCTCTTTCGCGTGTCTCATGTTGGCTCTGGGAACCTGATTCTTGATCGGGTCTGGAGGAGTCGAACCAACATTCTGATCAACTGAGCATTATGGGCAGTCTCAACTGTTGAGCTCGACCCGCCGCTTCAACAGAGCTCTTGCTTCTTGCTCGCTGAGCAGGTCGAAACCCATGTCAGCAAGAGCTTCCCGTGCGGCCTCATTCGACCTGAACAGCTCCTTCTCTGCGTCCCAGAGACTCCAGCCCTCACTTTCGGCAGAAGTGTCTTCCCGAGTCAGGCTCGGCGAGATCTCCTTGGTAATCTCTTCCTCCCCATCTTCGTCGAAACCCCAGGCGTCATCGCCATCCTCGGTTGACTCTGTAATTTGTGGCCGCGCTGAGCTCTTGATAGGTAGAGACAACAGTCCAATAGCCTGGTTGAGCTTGCGGAAGCTGGAGCTAGCGATACTGCGCAGACCCGTAGACGCGTCGATCCGATCCTCGAGGGCAGCCACATCTCTTCTCATCTGCATCATGCCGCTGGTCGAGAAATTGTGGCTCTGAAGAACGCTCGTCATGAGTTGTGTTTGCAGAGCGCCACAGTACTGTCTGACTAGTCGGCGTAACGGTGGGCCTACGACTACCTTTGACAGTGTATCCTCGAAAAGGACTCTGGTCACTTCCAGTAAAGGGTCGAGTGCCGCTGACGGGCTGAGTATAGTCGACTTGGAAGGTGGATCGGACATCGAAGCCCAGGTCGTCTGTCTCGCGAAGGGCGCAATCGCTGCCGTAATATTGACCTCCAGCAGCCTTAACATCTCTCGCTCGGCAGCCTCTTTTAATCGCCGGTACGCTAGCGCAGTCTCATCAAAGAGAGCACCAGAGTCTACGTCGTCATCGCCATCGATGCCGTTCTGCTTGATGGAAGCCGATGTCTTCGCTGCTACTTCGTCCAGACGCAGATCCTTACCAACATTACCACCAGATGTGCTGTGCCCGCGAGCCCGCTCCTGAAGCTCGTCCCATAACTCGACAAAGAAGACGTCGTCACTCCAGTCCAGCATCTTCCGCTCCAGAAACTCGGCACTACCGAAGATTTTGCACAAGGTATTCAGGGCTTTCTTGTCAAACGTTCCGTCATTTGTGTACTGTCCCTGTAGATAGCGTCCAGCTCGGTGAGTCGATGCTAGATATGCCTGGAGTGACTCGTGCAGGTGCGCATGATAGTCATCAAATATCGAGATCTGGACGCCAATCACAAATTTCATCTTCTGGCTGAAGGAAGAGAGGCCTCGATATCGATCTGTGATGGTCTCAAGAAGGTCGTTCACTCGTATTGCACCCTTTGTAGGCTTTGTCTCGCCACGATCGACGCCGTCGTAATCGACGTCTCCACTGTCGGCAGCGTCTCTTATGGACTTGTACCTTTCCAGCGCGAAGTCTTTCTCGATGTTCAACCACCGATCGAAGTACCCGTGTTCGTCTAGGATGGTCCATGAAAGACCCTTCCATTGCCTGAGCGGGTCTGCAAAGGGTGCATAGTTCCAAGTGTCGCGCAGAGTGTCATCGAAGGACATCAATTCGCTTATGAAATGCGAAAGTAATTGCGGACGCTTTGACATTTGTGGAAGCAAAGACAAGCATTTGTGCACAACCATCGGAAGCAGCGAGCTTATAAACGACGAGACAGCATCAGTGTATATATCCTCTAGGGCGTGCTTCTCATCGATTCTGGCGTCCAGCAGAGGCTGAAGATGATCAGTCATGAAGGGACTGAAACGGTCCAAGAGATCGAATATGTGAGACAAAAAGTACTCTGGTTTGTCCAGTCGGTTCGTGGGCCTGTCGCCATAGAAGTGGAAGCGAAACCGCTGTGAGAGAGGCTCTGCCATTATCTGGAGTGGCGCTAGAACTACTGGCTGAGTCTGCTTCGTCTGGTCGTCTTCAGCCTGCAGATCCGCCTCTTGCACATCTAGAAGTAGGCTGGCAGAGTTCGACCAGGACGCTAGGACGCCGCCCAAAAAGTTCATCTCTTTCTGCGGCCACTTCATCTTGTCCAGAATGCTGGTAAATGATTTAGTGAGGTTGGCTCGAAGGCTGCTCCGTGCCTCTTGGACGGCAACCTCTGCTCTAGCTACAATCTGAGCACCTGAGCCTTCAGCTTCCTCCTGTGCAACGTTCAAGGCAGCTGATACCTCTCTGAGACGTGTATAGCTCTTCACGGCGGACACTGGCTGTGCTGACTCGAAGTTGGTAACATCGCCATGCAGTTGATCCAATACCTTGAGCAACTCGAGATAATTCGTGGCGAGCTCAAGTCGACGCAACTTGACTAGTCGGGAGTCGAAGGCCTGGACTGCCTCTTCTGTCGTGCTGGAGTAGGATATTTCCTGTAGCCTTCTGTCGAGGTCCGCCTGCTCTTTCTGGAAGTTGATAGCTTGCTCTTGCAGTCGCTTTGAATGCTGTTCGGCCGCCTTCTTTGCACGGTCGAGGCTGGCCTGGGCATCTTGCAACTGTGACTGCAGAAGCGCTTGCTGCTCTTGCACCCGCAGCAGAAGGTCGTCCAACCCATCTAGGTCCCGCGCTTCGCCGATCTGATCGTCAAGGTAGTCATCGATCCGCTGGTCATCAGTCGGTCTGACTGGTTCCAATGTCGTCATTGCAAAGGCATTGAATGAAGGTGACCCTGACGGGCAGTATAATGAATGACAACTTTCACGTTCAGCACCAAAGAGGTTGCGGGGAAATAAGTATTGCCTATCTCCGATGCGCGTCTACCTATGACGCGTGAAGTCGACAATGCCACTGAGTGCTGGTGAGTCTTACAGTGCGAAGCAAACATGGTCGGAGGGTAGTCGCAACCACACGCATCGGCTATTGAGCCGATGCAAGCAAAGATGGAACAATCGCCGGCCAAGAAGAGAAAGAAGAACAATACTCAAGCCTCGCCTATACCGACTCGTAGTCTCGACTACTTCTTCGGCAGGCAACGAGCAGACACAGCTCCGACAAAGCAGGCTGCAGCCGAGACTCATGCACGGAAAGGAGAGGAGGGCAATGACACCGATAGCGTACCTCTGACCGACGAAGAGCTTGCGCGCAGTCTGCAGCAGCAATTTGACGAAGAAGATCGACGCCAGCAGCGAGAGACTACCCCAACAGCGACCCTTCCCCAGAAAGCAGGAAACGATACTGATATCCCGGCCGCTGCTCACAAATCGGAAGATGACAGGGAAGCCTTCCTTCGCTCGGTCAATCAGCCTCCAGTCGCCACGCTCCTGCCGAAGGAGACAACCGGCACAGCGCCACCAACAGCTTCCAAGCACGTCCTAGGACTAAAGTCGACCGCCTCAGCGGAGGATACCGTCACCTTGACCATTCCTTTCGACCAAAGCCCTTTGACCTTCAGACCGGCGGACTACATTCCGGAGCTGAAGAAGCATTGGGCAGCCGATGGAGGGGATGCATCCTATGCACTTCTGACTCGTTGCTTCGTCCTTGTGAACTCAACACAGTCGCGCATAAAGATCGTCGACAACTTGGTCAACTGCATTCGACTGCTCATTGAGGGCGATCCCAGTAGCCTTCTGCCGGCCGTATGGCTCGCCACGAACTCGATATCGCCGCCATACATATCTCTCGAGCTCGGACTTGGCGGCTCAGCCATCTCAAAAGCTCTCAAGAAAGTATGTGGACTGGATGGGCCTGGCTTGAAGAATCTCTACGACAAGCACGGCGATGCCGGCGACGTTGCTTTCGAGGCTAAGAAGCGGCAATCCTTCACCTTGCGAAAACCAAAGCCACTGTCGATCAAGAGTGTTTACCAGCTTCTTGTCAAGATCGCCAACAGCAAAGGCACAGGCAGCGTTGAGCAAAAGCAGAGGTCTGTGGAGCGCCTTGTCCAGGATGCCAGAGGTGCGGAAGAGAGCAGATATATTGTGCGTACGCTGTGCCAGCATCTGCGCATCGGTGCCGTGAAAACGACCATGCTGATCGCCTTGGCGCGAGCGTTCAGTCTTTCGAAACCTTCAGATGCGGATATTCCACTGCAGGATATGGATCATCTGAAGAAGCTAAAGAAGGAGGAGCTGACAGCGGTATGGCTGAAGGCAGAGGAAGTTGTCAAGGGCTGCTTTGCGCGCCGCCCAAACTATAACGATCTGGTGCCTATGCTACTAGAAGTCGGGGTCTCGGACGAGCTCAAGCTTCGATGCGGCCTCGCACTGCATATACCACTGCGTCCCATGTTGGGCAGCATCACGCGAGACCTTAGCGAGATGCTCACGAAGCTGCAGGGACGAGATTTCAGCTGCGAGTACAAGTATGATGGACAGAGAGCACAGGTTCACTGCGATGACGACGGCAAAGTGTCAATTTTCTCGCGCCATCTCGAAGTCATGACGGATAAATATCCCGATCTGGTTGCTCTGGTACCCGATATTCGCGGAGACGGCGTTTCCAGCTTCATTCTCGAAGGCGAAGTGGTCGCAGTCGACCAGTCTTCTGGCGATCTCAAGACATTCCAGACCCTCACAAACCGAGCACGCAAGGACGTTGACATCAACACAATCCAAGTTGAAGTCTGTCTCTTTGCATTTGACCTGATGTATCTCAACGGACAGTCATTGCTGGACCGACCGTTTAGAGAAAGAAGAGGCTTGCTCAGAAGCATGTTCATCGAGCGAGAGTATCGGTTCACATGGGTGAAGAACCTGGACGCCACATCAGCGGATTCGGAGACCGTGCTTGAGTTCTTCAAAAGTGCAACAGACGTCAAATGCGAAGGCATCATGGTCAAAGTTCTGGACAATCTTCCTAATCCTGAGCTCCTGGCCCCCGAGGCCGACGAGGACACACCGCCAGCCCCAGCTCCAACAACACCGGTGAAGACCAAGAAGGGCACCACCAAAAAGTCCACCACCACGAAAGAAGAAGATAAAGAGAAAGGCACCCGCCGCAAAGCCCTCCTTGCGACCTACGAACCCGACAAGCGCCTCGACTCCTGGCTCAAAGTCAAAAAGGACTATGCCACCTCCGCCGACACAATCGACCTAATCCCGGTCGCCGGCTGGCACGGTCAAGGCCGTAAAGCGAAATGGTGGTCTCCCATCCTCCTCGCCTGCCGCGATCCCATCTCCGGCTCCCTGCAGGTCGTCACGAAATGTATCTCCGGCTTCACCGACAAGTTCTACCAGGCGAACAAGGACTTCTACAGTGAGGATGGAGAGCACACTCACAAGTACAAGCCGGATTACATCGAGTATGGAGGGCATCCGGATGTGTGGTTCGAGCCGCAGGAGGTGTGGGAGATGGCGTTTGCGGATATCACGCTTAGTCCGACGTATACGGCGGCGATAGGCCTGATCAGCGAAGAGCGAGGGCTCAGCATGCGCTTCCCACGTTTTCTCAAGGTGCGTGAGGACAAAAGTATAGAAGAGGCGAGCACGTCGGACTTCTTGGCCGGACTGTACAGGAAGCAGGAGGCGAGGATTGAGAAGGAGGGAGGGCGGGTTGAGCCTGTGGATGATCTGGAGGATGAATGATTACAGGACATGCAGACCATCAAAATCAATCGGATTGTTCAATGCAAACACCTCCTGATACTGTGCGTCTACTACGTCCGCTGCTGGTGTGTTGACAGCAATACCATGCCCACTACCAGCCACGAGGACTTTCGCTGCAGGTGATCTTCAATGCAGATCAGGCAGTGAAACTGACTTTCGTTGCACGGAGATCGTATCCGTCTGCGCATTCGCGTAGGTCTACATGCCACATGTCCCTTGAGAATGCCCACCGCCATTGCCAATGAATAACATTTACGACTGCTCCTGAAAGCCTTGACTAGTCGCAAGACAGATCTCGGTCCGCTCCAAACGATGATACCCTACTGAGTGCGCGAGTCGCGACATTCCCATAGCCTCGTCGTGAGCATCAGTTCCTCAACACCCTACAACGGATCAGCGATCGCATCGAGTCCGGCCAAGGAAGACGACTCTACAAAACGTCACAGGGCACAGGGACTGCCGCTCCCTGCGGACACTACTACAATAACACCACTCCACCAACAGGCCGGCAGAATGTACCACCTCGTCCGCTCCCTCTACCTCCGCTACACGTCCAAACCCGAATACTCCATTCTCCTCTTGGGCCTCGACAACGCCGGCAAAACCACCCTCTTGAACCAGATCAAGGCCCTCTTCTCTACCACCGCTACCAACACACCCGACCCTCTACTGCCCCCAAACCCCACCACCACAGATTCAACCACTGGAGCGGAAGAAGGCGCGTCAAGCACAGCAGGAAATACAGTCCCAACAGTAGGACAGAATGTCGCGACGATCGACCTGCCAGAGATGTATCTGAAGATGTGGGATGTGGGCGGACAGATGAGTTTGCGGCGGCTGTGGACGGGGTATTATCGGGTGTGTCATGCGGTTGTGTTTGTGGTCGATAGTAGTGATTTGGGGAGCGGCGGATTGGAGGGGTTCTTTGACGAGCCTCAGGGCAGGGTGAATGGGGTTGGGGAGAAGGGTGCGGATGGGGCTGAGGGGGCTGCTGGTGGTGGGAGCGATGGGTCAAGGGGAGTAGGGACGATAGGCAGAGGGTGGCAAGGCGGCGGCGCACGACTGAAGAGTTTTCGGAAGAATAGTGCGTTGGGAGACGGCGACGACGAAGGAGAAGGGAAGGACTGGGCATGGCCGAAAACGCCCATGACGCCTATCACGCCGGGCGCATTACTTGGTGGACTTAATCACGGCCGCCTCGAAGAAGCGCGTGAAGTTCTGGAGTCCGTTCTCGGACATGAAGACATGGGCGGCGTCCCCATTTTAGTGCTCGCGAACAAGCAAGATCGGGAAGATAGTATTGAGGTGGTGAGGATAAAAGAAGGCTTCGTGAGGAAGGTGTTTGAGGGGGAGAAGGGCGGGTTGATCAGGGATAGTAGGGTACTGCCGGTGAGTGCGTTGAAGGGGACGGGGGTGCGGGAGGCTGTGGAGTGGGTGAGGAGTAGGGTTGTGTGGAATAAGGAAGGACGGCCGCCGGTCATGCGGTGAGGGTGGTTTTTGGTAACAGGATGATTTTATTATCGTGCTATGGCACAAGCGACTGCTGCCAAGCAATTTGTGACTGAGGAGTGACGTGTCGGCGATCCACTGAGGATCATCCAGTGAAGAGAGACATCGAGCGAACGGACCGACAGCGATGACTTCGCCTAGAAGATGCCAGACGGTCTCTGCGTCGACGGCCGATGCTGCCGAGCTGATGCGGCAAGACTGGACGAATGCGGCGATGCTCTAACGATCAGTGCGCGAGTCGTTGGCAGTCATGTCGGGCATCTTGCCTGGAGGGTCCAATACCACGCCAACCTGACAAACATCGGGTGTGAAAGCTGAGTTGCAGTATTGGGCTCCACCGGTGCGGTAGGAAGGCGTTTTGCTCACGGCAAGTCTATTCACGATGCTCGTGCAGACAGGGCTGCATACTCACGACGTCAACCACCACAAGTCACGATCGCCTCCACATCTTCGCTGCAGAAGCTCTCGCCCCTGCTGTGTGATGTGTGATGCGTGCCAGCCCAGGTGGTGGGATCTTGATGGCCATTATGGTCGGACGTCGTCAGAAGAAATGGTGTAGGTGGAGTGCTCGTGGCTGGGACTCAGGTCTTGAATCGCTCTTCCTTTTCATCGTATCCGACAAGATCGAGGTCGATGTCCATTTGGCGGAGCATGGTGGCCATAGTGAAGGGCTGCAGGTGCATTAGTGGGCTCAACGAGTCGAGCATATAGACTTACTGGCTGCTCGGGCGCTTCGTCGGGCGGTTCAACACTATCAACCAGACCATATTTGAGCGCTTCGGCATGCTCCTCATTTTGTATGAAACTTAACAGTTCTTGCTCCTCTGCGGACAATGTCGGCTTTGCGTCTTCCCATGGTGGTGATCGTTGACGAGGCCTAGACCAAGCACTTTCGTTCTCGGCACGAGTCTTCATGTCTTCGAAAAGCTCTTCAGCCGTGCCACGGACCACGCACGTCCATTTGTCAGTCAACACTTGCATGACATGCGCCTGATCCGTCTTGAGGATGTTCAGAGCCTGTTGCGCAGTGTCAAGTGACTGACGCATTTGTGTCAACTGACGACTGAGGTTCATATATTGCTGATAGAGCTCGTTGGTGTCGGCATCATGGCCATTGTTAGCATCATCAATGGCGGTATCGAGAGCTCCAGGTGCGGCAGCAATCGTATCATGACTTTCCGTCTGCGCTTGCTGAGTAGCTACTGACGATTCATTTACCTTGCCGGAACCCGTGGATACTGATGACGATGATTTTCTTACGAGTGGTGATCGAAAAGGTTTTGTCAGCTTGGAAGTAGTGGCTGTATGACCTATTGATCGCAGTGGCCGCTTGTTAGGAGGCTGGATCATGGTCACATTGGCTGCCATGATGGTGATGACACGGCGTGGATACATAAGCATTTGATAGGGGCAGTCGAACTGGATTTTAGGTGCCAGGATTTACTCGGTACCACCGTTTTGCCCATCGCCAGCGGTCGCCAAAACGAAGAATTAGAATCAGCTGTCGCCGCGAGTCAAAATCGCGCTAAAATCCATGGCCGCTATTGGCTGGAGACCACGGCATCGTACTCCACCTACCGATTTCACTGGCATGCCTGTGCCTTTCTCGTCTGTCTCCTTCTCCCGTTCGGACAGAAGATCTCGAAAACAGCGGCGCTGCGTGTGCGTGCCAGCCTCGAGACAAGTCTCAGCAAAGCCATTCTAGGCCAAACAATCAAAATGACCATCCAGCTCACCCGATCACTCCCTTCTCGCTTTCCTTTTGCTTCATCATCGTCACCACCTCGCTGCCATCAAATACGTGCATTTCCATCACCGTCGCCGACGCATTTCTTTATTTTCCATCGTGCACCCACTTGACTGTCGCACCTGAGCAGCACTAAAGGGATATGACAAAGAGTTTCACCGCAACCTGACGGACAAAACTCTGACAGGCGGCTCGATTGCCTTTCAAGTCATCATTCACCACGCCTGCTATCAAACAAAGCACTTTCCATCACTGACTGCAGGTCGGCACCACCTTTTCATCGACTGCGATCATCAAAAAACGATATACGATCGGCCTAATTGATGCGAAGGACTTCGGTCCACCAACTTCTCATCGAAACAATTCAATAGCATCGCCTCGACGCATACCGCCATCTCTACGACACGCCCCGACACCGTCAACCCCTACCCCGGCTGTGCCAACATGGCAAAGAAGACCAGGGTCGTCATATTGAGGGTCCCGAGAGAGAAGCTAGCAGCCATCGCAGGCATATCGCTTCCATCTCCAGAACCAGCGACACCCTCATCAGCTCCACAATCACCTGCGCCTGCCAGCAGTGACACCGCAACACTCAAGCAAGAGCCCTCGATCGATCAAGCATCAGAAGGCAATTTGACACCTGCGCCGGGAGCGGATGCATCAACACCCAAGAAGAAGACAGGCAATGGCTCTATTGCTGCAGCAAAGCGTGCGATCGGTCAGACCAATGGAGACTCGAGGTCACGAGGAAAGCCTGGTCCCAAGAAGAAACCAAGAAAGTAAGACAAACAATATATCCCGTTTGGGTGTGTCAGACTAACAAATTATAGCGACGATGGCACTGTCGATCACAGTGGCACCACCAATGGAAGTCGGCCAGCAGGCACTGGCGGCGCCCACAAGCTCAATCCAAAGACCAATGCTGGTGCCATCAATGCCAACCTCAGAGCACTTGACCGGTCCGGCAAACCATGTCGACGCTGGGAACGAAAGGGCTTCACTGTCAAGAGCTTCACTGGCGTCAGCTGGGACATGCCTTCCTGGAAAGGTGGTGAGAAGCCCGTTGTTCTCAACGGCAATGGGTCGAGCGACGCAAAAGATACCTCACAGATCAGCAGCAGCGATGCCAAGCCCAACGGCAAGGACAGTGATGTCGCCATGAGCAACACTGGAGATGTCCCAGCGTCGGAGACTCCTGCTGCGGATCCAATGGCCATATCGACGCCAGTTGCTAGCTCACCACCTTCGGCCCCCATCATACCTGTCGTCAATGTCGTCGCTGCCCAGAGCTAGGAACTCCGCGATCAACCTGGCCAGTCAACACGCCAACGTAGAATGATTCAACGATGGCAGTCCCAATCGAGAGATGGCATTTTCTTCACTGAATAAGAAACCCTGAGCTAATGATACCGAGCCCAGCCATCGATCAGCTCGAACTATCACATTAGCTCGTTGACGGCAACGAAAGCACAGCTACCTTTTGCATTCACAATTGTCTGAGTAAATTTCGGCGAAAAAAGTTCGGACTGGCTAGCAATGGGCCAAGGCAATCATCGTTGCTATGAATATGGCATTTAGCATGGCGTTTGTGGACGGTCTCACTAATTTCAAAGTCCTGGGCATGGAAAGATGTGCTCAGATATGGCTATACAGCAGCCCTGTAAGCAACGGCGGCTCTAAGGAGCACTTCTATAGCATCGGATAGTAAGAGACCTGCCAGGGAGATCGTCGTGTCTCACCTGCCCGTACTCAAGAAATGCATATCGTCTTCTCATGATCACTGTAGCACCATACGGTAGCGACGTCTCTCGCCTTTGCCCAAAAGCATCGCCTGAGGTCCTCGACATGCAGTTCTCCACGTCCAACTGAGAACAACGAAGCCCTCCTGCAACATGATTGCCCTGTAACGAGTCAGCAGACATGTATCTGATTGTTGGCCTTGAAACGGACGAGCACACCATCTCCTAGGCTACGACGGTACATGCCCCCGGGCTTCCCCGCGACTTCTCCAATCTGCATTCACATGCACTCCCAACTGATCGTCACCAATTCACCATATCTCCTCGACAGCAATGTCAGTGCAGTATAAGTACCACTGCCTAAGTCATCTGTAACATGCTCAGACGGTCGAATCATCGATATGAACGATAACTACCGTAGAAGACTCTCATACGCCACTGTTGCGTCTGGCGCCTCACCTCAGCCAGTCCCCCGATCTGGTCACCTGGGACATCTGGCATCGACCACATCCGATAACTCCTCCTACCCTCCGCAGTACCAGTCAGAGTCCCGAAGTGCACGGCGGCAGTCCAATTATGAGCAAGACATGTCCTCCCCTGGCGTGAGCTACCACAAGAGACCATCATACCCAGCATACTCTCGTCGGTTTAACAATCCGCCCGGCATGAGCGCTCCTATACCGGGCTACGGGCCCATGCTAGAGCCGGACTACCTACGCGAATCAAGATATGTAGCGAAGTTAAAGGCTGAACAGACTGCAAGAGTCAGGAGGGAGAGACAGTCAGCTACAGGAGCTACCTCGAATCCCGCCTCACTGTCATCGAGCGCGGCAAACAACAATCTCCCACGGATAGCACCATCACACCGAGGTATGACCTACGATGTGATAGAAAGCAATCCGCCCAAAGACGAAGACGATTTGATGCCTCTGCCCTCGAGATGGAGTGATCAAGACAAGTACCCTGGCCTCGACATCAGCAACAATGGACTTGATGTCAGATATAGCGGTGCTGCGAGCAAGGCCGACATAGAGGCTGCCTCCGTCCGAGCAGACTTCCCGATGACCCCAGCTTGCGGCATGTACTATTTCGAAGTCACCATAAACAGCAAGAGCAAGGACAGTGCCATTGCCATTGGTTTCTCGACCGCAGAAGCCTCCCTCGAACGTTTGCCAGGATGGGAAACGCACTCATGGGGCTATCACGGCGATGACGGTAAAGTCTTCTCGGGTGAGCACTCCGGGAGGTCCTACGGCCCGATGTTCTCAGCAAACGATGTTGTTGGTTGTGGTTTCGACTTTAAGCTCGGTCAAGCATTCTTCACAATCAATGGCAGAGACCTGGATGTTTGCTTTAGAGACTTGAGGAATCTCCGTCCGTTTCCGACAATCGGCATGAAGAAATACAGCGGTGCTTCTGTGAGCGTCAACTTCGGGCAGCGGCCCTTTGTGTTTGATATACGGGAAAAGATGGCGGTCGCGAAGGACACCGTGACCGAGGAGATCAGCAAGGTGAAGACAGCATCACTGAGTCCGGGGCACAACGAGACGAGTTTGATTCAGGCGCTCGTTGCGCAGTATCTGGCTCATGACGGCTATGTTGATACAGCACGATTCTTCAATGAGGAGCTTGCGCGCGAGAGGAATGCGCTGAGTGGAGCACCATCAATACCAAGTGCTGTGGCTGGGCCAGCGGAGGACGATGAAGCTGTGTACAGGCAGAGTAAGAACGCTCTCCAGAAACCCATATTCATGCTAACAGAGAAACAGAAATCAGAAAAGCAGTCCTCGAAGGCAACATCGACCAAGCCCTAACACTCACCGAAGAGAAATTCCCCAAACTACTCACCGACAATCCACAGATTCTCTTCCGCCTTAAGTGCCGTAAATGGATCGAGCTGTTTAGCAAAGCCGCCGACCTCAAGGCACAGACCGAGTTCAAGCAGAAACAAAAAGCCCCCAGCAACGGTCACGGCAACGGAGAGTCGGCCGTAGAAGACGACTTTGCTCAAGACATGGATCTGGACGAACAGACCAACGGCAACTCTGCGCCCCAGTCGACTCTAGAAAGTAGCAGCAGCAGCAGCCAGTACGACGAACTCCTCGCCGATGCTATGCTCTTCGGCCAAGAGCTGCAGCGCGATTACCGTGGCGAGCCGGACGATGAACACAACAAGACTTTGCAGGACATCTTTAGTCTGGTGGCGTACGAGAATCCGCGGGATAGCGTGCATGGCAGTCTCCTGGATCGCAAGGGCAGGGTTGCTGTGGGTGAGGAGTTGAATTCGGCTATTTTGGGTAAGTCCAGCTCTTACGCGAAAATTGAGAACTGTGTTGTGTAGGAGGATACGTTGCTGACAGCTTGGCTCCCTCAGTATTCCTAGGCCTCTCCCCATCCGCCGCCCTCGAGCGCGTTTACAAACAGACCGAGGTCCTGATCGACACTTTGAGTCAGGACGGCGGCTCAGCAGCCTTTGTCAACCTCCAGCGCGATCTCCACCGGGATGAATTTGGAAGAGGCTCGGAATAGAGCGCTGAGCAGGTGAGGGCGAGGGCGATCTACGCCCGTAGAGTTGTGGTTGAGGAGAATTTGCAGAGAAATCTACATCGGGATGAATCTGGGAGGGGTTCGGATTAGAGTGCCGAGAGGATTGGGGACAGGGTGGCCTACTACCGTGGAGTTGTGGGCGTGGAGAGTTGGTCTGAGACCAGTATCAGGGCAAGACGGTCATTGTATGAGATCGTCCACAGGAGGAGACCATTGATTTTTGAGTCTGCTTCTGCTGATGGGTCGCGCTAAGTGGATTCTGTCTGTCTGGTCAAGGAGCTCTGCGCGCTTGATGCATTGCCTGGGGTAGAATTGGGAATTGGGATTGGGTTGTTGTTGTGTACATAGGAGCATCTCTTGGTCCTGCGATAGCCACTCTGATACGCTACTCGAGGTCCTGGTGGATTTTATAGAGAAATCACAGTCGCTATACAGCCCTTGGCCGTGGGCGCTACCGGACTCGCCCTTTTCTTCCACCACGACGACCACCACCACCACCACGCCTGCCGCCACGCCTGCCACCACTCCTATCACCACTACTATCGCCTGACCCTGAACGCAAGCATCCCCACCAACGGCACCCCGTCAATCATCAAATTCGTCACCAACGAGCTAGGCTTCAATGCCCTGGAGTACAGCGTCTCCATCCCCATAAACACCTCCGTGACGACCAGCGTGATTATCGCTGCGTCGTACAGGCCTTGTCCGTATGCTACCCTGCTCTGGCTCCTCTCGCCGTTGCCAACGAATGGCCAGTTCCAGAATGCTGCAAAGCGGACGAAGGAGGAGGTCAGGAGCCAGGGGACTTGCATGCGGGCGGCAAGAGGGGTAAATTGGGTGGGCTGGGTGTATTGGGCGATGGTGGTGGGGGAGTAGGTCAGGTTGAGGTAAGTTCCGAGGAGGGGCGTTACGGTAGTCTATAAGCAGTGAGTTGAGGTTGGATGTGACATGAAAGGGACAAAGTGTACGACAGAAACGGTGTAGGAAGAATGGGACGTACGAGGAGTAGCCAGTACCGTAGGTAATTGTGTGAGCTCGGTGGTGCGGATGATGGTGCCATGGCTTTTGCTCTTGACGGTGATTCTTGGACGAGTTCTTTATCCGAACGTGTTGCCAGTCTTCGCCACAGAAAGACTAATCTGGAGGTCTTGATCGAGAGATGTTATATCTTGCACTCGGAGTATATATACAAGAGAGCAGATGGCTTGCCTGAATTTTGCTGTCTTGAGGCTCACAAGGAACTCCGTGTTCGTTAGAGCTCGACCTTACCGTAGAAGGAAGTCACCACCCGTGGACTGCTAGTGTGAGTTAGCATTTGTCACAGCCAGGAGCTCTTGATGCGACAGTGTTGCGAGTCCCGAGGCCTTATGCACGTAGCTAAGGTACGACGAACTACTAGCAGAGGGGCGGTTTCGTAGGAATGGTCCGACATCCTTGAGGCACCGTGCCCACGGTTCTGCGGATGCAAGGCTTCCCTTATGTGGTGCTGTCAATGTTATGAAAACCTGAAGGCCGGGCTCTGTGGCTCACCAACGAGATCTAGTGCACGCATACGAAAAATAGCACCTGTGAACATCAAAAACACGGTCGCGAACCTCGAGCTGAGGCAGTGAACGAGCGGAATGGAGAACCAAATCTTCTTGGCGCGTGACCCGCTGCGGAGAAGCCGCTTCTTCCCAGAACTTTTTTTCGTTCGAGTCGCCGGTGACAACGCTCGATCATGGTGCTGTGAACAGCACCAGGCACCCTGCTCACTTCGGTCGCAGTCATGTCGGCGCTCGCAAACGGCGTCGGATCATCAGCAGTCTCATCCGATACACATACGCCCTCAAAATCGAAGAAGCGCAAACATGAAGGCGAGCTGGATCGCTCGTCAAGCAAAAAGCATAAGCATGACAAGGTGAGGGAGCAAACGGAGCCTGCTGCGCCAGTAGAGACCGCAGAAGAGATCGAGTTAGAGTCAAGCACAGGAAAAAAAAGGCGAAAAGAGGAGAGAAGGCGGAGGAAAGCTGAGAAGGCCGCGCGAAAAGAAGCAGAAGCTGCTCGAGACTGGGAAACAAATGGTGATGCGCCGGCAGAGCGTGCTGGGGACGAGGGAGTTGCGGGATCGGTAGCAGAAGATGTGGAGCCTTCAATACAGCCCTCGAGCGAAAAGAAGAGAAAGAAGAAGCGGAAAGGTCACGAGGACGGCGAAAGAGAGCACACCAGCGACAAGCCACCAGCCGACGAAACTGGCGTCCTGCCCGCCACAAAGCCCCCTCGTGACGCCGACTCAGACATCGACCTCCCAGATGCACCACCAGTAGCAGCGACGTCGCCATCACCGCCTCTGGACGCCCCAACAAACGTCGAAGAGACTCTGTAACCGAATCCGACCAACACACACAAATAGCCGACCTCCTTTCCTCCTCTCAACCCTCACCATTCTACTCCGTCCGCCTGAGCCTCTACCTCCCGATCCCAGCCATCGGTCTGACCACCTCCAACGCTCTCTCCTCCGTCATCGCACAACACCTCTCCCCGTTACTCCTCACCTACTACCGCCCCGCAAACGGCATCGTCCTCGCCTTTCAAGATCCCGTCCTTTCAGCACACGACGGCGGACTCGGCCTAGATGGGCCGATGCGCCCTCCTTCCGACGAAAGCACTGTCGCGACCAGCGCTTCGGGCGAGGTCCTTGCCCGCACAGCAGACGAGTTCGGCGTTTGCTGGGCCTGGCTGACCACCACCTTCCTGGTCTTCCGGCCTACGCCGGGTGAGGAGATGCTGGGCTGGACGAACGTCGCTAGCGAGGGGCTTGTAGGGCTGGTCAGCTATAACATGTTCCAGGCGAGTGTGGGCAAGGAGCGGATCCCGGAGGAGTGGCGGTGGGTCGGTCCGGGATCAGACAGCACGGCGCATAGAAAGGAGCCGAGGAAGGGGAAGTTGGGCAGTCCGATCAAGGAAGATGCACCATCCCAGCATAATCAGGCGCAGGCGGATGAGGATGAAGCTGCTGCAGCGGCGTCGAAAGTCACGAGACCCCGAAGCGAGGATGATGACAAAGGTCATTTCCTCGATACAGCCACCAACACCAGAGTCCCGGATACACTGACGTACAAGATCGTGGACGTCGATCTCGTTCCCGGCCACGCGCACGGTACGCTCACGTACCAGATCGACGCGAGCTTGCTGGATGAGGCGGCGGAGCAGAGAGTCAATGCTGAGGCCAAGGCGAGGTGGGAGCGGCAGATGAAGCAGCGGAGTAGCGCTGGGGACGTGGTCATGAGTGGTGGACTTAATTCGTAGAGGATGACGAAGAAGTGTGGATGTCATCTTGTACACAATTCGAGAGCAGTTGAGACGAATATCAATGCCTGAGGTCATTGCAAAAGCTCAAGACCAGGATCGATTCTATTGTTTTCAACCCGGCTATCCGGCCGTCGTGGCTCATCTAGTAGCATCTCCATGCCTCGTCTGGTCTTGACCCGTGGCTAACAGCGTCATATAATCTCACGGTACATTATGAAATCCACACAATGAGTACAGTGAAAATCGCGAGCAATCACACCTGATGGCTTCCCCCCTAAACCGTCCCATTTACCTTCTCGGAGTCACCATCCACCGCGTCCCCTCTGATATCTTTCAACGCTGTCACCGCTTTCTCCTCACTCAAAAACGTCCTCTCCTTCAACCCCAGCACCTCCATTCGTACCTCCATCGCCCGCTTATGCGCCTCCAAGCCCTCCACCCGCGCCAACTCCACAACGGCTTTGCCCACACTGTTGACCCCCTCCTCGCTGACTTCACTACTTGTGATGTGCTTCATAAAACTCGCCAGATTCACCCCACTGTACTGCCGTGCATATCCATACGTCGGCAGACTGTGATTCACGCCCGCGCTGTAGTCGCCTACACTTTCGGGGGTCCACTTGCCCAAGAACACCGATCCGGCGTTGTGGATGTCCGGTAAGCAAGATTTCGGGTCCGCGATTTGGAGAATCAGATGTTCGGGGGCGTAGTAGTTGCTCCACTTCAGCGCTTCCGCAAGCGTGGGCACGGAAATGGTGACACTGTGCTCGATCGCTCCCCGAACAATGTCCACGCGGGGCAAGGCGTGGGCTTGGCGGTGGACTTCGTCTTCGATGGCTTGGAGTTGGGCTTCTGAAAGGGCGATGGCGATCAGGACGACTTGGCTGTCGGTGCCGTGCTCGGCTTGGGAGAGGAGGTCGGATGCGACGAAGGCTGGCTGGGAGGTTTCGTCCGCGATGACGAGGACTTCGGAGGGCCCGGCGGGCATGTCGATCGAGACGGAGGCGGTGGTGTCGTTGGACACGAGCATTTTCGCGGCTGTAACAAATTGGTTGCCTGGGCCGAGGATCTTGTCGACTTTGGTGATGGATTCGGTGCCGTAGGCCATAGCGGCGACGGCTTGTGCGCCACCGGCGAGGACGATTGCTTCGGCGCCGATCTTGTCGGCGATGTAGACTATTTCGGGGGTGATAGTGCCGTCCGAGCGAGGTGGGGAGGCGAGGACGATGTTCTTGCAGCCGGCGGCCATGGCGGGGACGCCGAGCATGAGGGCTGTGGAGGGGAGGACGGCGGTGCCGCCGGGGATGTAGAGGCCGACCTTTTCGATGGGGCGGGAGAAGCGTGAGCAGGTTACGCCGGGCATTGTTTGGACGACTAGTGGCGCGGTTTCCTTTTGAGCGGAGTGGAATTTGAGAATATTGTCGTAGGAGATGTTGATTGCTTCGATGGTTTCGGGCGGGAGCTGCATGAGGGATTTCGGGAATGGTGCTTTGAGGACGGGCGATTTGAGGGATGTGGCTTTTTCGAACTTGTGGGTGTACTTGAGCACGGCTGAATCGCCCTTGGTGCGCACGTCTTCGATGATGGGGTTGACCAGGTTCATGATCTTCTCTGTTGATCTCTGCGACGGTCGCTGAAGGGCCGATTTGAGTATATCGTCAGAGAAGGCCTGTGATGTTGAATAGCGTTTCAGCTGTATCCGACCGTTGTCGTCTGTGCCCGCCGGGTCTGTTGAGTCTTTGGGTATCGAGGCAGCCTCCTTGACTTCTTCCTCCGTCGGCTTCGATGACGCTGCTGTGCCGTTGATGCCATTGGTTTGTGGCGTTTTCTGGTCTCCATTCACATATTGTGGTTTCGCATCACCCTTCCGTCGCTTGACCTTCAGGCTCTTCAGGTCGAGGTTCTTCTCGATGTCCTCCAGCGTGACATCCGCCGCGATGCAGCGAGCCAGTGCAAAATACAGCAGATCGGCAGCCTCCGAGGCAATGTCTTCCTTCGTCGTCGCCTCACATAGCTCGTCCGCCTCTTCTTTGATCTTCGCGCCTAGCAACTTTGGATCGTTGAACAGCCGGGCAGTATACGATCCGGGTGGTGCGTCCTGCTTCCGTGACCTCAGAGTCTGTTGCAGGCGCGAGAGACCCGACGTAGGTCCCCAGCAAGACATTGTGGCTAGATGGCAGAAACCCCGGCCTTTTTGCCTGACCCGGAACAGCAGGCAGTCTTTGTCACAGTCGAAAGACATGCTGATCAATTCTTGTGTATCACCACTTGAAGCACCCTTATGCCACAGCCCTCGCTTTCGGCTCTGGTACACACCAGTCTTCGTCTTCAGAGCCTCGAGGATGCTCTCTTTGCTGCTGTAGACCAACCCAAGGGCTACACCTCTCTCGTCGACAACACTTGTAGTATACAGGCCCGTCTTCCTGTCGGAAGTGCTGCCCGCGAGGAACAGGTCTGTGACTTGTATCAGATCTTCGTGCCCTTTCTTGGTTGTGTCCAAAGTGAGCCGTTCAGACGACACAATCAGTGCATTGCCAGGATATTGTGCAAGCAAATCTTGACCGGCCGACTCGCTTGTCGTCGATACATATAGCGTCTGGTCGGCGTGAGGCGGGTAGTTGTCTAGCTCTTGTAGAACTCTGTCCACGTACGCATTGCCCTTGTCTCCGTCGAATGCCCATTCCGCGGTCTTCCACTTCGGGTTCTCCTCAAGAAATGACTTCAGCTTTGCAATATCGGTACTGGGGTTGAGCGGCGATATAGTGAGCACTAGCCGCGAGGGCGCTATTGTGTCCTCTTGCGCCAGAGCTTTGAGTTGCTCGGATGTGACAAAGATCTTACTTGCGCCGGCATTCAGTACCTCGATGACGTCGCCATATGCTTTGAGCTGCCGGACGTCAATGTATATTGACAGTGTAGTGAAGTGAGTTCGAAGGAAGGCGAGACGGGACTGGAGGTTTTCCGGAGTGGCTTGCACAAGACAGTTTTCGAACAGAGCGACCTCTTCAAGTGTCAGTCCTTTGATATCCTTGCCAGTTATGGTGTCTGGCTCGACGCTGACGAGCAGTCCGACGCCCATGGTGGGCTATATGAGATATAGAAACCAGAAGAAGTCGCTGTAGGGCTGCAGCAGGATTCAAGAAGGAGACGTTGAATTCCTGAGGTGAGACGCCCGTGCCACGCTCATCGACTCATGCCGATCTATAAAAATTGTCAGTCCCTCAGTCAGAATAATCGGACCGACCCCAACAATTCTGCCCCCCATCTGCTGCCTCTCTGATTGGCTGCAGATCAACCACACCTTCAAGTTTGCGAGGGTCTTATCAGTGCTCTAGCTCCTTCGCAGCCTCCTATATATCAGACACGCCGTACGATCTTGGATAGCAGCGCCGCGATATGTCCGCGAGTATGCGTGTACTGCTGTAGTGAGTGCCGGGCGTTACCAGGAGCCGGACAACACTGGCTAAGAGGCCAGACGGATGGCATGAATTTCCACTGAGGGCCCTTCGTGCTCGCTACCATACACGCAAGCGTATGCCGGAATTCTCGATGCACATTCGCATTCATGCGGTGAGAATGTCGATGCGTATGGGTTGAGGACCCAGCTCGAAAACCCCTACAGGCCAGCTCTTCCGATCGCACGACTGCGTCTCTTCGACATGTGTACATCTCAAAGGAGCCAGCCAACAACGATGCAGCACGACGCAGAGTCATTCCAATCAAGCGTAAGCCGTACAGGAGGATCAACCCAATATTGCCGATGCCAACCGAACAGTCAAAGACCTGCTCAGCCGGCTACGAATTGGGACCTCAATGCCACCTGGGCAACTCAGACTTGGCACTTACCAAGATGCTCTTTATATATTGTTGTCTCATATTTTCGGTCAACAATCGACCGCGATTGCTCACCAATTCCGAATCGAGTTCTTAAGCCACCGTCGTCCAGATGGGTAGCAGGGTTGGGTACCACCATAACCTCTCAATCAAATCTGGGCCACCCTGCTATGTTAGGCATCGAAGAACACCTCCTCCTCCTCCCAATCGATCGATAGCGTTAAAGGCGTGGAACTTAGGAAAAATAACCCCTAACCAAAAAACCTATTAAGTTAGGTTTCTCAACAGCCTCCCTCTCCGGGGGAATTGAGTTTTTGCTTTTTTGGCGATGCTAACATTCGGTTGTGCGAGATCGATCAATTACAGCTCCTCCAGCCCACGACACGGTTGTGTCCAGGGCAATGAATCGACTTGCCAAGTCCGCTTGACATCTGGTTTCTGGTCAAAGCTGAAAAGTCGTCTTGATCGAGCACCAAAGTCATCAGCCGATACTCCTCCGGCGGCGCGAAGACATACGAACCCGCCGCTGCTGCTTCAAAGGGTATGCTCATAAAACGTTACGAAGATATCAACGGGGCCAACATCCCGCTCAGATAGTGTAGAGAGAGAGGCGCCGTCACGAGGGTTGCTAAGAAAGTACAGTTAAAGGCATCGTTACTGGCGTACAAGGTATCCGATGGATGTTCAGGGAGTGGTGAGCAGTTCTCGAAGATTGTACCTGCGTTCCTATGGCTATATGAACGTACTTGTCGTACTCACTGAACCGTCACCGGCTCAGGGAGGCCGTTCACGAAGCTTACGAAGTCTCCATTTCCTGTGGCTTATTCACCAACTTACCGAAGCTGCTCCTCAACATGGAGGTTGCGGTCACACTTCGACAGCGCTCCGAATCAGATGTGCTATGCCAACTGTGGTCTGAATGACGCAATCGCCACGACACTTCTATATCCTAACGTCCACTTCGCCGGTTCTTTCAAGCGCAGGATACTCGGCAGCTAATCCTGAGGCGGGTGCTTTTGCGGAGTTTCGTTCTGCGGAGGCTCGTTTTGGCCAGGCTCATCTTGCGGCGGCTGCTGCTGTGAGGGATCTTTGAGAGGCCAAATGTCGGTACCAACTGGACAGGGTCCCCACGCAAAAGGAATCTCCGGATCCCCCCTCTCGCGACTCCAGAGAAGCGTTGGCTCATCAGGTAGTTCTGGTTTGTCGCAGGTTGGATCTGGCCGTTCGAATGGAGGTGGCTGGACGGGACCTTTTGCGGCGTCTGGATCCCTGTTTTTCTTCTTATACCACAGAGGTTGAGGATCGATAAGGTAGACTTCCTTGATGTTCTTGTTCGCTGTGAGTGCTGGATATTCGACCCTTGCCCAGACGCTCTGAGGGTCCCATGGCTGCGCAACTTTGGGCGCGAAGATATACGCGACTGGATTGATCGCGGCAGCACCAAGAGCCTGGAAATAGCAACCGTTGAGCATGGCGGCAGGTCCGTCAACGTTCTGTCCTTTGGGGATGGTGTTCAAGAACGAGTCTGGATATGCAGCACGGAATTCATCCTTATGTTCATCGATGTACTTTGATTGTGCCTTCAACCCTGTGGCATAGCAAGTGAGTATTCATACTTCTAAGCCCCTTTGGAAAAGCAGACAACTCACAAGTTGGATCGACTGGATCAATGGCCCAATAGAACTGCTCGCGACCGTCTTCATACATGCCTTTCTTGAGCAGCCAGCCTCCCACCCACTTAGTTAGGCTTGGGTCGTACTTGCCTGGGTAGGCCAAGTTCGAATACTGTTCAGGTCGATTCGTCAGCACTTGAATCAACATGGGGAGCACAGGTAGCGTGTTATTGTCAGGCCTTCAGCTATACTTACAAATACAGCGTAACGGTCGGCTATACCCTTGCCCTTCACGGGGTTTCTCATGTGTTCAACGATTTGTGCAGCGGACGGAAGTTGGAAGTCGCAATCGAATTCGTTACTGCCTGGTCTTCTGCCTGGCTTGGGTACACACTGTCGTCGGTCCAGATGGTGTGTGACGTTTGCGTCCAGCAGCTGTGCCGGCCTCGCGTCAATCAGAGCAACCGGTAGCAGCAACAAGAAGGCAAGTGTGTGAGGAGCCATGTCGACGTGTCTTCGAAGCAGCTTTTTTGGTGAGAGACCTGGATCGAAAAAAGTTGGAAGTCGCCTCGATGGGTAGGTCATTCTGTCGATTGTGCGCGAGCAACTGCCGGAACGACTTTGGCCGCACGGCTTCACGCCAGATCTCGCGAATAAATAAGCAGTCACGATGAGCCATTGAAGTCATGAAGCGGTGCTGACTTCACTTGCTGGTTCCTGATCTCAGAGCGCGTACAGCCGCTTTGAACCATGTCAACAACCGCGTGAAGTGGCAGCGGCTTCACTGTAGACACATAAGTGTCGTTGATCACATCGCGTTTCCTTCGATGCATCCTGACCCAGATGATCTGTGCTTGGTCAAGATGCTCGCATGGCTACTGCTCCTCGCGACACAGTGCTTCGTGGCCTCAGGGTGGCCTTTGTCGGCTCCTCGGAACGAAACGAAGACTCTTTTCCGCCGAGAATGTGACTACAAGCCGGGTTCGAGTACCGACTTCGACTGCGACTTCACTCTGCCCACAGTCGATCAGATCATAGCACATCTGCGAGATACTGCCCACGGCGGTCTCGCTGACGACCAACACTCAGCAGTCTTTTACACCAACTTGGCATATCCTCAAGGACAGTGGAACGCCGAGCAAATGACTTGGGTACATACTTGGCTCAAAGCAAGTGAGATGACTGACAAAGTATACTGGCTTCAGGGCGGCATCGACTATACATGTAAGTTAGATCAGCCTCCTCCGATTTTTGCGACGCTGACCTGTGATAGGGTTTAAGAAGCAGACCTAATGGATCAAGGAACATCCCACAGAATTCGCACAAAACTACCCAGCCGGGGCCTTGAATATCTTCCAGCTCTGCCTCTACGAGGCTCTGGCAAAAGCTGCAATTCTCCCAGACGTCTATCTCTTCAGTCCAAAAGGCGTCGAGCCATCCTGCAGTCTGTATGGAGTACACTTGAGTTTCCGTTCCTAGTCCTGAACGAGAAAGTCCAAAGGATCCATCGAGTCGACCCTAGGAAGCCAACGGACAGAGGTGAGGCAAGCGATTGTGCCGAGCCTGCAAAGCCCGAGCTCTACTGGGACCGGGAGCGGGATCGAAATCAGCCCAAGCCAAATCCATTTTGGAGCTGTCCAATATCGCCGGCGATGGACTGGGAGACCGATGATGATGACGATGACGATCCTGACGGGGGCGGTGATGGCAAGCTGGCCATGGTGAGCAGGCTTGCATAGGCTGTCGCGAATTGATAGCGCCCTTGGCAGGTGGCGAAGCTAGCTGACTGCACTGCAACACTTTGAAGCTGAAGTTGGACACAGATGTGAGCTTCGCAGGTAGACTGGGAAATAGTCGAGCCCATGCCTAGTTTCCAATAGCATATATCCAAATGTCAGAAGTCAGATACAGCCATTATGTGAGGCCCTGTACTCTGGCTGTTGATGCCTTCGACGTTGAAGCAAACTTCCTCCATCGATCTGTCCTCCTGTTGGCCACATATAGTGCACTCGTAGAAGTCCGTGATCAGTAAATCCGCCTCGAGTCCTTGTCTCCCGCTCAAGAGGGTTCAACGATAACGGTGGTGTCTTTCGCTTCAGGCGAGGAATCTGCGCCAGTCAAGTTCATTCATCCTCTCACTCACTCACAGTGACCCTTCACGTGTGACTTGGCACGAGTTGTGACGAGCGGACTCTCCGAAGTCATTCGAGCGACCCTCGGGAAGCTAATCTGCTTTCATGCCTACCTCGTCTTCAGACTTCTCGATAATTTCGAGCACGACGATCAGACCAAAGCCAAGATGTTGCTATCCTGGCTCCTCCTCCTCGCAGCCCTTCTCCTTCCAACGTCCGCCTGGCCTTTCATCCCATCCTCCACGCCCACCAGCACCACCCGCACCCTCCAGCGCCGCCAATGCACCCACCGCCCCAACTCAGACCAATACGACTGTGACTTCACTCTTCCCACTCTGACCCAAATCATCGAACACCTCCGCGACAAGGCTCATGGCGGCATGGCCGACGCCGACCACTCTGCCCTCTTCTACACCAACCTCGCGTACCCCAACACCGCCGTCACCAACAAGGAACTCGGCTGGATCCACGCGTACAACATCGCGCAGGGCATCCAGGACAAGGTCTATTGGCTGCAGAGCAATGTCGACTTTCCTTGTAAGTGCCCTATCCCTTCACCCTTCACACAGTTCGAAGTCAGCGTCGGCTGACTGACTGACTTCGTCGCTTCGCTCCGCAGGGTTCAAAGCCCAAAAAGAATGGATCGAATCCCACCCCACCGAATTCAACGCCCGCTACGGCACCGACCCCGAGCCAGTCGATATCTTTTGGATGTGTTACTACCAGGCCCTCGCGCTTGCCGCCGTGCACCCGGATGCGTATGTTTACACGCCCAAGGGTGTTGACTGGAAGAAGACTTCGATATGGGCGAATGTCGAGTTCCCGAGCTTGACGGCGAATGAGAATGTGAAGAGGATCTATCGGGTTGATCCACGGCCGAACGATGAGGATGCGTGTGGTGCGGAGGAGGAGTTGGTTTGGGATCGTGGGAGGGGGAATGGGGTGAGGAAGGTGAGATGGACTTGTCCTATTACTTAGGGGCTGACGGTGGGTGAGGAAGGGCGATGATGGATGCCTATATGGATGGTTTGAACGAGCGCTGTTGAGGATGGGTTGGTCGGATGCGGTCTGGAACATTGTAAGCTCAGACAATGCGACTGAGACGGAGGTCGACGCGTTTCTCTGAACCGCTGAAAACTTGCGGGCCTTAGATGCAAGGTTACTGGTAGTTACGAATGTAGTTCCTCAATCCAGCGAATTCAAATCCACATCCTCAAGCGAAGCGTCCTATCTCTTCTTCTTATTCTTCGTCGCCTGCGCCATTGCCGCATTCGCTATAATCGAATCCTCCTCCTTATCACCTTCATACGCTTTGCCTTCATTGATCTCCTTCTTCCGCATCGTGCCCACTCCCATACGGATCAGTTCCTGATCGTCTCCGTCGCTGTCTTCGATGTTATACAGCATGGGGAGGACGAAGCTTTCTTCGACTTCGTCTTCGCCGTTCACATCTTGCCCATTGGTGCGCTTGTTGAGGGGTGTGAGGACGTCGACAACTTCGTCTTCTCGATCTTCGCGCCGCTTCTTGTGCTCTTCTTCGGGATACACATCGAACTCGTCTTCTCGTTCAACGTATTCGACGTTCTCGGTGACCTCGGTGAAGTCTGGGGCCAGGGCGGACCATTTCTGTTGCGGCTCGATGCCCCAGATCTGGATTGTGCCGGTTTCGATGCTGGTGCAGGCGAGTAGGGGTTTGGAGGGGTGCCATTCGATGACGGCGGGTTCTTCGCGGTTCTCGAGGATGCGGACGATGGAGTTGTTGCGGAGTTCCCACATGTAGATGTCGCGCTTCATGTAGGTGGAGGCGACGACGTAGTCTGCGGTGGCGGAGGTTGTGGATGATGTGGAGGTGGTGGTTGGGGAGATGGAGGTGTGGTTCCAGCGGAGGCGGTTGACGACGTCGGAGAATTTGTGGTCGGCTGAGAGGTAGATTGTCGAGGGGTCGAGGTAATCTTCTTCGGGGTCGTCGTCTTCGTCGGCGGTGGTGTGGTTTGAGAGGCGAATTCGACCGAGGTCCGGCATATTGATGACGCGGATTATGCGGTCGGTGCTGTTGGCGAGGAGTTGGCGGCCGTTGGAGGTCAGGCGGAGAAGCGAAAAGAGGCCGGTGGAGAGTTTCGAGCTGTGGATTATGCGGAGGGTGGAGGTCTCGATTATGTTGATGAAGCCTTTGGAGGTGCCGGTTATGATATGGTTGCCTTGAACTGACCAGATGGCTGATGTGGTGGCTTGTTTGACGTTGGGCTCGGTGTCCGTGAGTGGCTCCGTAGGTATCCGGTGTTTGGTGGCTATCGGCGAGGTGATGTCTACGAGGTATGGGTGGTCTTCGAACAGAGAGACTGTGAAGAGGAAGTGGTTGTATGGATGGAGCTCGGCGGTATAGATCGGTGCTTCGAATTTGGCGGTCCGTATCCGTGACTGAGTTGCCAGGTCCCATAGAGTGGCCCGACAGTCTTGTGATGCTGTGAGCATGTAGCGGCCACATCTCGACCAGCTCAGACTTTGGATCTGCTTCCAGTGGCCGTTCAACTTCATAGCGACACCATACGTTTCCATGTCCCATATGACGACCTTGCCATCAGCCCTGCCCGACGCAAGATAGTCGCCCTTGCGGTTGAAGCGCAGTGTCGTTGCATGGCCAGATTCTAGGCGGTTAAATTAGGATACGCTTGAACAGGACACGTTTTAGAGGACCTGGGACTCACTCAGATCATCGGTCAGGGCGTCAGGGTAGTCCTGCGCCAGCTCAAACGGATCCTTCAATGCTAAATTCATCTTTTGTCGTGAAAAGACCGCAGAATAATAACTACCAAGCAAGACTCGTTGGATGTACGAAGGCACAAGCTATTGGCGTCCCTGGCCAGGCGAACCTCTCAGCCTCAAAATTCCGACAACCCCTGACAAGCGTGACTGCCGAACCATGAACAACCTGATCTCTGATTCTGCACCGCTGAAGACGGAACTGCTGAACCTCGACGCAAGATCTGGTAGTAATAGACAAGGCTCTGCCGTAATGCTTAGGCTGGGTCGAGGCGAACGCCTATAATCTATCGTACGCCTAGTAATTCAGCACTCCTAGTTTCGCGTCTTTTGAGCCTTCGATTTTCTCAAGACCGTTGATATTGTCGTCTGGAGCTTTCGCAAAAGGCCTGAATCGTGACTTGCGGGCTGTGCCGTAGCTCACCCCCGCCTCATTTGCTGATTGCCAATGGTTCAAGTGTGTCAGAGAAGATGTGACTCAACATCCATTGTGCATGGCTGGTCGTGATGGGAAAAGTGGATCTTCTGTGTCTATCACGTGATCTTGCTGCCTGCGCTGGTCTGTTTTTGGCCACTCGCCCTCAAATCCCAATTTTCCATCATCATCTCTCCGCCGTCCCTTTCATCCCTCTTCCATCCCGCCATTCTCTTCCACCCATCGATTCTGCATCGCGCGACCGATTGCCGGCCTTCAGAACGACGTGTACATTATTTCTAGGAAGTTTCGGGATCAGAAACATCATACTGGAGGAACGCGCAGCTTTCAGAGTCCTTGGGTAGGCCCAAGCGGCCGACGGTCATCCCTGACCATCATCGCGCCTTCACGCAGGCATCGCGCCGACCGAAGAATCGAATAGACATCGATTTCGAAGTAAATTCATCGTCTCCCGGATAGACCGCAGTCATGGCGAACATGCATTTCCCCTTCTCGAGCGCGCCCACGCGCACAATCGAGGAAATCCAGTTCGGCCTCTTCTCCCAAAAGGAGTCTGAGCGCCTCGCCGTCATCGACATCGAATATCCAGAGACGATGTACGTAGCTAGAAAATGACATTCCCGTGCTCTTGATTGTTAACATTCTTTTCAGGGATGAGGCGCGCCTCAGACCTCGAGAGAAAGGTCCCAACGACCCTCATCTCGGCACTATCGATCGAAACTTCAAATGCGCCACCTGCGAAGAAGATCAAGTCGAGTGTCCAGGTCATTTTGGTGTCATCAAATTGGCTGTGCCGGTCTACCATCATGGGTTTCTGAAGCAGGTTAAGAAGATTCTCGAGACCGTGTGCCACAACTGCGGCAAGATCAAGGCTGTAGAAGTCAGTGCCTTCTTCCAACCCGTTTTCTACACATACTAACATGATTTAGGACGAGGCTTTCCGTAGTGCTCTGCGAATACGCTCCCGCAAGGCTCGATTCGACAAGATCTGGGAGTTGAGCAAGTCCAAGCTCATTTGCGAACCCGATCCGCCTGAGGAAGAGAATGCGGCCAAGCAAGGTCTACCTGTCATTCGCCACGGTGGTTGCGGCAACGTGCAGCCACAGATGCGCAAGGCCGGCATCCAATTGTTTGCTGCCTTTAAGCCCCGCAAGAGCGAAGAAGATGACGAGATTCCTGGTGGCGCTCAACCCGAGAAGAAGCGCTTCTCTGCTCAAGATGCGCTCAACGTCTTCCGCAATATGCACGACGAGACCCTCGAAATCCTTGGCCTTAATGCCGACTACGCACGTCCCGAATGGATGATCCTTTCAGCCCTGCCGGTTCCTCCTCCGCCCGTCCGACCTAGTATCAGCGTTGATGGCTCTGGCCAGGGACAGCGTGGTGAAGACGATCTGACATTCAAGCTTGGCGACATTGTTCGAGCAAACCAGAACGTCCTTCGAACGGAACACGATGCACCGCCGAATCCATTCGCATTGAGATGATCGATCTTCTACAATATCACATTGCAACCTACATGGACAACGAAATCGCAGGTCTGGACCGTGCTCAACACAAGAGTGGTCGTGCCATCAAATCAATTCGCGCTCGCTTGAAGGGAAAGGAAGGCCGTCTTCGACAGAACCTGATGGGCAAGCGTGTCGACTTCTCAGCACGTACTGTCATCACTGGGGATCCCAATCTTTCTCTTGATGAAGTTGGCGTACCTCGAAGCATTGCTCGAACCCTGACTTATCCTGAAAAGGTGACTCGGTTCAACATTGAGCGTCTCAAGATCTTCGTCGAGAACGGTCCTTCGGAACACCCTGGTGCACGATATGTCATCCGAGATACTGGCGAACGCATTGATTTGCGTCACGTCAAGAGTCGCGACATGACCCTGCAGTACGGCTGGACTGTCGAAAGACACATCCAGGACGGCGACATCATCTTGTTCAATCGTCAGCCCTCGCTGCACAAAGAGTCCATGATGGCCCATCGTGTCCGAGTCATGCCGTACTCGACCTTCCGTCTCAATTTGTCGGTCACTACACCCTACAACGCTGACTTCGACGGTGACGAAATGAATTTGCATGTCCCTCAGAGTGAAGAGTCTCGATCTGAGCTCAAGCATCTCTGCATGGTCCCACTCAACATCGTGTCTCCTCAGAAGAACTCTCCCCTAATGGGTATCATCCAGGACACCTTGTGCGGCATCTACAAGATTTGCGACAAGAGCGTCTTCCTGACCAAGGAAGCCGTCATGAATGTCATGATGTGGGTGCCCGAATGGGATGGTGTCATTCCTCAGCCTGCCATCTTGAAGCCAGCTCCACGATGGACTGGTAAGCAAATCGCGAGCATGATCATTCCCAAGGGTTTGAATCTTGAGCGACCTGAGAAGAAACAACGAAATCCGCTATGCCCTGAAAGTGACGAAGGAACCTTTGTCACTGATGGTGAGCTGATGTTTGGCCTCTTCAGCAAGAAGGTTGTTGGTGCTTCCGCCGGCGGTATCATCCACATCACCTTCAACGAATGGGGTCCTGACGCTGCTATGGCATTCTTCAATGGTGCGCAAACCGTGGTCAATTACTGGCTGTTGCACAACGGCTTCAGTGTCGGCATCGGTGACACGATTCCGAGTCCTGGTGTTGTGCGTGCTGTCAACGATGCCATCGCCACCCGAAAAGCTGAAGTCGATGTTCTCATCGACCAAGCTCAAGCCGAACAGCTGGATCCTATGCCGGGCATGAACATTCGCAAGACGTTCGAGAGTAAGGTCATGGCTGCGCTCAACGCCGCTCGTGATAATGCAGGTACCTTCATGGAACAGCAATTGAAAGACAACAACGGTGCTGTCCAGATGGCTCGCTCTGGCTCAAAGGGCAACAACATCAATATTGCGCAGATGATGGCTATCGTCGGTCAACAAGTCGTCGAGGGTAAGCGGGTTCCGTTCGGATTCAACTACCGCTCTCTACCACATTTCGCCAAAGACGATTTCTCTGGCTACTCTCGAGGCTTCGTGGAAAATTCGTACTTGCGAGGGCTCACGCCGACGGAGTTCTTCTTCCACGCCATGGCTGGTCGTGAAGGTCTCATCGACACTGCTGTCAAGACCGCCGAGACCGGCTATATTCAGCGAAGACTTGTCAAAGCTTTGGAAGAGGCCACCGTCCGTTACGATGGCACTGTTCGAGATTCTCACGGCAACGTTATCCAGTTTCTATACGGTGAAGACGGTCTTGATGGTGCTCATATCGAGAAGCAATCGATCGACATCCTCACTCTCTCTAACAAGGAGTTTTCACAGCGCTTCGAAGTCGATCTCATGTCCGACAAAGATCCTTTCAAGGGCAGACTCCTCGGCTGGGAGCAATATGCAGGCGATCTTGAGCTTCAGAATATCCTCGATGCAGAATTTGCGGCTCTACAAGATGCCCGCAAAGCCGTGCGGATGGCTGCTGTCGGAGTGGAGGACGAGTTCCAGCTGCCTATGAACATTGGTCGAATCATCAGCCAAGCGGCCAAGAACTTCAAGATCCGAAAGGGTACTCCAAGTGACTTGGACCCTGAACATGTCATAAAGTCTGTGAACGAGCTCATGACCAAGCTTGAGGTCGTACGCGGTACAGATCCGCTATCTGTGGAAGCTCAGAACAACGCTACCATGTTGATTCGGGCGCAGCTGCGATCGCGACTGGCCTTCAAGCGGGTAGTCATGCAGGAGTCGCTCAACCGACTGGCGTTCGACAATATCATCGGTAGCGTGGAGACGCGCTTCCTTGCAGCCATCGCCAGTCCTGGTGAGATGGTCGGTGTCCTCGCTGCGCAGTCGATTGGAGAGCCCGCCACTCAGATGACGCTGAACACCTTCCATTACACTGGTGTCTCTGCCAAGAACGTCACACTTGGTGTGCCTCGTCTCAAGGAGATCCTGAACGTCACAAAAGACATCAAGACCCCCTCAATGACTGTATACCAGGTGCCAGAGAACCGGGAAGACCAAGGCAAAGCCAAGGATCTCCGAAGCCGTGTTCAGCACACAAATCTGCGCAGTCTTACCGAGACCTGCGAGCTTTGGTACGATCCAATCATTGACGATACCATCATCGAAGCCGACAAAGACTTTGTTGAAGCATACTGGATCATTCCGGACGAGGCTGATGCCGACACGAGGTCTCACTCTCGTTGGCTCCTTCGCATTGTCCTCAACCGTGCCAAGATGCTCGACAAAGGCCTGACCATTCCGCAGATTGCCGACAAGATGAAATCAGAGTACGGACGCGATCTCTCAATCCTATTCAGCGACGTCAACGCCGAAGAACAAGTCATTCGTATCCGCTATGTCAACTCGTATGCCAAAGATGAAGAGGATGGGAGACAAGAAGATGATGACCTGCTTCGCCGCTTCATGAACGAGATGCTGGACAACTTGACCTTCAACGGCATCAAGGGTCTACCTAAAGTCTTTCTGAACGCCACAGAACGTGCAGTGGAATTGGAGAATGGCAGTCTCGTCATGAACAAGGAGATTCCTGCATGTGTTGAGAACATTCTCGAGACTGATGGAAGCAAATTTGCCGAGGTTCTTGCCATTGAAGGCGTCGATGCTTCACGAACGTATTCGAACTCCTTCACTGAGGTTCACACGGTTTTGGGTATCGAGGCTGCACGCTCGGCCATCTACCGCGAACTCAAGAACGTGCTGTCCTTTGATGGCTCGTATGTCAACGCTCGTCATCTCAGCATTCTGTGCGATGGCATGACCTTCCGAGGCTATGTCTCAGCGATCTCACGGCATGGTATCAACAAGTCCGACAATGGTCCGCTGATGCGATGCTCGTTCGAGCAGACTGTGGAGATCTTATACGAAGCCGCTGTTAACGGTGAGCTCGACGACTGCACTGGTGTCACCGAGAACATCATTCTCGGTCAACCTGCGCCTGTCGGAACCGGTTTCATGGATGTTCTGCTTGACAAGAAGCTTCTTGGGACAATCGTTACCGACAACTCCAACCTTGGTCTTGGTGGACAGCCAATCGGCGTCAAGCGACAGCAAGATCTCATTGCAGGATCTGCCACTCCCTACGATTCGGCTTCGCCTGTCGGCGATAACGGGTATCTGGGCTCCCCAGAATATGGTGCTGCTTTCTCGCCTATGGCTGAGTCCAACGCTGAGGCTGGAGGCTTCTCAGAGTACCAGCCAAATTCTGGCTTTGCTGGTGGCTTCAGTCCATACGGACGCAGTCCTGGCGGTTACTCCCCTGCAAGTCCTGGTGGCTTCGGCTCGACCAGTCCAGCTTCACCTGCGTACTCTCCTGGTGCTGGGTATTCGCCGACTTCTCCAAGCTTCGGTCCAACCAGTCCCAGCTTCGGAGCAACATCACCATCGTTCAGCCCCGTCAGCCCTTCGTACAACACCGCGACATCACCTGCGTACTCACCGACCTCGCCATCATACAACTCGCCATCGTCGCCGGTGTACAGTCCCACAAGTCCGAGCTTCAGTCCGACCAGTCCAAGCTACAGTCCAACGAGTCCGCAGTACTCCCCAACGAGCCCTGCGTACTCGCCAAATTCACCGACTTCGCCAACGTCGCCTGTCTATAGCCCGACTTCGCCGGTGTACTCACCCACGAGTCCGAACTACAGCGGCGGTGGCTCAGGTGCTTCTCCTACGAGCCCCAGCTACTCGCCGACCTCACCAAACTACTCGTAAGTTGCTCACTCATAACGTACTCACGATGTCTCTAACCTGTAATCACAGTCCCACGAGTCCCAGAGGTCACTCGCCGACCAGTCCCCAGTACTCCCCCACAAGTGAGTGTCCCCAGTGTCATTGCCTACCACATCCTAACATCTCTAGGCCCTCAATTCAGTCCGCGGAGTCCACAGTACTCCCCGACTTCTCCCAAGAATGATTGAGATCCTTCTTGGATGTACAACAAAACGCTCCCACTGCGCAGAAATCCTGTCACCATTCGCGGACCCATTCAATTGACCTTCTGCGATGGTGGCACGGCACTGGCAGTCAATGAGCACCAAAAATCTTTTCACGAACATTAGCGACGGCGTCTGGATGGTTTGCATTTTTCGGTCAAGAACAACACTGCATTTATGGTTCTTCGACAACGTTTTCAGATCTTTTTGCGACACTATTACCCATCAGGAAAATCTACAAACACAAGACGCAGAAGTCTTTCATTTGAGCCTCTTCAATTGTGAGGCTTTCGTCCCTGGAGCGCGATATGAAACGATCGCTCGAGGGACCAGATTGACACGGTTGGCCGCACGAGACGCGAGCCATGGTGGTTGAGACGACGGAGGGAACGTCGCTCCTTACGATGTGGATGGAGCGTGGAGTATTATTGACGTTCGCTCGAAGCAGCCTCGCTCGGAAGGTGGGCATTGATGAAAGGCATCGATCGGTGTACGAGGTGCACACATAGACTGGCTGGATTGACGGCCTCCATCACGCTTCGTCAGCGTGATCTTTCACGGACGTCTGTGCTTGATAGATCGACCAGGCGGTCATGTACCGTGGTCCGAAGAGAAAAGAATATGATTTCTTTCGCTATTTCTATACTCGATCTTGCTTCCCTGCCTGACGTTCTCAATGCTGGTCCGTCGTGATGAGGTCAACGAGTACACTTCTTCCACAGTACGTAATCTGATGTGGCATTAGATGAGCAGTACACCTGACTGAACAGGAGTGCCTTTCTCCGTGCATGTATATCCCGCACCTCATGAAGTCGAACAACACACCTACAGGCGATACCTCTTCATTTACCAACCAGACGATCCTCCCAACTTGCGATCACCTCAACCATAACATAGTTCTCGAATCAGGAGGCAACAAATACCTGCGCATGCGTGCAGCGACAGTTGCAATAGTTTGAAACTTTTTGGCGTCATCCGGTCTTACATCGGTAAATCCTCCGTCATCCGGCTTGCGTTAGCGCCAGCGTTCGTTCCTGCCCGCCGTGACGCGGCCAAGGTGAGAAGGTACGATCCAGCTCGCCTGGCACCAGCCACGAGGGAAGGCGCGGCAGTGGCTTCTACCGAGGAAGCTGAGATCATACATAAGTAGCTGAGCACGCGTAGGCGCGATCGCCGTGTGAGCAGTGACGTCCAGGAAGCTGCGATGCAGCTTGGACGGCTACAAGGGAAGTCGCAGTCAAGTCAAGATGCAATCGTGGCACTGCTGAGCAAGAGAGAGAGGGAAGCTGCGATCCCTTCCGACCTACCTTCATGACAAGGGAAGGTGCAGCAAGAGATCCCACGGAAGAAGCAGCGACCCTACATGGATGGCAGGTATGATCGGCTGGTACGCAACGAGGTTGGGAAGCTGCAATCCAGTCCGACGAGCGAAAGAAGGAAGGACGGCCGACACAGGTTGGATCTTCGCATTATGGTACGAGCGGGAGGCTACGATCCAATTTGATCTCCGCTTGTAACGAGAGAAGCCGCGGCGATGGTGGCTCTCATCGAGGGAAGCCGCGGTCCTGCACGGCTGGCTGGCTGTGCAAAGGCAGGTAGGTGCGACCGACCCGCAAGCAGCGAGGTTTCGGAAGCTACGATGCGATGCGATGCGAAGCAAGTCGCTTTGGGAAGGTACGGCCCAGGCAGGTGCGATTCTCGGACTGCTGCAACGCGGAAGCTGTGATCTAGCTGGACCAACGGCTAGGGCAGGCGCGGTTTGAAAGAATGAAATGTTCAATGCCACGATCACGATGTTGAGCACAAGGAAACGCGCGATGATTTTCGCTGGTTGACTTGAGCTTCGACTTTTGCATCGAACGGTCGCAGTGAGTCCTTGAAAGATGAGCATGACGACGCGTATCACTGTCACAGCAGCGGAGCAAGCAGTGGAGAGGATGAGCGTCTGTTTGAGGAGGCAACGACACTGTGGTTTACGTGAAAATGGGCAGGTGCACTTGAGCCGTGAGCAGCGATGCTGGGGAGCTGAGAATCTTCCCTGGACACTCGTGTAAGTACAGGTGCCCGACGAATTACAACGACAGCGATGCACGTTTACAGCAGCGATAGCGAGGTTATGCTCAGCCCTCTTCTACATCAAGAAATACACCTCCGAAGGCTTCGCAAGCAAAGCCAGACGATGGTGCACACACATATGACTTCAAATACCAACATATCCCATTTGCTCAAGTATGGCAAGATTTGAAATATGGCAATATTATTCGACAGATGTTGTACAAAGGAAGGAAAGAAAATCTCTGAGGGAGATGAGGGAGGGCCTGAATATATACGCCTGGGGACGGGGATCACATGTCAGTGCAGGGAGGATATGTGAGTCAGGGTGGAGCGGAGCGAAGTTGTAGAGTGGCTGACTGGGAGGTAAGTTTGCTTTTCGTCGGGTGATGTGGGGCATTGTGACTGACTGTGGATAGTAGAAGGTCGTGAGTGGACGGGAACGGGAGTACAGCCTTCACAGCTGGAAAGCCTCGATTGTGTTCGAGGCCAATATACTCCGACATTGGAAGCGCACATGTCACAAAGCAGCGTGCATGTGATGCTGGGCGACTGGAAGCTGATGAAGTTGAAGCTGAGAGGCGGCTGTCTGGAAACAACATGAACGGGATCTCAGCTTTGTTGACAATACTCAAACCTTGACGCTGTGGAGACGAAGGCAGTCTCCGCTCCGCCCCTCCATCTCGAAGCGAACACGCCACACGGCTCCGCCCGCCGTCACGACGGGCTCTCGTGCAGCAAGGGCGGGAAGCTACGATCCACTCTCAAAGTGCAGCAATGGAAGGCGCAATCAGGACATTCTGCGAATAGAGGAAGCTACAGCCCCTCTCGCATTGGGTGGAGCGAGGAAGTCGCATTGCATCAGTAACAGAGTCGAAGGCGAAGTCGCGGGTGTGAACGTAGTCAGGGAAGGGGAAAAGGAGATCTGCGGAGACGTCTGGCAAGAGTGCTACCGCGAGACGAGTGTTGGGGCCTGGCCGGTAAGACTGGTGGTTGCTGTGCTCACATACACCATAAGAACCACTACAGAACGCGGAACGCTAGCTTCGAACCGCCTCAACGCTGGGCTGGTTGAACCCACTCGATTCCCCGCTACTTCCACCCATCAATCCCAAAATACCAAGCACCGCAACTCACAGCTCTCCCTAGCCGGCAACTCCTCCGTCCATGGAATCTGCAAGCCCGTATGCGGTATCCCACCCGCGATCCCATTCCCAAACTGTCCACCCGGAGCAGTCGAGTCGTGGATCTTGATCAGGAGAGCCTCATCCGGCATCATGTCGGAGCAGTAGTACCATGTGTGCTTTGGGTTCGGCTTTACGCCGACCGTTTCGAAGGAGTTGCCGGCGCTGATTTTAGCGAAGTTGGGGTTTTGTGTGAGCCATACGCGCTGTGAGGAGGAGCATTGGTGTCAGTCGACAGATTCAATGGAGGAACAATCAAGCTGCAGTAGTCGACAAGTCAAGGAAACGCACCTGGATGACCAAATCGTCCTTGTCGACAGTCCTCGCGTCACATACGCATAGTGGGTCTCTCTTGACAGGCTTGATCGGTCGCCAAAGGTTGATGATCGCCCATCGTTTGCCAGACCGCTCAATCTCCTCTGCCTCCGCGGCAGGCAGGTTGTCTCTCAAGATCTCAAGACTGCCTGCAGCGGACTGATCGATATGGACCGCCGGGGACGGCGGTACAATGCCCGTCGGCGTTTCGTCCGGAAGGTTCTTGTCATCGATCATATGCTTGATCTCGGAGTGCTTGTTCCTTCTGACGAGATGCGAGAAGCACTTCACACGTGACGCTCCTGTAGCGGTGGCTATTGCGTCTTGTGTCTGCGGGTAGATATTTGCTATGACCCAGTCGCGGTCGTCGAAGTTATCTTCAGCGCTAGGGTCTATCGAGATAAGCTGGAAGCCGACGTTGTCCACAGCGAGTTCAGGATGGTATCTTAGATCATAGACCTTCCTCAGCGATTTATCAGAGGGCCAGCGATACTGCGCAAGCTGCCCAGCAGTGTACTCTTTCATTGGCTTTGGATAGTAGGGCACGGCAGCCTCGATGTATGGCTTGGACTCGCTAATTGACCCCATGGCGGTACTTGTCGAACGCTGCGGCAAAGACTGTCGAAGTATACAAGACCTTGATCCTGCTCCCTTGTACAAAAGAGGTCCTGCAGCCTTATGAACGTTTCGTCAGCAGCGCACTTCACTTACATAGTCAGTCGTCATATCTAAGGCCTGCAACATCCCAATAAATCGGGTCTAATGGTGTACTTCGTGGGTCACTGCAATGCTACCTAGGTCTGTTAGCCTTGCAGGTTCCTGATTACTGCTGCAATCTCATCGAATCAGAAAGCGTTGACCTCTCGCGTTTCTGGTAATCGTCATCGGCTGTCCGCATGTGCAGCAGCCCTGCGGTGGTGGCCTTGGTATTGCGAGGCTATCAGCGTGCAAATATCGATCTGAGGCCGAATCGTTTCTGGAAGGAGTGACAACAGGGGCCAAATCCCCGGACGCCTCCTCTCGGCCGGCACATGGTGGGGCAGTCATTAGAGAACAGTGCATGACATCCGACCTCGCGCCTCCTTAATCGAACACAGCGCTCGCCGTGTACGCTCGACTCGTCGCGCCAAAATTCGCTGCGGCTGTTGTGATGAGTAGCAACAGACGAAGGTATTGAGCCACCAGGGGCAGGTTGGCTTAAGCTTTTTTTAGTGTGGGTGTCCACGAGTGTGATGAGCTCGACAGTGATAGGGATTGATCTATGCTCTTCCATCAATACCACCTTGGCCCTTCTACAGATACATCTCCACCTTTCGTGACCACTCGCTCACGACCATACTGATCAGTAAAGAAGTGAACATAATGCTCTGGCCCGAGTTGACGCCTTTCACGAAGACGCTCGCCCGGCTGTGGTGGCTCATAGGAAGCATCCCACTCTTGGCCAGGATACGAAGACCGCCGTTGGCTATGAGATCGAGCGATACTTGGAGATCTTGGACGCTCGTACCAATACTTTGCTCGTTCGTGCTGACTGTGGCTGTAGCTCCGATGCGGAGGCGATGGTGTGCTGTCGATTGTGAATGCTCGGCCAGTGTTACATCTATGATGCCTGTCGGCGGCTGAATAGATCTGATGGCAGTGTATGCAGCGAACAGTGTGCACGGGAACGTCTGAATAATCATGGTGATCGTGAGCTAAATTTGGCCTCTGTCGGTAGGCGTCCGGCTTGGGAGGTGGTGACGGCGGTGCGTCCGGTCCATGCCATCCTGGCGTGGAGGTATATCCTGCTGAAGGATAAGCATCGCCCGGACCACGTTGATGTGGAGGATGCACTGGAGGGTATGGTGTGCTCGGACGAAGTCGCTCATAGGACGGACCAGCACGAGGGGGTTGATACCACCTTGCAGGGTAAGTCAACGCACTCCTTGAGTTCCACAGCTCCCAGGCACCCATCATATCAGGTCCCTCATTCAATGCTCCTGGTCTTAGCCATGCTTTGACGCCATCGTCAAACTTGAGATTCATTGTCGCCAGATGCAACCACTTGTCAATCTCTGGCAAGGATCCGTGAAAGAAGTATCTCGCCACACATTGGCAAATGGCATTCGCTACCTCGGAAGGAAGGTTATGGCCGGCAGCGAAGATCTCGACGACGGTATTGACTTCGAAAAGCTCATATTGTAATCTTGAGAGAAGCTGAGAAGTCTCCTCGACGAGAAGATCAATTCTAAGTCGTTGAATACCATCCACAGCGAGGACGAACCTTGCCGGACAATTGATGACGGATCTAAGCGGTACGATGGTTTTATGATGGCAGCACGTCGACATCCACTCGACGAGGTCCTTGATGGCATTCGCGCCGCCGCCAATCAGTCGCACTGCTGTCGGTACTTGTTGTGGATGAGGCGAGGAATGGAGTAAAGGGTGGCTGGCGGGGAACTCTTCGCGGATCGTTGAGGAGAAGTATGTTAGCATGAACAGCGGCTGATCATAGCAGATGAGGTCGAAGCAGCCATCCCGCTTCTCGTCAAGTAGAATCTGGACTAGAGGGCCTTGGAGGAGGCTGTTGTGATGGTCAGCAACGTGGATGGACGAAGAAAGGACTGGACTTGCCTGCTGAGTTGGAAGTACGCCATGATTGCGAACGACGGCACAAACGACTTCAAAGAACGTCGCGCATTCTTAAAGTCCTCTGGAAGTCGCTCTTTAGTTTTCGAAGTGCTGGAAAGAAGTAGGCATGCCAAGCATGACAAGGCAACAGGGCTGCGGAAGGTGCAATCGTGGGTACATTGTTCCTTCATGCGCACGCTCACGACATCGTGAAGTCTCGCAGCGTGTAAAGTAAGCAGTGCCGCATGTCGAATCAAAAATCTAGTCAGTGTCAGATCGTAGAGTGAGCGCAGTCTGTGTTCTCAGCTAAGTCCAGACTGCGTTTGATGCAAGAGGTAAGTGAGGAAAGAGCAAGGTCTGCTTGAAGGTTGTTGTCTATTGAAAGAGCGAATGCCTCCAAGCAGGAATCTCTATCAGTCTATACGAGCACCATGCCCTCTATCATGCCAGTACCAAAAGCCAAAACTCCAGATGCATACCTGAGCGACCAGTCGCACGTCCAAACACAAAGGAAATTCATGATTCATAAGCTCATGCCAATCACCGAACCACGGCCCCAATCCTCCCTCGACGTCATCTTCTTCTTAGATGTAATACATGCTCTCGTCGAAGCCATTGACTGTAGGAAGCTCGGGAAGGAACTTCATCTTCTTCGGATCGTAGGTAGCAAAGACTCGCCCTCCTTCAGCTCGGGTTCGTAGATGTGCCGGACCCAACAGCGTGCCCGGTCAGCAGCTAGATCGGCGTAGTATGACGGGGTGGCTAGACTGACGCTACGTGTGGATCGGCCGAAGAGGAAGCACAAGGCGTGAGTCTGATTTTGCATGCGTCAGCATCACGTGTTTTTGAGTGGAGGGTAGCTGGATGTATCACTCACCATTCGTGCCAAGTCCTTGGTATCGATAGTCGCTGTCTCCGGCAAGCATATCGGAACGTAGTGACAAGGCCGAGCCGTGCCTTGAATGGCCTCATGACTGACCAGAAAGAATTCGTGGCGGCCTGCCTCAAGAACAACGTCTTTGTCGACCATGGCGCCTGGCAACGGATTGCTCTTCTTACCATCGTGCACTTTCGAATTGACCTTGGGATCCTTGAAGAATCGGACATGGTGACGTTTGATCGTGCAGATCACGAAGAGCTCGGGGATCGATTTGGAACCGAGTGATTCGGCAACAGCTTTGATGCCATCCCGAATTCGAGGTATCTCCGCCTCCTTGCACATTTCAAGTTGATCCTCGGAGAGACCGTCGCGGAATGCTATGATGCGCTTGGGCATGGCGTTCAAGTTGTTCTTGGACCATCGCTCGACACTGAGCTGTACCATCTCCTTGAGTTTCATGATCTCTTCCCTGGCCCTCTTATCTTTGAGCGGAGGATTCTCTCTCAGGACTGCCGGAAACTGAGAGAACTCTTTGTTGACACTTCCCACCAGAGCAGCGATGCTAGGCGCTTCGTCCATGGCTCCGACGGGAGGATGTGTGACGTCCATTCCCATAAGCATCGTCTGAGAGTCGATGCATCCGAGGAGACCGGGCTCGATACTCCGGAACTTCTGATTGACCGTGTCGCGCTCCATCTTCAAGTTGAATTTCATCAGCATGTTCGTGACTTTGGAGCTCTGATTCTTCGGCTGGTTGAAGTAGCTGAAGTTACAGATGGTTTGTATCCCTTCTAGATCTGCGGCACGTTTGACTTGCTGGTAAATCTTTGAGTCCTTGAAGGGCAGTATGACGAAGACGAGTCGGGTCTTGCCACCAGTGGGAGCATTGAAAAGCTCCTTCAGCCTGGTGCGGAGTTGCTCACCGTCCTTATGATCGGCTTTCCGGCGGTCGAATGAATGAAGGTCGCCAAAGCTATCATCGCCAAAATTCCCACGGAAGTTGCTGATCGGTTGGCCGTTTATGAACGCCTCGCTCTTGAGGCCATATTTCGGAAGCTCTGTTTGAACAGATGCGAAGAACTCGGAAAGGTGTGGGCGGCGGCTTCCTGGGTTGAAGATCCGGAGGACAGTCCAGCACCCACTCTGAGCAGGAGTACTAAATTGTCGGTTTTCAAGATTCCATTTGCCGCTCGCTCTTTCCTTGTCATTGAGTGTTCCTTTATCGGTTGGCAGTGCTGTTGGATAAACAAGGTCCGGTCCATTCATGATCGTCATATCCAATTCGTGCATATCCGGTTCGACGCGAAGACCCCCAAAGGCAAATGCAGCAGCCTGTACGGTTAGAATTTACGCATCGGACAGGTGACAGACTTACCGGTGCAAGATTCGTGTTCGTCCGTTCCAGTTCAAAAAGCTGCCTGCCCTGCTTTTGGATTTTATCACGGTTCGCATCAGGAGGCCGCACTGCAAAGTCGATCATCTCGACCTTTGAAGAAACTCGTTGACCAGGAATAAGAGTGAGCAACCGTGCTGGTATGAGAAGAGGCTCTGCGTCAAGCCGTCTGCGAGATGTGACACCGCGGACTGCAACAATTCGGTCTTCCGGGGACACATTCAGCCATGAGTATTCCCGGCCGAAATATTCGGCGACGTTGACAAGAGGATCACTTGTCACCGCGTCGCCCGCCGTTGCAACGTCCACTGAGGGCTGTTCCTGAAGCTGACAGACCGTGTAAAGCATCTCATTCGAGCGACTGGAATTCCTTGCATCGTTATGATATGCTGTGCAGACTTTCAACCCACCGATAGCTCTCATTGCATCGTCCCAATCAGGTGTCCATTCACTTCGCGGTGGTGGATTGCGTTGCTCGCGGGAGTTCGCATCTGGCTGAGGCGGCGGGCCGTTGTATAACGTGTCATCTTGGGTCCGGCCATTTACCACAGGCCTCAGTAAGAAATCGATGTAATCATTCAATGATCCTTCGTGATGAAAAGCAGATCGCGTGGTGTTGATGTTGAGGAAGATCTTATTAGCACCAAGGAATGCTCGAGTGCTCAGGAAGAATCCAAGACGTCCGACGAGCCCGTATTTATCGTTTCCTCTCAGCTGTTGCGGGCCTATATCCTCAGCCCACAGTGGCATGAGATCGAAGAATTTCTTGCTTCCGCTGCGGGCAACTGTTTGGATGCTTCCGGTGTTTCCAGAGTTCGGGAGATGGTCAGTGAACGTCTTCACGCTGGCTGCATTCGTGAAAACAACATTAAGCGCTGTGATGGTCTCGTGCTTCTGGTTCTTCTCCTTCTCCATCAAATCGTCCTTGCGAGATAGCAGACTCAACAAGGAATTGATCGGCAATTTCTTGGGATCCACGTCGATTGTGACTGTGTAAAGAGGATAGTCGCCCCTGTGATGCTCGTGGTCGCCATAAAGAATGACCTGATGCGTGGTGGTAGCCGCAAGCGGTAATTGTTGACAAGTAACCAGATATTTGTGATAATCACTGGCGACAGCAGTGCCTTTCATATCGCCGCGACTGTGCAGATCCTTGATCAAGAGAAACACGATGCGGCGTATGGTCTGCTTCGATGGGTTCCTCGGGCTCTGTACTGGAGCTGGGTTCGTTATTTCGCCGTTCTTCTCTTGCTCTATCTTCTCTTGCTCTTATTGTGTTGGTTGCCTAGCGATGGTGAGCCCGTACCTGAAAAGCACAAAGCCCTCGGTGCCTGACGATTGAGCAGAAGATGCGCCTCGTGACGGCGGCGACTTCCTTGAGTTGGGCGATTTGATGGGTGATGAGCCTGAGGACGCTTTGTTGGGTGAACCTGTGCCAGAGCTGAATCTCACAGGTGTAGTGGCACCGGGACCCGTTCTTCTGGTCAAAGTCGTAGACGCTGCGTTTGATGGGCTGTGAGGCTGTGTAGGTCCCGTCGTCGAAGAGTTGACATCGTCATTGGGGAACTTGATTCCATAGTGATTGGTCAGCGTCTTGCCAGTAAGTCGCTCTGGTGCAGAGACGAATGCGTCGCCTTTAATGGTGGCGGGCGCAGGTTCGAGTTGCGTGTGAACAAGTCGCGGCTGATGGGAGTTGGGCTGATCGATGATGGGCGGACGATGAGGCTGAAAACGTCCGCCACCGCGGCCGGCATGTCCACCGCTACGGCCACGTGGGTTCCCGCCTCGAGGGCCTGTTGGTACGTTCGTCATGGAAGTTGCTGAAGCATTTAGACCTTGGCCTCTCGGAGCTATCGGAGCATTCGACATGTCGTTCCTCGGAGCTGAAGCCCCCTGAGGAACGTGGCGGGCGTAGCCTTGATGACCGGAAGGCTGAAAATGCTGAGGCAGAACGACATTGCTACCGGTGTGAACGCCTGTACCTGGTCTCGCTTGTCCAGGCGGTCGCCCTCCGCCAGTCATAGGGACAGCGGGAATAGTTGGTGTGAAAACTGGGGCAGTTGCGTCGAGAGCCGGCGTGACTCGGCCGGTATGAGGTCTGTTCTGTATGGATGAAGGGTCACGAGACTGCTGGGTGCCTGGCTGTGTGAGCTGAGTGTTGCTGGTACCTGTAGTACGCGCTGATAGGCCAGATGGAACAGGTCTGGAGTCCCTACTCATACCAGAACCTCCTCCTCGGCCTCTCGGCTGGCCTCCCCCACGAGGACGCCGCCCTCGCCCGTCCATGTGGACAGATCTGGACGATAGACTTTCCTGTGATTCTTTGACTCGATGATTGGGATGGGGCAGGATGCCAATCGTGGACGAATGAATGATGACAGCAGAATTGCTTTCCCAGGCGACGGGACCATCTCTCATATACCCTTGAGCGTCCATACTGGTGGGCGCGTGATAAACTGTCAATCATTGCCCACATCGAGCAAACATCGGACTGCATAATTTAGCAAGCATTGTCTGACGATAAACACGCTTCTTATCTCGGGATCAATACGGTCAAACACCATATCGCAAACCTACCTCGCAGTAGCTCACATCATGGCGCAAACAGTTGCTACCCATCGATCGGACCACCACTCCACCACTTGCTTGATCACTTCCGCCGGGAGCCTGCGCAAAGTCAAGCTCTCCTGGCTGGTCGAGATGTCGGAAGCTTCTCCTCGACGTCTGCCGCCATCGCATTCTGAAAACTTGCTCCCTGGGCAGGTTGCGGCAATTCGCCTGAAGGGGCATAAGGGACACGACTTCTGGTACGCCTACAAGCCGGCCGCCCGACTTGACGCCCCGAAACTTTCTCAACGCTCTCAATGAGGTGCAATTCCAGACGATGAACGACCTTGACGCGTTGATGCGACCATCGCGCGAAGGCGTGTCATGTCGGTTGCACGCTGGTGAAAGCTCATGCAAAAGCAACTCTAGACCGTAGCCACTTCATTCGAGCGTGACGTTGCATTCTCGCATCGACCGCTCCTACGCGATACCGTACAGTAGATCGGCAGACGTAGGAAGGAAGGAAGAAGTCCTGGGGGCAGAGGGCTCGGTTAGAAAAGCACCCGACTTAAGCTTCAACCCCGAACACTGGCAGCCGTCCCTGATTTTGGTAGTCGTTCTTTCCTTTCTGTCGCTGCGTCGAATCTGGTGTCGAGAGCGGGCAATGCCAGCGGCTTTTATAGAGTCACGTAGATCAGAGCTGAATACCTTCGAAGAGTTGACTAATGTGGATCGACAGCAGCATGCCTATTGACCACAGACGGCTTATCTCGAGATTTGATGCCTTCACACGTCATCCGACGCTGCGCCTTGTGCTGTCTCATCTGATGGGAAGGCCGACATTTGGTGCTGATGCTGACGGTAAGGCGGAACCTGTGCGAACACGCAAAAGTCGAAGGAGAGCTTTCAAGCTGGACTAGCCTCACGTATGGATGCAAAGGTACTTACATGTACAGTCGCAATCGGTAGGGCCAATAGCGTAGACCTCAGCGAGGCTATCAACATGTATTTGGGTTCTACCTGAAGGCACCAGGCATGCTCAAATCCGATCTGTAGTCTGTTACAGACGGCAATCCACGCTCGCACGGTCTCAACATATTCCACCTCTTCAACACCTCCAGCAGATTGACGAAAGCCTCATCGAGATCTGGTGGACGGCCAGAGCGACTCTCGTACGGTTGCCTCAGCTCTGCTTCGTCAAGCAGAACAGCAATGCCCTCACTGCTGTGAACATGGTCGACCAAACTTCCGAGACATCGCACTCCAGCCCATCTAGCCGCGAGATGGAAGACCCCTTCTCCGTCGTTCATCGTAGCGAGGACGTCGGCGCCCTTGGCCAGGAGCAATGAGACGCAGCTCGCCTTGTCGTACCTCAACGCTGCCAGCAAAGGTGTCATGCCGTTCTTCATCCGAAAACTCATGTCTGCTCCTCCCTCCAACAATGGCTCAATCAGCTCAGAATTCCCAAACATAACCGCGTAATGCAACGGAGTCTGCCCACCACTAGCTACAGCATTCGTATCCGCTCCATACTCACTCACCACTGCTTTGACCAAATCCTGATTCGGCCCGACTTGCCGATAGCAGTAACAGTGCAATGGCATCCTCCCCAGATCATCCAGTGCACTCATCTGGCGGCCATCGACCGACGCGTTCATCAATATTCTCGCAGTGTCCGCGCTCCTCGCCACATGCAACGGAAGCTGTTTCAACCCGGCACCGATGTTCTGGTCTGCGCCATACTTCAGAAGCGTTCTCAACGCCACCAAGTTCCCCTGCGCGCTCGCCCACCACAGCGGCGTCGCCCCGCTCACATCTTGTACATCGATCTCCCTGGTCGACGCCCTCAACAGATCTTCTAAACTCAGCGATCCCGCTAGGCCCAACAAGATCTTGTGCACCAGTGTATACTGCTGACTACTGACAAAGTCGTCCACATCCACATTCCTCAAAATATCGTTATCACTCAACACGTACCCGCCGGCCTCCGTCGTCGATTTCTGCGCACAGAACCACGCCCGCTCAATGACCCTGCTGCCGTTCGTCGCACAGATCGTCAGATCTGCACCTTCTGAGACAAGAAAGGATGCGATGTCCATCTTCCCCAACGTGAATGCTGTGTGCACAAGCGACCAATTCGACCGCGAAACATCATAGACCGATGCTTGGCGAGCAGCGAACATCTGCTGGAGGTAGGCGAGGTCGCCGCGGGAGATGACGGAGAAGACTTCGGCGGTGTCTGGCAAGATGCGTAAGGTGTTGAGATTGATGTGGGTGTTGAGAGCGGTCGAGGACAGAGAGAGGTTCAGCGCGATCGGGAGGAGCCAGTCCGGGAGTCGCAGTGTGACGCGCGTCGATGAGGTGGCGTGTCGGCGACAACGGCGTTCAGTGCAGGGAAGGCGGAAAGGAGTAAGTGGTGTAAGACTGCCGGAGGAGGAAACGGAGAGGTGGCCCAACCAGGATGCGAGCTGAGCTGGGGTCGAGAGCTGGAAAGGCCGATGGCAGGTACAGCTGCAGTGCTGTGCACATGTCGACGGTCGACTGTCGTCACTAGGTGGCCGGTCAGAGTCGTCGACAGCGTCGCTTGCTACTGCTGTCGAAGTCCGCACAACCACTGTCGTGGTATGCACATGATCTGTCGCACCCTCACTGCCCTCGCTGTACTCACTGTCCTCACTTGTGTCCGGTGTCCTGTCGACAGAGCCCTGTCAGCGTCCGTTACCGCTATGCCTCCCTCTCCTCCGCTGTTCACATTCACGACTGCCCGTTCCCTCGCAGCGTCCGGCATCTCCCCAACTCCTCCTTCCTCTCCAGCCCCATCCACTCTCCTACCAACCAAATCAACAAGCACAGTCGTCTGCCACAGACTGATCAACTGTACGCTCTCTCCCAACTGCTGACTCAACTTTTTAAACTCCTTGTCCATCGCCAACGCCTTCGCCGCTCTCACATACTTATTGAACAACAACACCATCGGCTTCTTCTTCTCACCACTATCCCCACCAATTGCCGCTGCAACCGGCATAACCCGGTCGACCATCCCCAGGATCTTCCGAATATTCTCACAACAACTCGCCACAACCGGGAGTAAGCCCTCTGCTACTCCTTGCCTTTCATCACCACTCCCACCACCTACTCTGTCATGGCTCAATTGCACCCGAACCCGTCCCAACAGCCCTGTCAGCGCGGTGACTCTCGCCCTCAACGCAGCAAACTCCCCATTGGCACTGCCCAGATCCCGCAGACGGGAGGTGAGTCTTGCACCATAGTCGAGGAGCTGCCCTATCGACGCGAGCAGGGACAGGACAGCGAGGGGCTCTGCCATTCATGTGATCTGTAGAGCACGGCCTGAGTATAGGGTGCAGGCTCCAGACAATGAGTACGGACAAACCCACGAGGGACGAGGAGTCGATCTTGTGCTGAGGTAGGTAGTCTCGAAACGATTTACGACAACCGCGTGTGGTGGCTGTGCTGGTGCTACAGCCTCGCTTGTAGCCCTGGGGGCTCGATGCGAATACGAGATCATTCACTGCTCAGGCTCCTAGGTACCCTTTGCAAAATACTACCGGAGCTTGATGATGTCTGATGGCTCAAAGTCAGGTAGTGTTTTCTACGAAAGTCTATCGTAGGTACAGTGGCGGCACGACGCTGAGTGCCTCGAGCTGATGATAAGGAGCATAGCGTAGTCATTTGGTACTAAAAAGAGTTCACAGTCGTTGCCTGACGCCCTTTTGCGGCTGGGCTTGCCTTCAAGTCTGCCTTGTGGGCAAATCAGAAGTGCTCCGTACGGCAAGGTCATGTGGGAAGGATATGTCGACCACGAGTGCAGCCCACGATTAGATCTTTCAGTGAAGGGTAGAAGATACCATTTCCACTCCTGCATCCTGTGCACACGATTACTTCTCTGTACATACTTGTGGACGCGGGGCTGATGTCCTCAAAGCCCTCGAACTGCTCAGGCTCCGTATTGAGATGGGGTATTTTCCGGACCGCAACGCCATCAATCGGCCCATTCTCATGTTTCATAATACCGAATTTCTGATCGCACGTGCTCACCATGGCACTCTTCGCTGCTATGATCGGAGGCTTCGCCAGTCTTCCCTCTCCCTACTTCACAGGGCGCTCATCAACATGTTCCGAAGAATAACTCCATGCAGTCAGGCGTCAGAAGAGATTCGAGTCGGAAGAGCTGGCGCTCTCCTAAGCACCAATCAAGATCTCCTCTGAATTGACGAACCGCTCCTGATGTTCCTTGAGACTAGCCCAATGAACCAGCTCCTCCTCTTCAATTTCTTCAGCACTCTTGCCAACGCCATACTGCCCTGAAGGCTCTTCCGGACGAAGTCTACTAGGGCCGAGTCGGTTGAGTCGTGCCAGGATCTCCAAGAAGGCGAAGAGATACCTGTTGACGCTTTCGGAGTCTAGGGTTGGCATGACGCTCATTGTGGCTCGCTTGTTCTCCAGTAGGGTTGACGCGATCTGCCGAATCTTGTTACACTGCATTGACAGTCAGCATGCATCCTTTCGCAACGGACAGGCAGTACTTACCAGACTTAGACCATTTGGCTCCATGTTAACCTGATTGATGCTCTTCAACAGACGAGCTAGATCTCTAATGATATCTTCACGCTCTACAGCCATCGACTGTTCGCTAGCATCCATAGTCGTGTCGCTTGGGGTTCTACCAAGATTCGAGATGAACTTGGTGTCTCCTCCCGAAGGCGACGAGTTTGATGAGATCGACGGGATTCGCTCGCCCGAATGAGGCGTGGACTGATTGCGTTCATGGGCTTCTACCAAGTTCCAGTATCGTTCTACGAGGTATGACCTGGTCGCCAGCTGTGTAGCATAGATGTTGGCCTTCTGTATCTCATACTGGACAGCACGCTTGGGAAATGGCAGAACGAGAGAGCCTCGCCGGCTGCTTGGGTATGCTGGGAGGCCTTGACCACCGGACTGATCCTGGATTGAGTATGCGGAAGCGTCATACGAGGTTGGAGGCCATTCTCCGAAGTCGTTGTCGGCGGGTTGTAGCCGCAATTCCTGAGGGACATTTTCCGTCGCTGCCTTCACGTTAAGAAGCGCTTTCTTGATAACCCCTTTCTGTCGTTCCCAGTCGTAGACGGTGTCTGCTCCGAAAGCCGTCTCCAGTGCAGCCAAGGTATGGAATGCTCTGAAGATCTTAGCATTCAGATTGAACCCGACCATGACAGAGACTTGGTCCGCTGGTTGCTGATAGATCGCCGTTTCGGTGATGTACTGGTCATCGACTTCTGCCGGCAGAGGCGGCATGAGCTCCACATATGCTACCGGTGGCATGAGTAGATCTGATTCAGGATCATCAAGCTGTCTTCCAGACATCGCCGACACAAACATAAGCCAGAACAACCGACGACCAGATTCCTGGTATACGTAGTCTGCTGGTCTTTTTCGCTCGACAGCCGCGTCTGCACCAGTCGCTGATCCGACCGGAGCATGGATGTCTGGACGGTGAATGCCGAGCGTTCGTAGCATCATGACACACTCGCCAAAGTAGAGCCGCATCCTGCCAATATCGTAGACATAAGCTGAAGCTAGTCCAGCGAGATAGCTGCCAATAGCGTCATACAACTGGAGTGGCCGGTCGAGGTAGCCTGCACCGCGTGCTTCAGTGTACACATGGTGGCATCGGTCGATCAGTGCACCAGCGTTGGGAAATTGAGCTCTGCCTTGATCGGAAGCAAATAACTTCCGTGCGCGTCTTGGGAAAGAGGCTACCAGAGTCTCCAGCATTGCTGCAATCAGCGCAAGAAAACTTCTGTCAGTCTTGTCCTGTCGATTTTCGAACGCTGCTCTGAACGTCGGCTCGTGTGGCAGCGTGATGAGAGGATGTATGTACAGGAAGTAGTCGTCGATGAGGATTTCGATGGATGTCAGGTCGCATATGGACTCGACCGAAAGGCTGGCGGGCAGCGACAGAGCCGCGAGACTGTATGCCGCATCGTGAGTTGGCGACCCAGTGTTTTGTGCCAGACCGTCGCTTTCCAGCTTCTGTCTTTTGATCGCCTCAGCATGACGATTCGGAGGTCCTCGTCGACGACTTGGTCGTGCAAAGGTACATGGAATCTCGAGGGCAGCGCATGATTTGCACGGCGGTCCGCTCTCATCGCACTGATCAATCGTTAGTCGAACCATCTAACGCCGGAAGACGGGTCTCATACCTTGACTTTTCGCACACTACAACTATCGCACGCCTTCCTCAGTCTTTGCTTAGGACCATCTCCAGGCCGCGACTGTCCACTTTGACTAAGTTGTGATTCGCGTCGAATGGGAGGACCTGGATGTTGCGGCACAGTCTGAGGGATCTGGCCGAATTGCTCCGGGTAGCCTCGAGGTATCTGCGGGTCGAGTGGTTCATCAAACTTGTATGATGATTCGTAGCCATGTGTGGGCGAGTATAGCTGCCCAGATTGATTGATGGACGCCATGGCGCGTGGTCGTGTCGCAGCACAAAGAAGAGTGTCGGATGAACGTCGGGCGGTGTTAATTGAAGAAGCGCGTGCGGTCGGCCCGGACCTGCAAACCTCCACTTCAAGTGCAGTAAGATTTCGTTGCAGATATCACGTCTTGTAGAGCTCGAGTTGCGCAGTGTTGGTGATGGATAGACAACTTATGTTTGGGGAAGTCCCGGGACTATATTTCGAGAAGCGCAGGCAGAATTGAAGTTCCGAGGGACGTTCCTACCCATGGACATGGACTATTGTATGTAGCTGGGGATTTCAGGGTCGCACACTCGCCCACTCCGCCTCGCACTTCAGTTCTAGGCCAAATGGTGGGCAAGGGATTGATTCGACTCGCTTAAGAAGACACCCCGTTCAAATTCACGGATGGCGAAAAGGGTAGCAATTCGAGTCACAGTGTGGCCGAGAAGATGCTGCGTCTCGTACTTGGACGTGATGAAACACGCGACAGATGAGTGCAGTTGTCACCCGAAGCAGTTGCGGTAGCAAGGCACTTGACGGTACAAATGTACATACGATGTGAAGTTTGTGGGGAAGGTTCGTCTCGATTTTGGAGATTGAAATCGAAATGACTCGTGCATCGTGTTGATCAGCGGCAGCCCCTAATCTTGCAGGTAATCTCTCACCCTGGGGCAGATGAGATATAATCGCTGCTACAGCCTGGCGATGCTTGTGACGATATGGCTGAAGGCGATGTCCAGGCTTCCATCCTGGTCCTCATTGATATGATGGTCCTTGATCTGGTCTACATTGGAAGGACTGACACAATCTCTTGAAATGAACTACCAGCTTGGTGTACCCAAGTCTTTCTGATGCCTGCTTACCTGCGGGGAGACCTGCCATGTGTCTCGTTCGATCTGTAGGGATCAGAGCTGATATGGACAGCAGCCTGACGGACAATAGCCTGAATCTCGGCATTCCAATACCGTGCCGTGTGTGTTGTCTGCCGACCGCGAAAGTCCTTGGATTACCTCGATTTTGCAACGGCTGAGCAGAGGATGTTCGTGATCTCGGAGAACGACCGCTGAGGACTCCTAAGCACAGAATCTATGTGGCGTACCTAGGATGGACGTATTCGGCATCCTCGATGGGACCCTCGCCCCATGTGAGGACAACGCTGGACCACGGCTGACCATTTCTCCCTGTCTCGGATGCGCATCACAGACCGAACACCGGGCTTAGCACCCATCGCGACGGCATCAAAAAATGTACAACCAAAAATTATTTCCGAAGACCCCCATGGAAAGGCTAGAAGATTTCGGGGTAAGATGGTCACTGTGGTCTCTCGTCTAGCCTCCGATTTCCCCTCCAGCAACCATTTTCGCTTTTCGCGTCGTTGATAGAGTGAATACGGAGGAGCTATTTCAGTTTGGTATGAAGAGAAAGAAAGAGAGAGGGAGCGGAGAGGAGATTTCAAGTCGGGGATGATGCCAAGAGATTTCTGACACTAACGTGGATTAGGCATAGCGGAGGACGACTGCCTGTCGTCAACCGGTCTCGAAATTCATTAAATGCATTCCAAGTTCATCAGACTCGCTCTGTCTATCTATGTATCAACGCTTGCTTGGTCAATGATCGAAGGCCTATGCGGTGCTGCAAGTGAGGCGCTCACATGCATGTGAAAGACCGCTCAGACACATCATGCCTTTAGAGCCTTCACAATCTCTGAACCACTCCTCGGAGTACCCATCAAGACCACGCTCTTAGTAGCTCCCAGCTCGAATATTGTGCACCATCCATCGTTCACCTCTTTTGAGAGAATCTCCAAGCACAGCTTGAGCTCATCGTCACCCATCGGAATCGCCATGCTGGCTCTGAGTTCGCTCAAGAGTTGCTTCCACGCGAATGAGACTTTCCCACCAGCACCGGCACCGCTGTAACCTCCAAGCTTCTGCTGTTGTTTCATTCGCAAGATCTCGACCACCTCCGCCATACGAGCGACAGCATGTTTGCGGCGAAGTACTTCAGCGCTTGGAGTGTCGATGGCAGCGGTGGCAAGCTGCTTTGCTTTGACTCGATCGAACAGTGACAATGTTCGCGACTTGATCGTCACACTCGAATTTTCGCCGCCATCCGAAATGGAAAGCTCGTCCATTGATAACTCCGCCTTGCGACCTGACAGGATGTGCTTCAGTGTTTCCGACGCCTTGTTCTGCCGCATGGTGGTTTGCGCACCCATTTCGAAGGCCAGAAGCGGAACATCCTGCACTGTTCGGCCATGCCGCTGCAAGAGTATGTCGAGCTGAGACTCAAATTGACTCTGCAAGTTTCGTTCCGAGAAGTCCGCACTCTGTTGGAGCTCAAGTAGTTGTCGTCGGTTCGAGCCTATGCCAACAATCTTCAGCTGGAATGGACCACGTACGTGTCGTACTTGCTGGGTCGCTTCGGCTGTGTTTTCGTCTTGTTCAAACACGCCCAAGATTCGCTGTAGATCAATGACCGTGACTGATCTTCTTTGGTATAGTCGAGTCACACTTTCAAGTAGTGCGCTCAGTTCAGCAGGAGTTGCCGGCCCATTGTGTGCTCGATGCAGCGCAAATGCCTTCAGAACTGCGCTGAAGATCGAGACAAGCTCCTGAGCGTCAGCAGGGCGGGCGACCACCAAGACGCGCTTCCTGTTCGGTGATTTGGGCGGCGTCGGAAGCTGCACTTTGACGCGCTTTGACGAGCTGAAGAACTCGACAACCTCTGCAGAGTCATCTTCGCTGTCCGACCAGTCCCTCTTCCTTTGCTTGTTGGACGACTTTGTAGTCTTCGGTACATAGCGCTCGGGTTTCCGATCATTTTCAAGCTTGGTGAGGGCGAGCTCTTTCGCGACGGTCGACTTCGGTTTCGTGGTGCTCGTTACAGTAACGCTTTTCGAGATGCGACTGAAAGACGACAATGTTGGTTGTTGCTTTGTTTGTTGGCGACGATTTGTTCGTGAGGAAGGTGCCATGGTGCTGCGAAGTTGTAGGAAGGTGCAGAGCAGGATCGTGCCTTCCTTGATTGACGAACACAGAGATGGGGAAGGAGCGATGCAGAGAAACTTCCTTGTAGATCAATCGTAACACGGAAGGTGCGATCACAACTCAACGAGCAAAAATGATCACTATGTGTTCATTGAGTAGGATACCCGTTGCTTTGTAGTCGAGGTTCGAGAACAGCGTCTAGATTGAAACGCGCTTCGCACGCGTCGAAAAGACGCGCCCCCGAAAACTTCCATTTACAGTACCGATCTGTACCCCACACTTTTTACCGTTCCCGGCCACTGTATCTAGGGACTTCATTGTGCGGCATTCTGAACATGGCTATGCTCTCTGACCGTCATTGTGGTTTCTCAACTGTTTGGCATGGGTTACACGTCGCGTGCCAGCGCCGATGAGCAGGTACAGTCTCATGCCATTCAGCAAAGGCCGCCCAGACCGGGCTTCCTGGTCAACCAAAGGAATTCAAGCACAACAAAATAGGCACCCTCGATCTACGAGGACACTCACCGCTGGGTTCTGCTTCACTGTCTTCTCGAATGTCAGGCACTGCACGCATGTTCGCCTGACTATAGCAACCCAAGGGTGGAGTACTATGAAGACAAGACCTCACGATAGGGTAGCTGACATGCGAGCTGTGATAGTCATCGATGTCTGGGTCTGTTTGTTGGCTCATACTGACATCGCTGGAAGTCCAGAAGTCTAGAGGATCTGACTTCACGATCCACGGCGAATGCTCTCTTGTCGCCAAGACCAGCGGTAAGTTCCTCGACGCCGAACTTGGTGCAGCCAAAGAACTCAGTATAGGCCTCAGACCATGGCTATGCGCTATTGGCCTATGCCGTTCCAGAACATGATGCGCATGGACAGAAAGTTTCTCTCCGCAAAACGAATCCGTGTTTCAACACTCATCAGTTCACCATAGCCAGACTCACAAGCTAGGGAAGGCATTGCTGTTCGATTGCTGATCCCTGAACAGTTGCCTTTCTACTGTAGTTTCGCGCTACTAGACCTCTCGAATACTGACGATAAGCAAATCTAAGTTGCATAAGTCTGTCCAGGGACTGCTTAGGCGTGCCTGCGAGAGCCAGGTTCTCGACAAGTACTTTGACATCTTGCCAACATTGCGAAATGCATGTCTCATGGCAAAATGCAGAGATCAAATTTCCCGATCCTAGGGACCACGAGACGTTATCACTGCTCAGCCGCACTCGCCGAAAAGTGTCCTTTCGCGAACATGGCCATGATCAACTCCACATGGTTGACAGCAGGAATATTGACGGCGCCACGGATGAGGCTTTCCATCGCCAGTTTGGCCGGGTTCCTGACGAAGGTGATGCCGAGTGGCTGATGTCTCACAAACTGGAGCTCGCCTGCAGGTGGCTGATCCCAAAGCGCTCGCTTGGCGTAAATAGCGTGGTTGATCTTGGATAAAACATCCATCTTAAAGTTCCAGAACACCATCATTTCAAAATACTGGCTTGATAGCAACACGAAATGGCGGCATGGATGATGCGCTGCTGCATCCGCGCCGACAGCTCGTGCCGCGGTCTCGTGCATAACGATCTGCGCGTTTTAGCTTGGTCGCCAGATTGAGCAGATCTGTCTCACCACAACAATCAGCAACAGTCTCAATCTAGAATCTACACGTGGGTCGTCGTCTTACATCTTACTGTTATCGGCTTGGCTGGCAAGGGCATAACATGCTTGCAAGCTGCCTGTGAGCCGTCGCTTAGGTGCAGTACTAATAACAACACGGACTCAATGCGATAGCTTATCCTTCACCGACATGAAACCGTGGATATCAAGGACACTTTTGCTGCTCCATCTCTGGTAGGAAGCATGTAACTTCGTGTCACGACACACGAGCTGCACAACAAGCTCACTATAGAAACGACAGCTCGCAATGCCACCGCACATGTTCGACTGTCTTCCACTGATCGATACGTTGTTGGCTATAGACCTAGACTTCCCTCCTCGCGACTCATTACATTCACACCCGTCGACAGCGACTATGGACACAATGTCCTCATCACGTCCGTACACTTCTTCAAATGACTCCATACGTACAACTGAGACTCGGTCCACAGACTCTGCACCCTCGATTCGAGCTCCTTCACTCTACTCCGGCGGTCCAAGACGTGGGCCGGTGAAGAGGGTCTCATTCTCTACGTTAGTCGATGCACGAGACGCAGAGGCGCTCGATCTGGCCGATGACGATGTGGACGATGAAGACCTAGGAGCAGACCTTTCTGCTGCAACAAGGGCAGAGCGTGCCATATACAAGCATACACTTCGCTGTAAGGGCATGGCAGCAGCCATAAGGTGGTGGGAGTGGAAGCAGAAAGAGAAGAGGAAGATGAAGAAGAGGAGCTGCATGAGTCTGGTGTGAGCGGTCGACGACGACTTCAGCAACACGGACTTGCTCGCAGGTCATCTGAACTGCAAGCATAACCTGCTATCGGACATGCCTCACACTCGCCCCATCAACTAGCAATAGATGCTATCTTGGCATAGCAAGAGTTCCACGGCGCGTCTGGCTTGGCTTGGGGAAAAGAAGAAAGACGAAGAGAGTCAACGTCGACACGCCAACTTATACCTCTTCCACAAAGTGAAGACCAGGCGCAGACACGGGACACTGACTCGGCCACAAGCTATTCACTGTATGTCGAATCACGCGGCACCAGGGTGCTTCCTGGTGTATTCACTCGCGACGAGTCGGTTGGCAATAGCGCGTCGAAGGCAGCTGAGACAGTTTCCAGATTCGGTCTTCTCTAACAACGGCCGGACTTGGCGAAAAGTGTTCGTGCGGCACTCATGGTGCATGTCAAGCATAGTGACCACTGCGAAACCCGCTTGGTCAATCAACACATGTTGCGGCTCAGCCACACCATTTCGTTCGGATCATGAGGACGGCGAGAAGTCTGAGGCGATCCACTACGCTTGTGAGGCCTTGCTGTACTTCTACCATGTCATCGTATCCTCATCACAAGAAGCGGGTCAGCACACCTCGCGCCTGTGCGTCTGGCCCACCAGGCTTGCGGGACGCATACGCCTCAGAATCTGCGAAAGAAATCTACGTCAAGTCCATTGACTGGCGCAGCGACATCACACACGTGTCCTAGCGGTTACGAAGAAAATTCCGCCACGGCAGGTGGGTCAGTCGGTCCAATTACTGCTCTGCGGTCTGAATTTGGTCGCCACGGTTGGTGCAGGACAATCGGACGTATCGCGAGAGACAGGCGCCAATCATATCGAGTCAAGCTATACATCGACCGAGAGACATATCGCTGGCCTTCCGCTCTTTTTTCAAGAGCTGCTGATCAGGCCATATTGGAACTGGACGACGGTCAGAAACTGAGTCGATACTGATGAATATGTAGAAATATCATACATATGGGAGTGTTGAAGACCTCCGCATCCCCCACACTTTCCCCATGCCGTCATGTCCATCGTGAGGGGTTGAGGCAGACAACATCGATCATCCTCATCTGTGTACACACTGGAATTCTAGAATCAGAAAATCGCTGACTCGGTATCGCTGGCAGACCATACTGACATCTGACACAAATGGCATACAAAGGTCGACTAGCTGTCATCGCGGGCGGCTTAGGCGGACTTGGCTCAGAAACCGCCAAACTTTTGCACGCAGAAGGCGCAGCACTTGCTCTTCTATACGCTCCATTTGAGGCCGACCGCCGAGACAAACTCCTCGAGGGCGCCTTCGGCAACCCAGCACCCGACAACGTAAAGACCTACGAAGCAGACATCACGGACGAGGACCTTGTAGCCAAGGCCTTTGCAGCTATCAGCACTGACCTCTCCTCGCAAGGCTCGCCCGTTTTCCCTTCAATACTCATCAACGCAGCAGGCTACGTCTCTGTCCAGCCTCTGACCGAGACCTCTGCGGCGGAAGCAGCCAAGAACATCTTGCCCAACCTCCTTGGTCCCTTCATCGTCAGCAACGCCTTCTACAACCTGTACACCAAGACTAAAAGCACCGGCACTAAACCACCTGGCCGCATCGTGTCCATCTCCAGCCAAGCCGCACATGTAGCCCTACCTAGCCACGGCGCATACTGCGCTTCGAAAGCTGGACTGCTCGGCCTCGTTCGGTCGCAAGCGCTGGAGTGGGGTCCAGAGGGCATCACGAGCAACAGCGTAAGTCCAACTGTGGCGATGACAGAGCTAGGGAGGAAGGCGTGGGCCGACCCAGAGAAGCGGGATGATATGCTGCGGCAGATCCCGACAGGGAGGTTCGCTGAGCCGGATGAGATTGCCAGAGCGATGGAGTGGTTGTGTAGGGATGGGAACGGGATGCTCAACGGGACGGATATTAGGATAGATGGAGGTATGTTGTGGTCCTTCCTGCTAACTTATGGCACTTGTCGTGCAATTGGATGCTTCGTGCATACCGCCGCCTGCGATCGTGAAGGCGGTTTCCCTTCCGCAAAGTGTACTGACTTGCACTTATTTGACAGGCTTTACTATACGATAACGTACAATTCCCGAGCAATACAGCAGTCCATCTTCTCCTTGGCTCTCTGAAGACCTCACTGGATGCCCCTTGTCCAAGGTCGCTCGCGCCAATATGTGCTCTGACAGCCTTTCCCCTGCCAGCTCAAAATACTGTGGTCGCTTATGGCGCAGACACCAACCCAGGATACTGTAGCCTGGTGACCGTGAGTTGGACATCCTTCATAAGCAGTCTTGTCGATGTCACGTGGTTCTCAGCCTGATCGAGTGCTTGTACAAAGTTCTCATCGGGGTGTCCTAAATAAGGTATTCAACAAGGTACTCATCAGTTGTTCACAGCCTTTGCCACATCATAACTGAGAAATTGATGCCTTCTCCGCCTACAAGGAAGAGTCAAAGACCGAGAATACCCCTCACCAGCGTATCAGACATGGACTCGGACCATCTATCAACTGGGCACGTAATGTCACCGCTAGCTCGAAGAGAAGACGTATGTCGCCTGGAACCTTTTTTAGCAGACCAAAAGCTAACGGCACAACAGGCAGTAACAGAGAGCTCGCCATCAACAAACTCCACAACGATGTCTTCGAAGTTCTCCTAGTATATCTAGAAACAGATCCAGTCGACATTATGTCTCTTGCTCTCACCTCCAAGAACCATAATGAAAGAGTGAAAAGCAGCAAGCGAATCACACGCTTAGCAGAGCTCCAAACATCGAGGGCTGACCATCGACGAATCGTCAAGCGCTTATCATATCCAAATGATATGATACATTGCACGTTACGCGAAAGTATTGTCCCTATCACGTCCTTACCAGAGACACATACGCACCCGACCAGAGCTTTTTGCAGATGCGCTGCTACTCTGGCCGAAAGGCAAATGGCACTAGCCACCCATCATCAACTATATCAGATATCCAATGTCCAGCGCCAGCTAGTTCATGCTCGACAAGCCCGAGCACTCCAAGAGGGATATCCTTCTTATGGTGGAAGAAAGCCAATTGTGCCTCGACTCAAAGACTTTTCCTTCGGGACTACTGACGTTGAAATAGAGCGCGTAATGATCGAGCGCGATCTTCTTACCAAGCTGGAGACATCTTATCCTAGGACACCACAACTACAAACGCAGATCAAGAAGGCACAGCACAGACTCAAGGCTCGTCAGGATGACCTATGGGAGGATACGTGCCTTGCCCACCCCCACCTAGGCATGTGATTACATCGACTCGCAATAGGCTAGCAGACTCAGCAGACATGAGTGAGAGGCACTGTCGCGTGACGCCCGGGCGAAGACAGAGGCCCGCCCATCAGCCTCCTATACGCCAGCGTTGCGGCCGGGACGCAGCACACGAGTTCAAAGTCTGTCCCAGCCCAGGCCACGGTCCGTCATATATCAACAGATATAACCACAAGCTCTCTGATGCAGCGTACACAGACCGACTGGCTACCCAACGAATCCATTCACAACTCTTCTGCCAAGTCCAAATACCACAATTCGCGAGACCATTTCCATCTGCGAACGTTCACTTCCAATATCCGCCAGCATGCCACACCCATACTATGACTATGCCACCATCCCACCCTGTGGCCGCATCACGATCAACCCAGGAGACAGTCCGCGTCCTACCACGGGCATTGCCGTGTTCGCCCTCAATCCCAGCACCCCAGCGGCACAGCCAGCATCCGCGCCTCCTACTGTCCCTGCTACGACGACAAGCACAACGAGAACGATCACTTGCACTGTGCAGCCAGCGGGCCCACCTCAGCCTGCCCAAGGAATGGCGGTGGTCAGACTTCAGCCTGTGCTGACATCGACTAGCCCGCCGGCCACCGCAGCGGCCGGCATGGCGGTGGCATGGACTACGGCGAGTGGAGTTGTTGTGAGGAGTGTTGGTGCTTGGGTGAGGAGATAGGAGGCTTCTTCTCCAACGCTGCTTAAGAAGCGCGAGAGCATTTACATGGTGGAATTGTGGTGAGACAGAGGATGGTCAGGAAGGCAGAAATGTCATTGTTCGACTGGATCAGAAATAGATGAAATTGCCTAGGGTATCTGGCTGACTTGCTGCCTATATGGACGAGATGAAAACTCCTTGGAAATGAGACAGATTCGACAGACAGGCTAACGCAAGTATCCCAATAGACAAAACTCCTCATTTTCCTGGCACGTGTTTCCAAATGTGGATTTGCTAGAGCGAGCGTGCGATATGTGCGAGAGCGAGAGCTAGATACAAGATTTGGTAGGCGGGAGGATCTCCCATGATGAGCCCAGAACGCCGATTGAATGACTGTGTGTATCTTCGTGTGATTGCATCGAGTTGTGTGCAAAGGAACAGTGTGTAATCTGTGGCCTAACCAGACTGCTCTGAGTGAGACTGGTCTAACGCAGTGATGATGTGCGAACACCGTCCGTAGAACACTGGGACTGGCCTTGACGATCGGTCCGGCTTCGCCATTCAGTTGCCATCGGCCAGAAGAGGCTCACGCTCGCGATCTTCACTGACCACCGCGCCCTCTCCTCTGGCGCTCTTGTCAGTGCCGAAGGCGCCGGGCGCGGCGATCACGGCGGAGCGAGGAGCAGAACGCCAAAGATGACAAACGCAAAGATCCACTGGAAGGCGATGATCTTGGTTGCAAACTGGGCGAGTGCCAGGGCTAGGAGATATCAGTATCGAGAAAGCTTGAAGAGTGTTTCCCAGGCAGCTTACATAGTGAGAGAATAGCCAGGGCAACACCCATTGTCCAGTCTTTGAAGGTGACTAGGAAGAATCCGCCAATGACCAGGATGCCCCAGATCGCGATGTTGGCAAGGATCCGAGCTGGGAGGTCTCGGGCATGGACCGCCGCTGCACCATCCCAGAGGATGGCCACGTAGTTCCAGGCATATGGGAATGAGACCACAGGCGCGTGGATCCAGAGGGGAGTCTTTGGGTTGCGGAAGTAGAGGAAGGTGAGGTTGAAAAGGTTGGCAATGAGGATCACTTCGCCAGGCCAGAAGTGGTTTCGGACCCAGCACATGATGAAACCAAACTGGAAGAGGTTGTTCAGGATATAGTGGCTGCCAACGTTCGCACTGCTGTTGACATACTCAGTGTCCGAGCTCCAGAGGAAGCGAATGTAGTTGAGCTGGAAGATGAGGGTAACGACCCAGTAGATGGACGTTACGATGGCATTGAGCGAGAAGGGTGTGTTCCAGACATGGTTCTGTCCCCAGATCGTTCGTCCCGGGCTGTGGCCATGATGGCGTTCGGGCCTGGCGAATGTGTAGTATGCACCGGTTATGACCAGTAACAGCCATGAGAAGATGGTCAGGATCTTGTAAGCCCAGAGGTTTGTGGCGGAAAATTCTGAGCGTTTGGCGAACGGGTTGTCTGCCCACTGTTAGCAGCTGCTTCGGCTGGCAGAGATGGTTGTCAATGGGAGGAAAGCACGAACAGTCCTTGATCGCCATGGTGGCTTTGAGCTGTAGCTCTCTTACGGAGGTACAGTTCCAAGTATATCAAAGCCTGGTGTCAGACTAGGCACCCGGTAAAATGCTCTTCTCGCTTTCTTCACTCCTGCAGAGGGTCAAACGGGACGCTTGGTCGATCGGTGGTCTTGCTTTCCAAGAGGCAGTGAGATCGTCGAAGGCAAGAAGAGGGGTTTACGATAAAAAATTTGTCTAGTTCGTACTACGTCTTTCGCTTCATACTGAGGGGGGTTGCGTGTGATCAATGTTGGAGACGCTGGCCACATTATTTGAGCCTGGTCGCCTGCACGCCGAGGCGTCCTTGTTTGGCCAGTGCGTCACGGGCCAAGCGTATGGGTGAGCACAGACCAATCAACCCCACGCTTCAGACGAAACCTGCTTTTGTTTCGACCCCAGCTTGGGCTTAGTCCAGGCACCAGTTGGGTTCGGTGAGTCGGGTCTTAGGCAGAGCCGTGGAAAACTGAGCTCAGCGACTGTGGCGGAGCGGAAAAGAATGCCGTTGAGATTCAAAGCAATGTCTAAGAGTCAATCAAAAATCATTTACTGTTCCGTTTCCTGGTCTAGGTAATGTTCCACTGGCAATGGCGACGGCATCGGCTTACTTCCCGCCAGCCATTCTGAAGTTGTGGGCGGAAAGTCCTGGACACCTCCAGCATTCGAGGCTGGAGCAATCGACTCAGAGTCCACCAAAAGCTCCTTAACCTCGCTGAGTTTGGCTCGTAGTGTAGCAAAATCTGGCAATTTGACTGCACTGCCGTCTTCTATCACCACCAAGCCATAGCGATTCGCCTCTTGTGTGAATTCGTACACGAAGCCACCAGACACAACAGCCCTCATCTCGTCACCGTACAGCTGTATTGTCTCATCGAATGAACGCGGCTCAATCGAGTTGTTCCCGTACTCGCTGACCACAACGGGCACACCGATCGCTTTCAGCTTTCCAAGCAGAGCTCTCCATTTCTGTCTCCCGTCTTCGGCCGTGGACGGCCAGCACTGATAGTTGGTGAAAGCATAGAAGTCCACTTGTTGTTGCTTGCTGCCTGCCGTGTAGAATGCCGGGCTTGGCGATTCGATTGCTGCCCACTCTGCATCCGCTACACCTACAGGGACAACCCTGCCCCCCATGCGATCAGCAACTACCCTCATGTAGCACTTCACGTCCCTGACCACGGCCATAACCACCTCTGCTGCCACAGTACTTCGAACGTTGTTCACAACGTGATCAGCGGCTACAAAGCCAGCAACATTCGAATAGCCTCGAAAGGCATTGACGACGCTGTAAGAACGTTTCAGTAGATCATGATTGTAGCTTTCTCGGGGCGCCATCCGGTTGATACACTGCAATGGGGTCCATAGCCCGATGAAGACATAAATACCCTTCTCGGCGAGTAGAGCCATGCATCGAGCGTGTGAGACTTCTGGAGCAACCAGATAGATCCATAGGCAATTGATGCTCAGCTCCTCAAAGAGTGCCACATCCCGAGCGAATGCTTCATAACGGTCGTCGTTGAGTGCGTCGCGTTTTGCGAAGCGGAATTTTGGAGTGGAGTCGACGTGATCAGATGTCTCGGGCTGGACAGCTGCTCTTCTGCGACTGGGGATCTGGTAGACCACGCCGCGAAAGATGAAGATTTTCCCATCATCGAGCAAAAAGCGATTCTGTGAAATGGATAGGGGTGAAACTCGTGGCCGGTTGTTACCTGCTGGTATTTCTGGCGAATTCATTTGGTCGGTTGCCTCAAGAACAGAGGTCGTGCCTCGGGAACGAGCAGAGATCGTTGACTATTTTTATGGAACACCGGCCGCCTGTGAAGGCAAGGTGGTTGCCTAGCTTTCGTCCAATCGGGTAAGGAAGGCAACGTCAGCCTCGCCCAGATACAATTGGGTATCAGGATGCTGCATATTGTGTCAGTAAGGGCCGTAGCTACGTGAGTCAGTCACTTGTACGAATTTGCATCACCCGAGTTGTCGGGCATATCCGTTCATGGACATGGCCGATCTTTGGAGAAAGGCAAACATCACCCTTCTGTAGCGAAGATGCCACTCTCCTGCGACTTGCGGTTCCACCAACAGTGATCAAACTCTCGAAATGTTTCCAGGGGTAGCAGTCGTGACTGGCGCAGCGGGCACGGGGATGGGACAGGCGATCGCTAAAGCTTTTGCTGGTGAGGGTTGCAACCGAATCGCAATAACTGACATCAATGCTTCCCTGCTGGATAAGACAGCTGCCGAGATCAAGGAGAAGTATGCTGGTGTTCAAGTACTGGCGCATGCTGGAGACATCTCCGACCACGAATTTGTTGACGGCTTTTTCACGTTAGTCGTTGAGAAGTTTGGACGCATAGACTACGCAGTCAATTGTGCTGGAATAATGGGCAATAACCAAAGCTCGACTGACACATCTCTGGACGACTTCGACAAAATCACTAACGTGAATTATCGGGGCTGCTGGCTCTCCTCGAGAGCTGAGTTAAAGCAGATGGTGCAGCAAGAACCGCTGGAAAGCCATGATGGGCGGCCAGGCGAACGAGGTTCTATAGTCAATATCGCAAGCCAGCTGGGTATCGTTGGACGCCCAAGAGCTCGTGAGTACTGTTTTGTGTTGGTTTGAAGAACGACTGACCACGTGTAGCGGCATACTGTGCCAGTAAATCCGCAGTAATAGGCATGACGCGGTGCGATGCCATTGACTACTCCGAGCATGGCATCCGAGTCAACGCAATCTGTCCAGGCATCATTGCAACACCAATGACAACTGGTAGTGAGGAAAGAGTAAAATTATTGAAGCCCGCTATCGACATAGCTCCGATGAAAAGGATGGGCACTGTTCAGGAGATTGCTGACTGTGCGCTGTTCTTGTGCTCCACGAAAGCCTCTTTTGTCCAGGGGCATGCCATGGTAGTTGATGGTGGATATGTCATCAATTGAGCTCAATGATGATACGTGTTCGTAGAGAAGTAGGAACATCAGAGGCAGGAGAAGGAGCAGAACTTGAAGACAAGGATGCTCTTGCCCAATCAAGGTTTCTTGGCGCCCAGACTGAAAGGCGTGACCGATACCGGTTGACTCACTTCAATGTCAATGTCTACCTACTAGATACTTCACCTAGTCAATAAATACTCCAGGGCGGGCTCTGCACCCTTCACTTCGATGTTTGCATCTGTCACCTTTTGCTTCAAGTGAACATGTTATATTTGTACCCATGGTCCTCCGTAGTTGAGATCTCTCACGTTCATTCGAGATGAAGCTCAAACATCACTTGACTATTGTCATAAAAATTGGTACAGAATCCAGCAAAAGGCAGACCTTAGCCATGACAAAAGGCGACGAACTAACCGTGGTACTAGGCTCCTCGTCGATCGTTGACGAACGCACACATGAGCCAATATTGTCGATACTGTCAATTATTGTGGAGACTGCCATAAGATTACGCAGAGATGGCCATAAGGTTGTCATCGTCTCGTCTGGGGCTATTGCTGTTGGCTTGAAGCGGATGACGATCCCGAAAAGGCCGAAACATCTGGCTCAAGTTCAGGTCAGTACGCTTGGGACTGGATCCGCCGTTCAGACCGACCAGAATGTCGTTTCTTGCTGACACGAGGGACCAGGCTTTGGCAGCAATTGGACAATCTCGCTGATGTCGATATGGGATTCACTGTTCGGACATATGGATCAGCCAGTCGCACAAGTCCTCCTCACACGCAACGACATCGCCGACCGGACACAGTACCTCAATGCGCAGAACACACTGGCCGAATGTCTGTCATTTGGTGTGATACCCATCGTCAACGAAAACGATACCATCTCTGTCTCTGAAATCAAATTCGGTGACAACGATACTTTGTCCGCTATTACGGCCGCTATGGTCAACGCGGACTATCTCTTCCTCATGACAGACGTCGACTGCCTCTACGACAAGAACCCACGGGCGTTCCCGGACGCACAGCCGATAACTGTCGTTGAGGACATCGACCGTCTGCAAGCCGATGTGTCCTCGAAAGGCTCGGCTCTTGGCACCGGAGGAATGGCGACTAAGATCACTGCTGCTCGGCTGGCGACAGCTGCAGGCACGTCCACCATAATCACGAACTCATCGAAGCCCGGTAACATTTCAAACATAATCCACTACCTCCATCCTGACACGTCGTCAGCGAACGGCATATCGTCTCCTGCTCCGAATGTCCCACCCTTGCATACCCGCTTCCTCCCATCTGCTACGCCGATTCGCAGCCGTGCCTTTTGGATTCTACACGGTCTACACCCGCACGGCTCGATCTATATTGATCGAGGCGCCGCTGCCGCACTCTCCACCCACGCAGGACTCCTCCCTGTAGGCATCGTCGCTGTGACGGGGACTTTTGCGCAACAGGAAGCCGTCAGACTCATCGTCGTCGACCGCACAAAGATGGGGTCACTTTCACCTCGTGCAGATACCACCCTCGAGGGCTCAATATCCACCTTCAGTCAACCAGCCATGGAGTTCATCGACTACGATAACGGCGAAGAGATTGGACGGGCTGTTGTCAACTACTCAAGCACAGAAGTAGCGCGCATTCGTGGCCTGAGAAGCAAAGATATTGCAAGCGTGCTTGGATACGCTGACAGCGAATACGTGGCATTCAGAGAAAACGTAAGTCTACGAGAGCACGCGAATGCAGGCAGCAGAGCCAGCCGACCCGAAACACCAGCCCCACAGACTCCCACAAAGGCCGCCTCAAGGACACCAGACGCCAGCATATCCGATCTGAGAGACCTGCACATCAGCAAAGAAGAAGAGGGCAGTAGGACGCCGAATGCAGGCCACATCACTCCAGCTGCGGAAACGCCTGCCGCTTCCGAAGTGTAGGGTCAGCGCCCTCCCAGCCGTCAAAATTCGTACGATCTACATTTCTAGCCTCGAATCGACAGCTCCGCCAGGCGGCCTCTGCATTGGAAGTTGTAGATTTCAATATGCCGCTCACGCTCCCATAGTGGTTTACATGGCATCCAAGGCGAAGGAAGGTGCAAAGGTAAAGGCGGGTCTGAAATAGGCAGGTGTAAGTGAGCATTTCCAGGGATCGAACATATGAACATACAATGGAACAAGTCTCAACGAGGCCTTGACTCATCACATCCACGACGGCACACCGTCATCGCTGCCGGTGCCTCCCTGGCGAGCTGTGACTGTAGGTACTGGCCGTTTTCTTCAAGTCTACCACCTTTCTGTACTCGAGCCATAAATGCTGCTCATCATGGATTTCTCGGCCAGGGAGGCCGCTGAGGATCTGACACTATCACATTAATCGAGTCGGTGGGATTGATGGAGCCTCACTTTTGCATCAGTGTGAAAGATTGCTACCTCAAGAACTTTATGGCTAGGGAGGGCACTGTAGGAAGTACGCCCAGTTTGTGGTCAGTGACTGCCTGGTCCGAATCCATATCCACGCCTATGAAATCATCCTACACATCCTCCTACAGTTATCAGTCCCATCCTGTCCACCGAGGCCCCAGTCCGGAATGTCCTTCCCAGTATCGTTCCAATCCTTGCCGTTATCAAGCTGGATCATAGGCATGACCTTCATTGCCATGTCTTGGCCAGATGCCCAGAAGGCTTGGGCTATGTTCAGCGTTCCTGGATCGTCGGAATTCAGGAACGAGTAGAGCAGGTTGTTGCCACAGCCTGTTGGAAGCGGTCAATTTGTGCTGCCAGTGCTCTGAGTGGGTTTGAAAGCGCCGACTTACCTTCGTTGTACATGTTATGTACGCTTCCAGAAAAGAACATCGTCGCTTTGCCCGGCGTGAGCGTGGTGATGATGTCGTTGGCTCCGTTTTCGGTGCGCATGAAGGTCTTGGTTTGGCCGGACACCGCGACCACCATGTTGTTGGCTCTGGGATGGACATGCGGCGACAGCATAGCGCAGGGACCCAAGTTGATCTGGGCAACTGTCATACCGCTACCTTGAATCATGGGGAAGGTTGCGGCATTCGCATTCAAGACCGAGCCTGGGTGGAGGGGATCCGCGACGGCCTTTGAGAAGTCGTACACAGTGTCGTCGCCGGTCAGCGCGTTGACGAATTCGACCCTGGTGAGCGTGTTGCGCAACTGGCGGTTGAGGTCCGGGTTTGTTGGCACCTCGCAAAGCGCTGAGCTCAGGATGGCGGCTGAGACGCCAGCGAGGAAGAGTGTCGTCAGCATTGTAGTTGACGATGGTCGTAATATGACCACGGAAATCGTGGACAGAGCAGTCAAGATGATGGCGCTTGATATTATGTGAAAGTAGCTGACTGGTCTTGCGTCAGTATGCTCACGGCAAGTGCACACAGGACGAACTCACTGTCGAGGGTCTGTAGTAAATGCTCAGAGCTGATTCCTTGTGTCCAATAAGTTACTGCTGAGTCGTAGGTAGACATGAGTGTGACTTTATAGGTCGCGAAGTACAACTATCTCGTTCATATCGCACAGAGCATCCAGAACCCAAGGAACAGGATCCCATGCCCATGGGATGGAGGCTGTTGTAAGCATTTACATAGCTGATGGTGCTGGTCTTCGAGGATTCATTGGTCCCGTTGGCAATCTGGTACTGGCTTTCGTGAACAGCTGATTCGCTACCGAATTTGCGAAAGCCTTGTGCGAGAGCTGGTCGAGCAGGACCGGCATGCTGATTCCTCGTGCCGGAACAGCTAGCGACGAAGGCGGGTAGTATTCTGTTTCACCGTGTCGCCGAGAGCGTGGATCTCAGAGGTTGGAATGGCTGAGATCTTGAGATCGACGGGATGGGTGCGGAATGCTGCAGCTACGGGCTGGAGGTGGACGAGGGGAGTCCGCGTAGGCAACTCTGCTCTCGTGTAACGACGGGAATCCAGCTTTGGAGAGAAGCATGTTCTCCCTTCCTAGTTCAAGAGGAAAGAGCGAAAGTGGTACGTGAGTGCCGACATCGTGTTTGCACCAAGCTTCGGAAGCCATCAAAGAGAGCAGGAAAACAGAAGTCGCGCTCCTCCGAGCACGTAGTGAAGGCGTTGGTGCTGAAGGGGGAGACAAGAAGAAAACAAAAATTGTCAGCACAGTACTTAGCTCCATTATAAATCTCTCATGATGTGGATCATTCATATAAAACGCATGCAGTCCGCACTTTGAACAGTGTGTCATTGACAGCTGTCGAAATGTGTCTCTCTGGGCACATGACTTGCTGCCTTGTTGACGCATCATTGACACTGCCGCAGACACAAAACGTCTTGCTTCTGAGTTTAGGTACTCTGGCATTTTGACGTAAAACTGAACACAGTCGAATGATGCTCGACAGGGTTTCAGGTTGAGAGGAACGACTCTGACAGACCTAAGAGCATATTAATACTCCGTGGATTCATGGAGCAGGAGGTGTGCCAAAGATCTCGGAGTGACCAAAACCGGACTGCCCTTTCCAAATCATGGTTTTCCCAACGGCAAGCTGCAGGAACTCGACAGACCAGATCTGCAACACATGAAGGCGATGAGTACGTGGATAATCACGTGTCAATCCACACTCGGGGGACCACAAAGCTCGAGCACAGCAAAAGGGACTTTGATTGGTACACAAACGCTGCAAACGCTAGTGCTCAGGATCAACTTAAGCTATGAGAGAGAATCAACTTACGTCCAGCTATGATACGCCGCCACTGCATCGATCGTGGCAGGCATCACTTCTGTACCTCCCAGAATGACCCGAGCTCCTCCACTGTTGCCTCTCTCTTGTTGAGCATGGTTGTCAGTCGCTGCAGTCTGTCTTCGATCTGCTCAGGACGAATGCCGCTATCGCCCCGGATCTTTCTAAACACAGCCTGATAGTCTGACAAATCGGCAAGTGCTTTGGCTGGGTCCTTGTGCAGGGAGAGTCTGAATTGCCTTGTTCTCACAGATGATCCCCCGGTACTGCGTCGGCGTCTGGTGCGGACCCTCCTCGGGGCTTCTTGGCGCAATTCCTCACCAAATTCCAGCACCTTGGACGTATCTTCCTCGAGCAGCAAGCTCCTGACAGTCCGAGACGACGATGATGATTCGCTTACCGTCTCATCTTCGACTTCTTCTGCGTGTGTAAACAAGTCTTCTTCTTCGTCAACGCCTGCAGCAGGCTTCAGTTGAAATTGTTCCATGAAACTTGGAGGCGGCATCTTGGGACTGTCCAGACTTCCAACAGCTGTGGTACCCTGCCAGGTGCGGATTGCGTGTTCTGTATCTCCAGACTCGACTGGTGTGTCGTGCAAGCGCTGGTACACGGATGAACGCGGCTCGTCCAAAGGAGCATCATCTTGTCCTAAGCCGAGATCTTGTGATCGTACCACTTCCTGTCGCCACTCATCGGCACGTGATATGGGCTCACATGGTGACAGAGCTTGACCTTCGCGCTGATCCAAGAGGTCTCGTCTGATGATTGTGGGTGTCTCGGAAGGTACAGATTCGGGAACGAGATCTGGGTCGATGTAGTAGTAGTATGAGAAAGAAGACAGGTCTGGGCTCCTGTCCTTGGTCGTTGAAGCAAGGCCAGAACGGTCTTCATTTGCGCTCACCAGGTCGATATTTGTCTGCGCTTCTGCCTGTACGGGGCTGGGAAGCTCACTGAGTTCGTCATCGGCGTGATACTCCTCGAGATCAGCATGCGCTGTGTACCTCGACCTGGGTAGTCGGGCTGATGGAAGATATCGTGACTTTTCGACTTCACTGTAAGGTTGCCACCCAATTCGAGGATCTTCTGGTATCGGAGACTCGAGTGACTCACGCAGTATATCAGACAGTTCGTAGAAATTGCTTGATGATTGTTTGTCGGAAGGCCACACCAGCTTGGCCCACGTTGACCTAATCATTGATTGCACTGTGGATGTCGCTGCAGCGGGCGTAACATGAGGCGCAACCCTGATAAATCATGCTGCATGACTGAAGCACGGGCGTCGCACTGCGCCTGTGGAAAATCCTAGAATAGCAATTGCGCAACAGGACAAAGAAAGGACGCAACTACTTTGGAGCAATGGCTCTTTGTTGGTACTCATGGTCGCTGTCGCAGCGGAGGCTTGTGACCTGCGTCTGTTCAACAAAGCGCGCACGGCAAGGCCGTTTCGAGCAACGAGGCCGCACCTCCAGAGAGCGCGACGACAGAACAAGGTAACAAGACCAAAGAGGCCTGCTCGATCTCTAGCGCAGTATCGTCCAGCTGAGAATTTCAACACTCAAGTTTCGAGGATCATCAATCGGCAGCTTGAGCTCTGCGCCATCTGCGAGCAAAGAGACGAAGGCATTGCGAAGCGATGATGATCTGATGGCGAAGACGAGATGAAGTCTCGCCGTTCTTTCAATCGAATTTGCGAGTCAGAGTCAGACCGCTTGACGCTGGGCGTTTTGCCAGCAACTCGGCGCCGGTCGAACTCCGCCCAGCCTTGAAGATGCGGGGCTTCCATTGTTCGATGACCACATCCGGACGACCATTATGGATTACTATTGTCCAACACGATCCAGCGAAGCGCCTTATCACCATGTCTCTATAGCATTCGTTTAGCATTCTGTACTCTTTTGTATATAGCAGCTTTTCAACGTCCAAGACCCATGTAACCATAGCGCGACCCTCGAACACCCACTAAGCATGAACCTCCTCGATCTCCTATCATATCTACACGATGGCGCCTATCCAATCTGGAAATCCCTAATCCTCACCCTCGACAACCGCACCATCAAATCCCTCCGCCTCACCCACAAAACCCTAGCCCCGGAACTCTTTCCCTTCCTTTTCAACCGCATCTACATTTCCGCCCATTCGATCGACCTAGACATCTTCCGCCTCATTGCCACACACCCAGTTGCCTCCCGCCACGTTACCGAACTGATCTGGGACGACACGCGCTTCGACCAGTGGATCTCCGGCCACAAGTCCTACACCGATCGCTTGACCACGCTCACCACCACACCTGGCCATATCATCCGCCAGGACGCCGACGTGGTGAATGAAGCGTACTTATTCTGGGCTGCTGAGGCTTCGGAGTTTGCGGAGAACCGCACCGAGGATGTAGACCGAAAAGTGTTTGAGGAGCACGTAGGGCGATTCGTCAACTTGAGAAGTATAGTGGTGCTGTCGAGGTCACGATTGACGTATGTGGATCCGCAGAGCTATTGGGATATCTGGCAGACCCCACGGACGAGGGCGTGGAGGTGCAAGGCGTTCTCAAGGTATCTGCTGCAGCCGGAGCCGTATAAGCCTTCTACGGGAACGACGGTGCATGAGTCGGAGGGGATAAGGCCGTTGAAGATCATTCGTTCGATGGCGCGGGACGACTCAAGTTTCAAGGTTGGGCTTTTGTCGCTGAACAGTATTGGTGGTGGGCAGTCGCGGGCTTTCAGTGATAATATGGTCACCTCAAATCGATTCAGCCGAAGGTGGCATATTGATCTTCAGGAGCTGACCTCCCGGCAACCGGCTGTGAGCAAGGGCAAGATTGCGTTGCAGCTGTTATTGGAGACCCAGACAGAAGATGTCTTTCACCATGCAGGTGTCCTGGAAGACTCGATCGATCTTCTTATGATGGACACTGCTTCAACCTTGGAGTCGCTCATCATATCTAATGTCTGTCTAGACTGGTTCCACAGCAACGCGACGTTGGCACACACGCAGACGCCCTATCTGCGGCGACTGAGGTCCGTCAGAATCGAAGGCGGCTCATCCAATGATCCAACCGAGTTCCTGCGATTTCTGGCTCAACAGACCACAGTGCGCGAGGTAGCCTTTGATGGGTGCCATCTGGATGGAACAACGTGGTCACAAGTACTGCACAATCTGCGGGACGACAAGGTGACCTTCGACAAATTCGAGCTGAGGCCGAGCCGTGGCAAAGCACAGGTGTTCCCTAGTCCCATCGAGCAATGGGTGGTCTCGAAAATTGCGTTCAGCAATCAGATCGTGCCGTGGTTGAGGCAGGAGACGGAGGCTTTTCCTCTGCTGTGCTGAGATATCGATATTCAAAATCGCCTCAGCGAGCGACATTTATCGAAGCCACTGGGCATATGTCCATTGGATACGTTGCAGTACCTTCTGTTGGTGTTGTATTCCAAGGCGGCTGTTCATGAGATCGTTGAAGTCTTCCACAAATATCCTCTGGGCGGATCCAGGCAGGACCTTGGCCGCTCGCTGGCGGAGGACGTGACCCTCACAGAGAAGCAGGCCATGATCTTTATACGACATGGTCCCGTCCTCAGACGGCTTGCTGTCGGTGAGTGTGCGATCGATATTTCTCAGCAGACGCACAGCTTCACCTTGCTGCTTCTGCTGTCTGATACCTCTTCTGCCGCCAAACGTGCCGCGGAGCCACTGTACTGCAAAGTACGTGATCAGCACTCCAGGAGCTATACCGACAAAGCCAAATAGTAGCTCCTGGCTTTTGAGCAGAGAGTCAATGCCTCCAATCGCAACTTCGACGTCGACTTTGGTTTTCTGCACTTGGATCAGGAGTGTTCTAACCAGATCACCCATGACTGCATTCTTGATAGGGCTCTGCATCTCCCGCTCGTAAGCCTTCAGGACGGGAGTAAGGTCTCCTTCCTTGACTTTGAGACGAATGTCGGCTATCTCAAGATCGGTGTACTTGGTACCAACTTTTTCTGGGTGCGCGATAGCAAAGTCCACGACCATGCGCTCAAGACTTTCGCGATCTGCCTTGAGGCTTTCCTTGCTTTGAATCGCAATCTCGCTGTCCGCGTCATGACGAATCGTGCCTATGAGTCGCTTCGTCGGCTCAACTACCCAGTTCAACCAGAAGTCTTGGATAGTTGCGCCCAGATCTTGGATCCATTGCATGATCTCGGCTTTTCTGTTGGCGAAAATTCGCAACAAGGTACCTCCAGAGAGCAGAAGCGCAACACCTGGTATCCAGTAACGTACAAACCTCGATGGCTTGCCAAACTCGCCACTCATGCGAGTATATGCCAGCTCCTGTGCGCTAAGATGATCATCAATGACATGGAGTATACGCTTGGCTAGCTCTGACGGTGCTGTCGTGCTTCCATCCCCGCCGGAAGTTCCAGCAGCGCCTACGTCCTCTTCCATCGACTGGCGAGCTCTATCCACCAGCTTTGGCGAAGACGGGTCCGTATTTGAGATGTTGCGGAGAACAGTTTCCAGAAGCGAGACGCTCTTCACAACTCTGCCTCGCCACTGTGTTGTGTCTGAGTCGGCAGATTGTGCGCTCGCGCCATTCATTTGTGGCCCTTCAAAAGACAGCCCTTCGTCAACGATGAGTCCTATTGCTGTAGCGTTCAGCTCCCGTAGATGCTCGATCTCTGTTTGGTTTTTACGTGCCTCCATCCTACAGATTGCGAAGGGAGACAAGATTCGGCCTCTAGCCTGTACTAGGGATTTCTCGCGGATGCTGTTTTGGACCAGATCGTAGAATTCCCTCCATCGTTGGCTCACTGACCGCTGTGCTTCCTCTGCAGCCTCTCTGGCCCCTGCTGCGCCTCTGTACTTCTCTTTAGCATCGATTAAGACGGCTGCTGCATGATCCGCCAAACGTCGAGGTGCAGTCTGGACCGTGTAGAGAGCTGTGTTGGCATACGAGCTTACGACATCGTCCCAGTACCACACAGACTCGCTCAGTGGAACGGTCTGTTCCAGGAGAGAATCCAATATGAGACCATATAACTGGACTGTGGCTTTTCCGGCTGCGATCCATGCTAGATCTGCATCATAATTGCTTGCATTTGTTACATGCTGACGATCTTGCGTGCTCGACTGGCCTCGCTGCTCTTGTAGTTGTGCGATAGAGCGAACAAGATGTCTCAAGCGCTTCCGTGGTAGAAGTGGATGCGAGCCGGATGTAGTCGAGAGAGCTCTGACAACTGCCTTGAGACGCAGGCTGCTGCGCGACTCGACGTCTGCAGCTCGCGTCTCAAGCTATCGCTCTGTATAGATGATCTTTGCGCCGATGCACCTTGCAATTGGAACCTATCGAGCGCGGCATCGAGTCGACGAACTTGACTGGACGGCTGTTAGTTATATAGGCGTGCGCGGAGAACACGATATACACATACTCGTCCACAACCGACATGGCTGCGATGTCCTTCCCGTGCAGCGGTCAAAGGTTCGTGACAGACGCTTGCCGACTGCTGCGGCCCTGCTTCTTCTTCTTCTTCTCCCGAGGCAGGCTGGGTAGAGCTACAGCGACTTCGAACTACTTTCAAAAGTTCATCGCTACTGCTAGATCGAGATTGACGTCACTGTCACTGCTTCTGGTTTGGGCATGGCAGGAATGAGTGCTAGCAGCACAACTACTTGACATTCTAGCCCATACGTCGTTGCCTTCTGAAGAAATCGGACATGTCTTTGAACGATCAACCCGCAGTCAACATCATTACGCGACGCGAAGCCATTAACTTTAGGGATCGATCGCCAAATGATGATGTTTCGCAGCTGAGAAGCGAGATGCCAAGGAAAGGCATTTAGTGGAGCTACTCAGCACTGTAGTGGCGGCTGCCTTCAAGTTGGTGCAGCGAAGTTCAAAATGACGACTCCCCTCCAGCCCCGAACTAAGCGCAGTCCAACCTCTCCACACTTCCACTCCTGCACATAGACCGCATTGCCTCCATCCGCTGAACGCCACGAGACTGTCTGAAGCCTCATCTAACGACCACTACAAATACTGAATCACTTCTGCCTGTCCAACGTCCCTTAAGAAGCGGCCGGACAGCCATCGACTGCCATCATCCATCATCGGACCTGCGCTGGCTGCGGACCGCCTTTGGTAACCTCGCTATTAAACATAGTGAACGTCTCGACACACAAATCCAGCCACGATGGCTGGGTCAAGGAATTACGACTTCCTGGTAGGTCCATCCATCACGGCGCACTGGAATCCAACTGACCCAGGCATCAGATCAAACTGCTGCTTATCGGCGACTCTGGCGTCGGAAAGTCATGTTGTCTATTGCGCTTCAGTGAGGATAGCTTTACGCCATCGTTTATCACCACAATAGGCATCGACTTCAAGATCAGGACTATCGATCTGGATGGAAAGAGAGTAAAACTCCAGATATGGGATACGGCCGGGCAAGAGCGTTTCCGGACAATCACGACCGCATACTACCGAGGAGCGATGGGCATCCTGCTGGTATACGATGTCACAGACGAGAAGTCGTTCAACAGTACGTGCACATGCATTACCGCGCGGATCTGCAGCTGACTCCTATAGACATTCGCACCTGGTTCTCGAACGTTGAACAGCACGCATCGGAAGGCGTGAATAAGATCTTGATCGGCAACAAGTGCGATTGGGAGGATAAGCGCGCGGTGTCTACCGAACAAGGCCAGGCTTTGGCAGACGAGTTGGGCATTCCCTTCCTGGAAGTTTCAGCGAAGTCCAACATAAACATCGAGAAGGCTTTCTATTCGCTCGCCGGAGACATCAAGAAGCGCCTGATCGACAGCAACAAAGAGGCACAGGGTCCGTCCGGGGGCTCACCGGCTGGCGTCAATGTCGGCGGTGGACAGCAGAATGGTGGTATTGGCGGTAAATGCTGCTAAGGGGGCCACTAAGCCAGGCATTTCAATTATGACGCCGCTCTCATATAAACTGTCTTGCAGATTTGCCGACAAATACCATGCAGAGTCATGCAGAGCGGTGCTGGAGGCACTTTGGGAAATCCGTAGTTTGGGCGATCAGTGGTGGTCCGCATCACAGTGCATGCTGTAGCGGGTGTGAGATCCAGCTGCTGGACAGGAGTCGAGGCGCTTGAAGGATATTGGTAGTGAGCGTTATGACATGGATTGCTAGCAGAATGGGGGTAATACATTAGACCTCATGCAGGAGGAATTGCCGCCCACATCTCTGTGGCCTTGACCACGGAACGGCGCACGATTCGGAGAGGCCTCGCAAAGACCGGAGTACAGCAGGATCGTTTCCGACGCCGTCAACTAGCCGAATCCACGGCCAGAGGCCACCCTCACGTAGCCTATGCTCTGCTTGTAGGCAGCAGTATACTGTACTTCAGCGTGCATGACTATGCTGGGACCCTCCACAGGTCCTGCTCCTCTAGGCAGTAAAATTAGTGCCTGGGCGGCCGACTGAGAGTTGCGGCAATATTTTCCGGCACCCCCACCTAAGTACGTCTTCAATCCATCACCACATCGTCCAATCTTTCCAACAGTCAACACTTCGAAGTCTCTCTACATCAGTCTACCGGCCTACGTCGTTCCACATCACCGACGCTCCCACTTCTCACCTTCATTGGCCCTCCCAACTCACAGCAGTCAAGGCGGTCTTCACTCGGCGCAAGCACACAGACCACAGACTCCCACCTCACAGTCGCCATGTCGTGGCAGGGTATGTTGTCCCACCACCACAGCATTTACAGCTCGCTAACTCGCTTTCTAGCATATGTTGACACCAGGTGCGCATAAGGTCCCTGCCCTGAATCTGCACCCAATCTAACATCTACAGCCTCGTCGGCACCGGCCACGTCGACAAAGCCGCAATCTTCAACTCCGAAGGCAACAGCGTATGGGCCACATCGACCGGCTTCCAGGTGAAACCTCAAGAGATGCAAGATGTCGTCGCGGCGTTCAAGGACAACTCGGAGCCCAAGAAAGTCCAGATGAGTGGGTTGCACATCGCTGGCCAGAAATACTTTGTGCTCAAGGCAGATGACTCGAGTATCTACGGCAAGCAGGTAGCCAATGGCCGCCTGAGCAATAACAGTGAAATACTGATGAGAATATATAGGGTAAAGAAGGTGTCATCATCGTCAAGACGAAGCAGGCGCTTCTCATTGCACACTACCCGGAGTCTGTCCAACCTGGCACGGCTACCAACACCGTTGAGAAGCTGGGCGCATACCTTGTCAGCGTGGGCTACTAATTCGCTGCTTATTCTCCTTCACATGGCCTGCCGCTTTCCGAGCCCGCTCGAGCACAAATTGTGGACAGCAAGCCACCAGCAAAAGCATTCACGAAACACGATCAAACGACGTTATAGACTTGGACGACGAGGGTAGCGAGACGCTTTGGAGAGGACACCGCCGTCATATCTTGGGCGACATGGACCAGTAACCAGCACAAGGAACCACTTTCAGGGCAAGGAAGAGTGCTGCTGACAACGAACCCGAGGGCGAGCAAATTGGGAACACGGACTCGGCTTTCATAGATCAACGGCTGCGACCATTCCAACCAACAGTGCTTCCCCACATTGGTGGCGTGTCTTTTGCTCGTTGGGCCAATGGGCTGTCCACGAGTCTGTGTGCTGTATGACTGACCGTGTCCTTCTAGTCGTTCGGCATAGCAGGAGCAACTGTGCCTACAAGACATCTTTGCATGGACAGGCCCGTGGCAAATTGACAACGGAACTTCTGCCATGATCAATACTCAAAGCGACCTGCTCGACCTAAATCTCCCACTCATCTGAACACTGAAGGTCCCTAAACTTACTGCAAGGTTGATATTGTTGCGCGATGCATGATACATTTGAACCTGGGCAGGTGACCAAGCCGCCAGCACCCACCGGCAATGTTTCGCAGCCTTGCTAAAAATTCCTTGTTATGCTGCCTAAATTTGGACAAGCGATCCATGAAAGTCGCCTGGCGAGGACGATCCGTTTCATAAGCACAGGGTTGAGGTGTGGCCACGGGTGTTGGCGGCACTCAGACTGCTATATCGTGAGTAATCCATCGTCGCAACATATGCTGTCCTGCTGCTTGGGCAAGCGCACCGATGATGTATGAACGTTCTCTTACTGATCGTGATCTCGCCGTCGTTACTAGCCCAACCGAAGAGTGCGTTCATCGGAGATCCGAATGCAGGACGCCGATGGCAGAATCTCGCCTGCTGGGCAAGACCCCTAGTGGTTCGCTTGACCCTGTCTCTCAGTGATTGGGCAGGCATAGACGAGAATCCACCAACCTGAAGCACGCTATTTCGACGTAAGAGCTCCTTTGCATCTCACAGTCCTGTTCCCCAGCATCTGACTTGCTGGCGAAACACCGCACAACATTCGTGTACGCTCTGCGACCGCGAAGAGCGCCTTCCCCTCGTGTGAGGTACACACGGCTTCCGCGTCATTTGCTGCATCTCTATTGGCAAGAGCATCGTGAAGTCAAATTGCTTTTCAAGCTTGCACGATGCTCAGCATGCTACCGGCGCCACCCGCTGACACGGCACGACTACTGCCATACAATCATACGCAGCATTGTCCCTTGTCAGCTTATAGAGACCCCTGCTAAACACAGGAGGCAGATGGCTCCTTCACTAGGCATGAAGGAGATTCGAGATCCCGCACCTTCGAGTGCTGCTACAACCCCAGATGCTGGTCGTGCTGAGCCTGGCAGGCTTCACCGCTGTCAAGAGTCTTAACAACTTTCTCGCTGACGCCGTCTTCTTTACCTTGACGTTGCTAACAATTCAATTTTGATTCTGTTCGAGCAGCTAAAGGAACGTTTCGCCGCCGACACCACGAGTCGTCGCCTGCCCCACGCATGTCTCTCGTTTCTACCGCACCTATTGTTTCAACTTCCCCGGAAAGACTCGCCTAATGTGCTTGTCCAGCGTTCGTTCTGATTCTGATCTCGCAAAAGCTCCAGCGCTTCTCTTTGTTTCCTCGCCACGTTGATGATACCTGCCACCAGCTGGTCTGGTCAATATGCCCAAGCGGTGGCTATCAAGGAACGGACGCCACAATGACAGATTGGTCATTTCCTCGCCGAAGGGACCGGTACTCCACGACAACTCAGCCTTCGACTTCGCATTCACCGATCTTCATTCTCAGCAGTTACCGGTCGCGAACAGCCTATCTGCTCTTCCATCCACAGCAACCGAAGACGCAAGACCAACGACCTCAGCTGGCGTGATTCAACGAGCGCGCAAACCGCTGCGCATAGACATACTCAACAACCGACCCCGCTCATCAGATGGCACGCTGTCACCAGTCATCGCCGCGAGGATAGCAAAGAGACGGTCAAGTACGGGCCACGACTTCATTGGCGTAGCGTTTGGCAGTCCGTCTCACCCTCCTATGGCGTTCTGCAATGACAACATCGATTACAATCCGACGCATTTTGAGCACGCATTTGGCGCCGAGGGTCCTTTTCCGGAGCAGAGACTTCAACCCGCAAAATGGAAGAAGCTGGGTAACCTGTTCCGTACCCGGCCCGGCGTGGCCAAAGGCCGCAGTGGAGGACTGAGGGACGACCTGGAGAGCTCACATGGCCCAGGACCACGACATCACTGGTACAAACAGCACTCGGTCACCGCTGATCAAGCTCGGGTACCAGCTACGATTCGAGTAGAGCATCCACAGAAGGTGCACGACGGTAGCGATCCGAAGACAGTGCTTGATCTGCAGCCGTCTCCGCCCATGCCTGCTTCGACAGCAATGCGAAAGCAAGCATCTTTGCCCAGGCTGGACACTCAGCCACCGAATTTGCGTACTTTGCCACATTCAAATTCGTCTTCATCGTTACTTGCGCGACGCAGCAGGACATTAGAGAACCTTAAACCTGGTACCTGGCTGCGAGTCTCCACGGACGAAGAATCGGAAGCTGGTGACCTGCCTCGATCTGCAAGACGACAGACGACGCCCACTATGTCGAAACCGCCAAGCATTGCCGGCCTCACTGGATCGACCAACTCGCCAGCGGCTAGCAAATATTCCCTATTTCCGCCCACGAGCAACATTGTGACGGGCCACTCACCGCTTCGAGGCCGGTTGGAGAGAGCACATACATCACCAGCTCGACTCTCGCCTGCACAGAAACAATTCCCAGGTAGTACTTGCCCGGCCCAGCAACGAAGAGGAGTCACGAATACGGATGCGCCTGCCTCGGCTGCGGTTTCGAGCCCAGAAGAGCACACAGCTTCAACAACGCAGACAGATCGAGGTCCATGGTCCACAAAGCACTCGAAAGAGTCGTCGACTTCTTCTGCCAACACTGCAGAGATGGAGGAAATCTTTTTCGACATAAAATCCTACCGTGACTCGAACGGTCTCGAGAAAAATGACCTTTTTGAGATGACAAGACCTGATTCCGTTCAAGTCTCGCTCGCGCGGACACGATCCAAATTAACCGCGGCAGGTCGGCCATCACATTTGCAGCATTCGATGACACACAAGCGCGGTCAGTCGTCTGTTGCATCGATCGTGCGAGGCAAGACGCCTCAGGAAGACAACCAAATGCGTATCGAGGCAGAAAAGCTGCGTGAGATAGAGCTACGTGTGCAACAGGAGGTGCAGGAAAAGAGGGAGAAGTTGCTCAATGGTGTTCCTCAAATCCCGACTCCAAATGTGAATGAGGGTCGCTTCTCAGTCAGTACGGCAATCTTCGACGAGACGATCGCTGCAGTAGAAGCCATGTCTGCTCCCACGGGTCCACGAAGCGGTACTGAGGTCAAGAAGGGAGGCGGGGGTTCTGAAGCGGGTGCACAACCGACACAAAGTGGGTTCCCGAAACGGACAACATCTCACACAGAACAGCCCAGTCTGAGCACGAAGCTTCTCCCTCCAGATCCTGGGATGCCGAACATGCGGCCAACGCCTTCATCGAAAGACAAGACGGCTACTAAAATTGTGCCCGCAGCTGAGAGTGGCAGGACATCTTCGCTGGGTGATCAACTCCTGGCGGACAAGCCAGAAAGGAATGCGAGAGCACCTTCGCCGCTTCCAACCAAGGCTGTCGCAGAGACTACGTCACGAAGGCAGGCTACAGCTGTGCAGAAGGCCCGCGAAGAGCACAGTCTGGATCTGAAGCGCAAGCCGTTGCCTGCGTCCTCAGATGTGCTTGTCGAGAAATTCAAGACAGCATCACCTCAGATAGGATCACAGCTTACTCCATTGAGTGCAACTTCGGTCTACTCACAGTCGTCTCAGCCATCGCCTAGTAGCGGTAGCCAAGTCTCGAAGACCTCTCTCCTAAGCCGCGTTAGGAAACATGACAGACCAATTGAGGAGTCGCCAACGATCCCACAATCTCCTGGACCCGGCAAACACAATCCAAACAGAGCAACTCTAAAGGAGAAGCCTCCTCCGGTGCCAGAGAAGGATGCGAAGTTTATTCCCATCTCGAAATTCGCAGCCAAGAGCACCATCGCGAAAGTTGAGCAGGTTGGCGTCAGGCCTACGAGAGCAGTCAGATCGGTAACAGATAGCGCGCTTTCGTCGCCTCTGATGTCGCCGCCAGGCGCAGTGACTGGGCTACGCAAGGCACACCAAACGCTGATAGGCCGACTAGACCTGTGCGGACTCAGACTCTACCCAGCCCGAAGTCGCCTATGTTTGAACAATTCTCGTACAAGCCATCTCCAAAAATAGCGGAAGCTCAAAAGGCAAAGAAGTCGCCACAGCTCAAAGAAGCTCTCACCGTCGTTCAGGCCAAACCTGCTGCTGAAGTCTCGGTGGCGAGGACGGTCAGCCTGGCTCGGAAGCAGAGTAAACGTGTGAACGTGGCGACACCGAAACTCGAAGCCAGAAGGCAGGAGGAGGAGGCGAAGAGTAAGGAGAAGGAACAGCAGCAACAAACCGAGCACCGATATGCTGCGGACCATCAGGCGATAGCACCGCCGCGCGCCGCCCCGCCACCTGCCGGTCTGGGTCTGGTGATGGGTGACGCTGTCATGCCGCCCTCGGTATCATTCCACACCAAGAACGACTCCACCTCCTCCTTCGATCGCAACCTTGAACGAAGCAAAGGGCCGCTGAACTCAAACCCAAGCACTCCCGAATATGTTCTCGAAAACCCAGTTGAGAAAGCCGAGCGAGAGCGCGCCCAGAAAGCTGCAATCGTCGAAGCTGCAAAAGCACGGGCCAGGGCGCGGCGACGAGCAGAATCCGAGACACGTGAGCAGAAAGCTGGATCGACTGAGGAGGCGGTGAAGCAGTATCGCGACAGTCAGGGAGATGAGGAGAAGGCGAGGTGGGATCTGGTGGACAATGCACGGGCCCGGGCGATGAGTCCCTTGATGGTCGAGGGGCATCGGGGCCACAAGCCGGGGGTTAGTATGAACGTTGTTGTTGAGAGTGCTTGATGGCAAGGAAGGACTTTGGGCCGGCACGACTTATGACTTTTCTTCTCCATATTATTGTCGAGCGAGCGTCAAGCAGCGCATCATGGACAGATTTGATGCATTAGCGGCGGAGTAACACTCATATCACCGTTGGTACTGGATTCGAGCCAGTTGGTGGCGTGGCCAGAGAAAGTGTATAGGTGTATATCAACAAAGTCATATGTTTGCCCCGTCGACTCATGTTCGCGATAACAAAGTCTTTTCAAAGTATTGCTGAATGCATGTAGACTACGTGCGTTCATGAGATCAGCCTGCAGGCCTACCTAGGGAGATGAAGCGGGAGAGTTTGCCAAGCCTAGCAAGAGGCCCAAGTGCTGACGTTCGAGATTCCCGACCTCAAGCTAGTATGCCATCAACAACACGGCGTGAAAGGTTCTGATGCTTGCATTCTGCTGACGCTATATCAATATCGTGCGATCAGCCTTGGGTGAGTATGTGCTGAGGTCGAAGTCTTTGGGCGCTGTCCGGCGCAGGTAGCCGATCAGGATCATCGTCTTGAAAAGTGCTGCCTAAACGAGGCAGACTTCATGGAGCTGTTTGTTCTGGTGCGAAAACGGGCTTGAACACCATCACTTCGGTTCGCTTGTCTATTGGAGTGGGCCGGTAAAGTAGCGCCAGCGATGTTAGCGTTACGCAAGTGTTGGTCTGTAGTCAAACTGGCTGCAATCTTTCTGTTGGTATCATTTCTGTCTGGAGTATACTGCACGTCATGGCGGCTCACAGAAGACCAACCATTCATCTCCTTGAAGGACACCGCCGCAACCCAAGAAGTCCAGAATGACGAGACTGGACTGTGGAATGAGTTCACTTATCGATATTCTTTCAGCCACGATCTACAGGACATCTCTGCACCAGCTCAATTCGGGTCCATCAACGAAGCGCTCGTTCAGGCCGGCAATGCGATACATCCTCTGCCGTTCGCCATCAAGCGCGACTCACATGGCCTCCATGAGGTAGCTGGAGCATCGATGGCACCCATGGGGCCAGATGTGACCGACCGAGCAACAGTCATCAACCTCGCCAAGATGACCTCAGACGCATATGTCATGAATCCATCCCAACCAGACTGGCTGAATACAACCCTCAAGTTCAACTATTCCTCAAGCTTCGGCTGGGAGGGCGAAGGACTCCGAGGCCATCTGTTCAGCGACCGCTGGAACAAGACCGTCATCGTAGCGTTCAAGGGCACGACCGTCGATCCACGCGAGAAATGGCGATATCAAGATCGCGTGAACGATAATATCCTTTTCAGCTGCTGTTGTGGCGCGCAACGCCCTGATCCATATCCCTATGCGCCGGTGTGTGAGTGTTCAACGGGGACTTATCAGTGCAATTCGACGTGTTTGGTCAAGGAGCTGGCTCAGGAGGATCGGTACTATGCTACTGCGCTAGGAGTGATGTTCAATATCACGCATATGTTCCCAGGGTCGGATATTTGGCTGGTTGGGCATTCGTTGGGAGGCGCGGTCGCGTCGTTGATGGGACATACCTTTGATTTTCCCGTGGTGACGTTTGAAGCACCACCCGAGCGACTTCCCACGAAACGTCTCGCATTGCTTGAGAAGACAAAGTCACCGATCTACCATATCGGCAATACGGCAGATCCGATCTACATGGGCGCATGCAGTGGATGGAGTTCGTCGTGCGGCCTTGCAGGCTATGCCTTTGAGAGTCAGTGTTTCACGGGAAAGGTGTGTCAGTATAACACGGTCATGGATTTGGGCTGGTCGTTAAGTATTGCGAATCATCGGATCAATACGGTGATCACGGAGGTGCTGGAGAAGTATAATTCGACGCCGCCATGTGTGATTGATGAGGATTGTGTTGAGTGCTACAACTGGAATTTTGCCGACGGTTCATTACTTGGACGTTGAGACTCGTATGGGTTGGCGTTGGGGCGCTCCTTTTCGGAGCGCTCTTCTCACTAGTCTGGAGTACTGGTGTCGACACAATATCACAGAGTCCGCAGGGTATGACTGTTGAGGCCTCCGTTCATGCGAGACGACGGCTGTGCTGAATGCTTGAACGGGAACTTCAAAGTGGTAACATCAGCAGTTCATGTTGCGGTTCTCTGCTTTCAGCTCCGAGACTCCGTGGTGTGTCCGAATCATCTGAATACGAGAACTCACCATGCACTTGCGCAGCCAAGTACGTAAAGCATTCTCGCTTGAATGCCTTCCATGGAGAGCGCTCTCCCGACAATTTGGTTCAAGCGAATGCACACGCACAATGATACAGAGAGAGTCTTCGCTTATAGTGTACCTTCTGCTTTGGTCGCGGCATGTGCCGGGGATCATGCAAGCGTGCATATCAGGCCGTGTTTCGGTACTATTCTCGGGCGTTTGGAGGGCTAAAGTCTTCTCCAGACTCGGACCGTGGAGGATGTCGCAACTACCACGTGGCAGACATGGTAGAGACGCACCTGTTGACGTCTGTTGGCATCATTTTGTAAGCCAGTGCGCGGGCATTGCAGTTTGACAGCTGCTAGCATCTTGAAACCATCGTGAAGGAACTGCAGTCTAACGTCTGTTAATTCCCTTCTCCAACATGCGGGCATTGCATTTTAACGCCTGTCAGCACTCTATGCCCGCGCGCAGGTATGGCGCTAAGGCTGTTGGAGAGCATTGGCAGAGTCCAATGCGCTTCTAGAAGATCTGGTGAATGACACGTAACCGAATTTCGGCCACTGGCGATCACCGCATGCGAGGCGGGACCGTGTCGGTGTGGTGACTGATGGTGGGCATTCCCTTCAGCGAGACTGGCAGCTTGACGCAAGCGGCCATTTCTACACACCGCTGACACAGGGTGAGGCACAATGGTTCCGATGTATGGCTCCAAATCCTAAGACCTTGAGCAGGCCGCGGAAGCCCGCGAGCCGTGTCCATGATTTGCAAACCTCACATAACCATCCGAGACTATAGACAGCCTTTATGCAGGAACCGACGAACAGGACGTTGAAAGGGACATTTCGCAGGTGACACTCCACAACCGTTCGAGCTGCGTTGGAATGGGTGATTGGTACTGCTGCTTCGATCGTGGCGGTGCGAAACTGAGGGCTCATCCTTGCCGTGCTGAGTGGCCCCTGTAGTTCGGCAAGGCCGCTAGCTTATTCACACGGGCAGAGCACCAATTGGGCATGCCTGCGTCTCAATTCGTGACTGGACTTTCCCGCCTGGGCATAGTGGGATCGCTTTTGTCCCGGTCCGTGAACTCACGCCACAGACATTCTCGAATTTTCTTCTGACAACAACCAACCGTTCTCCTTACACACCTCTCAACGATACGCAACACATCAGCCAAATTGATGTCAGAGCGTTGACGTCCAGCTTGTGTTCTCGACAACCTGTGGCTGGTGCTCATGCTTCGCACCAGCCACAGCTCGATGGACCATGCATCTCCGCGTGGAGCACTGGTCTAGCTGTGCAGGGTTGAAGCACACTCCTTTCTGACGAAAATTCTCTAGCAGATGCCGTGGATTGGACACTTGTGTTCGTGTCAAATGCACCTTCACGTGGAATAAACGAGGTTGTGATTTCATGCTGCAGGCACGATCTTGGTCCTAACAGTAGTGGTGGGATGGTAAGTGAGGTGAGGTAGGAAGGAATTACTCGCACAAGGTATAGAAGTTTCGAAATGCTTCGACCAACATTGCCTTACCCCCATCTCAGTCATTGTTGTATTGCTTTGCGTTCCAGTCTCTGTATTCGGTTGATTGTATGCATGTACTATGTACACATGCACTTACAGACCGATAGAGTCATCGTATCTCTTCAGTGATACCGAATGGCCGTTGGTGCCATCCTTTCCATGTTCAGCTCGCGCAGCAGCATATGAGCTTGGGTTCGACGACGTCCCGATGGCAAACCCGGATACAGCACCACCGTCCATGGAGCCCGCCCGGCCGCATTGCGAATATTGCAATACCACAACCGGTCGAATCGACACTTGTTCGCAGTGCGGTAAATGCTTCCCGAATTTTAGACTCCTTGAAATGCACCGCCGACATGCACATGGAAGTGGACAAACCAGGCCATACGATTTGGGCCAACAGGGAGGCCTCTACGGAGACCTGTACCCGGCCAACGCCGTTGCTAGCAATACGTATGCGCAGGCACCGTACTATCCGGGTTGGGAAGCTTTGCGACAGCAGCAGATACAACAAAGCTTCTGGCCCTTGAATCACGGGTATGGACAGCTTACATCACAAAGCCACGTCGATGGATATGGACCTGTAGGCGTGTACCAACAAGAAGAAGCCAGTCCATCACTGCCTGTCCACCAGCTCCCAGCCAACGTTCAGGCGCACTCTATGGACTCCGAGCCCCAGCCTGCGGCGTCTCACATGCGAGGCTCATCCGCTTATCCCTCCCCGTTCTCATCGGCTACTACCCGAAGTCCGGTCATCTCCCTGGAGTCCGAGAACTCGAGAATGATGCATCCACCAGATTTGCCCCGCGCTAGCAACCCAGAAAGCGTTGGTAATCAGTCGGCGACATCAGCTAGGCCACACGAACACCGCTTGACCCTTCCGCGGCCAGGAAACCATCGTGCTGTCGTGATCGGCGTTGACTACTTCAACCAAAAGGGTCAACTCGAGGGTCGCTCTAGAAGAGCGGAGATCGTGTACCACTTTCTGCAGACTGAATGTGGCTACGAAATCGGAGAGATTTGGCGTTTGACGGAGGATCTGCAGAGCTCCGCGGCTCAGCCCACTCGGAAGAACATCATGTCTGCGCTCGCCTGGCTAACTGAGAACGTCAATGAAGGGGACAGAAGGCTTTTGTTCTACACTGGTCACGGGCGCACCTCCGGAGAGGAGATGCAGAGAATGATAGAAGCCGCCACCTCGCAGAGTACACAGCAAAGGAGGACACGGAAAGCTCGCCAAAACAGTATTGATGAGGAAGCTCAGAGTCCAGTTGAGACCATATTCCCAGTTGACTTCAGAGAACCCAAAAGTGGGTCCATTGATCCGGAGCGGTTGGATGAGATCCTGCAGCCCGCCAAAGACAAAGGTGCGAAGATCACGCTGTGGATGGAGCCGGTTGCTGGACTTAGGAGCAGGAAGCGGAGACGAAAGGGGAAGAGCACAGAAGATGAAGAATGATATCATGACTGAGTGCTGTATTATTAGCGAAGGCGCTGGGCTGAAGGAGAGCGTCGCTGGCTGACGCTAATACTAATGTTACGGAGTCCTCCTCAGGACAGTGAAGCCAGGTTTGTCAACCAGACAGTTTCTTGACCAAATTACTGTATTCTGTTCAAACCAATTCTCCGAGGCTCAAGTCATCCCTCATCGCTCCCAATACTCACTCATCCCATCACCACCCCACTCCATCACCCTCGCAGGCGCATCTCCGCCCATCTTCCACCCAATCCAGTCCTCCACCCCAATCTTGCCCTTCTCCTTCTTTAGGACCGCATTCCTCACCACGCCCTCCCAAGCCCGCCACCATCTCTCCGCCTCCCTCTTCCCTTGGCTTCCATCATCTCCTCCATCCGAAGTAGAGTCACCAACATCCCAGACCGCCTCCGCAACCTCATACTTCTTCTCCGGGTACAGGCGCAACATGCTCACGAACCAATTGCCCGGCTGCCTATGGACCGTGACGGTGGAGTTCTCGACGGGGAATGAGACGTCGACTTTGCCGCGGTATTTGAGCGAGGCGAGGAGGGTGCGGATGTGGCCTTCGAGTAGGCGCGTGATGGTCGGGTGGAAGTCCAGGATGATGCGGGTCAAGGTGAAGGAGCGATTCTCCGAGGCGGAATTTGTGCAGAAATGGCGAGCCCACTGTTTCACTTCGGTGTCTTGTTGGGTTTGAGAGGAGCGTTTGGGGTTGTTGAAAAGTTGGGAGGAGGCTTGTCGTGGGGGTGGGGTGGTGAAGCGGAGGCGGGAGCCAGTTGGGTCGCCGGTGGGAGTGGTTTGGAGGTCGAGGAGGGTGAGGAGGGAGAAAGTTAGGTCGAAGTCTGTGGTGAGGTCGCCGGTGTGTGCGGCTTTGTGAGTGCCGGTTATGCGTAGGGTCGGTTTGGGTGGGAGAGCGGCTTGTTGGGTTAGGAGGGTGGCGAGGGAGTCTGGGCGGGTAAGGAATTGGTCGTGGGTTGTAGTGATGGTGGTGCCGTCAGGCGATTGTTTGGATGCGGGAATGGAGTAGTGCTGAAAGGGTATATTTGCGACACGCGAGAGTTCGTGGAGCGGGTTGAGTGGTGGGCGGATTTGGCGCGAGGAGGATGCTATGGGTCTGGGACTGGTGGTGTTGTTGGGTGTGTATGATGGTGGCGCTTCTGAGGGCGTCGCATCGTCTATTGAGCTGGGTTGCTGCGGGCGTGATGCTGGCGAAGATGATCTTCGTCTGATAGAGCTGCTCTCGTCGCCACCCCACACGGCAGCGGTGTTCTTTAAGTCGTCGCTCGACATGTTCGCCCGGCGACTTGCTCGAGTTTGGCTGTGCCGAATTTGTGCGAGATAATGCTTACTGTCAGATTCCAAGTGTGTATTCATCAATATATTTATTGCAATTGTGCAGCAAGAGACTCGCTCGAAGGCATCGAGGTCTTCTATATGACGAAAGTTTGAGAGCGTACCTGTATCCAAGCCTCCACGCTACACCAAATCCAGGCGCAAGAGGCGAGAAAAAGGCGTAAAATGGTGGAGATGCCGCTTCTGGGCGCCTATCATGTCGTGTAGGATTCAGGCAGCACAATTTTAGTCGGGCGAGGCTTGAAGCGGAAGCAGAGGTACAGATTCATCATACGAAGTACCCGACTGTTCGATAACCAAGAGTCAGGCTCGACAACACGACACAGTTGCGTGCTGAGAGCGGCTGTCGAATTCGCTGTGATATGCGTTGACTGACTCTAGCCGACTCTACTTCATCGTCTCATCATGTTGTGGGCTCCTCTTTGCGACGTCAACTCTCTTTGATTTGAGGTGCTGGGCACCTCACTGCTCTATCCGCCGCCAGCCCTTCAGCTTTGCAACGCCTCATACATCAATGCATAGACAAAAGCGCTTCGTTCTGTACCTTCGGGGCCACTTTCCTTGCAATTGCTCACTGCGTCGAAGTCAGCAATCTTCAATCCCTTCCCTCTTCTTCGGACAGCTCAAGTGGAGCAATCTAGCCGTCATGAAGTTCAGTTATTGAGCTCTTCGACCTTTGATCGGAGATGCTCCAAGATCCAGTCGACTTTGTGATGGCTCTTGTTGCGGTGACAGGCGAGGTTGTGGGCCATCCAAGCACTGAAGAAGCGGAAAACTGACTCGGAGCGACAAATTGGACATCTGAAGCGCCAGTGTTCGTCTTTGCGGTTGTCGTACTGGAGCTTGTGTTTCTTGGAATAGCCGTAAGCCCACTTCTCGATTTCAGGGCCCGTGACGCCGCTGGCACAAGCGCCGCTCTCCAAGTGCTTCATGACTGAAATCGTGTCGTCAAAGCCAGCCGTACAGCCGTAACATTCAAAATCCCCATTCTGAGTGCTCGTGTCAGACGCAGAGTCCTCCCCAGAGCTGTCGATGTACCTTCGGTTGTTATGAGCTTGATTGACACTGACATCGCGATTCGGGTGCAGATAGTCCATATGCTTTCGAAATGGTCAGTGACTTCGCATCTCCAAGTATCCAATGTCAACTCACGAACTGAAGGTGCCAGGCGCTGGGCGACTCGATTCCACAGTCCTGGCACAGGAAGTGTACAGCTGTCTGATGTGCGCTCAAATCTGTATCCGAATCCAAGTCGAGAGGGCACAAGTGGCAGACGGCATGGCGACTGGAGTCCTCCTGATGTTGGGTGAGGGCATGATCATCGACGAAGAGCCATTCGCACTTCTGACACCACTCTCCTCTGTGAGCGGCCGCATTTGCGCAATGTGCGGCGGCAGCGGCTTGACTGACGAAGAATCGATCGCACGGGATGCAGAAGTAGTCCCCACTAGCTGTTGGATAAATGAGGTTATCGCGAGGCATGAGTGCGGCTTGGTCCTAGAGGTAGTGGACTGTACGAGACTTAGCGATGGCGTGGACAAGTGCTAGTGATGCTGAATCAACTCACAAATCGGGCTCTGCAGACGGCATCAAGGCCTTGGACTAAAGCGATAAAGTCGTGCAGAGCAAATGTTGGTGAGAAGTGGTGGATCGATTGAAGAATTGAGGCGAAACTTCCTAGGACGGCAGATTTCGGAAGTAATTGTGAATTGCAGAATTCACTGTTGAATGAGCTGTGTAGCCATCGTGCCATTAGGGCTTTGCGGTGACTTGACAAAGTCGACTGTGCACAAATACCCGCCTAAGATCACAGTCCTGTTGAGCATGATTCGGATTGTTCTGTTTGTACCTGCCTACAGCATTGCTGTCGCTATTATGGTCCTGAGAAGGTAGTCCGCATTAGAGCAGTCGAGTATTCGCCAGAGATATTGTATTCCCCGGCCTGACTAGAACGTGCATCCGGAGACTCGGTGGTCATTGCTACCGATGTTTGCATCGTAACCTCCCTATCCTACGACGACCCAGCGACATCAGGCATCGAGTTCGAACGCACTTATGCATCTTCGAATGCATGTCTCCTCCCATCTCAGCGCGCCCGCTCTGCTTTCTGAAAGACCCGTCAGAGCACAAGCATGCCCGGCCCCTGTTCCTGGCCCGAACATCCGTATTTTTCGAGGTTGCCGACCGGCGAGCCCTAGAGTCATCAAGGAGCTGTTTGAGCAGTCACTCGATTCAGCATAGCTACAAAGCCCTCTGGCAGTATTAGTGCTTCGGAATCACATAAGTGGCGCGTATGTGGACGGCCAGTCACCTGTTGACCGCGGCCATAGACACTCATGTAGCAATGGAACTAGTCGAGGGATGTTATGACGGATCGATTACCGACTCACACTGCCATCAACGCGAGGCCAGATACGAGAATCACTTTGTAGTACGGGGTGCCCTGTAAGTGATGGGAAGGATGGGTAGATAGAAGTGACGATCGACGCGTCAAGAAAGTTTGTTGCGGCGGCCACCCAATTTATAGCCGCACCTCTTGGCAGCAAGCCCGGCTGAGACCTCGACATCATGCTTTCCACCGCAGGCGTGAGCCGCACGAGCACACGATCTGCTCGAACTTACGACTGACGACTGTGCATGACCACGTGAAGTCAAGAAAATGCGAACCTGTCAGGCTATATCCTGAAACTCGCCCCATTTACCCCGCCAGTCGGGCACATCAACAAGACATCAACATCCAGCCAAGGTCGATTGCTGACCGGATGCGAGCAGTTCTGGCGCCTCTGACGAGTGCCCGATGATGAACTGCGGTCAGACTCAGCGACGTCACCCTCCTTGAGTCCTCGAGCTATGCCAGGTCGTACGATTCCTGCCCAAGATGCCTCGAACGAAGCCCAGCCCAAGCCAGCCAAAACACCAGGCAGTCCGACGAAGAGGAAAGAGGATCAAGCAACCAACATGACGGAGCTGAAAGATTATCAGTTGGGGGACTGTATCGGCAAAGGCGCTTTCGGCTCGGTATACCGTGCACTGAACTGGAGCACGGGAGAAACAGTTGCAATCAAACAGATCAAGCTGGCTGATCTGCCCAAAAGCGAGCTTCGCATGATCATGCTCGAGATCGACGTGTTGAAGAACCTCGACCACGCGAACATTGTAAAGTACCATGGCTCGGTCAAGACACCGGATACACTGAACATCATACTCGAGTACTGTGAGAATGGGTCCCTCAATTCCATCACTAAGAACTTTGGCCGCTTTCCCGAGAACCTTGTCGCTGTGTATATGGCTCAGGTGCTACAAGGTCTCGTCTATCTTCACGAGCAAGGTGTCATGCACCGAGACATCAAGGGAGCCAACATCTTGACTACAAAGCAAGGCCTAGTCAAGTTGGCTGACTTTGGCGTTGCAAGCACAACCGCGGGACTTAACGAGTCCAGCGTTGTCGGCACGCCATACTGGATGGCACCAGAGGTCATTGAGCTAGCAGGAGCGACTACAAAGTCCGACATATGGAGCGTTGGCTGTACAGTTATTGAGCTGCTCGACGGTCGCCCGCCATATCATCAACTACAGGCCATGCCAGCTCTCTTTCGCATTGTCAACGACGATCATCCGCCTCTGCCACAAGGTGCCTCGCCACTAGTCATAGACTTCCTCATGCAGTGCTTCCAGAAGGACCCTAACCTGCGAGTGACCGCTAGGAAATTGTTGAAGCATCCATTCATCATGAGTGCCAAAAAGGCTGAATCTGTCGTCTCGAAGAACGTCACAGACTACACGGAAGCGGTCAAAAGCGTCCAGGAGTGGAATGAGGCTCTGAAAGATTCTCCGGAAGGCGGCCTGCACCGGAAAAACTCGCGTGCCTCAGCAGGTAGTCCTCTTCCGATGCCATCAAAGACCGCCACAAAGGGTCAAGGCAACGGAACAAGGACGCCTGCGGATAGGTTCCGAGCACTTGAGGACTCGAACGATGATGTCTGGGATAACGACTTTCCTACGGCAATCACCTCAAATCCCCTCAAGTTCCCACAATTGCGTCAAAAGGATCAACCGGGCACCCAGACACGGACAGAGATGACTACTCCAGGTGCAGGAGTCTCATCAGTGGGTAGGGACAACGACGCCGAGGACAAAGATAGCACGCTACGAGCTGTCAAGAGTAAACCTAGCTCTCAATCGATGGCGCCGCCTGCATCCACGGCTCGGCGTCCAGCATCTCCAACGAAGACGCCAGCCAGAGGACACGCTAGGCACAAGTCAGAAGTTCCCAAGTCCAGAAGCAAAGCAAATACCACGGCGACGCTCGAAAAGTCTCACTTCCATCAACCAGACAAGCTACAGAATTGGCTAAAAGCAAAGCGACCCCTGCGAAGCCAGCAGTAGAGCTGCAGCCAACGAGATTGTTCCGCGAGAACTCGGTAGAAGACTTCTCTGATCTGATTGAAGCCAATGAAGGGTCACTTGACAAGAAGTTGAGCCGAATGAAGCTGAATGACGATGGTCCGTCCAAGATACTGGAGTCGCCAACAGTGACCGACCTTATGCAAAGTATGAAGCCTCCTGTGAAGCCCGGTGGCAGCCTCAAACGGCCACCAGCGCCACGAGGGCGCATCTCCATGCGAAGGACCCGCTCGTCAATCGAGATCCAGCGATATGCTGAGAACGAGGATGATGAGGACTTCTCCGACGTGTTCTCCCAGCCCAGCGCTGTCGCAAAGCGGTCAGATAGTGGAGAGTCGAATGAGCTTATGCTGTCTTCGAAAATTTCGAATCTGTCCTGGCTACCAGACGACGAAGAATCAGATGAAGATGATCCCTTTGCTGAGCTGGAAGAAGGACTGCCCGAGGTTGATCTCGAATCGAACATCGCGCGTGACAAGCAAGCACGTCTGCGAGCTGATGTTGAGATGTTGGTCGGCCAGCTCAAAGTCTCACAGGATGATGATGCGCTCCTGCACATCTCTGAAGAGCTGATGAACTGCTTTAGTCTCTTCTCGGAGACGAAAAGTATAATCATTAGCGCTCACGGCGTTTTGCCGATGCTTGAGATCCTCGAAGACTGCAAGCGATTAGACGTCGTGTTGAATCTGCTTAAGATCATCAACGCCATAATACACAACGACGAAGAAGTGCAGGAGAATGTTTGTTTCGTTGGCGGTATTCCGAAGATCAACAAGTTCGCTTCGAACAAATTTCCTAAAGAGATCCGCCTGGAAGCTGCCGCTTTTGTTCGCCAGATGTATCAAACGTCGACTCTGATCCTTCAGATGTTCGTCAGCGCCGGTGGTTTGACTGTGCTGGTTGACTTCCTCGAAGACGACTACGACGACGATCGAGAGCTCGTACTGATAGGCGTTAATGGCATATGGAGTGTCTTTGAGCTACAAGCTCCACGCCACGGAACGACTTCTGCCGGATTCTTTCGAGGAATTCTGTTCTCGAACCGTTGTCACTCATCCTCACCCGAGTTCTGAGCGATCACTCTGAGTCAGGCGAACAACAGGAGCTCGCTGAGCTGTGCGAAGGGCGCATCGCAAGTATTTTCTTCATCTTCTCTCAGGCAGAGAATTATGTCAAAGAGCTTGTGGCGAAGCGGACAATCTTGTACCGGGTTATGAAAGCCATCAAGCGGATGTCGCCGACGCACCAGATCACCATGCTAAAATTCACCAAGAACCTCTCGATGCTGTCCACCACTCTGGAAGCTCTCCATAATTCAAATGCGATCGACGTCCTCACCGACCTGCTCACTAATGGTGTTGATGGGCCTCATGCACGCGAAATGTCGAATCAGATCCTAAGCACGGTCTACAACCTGTGTCGTCTTTCTAAGGGCAGGCAAGAGGATGCAGCACTAGCAGGTATCATACCTGTCCTCATGAGGATCGTAAAGCAAGACAAGACTCCTGTCAAAGAATTTGCCCTGCCGATACTGTGTGATATGGCTCATTCCACAAGAGCTGCACGAAGAGAGCTCTGGCAGAATAAAGGTCTGGTGTTCTACATATCGCTACTTTCGGACCCCTACTGGCAAGTGACGGCACTCGACGCCATCTTCGCCTGGTTGCAGGAGGAGACATCGAAGGTGGAAGATCATCTTCTGGAGAACCAGAAGTTCACGACCGCAATTATCACCTCATTAACGAGCAGCAAGTCAACCTCGTTCGAAAATCTCCTTGAACCCCTACAGAAGTTGCTTCGACTGTCACCAGCCCTTGCAGCGTCTGTGGCCCAAAGTCAGCAGCTCTGGAACATAATACAGCAGAAGATGAGTCACAACAAGCCTGCAATCCGTCTCAACTTGCTCCGAATCATCGGCAGTGTTTGCGACGCCTCGATCGACGGTATCTCCATCCTAGACCAATGCGGTCTGTACGATCTGATCGAACAACTCCAATACTCCGACCCAGCCATACTTGTCCGCAGCATGGCAGGCGAGCTCTTGCGGAGCTGGGAAGACAACGACACGGCTTCTATTCACAGCGGGCATGCTGGCAGTAACAACCAAGCCAGCGCACCTGGCCGCAAACATCCAGGACTGATGCGACGAACCAGTTCCGGAGCCACACCACCGCACTTGCTTGAAAGGCAGATGTCCATGCCTACTTCACCACAGCTGGGACGTGCGGAGCGCGCCTCAATGAGCACCTTCTATGACCAGCCGCCACCAACCGCGATCTCTACACCCCGCCGGAGGCAGAACGGTGTCTCGTATCTCAGCGGCGCAAGCGGCGTACGCCCTGTCAGCCGTGACGGCAGCGCAGCAAGCTACATCCGCGACGGCTCGCCAGCCTATGGCGTCGGCAGCAACATGCCTGTGCTGCAACGAGCACAGACGTCGGGTGTCGCGTCAGAGATGACGGTCAACAAGCCTCGGCTGCCCCGGCAGAACAGCACGATAGGTGCGCCGAGCCGACTTAGTCGGCAGTCGACGCGTGACTCTTTGATCAATGCAAGTAGGGACAGCGGGTCGAGCACGCCTGTCACGCTGACGCCAGTGAGTGAGGCACGCGAAAGAAGGCGAGAAGCAAGAGGTGCTGCTGCAGCCAGCGTCGCTGCTTCGAGAGCTGGTGGTGGTGCTGCGGGACAGCACAGTAGCCATGGCCAACACCAGCAATCCTCGTCCTCGGCATCCTCGACCCACACCAACGGCACGGGATCGAACGGGACGACCGCAACCAAGCCTGTGGAAGTCACCATCGCAAGAAGGAATACCGCCAGACGTGTAGTGGGCGACCAGGATAGTAGGGATCGGTGGTCATAGAATGATGATCATGATGATGACGACAACGACGAAAGCAGTACGCTCGATGACGAGAAAAGTGAAGTCCTCAGCGACAGCGCTGGTAGAGAGTGGTTCTACAAGAGAGCCGGAAGGCGTTTGAGACGGACTTTTGCAGCTCTGCCGCGATTAAAGGCCAAAAGCAGTGACTGGAACAAGCGTGACACGAAGAATGATGGCTGAGACGGTAAGTTGTGGTCGAGAAAGCAATGCTCCGGGGAACGAGACGCAAACATACTCTAGGGAGAGGAAATACATGCATGGGTTAGGTAGGGAATAGATACCCCTTCTTTGAGATTATCCAGCAACACAGGCGTGTTGGTGACGGAAAATGCTTCTCTACAAGCTAATTTCCTCTATGACAGCAGTTCATCGGCCAAACCGACAAAGCTGACCTAAGCTAGCACCAATGTCTCGCCGTTCCCACACGTCACGTACGGCACTTGCTCTTCTTGTTCCACCTCTTCTACTTTTTCCTTTACTATTGGCCCATCAGAAAGCGATTTCCTCCGGTCTTCCTTCCGGGCCTTCTCCATAGCGTCTTCGAGCGTCCACACCTTCCGTCTCAACAACGGCCCGATCAGTCCCAGCCCTTTCTTGACCTCATCGTGCGTGCCGACCCAGTATTTGGGCTTGAGGAGCTTTTGTGCCTTGAAGGCGTTGTGCGCGCCGAGGTTCAGCTGTTTGGTCAGTGTAATGCTGACGTCGTGCAGGCCGTGCAAGAGCGCGAGTGTGCTGATCGGGGGCTTGGCCTTACTGAAGATGGAGAAGGTGCCGTGCTCGACGCCGTGAGGGGTGTAGATTATTGCTTCCGCGGCGTTTTCTGCCCTGTCAGGTGCATCCTCTTGAGTGTTGGGTATGCAGATGATGACGGCGGAGTGGTAGTACAGGCTGTTCCCTTCCGTGATCAGGCGGCTGATGCCGAGCCAGGAGGGCAGAGGAGCGATGGCGGTGGTCCGCCAGTCGGTGGTCTTGCTTAGGGAGGGGATGTTGATGACAGTGGTGAAGTGGTTCCAGGATTTGATTATGTCGACGGCCTTGCTGGTGGAGTATATTGGTGTTGATCTGGGAAGTTCGAGCAGGGTGGCTCTGTGGCAGTGGTCGGTGAACTCGTGGGAGATTACGACGGCGTCGATGTAGGACAGTGGCGGTTCGCTATTGGCTTTGTGAGTCTCTGGTAGTAGTGTGGCCTCGGCTTCAGCGATGATCTGGTTGAGTGCTGCTATAGACTGGATGTCGGACTTGACGGCGTGGTACTGTGTTGAGAACCACTTCGCAACATCTGATTGTGCGCCAGTGAACCATGGATCAATCACTATGTTGTAGCGTGATCTGCCTGGTGGTGGAGTCGATATCGGGGGATATGCGAGTGAAAGCAGCCAGCTTGTGTCGGCGTTCAGATGTGAGAGGACTGGCCGAGATGCTGATGTTCGGATCTTTTCCTTGTAGTCAGATAGGCCTCTTGAATCGGCTGTCGGGGAGTCCTTTGCGACCATGATTCTTTCCTCTCTGGTCGAGAATGCGTGATAGACTTTGGATGGCTTGCGCTGTAAACTCTCGTTATGCTAGAACCAGACTGCAAGTGCAGAACAGTGGCTTCTGCCGTCGAGATAGGCACATTGTCAAGAGCTTATGTCTGGACTCGCTGAGCCGCGTTACAATGATTTCTTCAACGCCTCTCAAGATGGATTGACGTCAAGTTCGACAAATCGCCACCACTCGTATTTGCTCTTACATTAGAATTCGACGAGTACGTGCTGAAGACCCATACTGACCAGCTTAAGATCAATGTGCACTACGCAAAAGTCTTCCAAGATTTTACGAGGACCAAGCTTCCCACGCAGGTACAGCTACGCGAAAAGGGGACACAGCGATCCGGGTGGCCAGTTCTCTGAACGAGCAACGCAACCGTGACTGCCGCGAAAGGCCAAAACGCGGGGTTGAGTTCGCGGCGATCGGAAGGAATATCCGCCGCTTATCAATCACGTGTTTCGTCGTTGCCTGCCCTGCCACTCACTGGCATGATGAGATATTGTGAACGGTCGGACTCGACGCATCACCGAACACATCATATACCAACAAACTCGATGATCAGGCCCCCTCGTCATCCATTTGTGATCATTGCAGTCACATATACTGCGTACAACGCCTGTGGAGCAGACGGCCACATATCAAAGGACAGAAGTGGCTAGAAAGAACAACCCGCTGAATCTTACACGCGTCACTTCTAGAAGCAGAAGTCTTGTTTGCTCTGATTCCAAGGCATACAAGGCACTAAGCACCCGGTATTCCGAGCTTTAGCAGGCTTGATCTTGCTTGAGCATTTACCATTTGCTGCGCCCCAGTCTACCGAGAGATAGCAGAAACAGCCACAATCGACAAGTCTGCTTCTACCAATCGTTATCTCCGCCAGGCTTGTTCAAGGCTTAAGCACTCGGCCGCCCGCATCCCACACTTCTGGCCGTTCTACGTATTCTCTATTCAACGACTGCTTTGAAAGCACGTCTACCACTGCGACTTCTGACAACTTTTGTCAGTCTCTTCACAATCGCTCACTCGTACGCCGATGGTCGACTCCGCCGACGAGCCTCCGTTGTCAGGACATCCACATCCATGGGCTAAGAACGCAGTTTCGCCATCCCTAGCGCCCACCCCTCGTCCAAAGCCGCAGGTCACTGTACACCCTACATCCTCGCACACCTCTCAGGAAACCTCCCAAAATGCTGTCGATGGCGCTCGCGGCCATGCAGCCAACCTCAAGACCACAGAAGACGGTATTGCAGTCCTGCAGAATGCCGCACGACAACCCAGCCCTGTGGTCGAGAAAGGAGATGGAACGCAACCTTCCTCCCTAGGGCCATCGACTCCCAAGGCGACCAAAGATCCCTTGGGTCAAAGATTTATTCGAGATGTCAAACTCATCATTGGATCCAGTTGGATCAATTGGCTCCTCCTTGTCGTGCCGGTCGCCATCATTCTTGGTGCGCTGGTCGACTGGGGTCACATGCAAGTCATCGACCAGAGCGTCGTCTTTGCCATCAACGCCGTTGCCATCGTCCCATTGGCTTCACTGCTAGCTTTTGCTACAGAAAGCGTCGCCTCCCGGATGGGCGATACGCTCGGTGCGTTGATGAACGTCACCTTCGGCAATGCCGTTGAACTCATCATCTTCATCATTGCTCTCGCAGATGGTCAGGTCAGAGTTGTGCAGGCTGCTGCTGTGGGATCCATCCTCAGCAATCTCCTTATCATCCTGGGCATGAGTTTCCTGCTCGGCGGTCTCCGCTTTCGAGAACAACTGTACAACTCGACGGTCAGTCAAATGAGTGCTTGCCTCTTGATGCTGAGCGTCATCAGTCTATTGCTTCCGACAGCATTCCATGCATCCTTCGACGACCCAGAAAATGGCAATCGCATGGTGCTGCAAGTGTCTCGTGGTACGAGCATAGTGCTTCTATTGGTGTATGCCCTGTATCTGGTCTTCAGTCTGAAGTCGCACAGCTTCATGTATGCTTCCACACCACAGCACATCATCGACGAGGAAGCCCACCCAGGAGTACTCACTCAGATGCTCAACTCTTCGGATAGTTCTAGCTCAAGCTCAAGCGACACTGATTCAGACTCATCCCGAAGCTCATACAATACCGCCAGACGTATCAAGAGGGCTTTCCGCCGGAGAAGACGCACTTCCAGTCCAAGCTCGAAAGCTCAGAGCACGCACGAGAAAATCCCCAAGACGCGACGCACACCGACTGATGCTACTTCAGCTACATTTGCGTCGCTGTCAAATTCTCAGACGAACAGGTTGTCTCGTGGCAGCTTGACTGATGAGTTCGTCCTTAGTGGAGACGAAGCGGATGTCGACGCTGAGCCGCGTATTGGCCGCCGTCGATCCACTAGGCACACAATCGCTCGTGACTTCGAATCTGCTACTGGTGACATCGAGAACGAGAAGCCCACCAAGCGTTCAAGACGGCGTCGCAAGCATCACAAACGCAACAAGCGTGGACCCGGGGAAGATCTCGATGACGAGAAAGCTCCAGCTCAAGATCACGTCCAGGAGCCCGCCAATAACTCTCTTCGTGTTCCAGCTGTCCAGCTCGCCGTACCCGAAATCAACGATGCGTCCCACGAGAAGCGACCTTTCAACTTTCGCAATTTCTCTACCACTGTTGGACCAGCATTCCCGCATCACGAGGCAGTGGCGCGTCCGTTGGCTATACCAGTCGTGCGACCAATGTCAGCATCCAGGTCTCCATCTCGGCGTCGTCTGCAACGTTCATCGTCCATGCCGGATATGATTCATCCCACCATGTCCAATGATCGTGCTATTCTTGACACTCCTCACACGAACAGACCGCAGACCGGAAGTGCACAGCAACATGTTGAGGTCGTCGAAGACGAGCCGTTGGAAGGGAAACGCCATCTCTCCAAGACCTCGTCAGTCGTCCTACTACTTGTTACCACTGGATTCGTCGCCATTTGTGCAGAGTTCCTGGTTGGTAGCATCGACCACATTGTCTCCGGCAACAACATCAGTCAAGCTTTCCTCGGTCTCATCATTCTGCCCCTCGTCGGCAATGCGGCTGAGCATGTTACTGCCGTGACGGTCGCGGTCAAGAACAAGATGGATCTGGCCATCCAAATTGCCCTCGGAAGCTCTATCCAGGTTGCGATCTTGATCACCCCTTTCATGGTAGTGCTTGGCTGGATCATTCATCAGGACATGTCACTGTACTTCAGTCTGTTCGAGACTGTTGCTCTCTTCGCCAGTGCCATGATTGTTGGCTTCCTTTTGATTGATGGCCGCAGCAACTATCTGGAGGGTGCCTTGCTCGTCGCAGCCTACATCATCATCGCCTTGGCAGCGTTCTACTACCCGAACTGCGGGCTGAGCACTGTCACTGGAATCGTGGATGGTTCGGAGAAGACTTGCTCGTCTGCATAGAATGCGACGGAGGCAAATGCGACGGCACCGTGAGTTTCACGACTATTTTGCGAGGGAGACTGGAGGCGCGTCTCGAGAAAGACACAGCGATGGGGAATGGGAAGGATGATGAAGACACAAAACGACCAACTCGGAGGAAGTGTCGTGGCTTTGACGGAGAATTTCGGAAGACAAGTCGTGGGAGAACGAAAGGACGACAGCATTCACTGATATGCTTGACCATAAGCATGGTCCAAAATCTGGTTCGACGGATGTGAGACAGCACAGCTCGCAAGAGCATTGAGAAACTAATGAGATATGACTTAAGGCCCACGAGCCCAACTCGAGTGGGGTGGCCGCACTTGCCTCTGGCGGGTGCGTGCCCGAAGTACGTATGTAGCTTAAACAAATAGCGATAGCATGAGCTAGCAAAGATCTGGCACACTGGTCCTATCTGCTCGAACTTCTCCCGTTCCATTTGATCGCAAAGAATGCGTGGCCAAACTCGGCATAGTGTGCATACATTCCCCAGATCCCAACGCCTTGTTACTACTGATTAGCTAATAATAAGCGAAAGGCCAGTGGCAAGGCAAGGGTTCGGCGGGAATGACGAGACGCTGACCTCGGAGTCGGAAAAGTATACTCATCAAATCCTCTCAATTGACACTAACTTTTGTTCTTTCTTGTTGGAACAACAGGACCATCCTCTGTGGCGCTCACGCATGACCATACGACTAGAGGTTCCATAACGGCAGACATGGCGGAGTCGGCGTGATAGAGCCAGTCAGCGCTCGTCGAAGTTGGCTACGGAAACGTGATTGGGTAACATAACAGAGTGTTCTACAGCGAATCAAGTGGAGGGAACAGGTTTTAATCTCGAGCGAGTCCTCGTCTCCGAGCAGAAATTGCTCGCCGAGAAGTAATGGACGACCGGGAGCTGCAGCGCGAGAGGACGCTCGCGGCGGATAACCCGGCCATGTCTGTGCCAGCGAGCCAAAGCCTGACGTGGACTACTACTGGACGAAGTGGCGCGCGCAACAGGGTTCCTACCGACGACGCCATCAGCAGCAGCCAGACTACACAGGTATCTACCGATAGCGGCTCTCCCAACACCACGAATGCGGCCAAGACACGCTCCGCCACTACCTTCCCTTCAACGCAGCAGTTGCCCTCCAAACACGACCGCGGCTGGCGGCGCATAACGCGCAACTTCTCGCCCTCGTGGTTCTCCGTGACCATGGGCACGGGCGTCGTCTCGCTCCTTCTGATCAACGTTCCGCTCGCCTTTCCTAGCCATACCGCACAAAATTGGCTGTACTGGCTCTCTGTCCTGTTCTTGTGCCTCAACGCGATTCTCTTCGTCCTGGCCTTCACTATCTCAGTCCTGCGGTATACTTTGTATCCAGAGATCTGGTCCGTCATGGTGCGCGACCCGACCAACTCGCTCTTCCTGGGCACTATTCCCATGGGCTTCGCAACGATAGTCAGTGCGTGGACGCTCGCGTGTACGCCATATTGGGGTCGATGGAGTATCATGCTTGCGTTGGGAGCATGGATGGTGGACTCAGTGGTGGCGGTCAGCGTGACGCTAGCGCTGCCGTTCCTGCTTATGAGCCAGAGCCACCAGCAGAGTCTCGACAGGATCACGGCGGCACAGCTGTTGCCGATTGCGGCGACGATTGTTGCGGCTGGGACGGGTGTGACTGTGGCGGCGAAGTTGGTGACGAGGGAAGAGGATGTCGGGAAGGCGCTGGGGACTTTGATTACGTGCTATGTCCTTTGGGGCATGGCGACACCGATGGCGATTACAGTGTTGGTCATGTACTATCAGCGGCTGGCTTTGCATAAGCTGCCGAGCAGGGAGGTCATCGTGAGTTGTTTCCTGCCGCTGGGTCCACTGGGAATGGGCGGGTATGCGATCATGCAGTGTGGGAAAGTCGCGAGGACGGTCTTTCCTGCTACGGAGTTCTTGGGTGCCGCTGGCGGTACGGCGGGTGATGTGGTCTATGTGCTGGGCGTGTTCATTGCCTTGATCATGTGGGCGTTTGGGTTGGTATGGTTCGTCTTTGCGCTGAGCGCGATCTGGAGCGTCAGGCACTTTCCGTTCAATATGGGTGTGTTCAAATGTCCTTACTGATAGTGAAATGGAATCGGCTAACGAATATACACAGGCTGGTGGGGATTCACGTTTCCATTGGGAGTATACTCATTGAGCACGATGCACTTGGGCATCGAGCTGCCGAGTCTCTTCTTTCGCGTACTCGGTACGATTTTCGCGGTCGCTGTTGTTTTGCTCTGGATCGTTGTGGCTGCTGGTACTGCGAGAGGCGCATGGAAGGGACACTTGTTCTTTGCGCCGTGCTTGAGAAACCTGAAGCCAGCTGATCAAGTTAAAGGCGCCGTGGAGGAGAATGAGCGAGATGCGGAAAAGAGCATTAGTCCACCTGGGTTGAGTACATGAGCACTGCACCAAAGGAGCAAGACTCTTTCATGACGGCGATTCTGGGCATATCAGAAAAGACAGGAACAGTCAGAGACTGCAGCGTCTATAGCCTCAACATCGAAAACTCAGGCAGGCGCGGACCAAAATCTACTGACGCGACAGGGGCCGTCAATGACAGCACTAAGAAGGCGGCCTTTGACGAATTCGATGCACTGTTGGTGCCTTCCGACCATCTGCCAGAAGCAAGTGCAACCATCAACAACTATGGTATCTACTGCTACATGAAACTTGGCATTGGTCAGGTATCCAGATGACACCCAAATTTCGCCAAATCTCAAATTTCCCTCCCCAAGCCCGAAACCCCTCTCAAAAGCCGGGCGCACTCTCAGGAAGTCCTCCACGCACATTAACGTCAAGCGGGCGGCCAAAATCCTACTGAGAAGCACGAGAACATGAAGAAATGCAAAATAGTTCCCGGCAACAGCAAAATTCGACTCGGCGAATCTTGGCGATAGAAAATTGAGATCTCGTCACACGATAGACCATGGTGAATCAGGCATTCACTCCTCGGGGAAGCTCGTCACACTGAGAGATGGTCGCGTGCTGGTCGATTGAAGTTGGTCATCGCTGGAGAACCGATCTTGGTATTTCTCGAAGCATGCATCATCTGCCTGTGAGCCTGGGAAATGGTCTGGACACTATGGCTTCCTCAGCTTCCGAAAGGTCTGCAGACGACCACGGGGCCACCATCAGGGTGACAGTTCGGGGGTCTTGCCTCGGACCTCGTCAACCGGCTTGACAATGTATGGATTCTGGTCAACCCGGTCCTGCGAGCCGTCGAGCGATTCAGCGCCAGGTGTCCCGAATGAGGATCCCGAGGCTACGTAAGCTGGGCGGTCTGAAGGAGCTCAGCGCTTCACGCTCTGGGGGCTTGACGATAGAAAAGGAACGCGGGCAGAGGCCATCGCAACGATGAAGAGAATAATTCCGCACTGCAGATGAAGTCCATGGATCCTGGCAAGCTTTTGCTGATATACTTCCACACGCGTTGTCGGCAGCTGACAAGCAGGGTCCCAGCCTCCCGCACATCTACAATTGTGCGATGATCACGCCAGTCGCGCCCGGGCTTCTGTGTGGGAGTCACTTCAGCCCCGGCTCCTTCAATCCGCTTGAACGGGCTGATTGCAGGATGGTCGAAGGATTGCGAGCTCCCTGCCCCGAGCCTTGACAATTCGGTCTTGGAATTTTGGGAAGACCTTTGGCATTTGATTTGCAGGGCGCACGATGGAGTCACGGGACGAGGTTCTGGGATTTAGGGCCCGGCTGAAGGGCTTTCCATACGAATAACACAATGATGACTCAACACCTTGCGCTTGACCTCGCGAGGACTGCTCGGCAGCGGGGCATCAAGAACGTACACCGATGATCGGGCTGTCGACGTGTCGTTGAAGGTGTCGAAGAGGTTGAGTACGAAGCTATTAATAATTGTAAGGACGTTGACTTTCGCTCCCGAAATTGGATGTCCCAATCAGAGTGAACTCAGAATGTGGGGAGACGGGAAGCGCAGGAAATTGAGACACGGCCTCGCTGTGACGTGTGACAGGCGCGAGGGACACGTATTGCAGTTCAGTCTGCAGATACGATCAGTGACGGAGTGCCTGCTCGAACTCAAGTTGATTACAATGTCGGAATACGAATTTCTTGGGTCGCTGAACGGAAAAGTGCTGGATCTTGATGTAGTAATAGACATTCGTCTATGTAAAGTATCACCTAGCTGATCTATCGTCCCCAATGAAGAAGGTTTTCCAAAGAACAGGAGAAAGAGGCACGCGAACACGGTTTTCCCCTTCCATCAAAAAGAAAGCCGGTGCTGTGCATATGAAGTAGTCCCATGATCCCCCGTACCACCACCGACAGCCGTAGCTGGCAAAAAGTCCGTATCCAAGGCACCGTGTGAATGCTCCAGGGAGGAATGATTGAGCTCTGTTGATGCTCCATAATGTCATATATGAGTTTTGGATATCATTGTCATATCTTCATGAAGAGAGGCTTATGAAAGGTCGCAAGCCCAGATGCCGTCGCCGAGGGCGCAGCCAATGTTGTGGTAGCTGTCGCTGGAGAGAATGTCGGCGTGACCGGTCTGGCCGGCGTGGTTCCAACCCTGAGACATGGTGTTGCAAATGCTAGAGTCAGAGCCCAGGTAGGAAGGTACCTCGCAGAGCCAGCCGCCGACAAAGACGGACTCGAAGTTGCTGGCATCGCCAGGAGCGAGGACTTGAGCCATGGAGCCAGGGTTGAGCTCGTGCTTGAGCTGGCCACCAGAGTCGTCGGCAGTTTTCTGAGCGTTGGCCTGGAGCTGGCTGCTCTCGGTCAGGGCAGACTTGCCCATGATGCCGCGATACTGGTTGACGATGGCCATGTAGCCGCTGCCGCCGCTGCTACCGCCAGATGAAGGTGCCGCGGATGGAGCTGCCGAAGGTGATGACGCGGGAGCCGAAGGAGTAGAGGAGTCGCCAGTATCTTGAGGCGGGGTCTGGTCGGCGACTGGGACAGACGAGGATGCTGCAGGTGTAGCAGACGGCTGTGCGGCAGGCTGGGAGTCGTCACCGCCTTGGTGAGGCCGTCCCCATGACCATGACCAATTGCCGCGCCAGTTGCCGTTCCAAGCCTCACGACGAACCAGGGCCTCACCGACGGTGGCAGTGGGAGCAGCAGAGATGGTGCCAGCAACGGCGAGAACAGTCAGAGCCTTGATAGCAACCATGTTGGCGATACAATGAATTGTGGTTGGTGGTGCGTTCGTAAAAAGTGATAGGGACTCGAGATTTGAGAGAGTGTGTTGGTACTTGCGTAGGCAGTAAACAGAAAATGATTGGTGAATGAGTGTTGTTTGTGCGATCCCCCAGGGACGTAAGGAATGTGGGTATGTAGAGAGTGTGAAAGTAAGGAATGAGTGATGGAAGTGAAAGTCTCAGACTTTTCTGTTCTGCAAGCACAGCGGGCGTGACGAACCTCTTTCTGAAGATGGCGGAGGAGGGGGGAATTAGATATAGATCTATGGCACGCCACATTGACTGTGGTGACGGGAGTGGAAGCAGGGGTGCATCGCGAGCTTGATTGCCGCATGAGGCATGGTGTTGGTCCTAGCGAGGATTTCGGCTATGCATCTCGTGGGTGAAACAACCATGGCCCGAAGTTTACTTGCAACTGTGGGCGGGAGGTGAAACATGAGTCCTAACCCCTCGCGGCAGGTCAAGACCAGAATGTCGCCGTTAGTCGTGGCCGAGATCCATTTTGTTGGATGCCCCTGAACCGGATCGTGAGGTCTAACGGCGGCGACGGGGCTCGGCGCGAGTGTCCGTTGAAGCTACCAGATTTTCCTGTACCAGATCTTCAGTGCATCGGAAACGCTGGATCTTTGAGCAACAGCTTGAGCGCTACGAGAAGAGTCCGACTGCAGAGGGGAGGATCATGATAGCTCACTGACCAGACTGCAACGTGGCCCCTGAGTTGACTCGTCGTTGAAGTTTTCTTTGTTCTTCCGCGTCGTGTGGAAAGCGCGAATAGTTGCTTGCGCCGCTCGTCGGCAGCTGGGCTCGCCAAGCAGGGGCAATCGATAAGTGGCCTGACCCATGTCGTTCCTGCGTTAGCTCAACGGGAGGCACACCGAAGCTCCAGGCGAAAATCGTGTCTATGCCAAAAACTGGCAAGTCAACCCATACCCCTGAGCTTGGGCCAACGATTACCGACCACTCAGGCCTCAAGGATCATCATCACAGCCTGGCCCGGGAAAAACTTCACGTTGTCTACGCAAGCCTCTCCATCACCCGAATTGCAGGACAATGGATGCCAGGACTTAAGTTTACGATTGTTTGTGACGGATTTGATTGGACTATTCAACTCTATTTGGCGCGTTGTTGACGGTTTGCGTACGCGTGGGAAGTCGACAGAGACGATGTCACAATGTGACGAACTCGGTCTTTCCTCAGCTCCTATATCGTAGGTCAGGGCGTCAATCGCTTGGCTAGTACGGTTGCAGTTGCGTAAGGCGAAGATCGCCCGGTCTTGGAGACCTGTCATCCAGCCAAAATCAACGGATTCGGCCCTCCTGAATTCTTGCACTGAGTCGTTGGGCCAGAAACATCCTTGTCCCGTTGAATGCAACATTCGCCGCCGACTCACCGACTCTGGGCAGCCCATCCGGACGCCCATCCCTGACCAACGGAATCCAGTTCCATGCCGCACACTGCGAACCTGTCGGCATATGTTGTGTTATGTCAACGGGCATACGATATGCAATCTCTTCCTCTAAACTTAACATCTGCATCAGGAGGCGCCACGCAACTCTTTCTTGTGACTCCACAAACACACGTTCTCTTTTGGAGCCAGCCTCGACTAGATCGGCAGCACCAAAGGCCAGAAAACTTCCGACGAGTCTGGCTGGCACGCCTCGTCGTTGTCGCTGCTCATCGCACGTGGAATACGAACCATAACTTCTCCTGAAACAGAGCTGGCTAACCCCTCACCATGCAGCATCCCAGTTCCTGTGTTCCGACTCGCTTGCATAATTGCCCAGGCTGTCCCCTCCAACTTCATCAATCAAAGGAATCCTGGCAAAAGCCCACCAGCTGAGTGTGATGGATCTACGAAGAATTTGGATCTCAACTGAAGGAATACCGTTGCGCGAAGCCGTCTCTCCGGTTGACAGAACAGGACCGTGGCACTACAGACTTGGCCTCGACCGCTCATGCTGAATGCATTGAGCTTCAGCCTACGGTATTTGCTGACGACAACATACGTCTCTATAGTTCCTGCAACTTCCTGTGCACGAGCATGCATACCAGCAAACAAAGAGGATTGTCCGCCGTTCTACATGCGCGGACATTGGACCACTGAAACATCTGCTCTCCTTGCTTCACGCGGCATGCAAGGTAAATCTTACGTCGGCGACCCCAGACCGCCATCTCTGTCCAAAGGATCTTGAGAACTCCAGTGTACCGTGCTCCTGAACAATTTGACGTGACCCAGGTGACGAAACGACACAGCAAGCACAGACCGAAAGCGACTGAAGGTGCGCATGATCAAAGCCTCGAAACGGGTGCCTTGCAGGAGAATGACCGACAATTGGCATCTCGCTGCGTTGAACGATGCAGACTGGGGCATGGCTTTCACACTGATCCGAAAAGGCAGGAGAAAATGGTTGTCGCACGCACGTAGGCCACCGCTCTCCTTGAATCTCGAGGTTTGGTGGTTGCCTGTTGCTACTCACTCATTGTTTCGTATCTATCAAGGTAATGCTTCCCTCGATCTGAGCGCCTAACAAAGGCTTGGTTGTTTGCAGGCGTGCACCGGCCCTCGACCGTTGCGATAGCAACAAGCCTTACGACACACCCGTCTGATAGCGACTGGCATCACTGCAGCTTTCATGATATTTCATCGAGTCTGCCGATTCGATCGTCATTTGTGCTTCAACCCCTTGTGCCCGTCGCTGCTGATTTTCCTAGTCGTTCATGCAGACTGTTTGCCTGCCTGGTGATCATAGATGACCTCTTCGTCGTCTGCGATGGATGCTTAGTACGAACTAACATCAGTACACACTTATAGCGCTCATTGCCAAACCCCAAATACACACACACACACGACAAGGCACGACTCGCTTCAAGCTTCGCGACCACACATCATCGACCACTACCAGCATCATTCAGCCAGATACGCGAGCCATCGACCTGCCGATGCGATGCGATGGTGGACCTCGCAACGGCCGCGGATCTGCCTACCATTCCTTCCGCCTGGCGATAATGGGTTGCTGACATGATGGTGCCGTCGGCAAAGTACTACTGCTATCAGAATTGCCAGAATGGGTAATTCCCTATCGTGGTCCCAAGGGTTGGGATCGGGAAATCTCCTTCCGCGTCGAATGCAGTCTGATCACACCCATAGGACCAGGGACTGCTGGGGCGGAGATATGGTTCGTGCAGAACATGCAGGGTATGTTGAATTAGCAAGGAGGTTAAGTCGACGTCGCCTTTTGCGAAAAGTGTACAGAGGGCTCCATGTGGCCCATAATTCACGGCCTTGATCTATCGAGGACGCAGCCGACTTCAGGGAACCCCGTGAATCAGGTGAGAGCGCCCCACACGTGCATGACTCGCATTAGCGACAACACAGGGTGACAGAATCCTCCTAGTGTGTAGGTCAGCTTCTGAGGAGTAAGCGTCAAATTCAACAGCTTCGAGCCCAAGTGCCGAAAGCTCGAAGGTCCACCGAACGAACATCAGAAGCTGAAATGAAGAGCATCGGACGCCCAAGTGACGACTCCGCTGACGGTCGAGTAACGGCGAGCTCAAGCGATCGATGATAATTATGCTGACGCTCAAGTAACAGCTATTCTGATCAGCCCAAGCACAACTTTTGCCGATTTGCTTCCCGTTCCGCTTCATGCCCCTACTCATCATCATCATCCTCTAGCCCCCTCGCCAGGATGACACCACTGAACCGACCCGTACCACCCTCCAATTGATTATCCTCCACAGCAGCCCAGCGCTCGAGGTCATCACCCCATCCAAAGCGCATACCCCAGGCGTGCTCCAGGACGCGTTTCTCAATGGGGTGAACGCACTGCGTCAACGTGCCAAGACCGCGATAATTCGTAGCAGTAGCAGTATTGCTCTCGGGCGTGCCCCAGCGGTATCCCAACATTACAGGACCCAAATCAACTGTTCTATCGTTCTTATTGTAATGAGCCTCAGCGATCCCGTACCTAGCGATAATCTTACTCAATTTCGGGGTATCGTTCAGTACCTGGTAGCGACCTCTCAGGGCGGCCTCCCGGGCAGAAAGTCCTGGATCTGTAGATCCCTGAGGCTGCCAGACGAGATCTCGCTGATGGAACCTCTCGACGGGTACGTTCACATAAGCGTAGCCGCAGCTGTTGAGCACTATTCGCTGCAGTCGGCCGCGGTATGCCCGGGCGGGCATTGGGTGTTCTTCACGGTCGATGAGGTTGGCGTCGTATTTGAGCTCCTCTAAAGTCTTCCCTGGTGTTATTCGATCGAGGACTTCTGTCCAGGTCGCTGACGGCGGGAGGACTTCCTGCAGCCAATTCTCCTCGTCGTGTGCACAGGCTAGACGATGGCCGATCGTCGTCATGCTTGCCGTCATCTGTGGCGCTGTGCTGTGACGGACGAGCATGCTGACTGAGTTGAGCGTCAAGGTCCGGAGGCTGGTATCATGGCTCTTTCTCATGAACGTCTCCAGCATATATGGACTGAACCAGCAGTTCTCGAATGTCAAATCGCACAGATGCTCGAACTTGAGCATTTCTCCGGGATCACCCTTTAGGGACGCATCGTGGTCGGAAATCCATGCATCGACATTGCGGATGATTGGCGCCGGCATTAGGTGTTGGTTGCGCGCACAGATGCCGATAGCATGCTCTCCGCCGCCAGCCCAACCAAAAGTAGCTCGGAAAAGCTTCTCTAGCCGACAGACGTTCTTTTGCAGGAACTCTGCGAACTTCTCCACGGCATCTACCGGCGAGATCAGCGATGCTCTCTGGACGTAGACATTTTGGTGCTGATGCTCCTTCCTCCAGTCTGGTGCCACGAGGAGCGTCAGTCGTCGCAGGGAGGGCAACGAATCCCAGAACTTGGGCTGATCGAGTGATGGGAGCAGGCCGGACGAGAGTTTAGCGATGGTCAGCGTGTGGACGTGTCGTAGCCTGGCGGCGTTATTGATAATGGCGTTGGTGTAGGCAGACAAGAAGGTCCTCTGGGCCCAGACTGTCTCCATGAGCCACTGGACTTGCTGTTCGGTCAAGCAGCCAGGAAGAATGGGAAATTCTGTAGGATTTGCAACGCAAGCTTGCACCGACTTGAGGCACCCACCCGTCTCAGCAGCTAGATTGTGCCCATTGAAAATCAGAGGCCATTGCAGTAGATGATACGTCTTCTGGACTTCGTAGCCGGTGTAGCAGGGCGCTGAGAACGTCGCAGATCATCCTGCAGATATCTGCCAAACAGAGTAGGAACTGGACCGGTGCCCATAACTTGCGGTGGCGGAAGTGCTTGGTTTTGGGGTGGCAGAGGCCCCCCTGGCGGGAAATTCATATTTGGCATTCCCAAATTTTGTAACTGCGGGTTTATCCAGACGTTCTGTTGATTTGGTGCTGGAGGCTGAGCTTGCAGCTGCTGATTCGCGTGTGCAAGCAGTTGCTGCTGAAGGTTTAGCTGAGGGTTCCATGGTCCAAGAGCTTGTAGCTGCTGCTGATTCATTTGGGGCGCGCCTGGGAATGGCATCATTTGCGGCCCGGGAGGACCTTGGCCAGGTCCCGGCGGGGCTCCACCAGGAGCAGTATTTGCAGGAGGCGCTCTACCTCCAGTATGGCAATCTGGATTGTAGTCTGGCTGGCGTTGTGCGTCCATAAACGATCCCCTCTCACGGACATGAAAAGCCGAGATCACATCCAGCATCTTTACCGAGTCTGTTGTGCCAGGCTTGGACGCTAGGTATGTCAAGAGCTTGTTTATCGTATTATGCTGTGCCCATTTGAAGTACTCATCTCGGCCATATGCTTGCCAAGCGTGCTCGTTCTCGAAGGCCTGTCCGAATACCTTGGTTCCCTTGGTCTGACGGAGCTTGAAGAGTGCCAGGTCGGACATATCAGGACCTTCTAGCCAGCCGTGACCACTGTCTATCGAAAGTCCTATTTCGTGAGTATGTTGCAGATAACCGAACGTCTGGTTGAGGACGGAGGAATTGTTATCTACCAGATCTTCGAGCCTCTTGAGCTTCTCGTAGTGATGGTATTGTTGCGCAGGCCATCTGTAAGAGCCATACCAGGCATGCTCGGTTTCGAGAGACGCTTTTCGTGGAGCGAAGGCCAGACCTTCCATGTCATACTCAAAGGAGATACCAAACTTTCCGACATCATCTCCGTGTCTAGCCAGTACGGACGTTCCCGGGTTGGCACACATCTCTCGGAAATCGGCACCAAAAGGCACTACCAAGTTTCGGTATTGTATTGGAGGCAGCACGTTTGATATGTCGCGGCAGACCAGTCGCAACGCATGCAAATCCGTCAAGGCAGATACGCAGTCACAGCTATCCAGATATCCGATGGCAGCTGAGGCATGGAATAGTTGGCATCTGCTGGCAGACGACATTGTGGTGGAGCGCCCGGAGCAACTGGTGGCCCGCTCCCATGCCACGGCCTACTAGACATATCATTAGATATCGACAATTTCTTCGTGTTGGCGCTGCCAGTGGTGAAAGGGCTGTCGCTGCCGGGGCTACCAAAATCGCTAAAAGGAATATCAAAATCGTCGAAATCGGAATCGGAAGATTCATCATCGTCGTCGTCATCAGGGGCCGCTCCGGAGGCAACAGCGATTCGGGCAGCGATTTGGTCAGCGACTCGGTCAGCGATTCGGTTTGCGGTTGGACGCTTGCGCTTGACAGGCGACTGCGGATTATGGTCTGTGACAACGATGTCGGGAGTCGCGGTGGGTACAATTTGACCGTAGTCATAATCGACAACGGATGTCGGAGCAGGGTGCTGAACAACTTTTCCTTCAGAGGACTCCTGGCTGAGCAAATCCTGATCAGAGTCAAGAAGCTTCTCCATCAGAGCGTCTGTCGCGGATTGACTTCGGCCCCGACTCAATCTGCTGTACATGGAGGTGTAGCGGCCATGGTCGTGATTCCTGGATCCTGAAACGCGAGAAAGGTGGATGCTGGATGCTGGAGAAGTCGATGCAGGTGGACCGGAGCCACTGCCGCCTCTCCGCCGTCGAAACCGGGGCGGACTCTGTGTGACCGTACTTACAGAGGTCCGTACTATAGGGACTCCCGTCACCCGGGGTCGGTTTGCTGCGGGAGTTCCCCACGAAGTCCCCCCGAGAGTATCGTTGTTTGCCTCCAAGGTCGTATCGTTGGGCTCAGGCTTCAGTTCTGTCTTGGGCTCGGGCTTGTTGTTCTCTGGCTCGGTCTTGTCTATAGCGTAGCCCTTACGTCGACTCAAGCGCTGGCTGCGGCGCTTCTTGGGTGTATCCTCCTTCAGTAAGGCAAACGGGTCCGTATGAGTAGGAGGGTCGGCAGCGCTCGGCTTGCCGCGCAAATTTTGTAGAGCGTTGGGAGCCAGGCCTACCCGGGCGGGCTTTATGCTCTCTCGTGCCATGGCATCTCTGGCTAGTAACTCCTGGATGTCGAGACCTCCGCTAGAAGCACCGTCAGTCTGATCTCGCGCTGAGACCCTAGACGCATTTGTGGTTTTGTTTCCCGTGGCCTTAGCTCTGCCTTTGCCTTTATCCTGCGAGGAGACTGGCCGGTCTTCGTTGATCTGGTTCCGTACGAATTCGGCGAGTGTTTGCGGGCCGAATGTGGTCATACGCGGGTGAACAGGTCGAGTAATGCGGTTTGGAGTGTTGCGGCCCTGACCACGAGTATTGAGGTGTGCATCGATCTGGAGAATCGCGGAGGATGAGCCAATATCGGACTCGCTGTAAGCATGCTGCCTACGCCGGACCGACATCATGAATGGTGTAGCGTGCTCTGACCATGCTCTGGCCGCTCAGTCGCGTAGGTCAGCGGGCGGGGCAGTGATTTGCGTGACAGAGGCTCGTGGAGGCCGCCTGGAGGAAGTGCACAAGTGGAGCACAACGAGGACTCTGTGTCCAAATGGTCTGCAAGATTCAATTCGGTAGGCGTGGTCAACAATCTGCAGCGCGCTTTACAAACTTGACTGAAGGCCTCCGCGATTGGAATTTTTGGAGATCTTTCAATGGCACATGCATTGAAAAAGGCAGTCACACAGTTGCCCCGCCCCGCGAGAAGCCGCCTTTTCCAGCCACGTGACCGTTTCAGGCACTGCAAGACCTTGTTACAGGGGGCAAGCTGGGGGAAAGGGCTGAACCGGCTGTTTTCAGATTTCCGCAGCGTCCTCGCTGGCTACCTCGAGTTTTCTGATATGTGGTTTCTGGTGCTTGAAGCTCAAGCGGGGCTCATCCCAGAGCTACTGAATTTACCAGCGAAAGAACGATAGGCTTCAGTGCCGTCCCGAATTTAGAAGATTATTATGAGCAGCACACAGGCCTGGTAACGAAGACGCAGTACTTTTGTGTCCACAACATGGGTTTTACCCTAAGCCCTTTACGCACAACGCCGGCGAGCTTCGAAATCATGGGGGAGCTTGCGAAGGTTATGTCAAGTGGACATCCGAGCAGCGTGCCTCACCGCGATCCGAGGGTCAGAGCTAGTAGACGGCCGTCGGATGTCGCAGTCGTGTCATACTTTTGCGCTGATAATTCCGCGATTTGGCAACATTGCCTGATGAAGCGGTCCTCGCTCAGTAGCAACATTGGCAGCCATCTCAGAAGGTCAACACTGATATAAGGCAACGACATGCTCTGAACAGTAGGTCATCAATCATATATTGTGTGCTCGAAGCAATTGCGGCAGATCAAAGAAGCACAGCGTTCTCAAATCTCCTTGAGAGACAGGCCGAGGTATGTACACGATCGCTATACTGAGCTTACTGATCGCCGGCCTGCTCTACTATGTCCTTCAGCACAAGCCATCGCGGTGCCCGGATGGCAGTCGACCACTTCCTGGACCACCGGGAGTTCCCATCTTGGGTGTACTGCCAGAGATACCGCCGTCGCATAGCTGGTTCAAGTTCCAAGAATGGAGCAAGCAGTACGGTCCACTGTACAGGATGAACATAGCTAGCCGGAATCATGTCGTTGTCTCGACCGAGGACATTGCGAACGACCTTCTTCGAGAACGGGGCACAATATATAGCGACCGAGAACAGCTTCCCATGGCTGCACAGCTGGTTGGTGGTAATTTGAGGCCACTGTTTCTACCTTACGGAGAGACATGGCGGAACGTCCGCAAGACAATGCACAGTCTGACCAATGTCAAAGTCGCAACAAGCTACGAGCCTCTGCAGGAAGAAGAAAGTCTTCGCATGCTTCGAGACCTCGGGCGGGCACCAGAAAAGTACGAGACATGGCTTGAACGTTATTCAGCAGGTTTGATTCTCCGTCTCGCATATTCCAAGCCCATTGCTACTGGCGAGGAGCCCTTTGTCCGACGGATTTTGGGCGTGGTACACAACTTAGAGCGCGTGGCAAGTCCTGGCGCCTATCTTGTCGATACTATACCAGCGCTCATGAATCTGCCAGTATTCCTTGCACCCTTCAAGCGCGAGGGTGCCCGCCTACATGCCGAAGAACTAGATCTGTTCCGGGGTCTGCTTCAAGAAGGCATCGAGAACTCCAAGCAGGCCAGTGATCCTGCCGCAGCCAACTTCTGCGGCAAGTGGCATGAAAACAAAGATAACTTCAACATCTCCGCTGATCATGCCGCTTATACGATCGGTACCTTGTTCGAAGCTGGCGCCGGTACGACTGCCGCTACGATGATGTCGTTCATGCTTGCTATGACTCTTCACCCAGCAGAGTTCAAAGCACTCCAGGCAGAACTCGACCGCGTGGTTGGCCCTGACCGCCTCCCATCCTTCTCCGACATGCCAGACCTTCCTCGCGTCCGTGCTATCGCTAAGGAGACCCTCCGATGGCGTCCGGTCACCGCAGGCGGACTACCACATCAGCTTACGAAAGACGACGTCTATAAGCTCAACGGCGAATCGTATTTCCTGCCCGCCGGCACAAACGTGCACCCTGTGCAGTGGTCAATTCACCGCGAGGAAGCTCGCTACCCAGATCCAGACAGCTTTCGATCCGAGCGCTGGCTTGAACCCGGATGGCCCACGTACAAGGAGCCGCTCGATCAGTTCCCGAACCTGCAGAACTACAGCTCATTCGGGTTTGGAAGGAGGATCTGCCCCGGATTGAACATCGCCGAGAGATCGTTGTACATCGGGATTGCAATGGTTGCGTGGGGTTGCGAGATCAGTCAAAAGGTTGGGTCTGATGGCAGAGCCATAGTGCCGCCAGATTATGACTATGTCAGTGGCTTCAATGTAAGATTTCCTTTCCGTCCGGTCAATGATTGGAGGTGAGCTAAGCTGCTGTACAGGTTCAACCAAAGCCCTTCGCCTTCGAGTTGCAGACCCGCAAGGATAGGAAGCACGTGATTGACAGTGCTTACGATGCAGTTTGGGGAAACAAGAGTACATGAACAGATCGAACTCTATCTTGGTAGTAATTTCGGTGGAACTTACCAAAAGAAGTCTCTCTACTCTCGGGACACAAACATGGGTTCCAGCTCTTCAGGCTTGCACACCGCGGCGATCGATATTGTAGTGCACAAATTTAGTCCCAATCCTCAATCCACGGGTCCTATGAAAAGGCACTTCTTGTAAAGCTTGGGATATCCATGGTCAACGTAGCGCTTGCCAAGATTTGCTTTGCGAGCGGAATATATTTGCAGCCATGCTAAAGGGCGATGGCTCTTGCATGCCACAGCCCATGTAAGAAGTCATTTTATTGGCATGTACCTGCCGCACACTGCAGCTTCGAGCTGTGGACGAGCCTACCATCCTCACGGCTGCTTGGATCAAATCAGTCGGCCGCCGCTTCAAGTTCAAGTCGGCAGTGTCAGCGTGACGGAGCTAGCGGAAGGAACGACTACCTTCCCTTTCTGTCTGTCGCGACTTCCGAGTCACACTCAACCCAGGCTCTTGCTCCGCTGCTCGTATGTTCGGGACTCGGTACCTTGTGTTGCATGGGCTCCAAGGCAAGAGTCGCTGACACTCGATTGTGGCGGCGCTCAGTGTTACCTTGGCCTCTCGCATCATCTCGTAAGGTGCGGATAGCCAAGACCATGATGCTGGCCTTAAGGACTCCTAGGCGAGGGAGCAGAATTAGCGATGCATCGGACATATCTTCTGTTCGACGCACCAGACTGGCTTCTCGATCTTGTCACTACTCACCGGGAACAGCAACAGCAGCATGAATTCATGGAAGATCGGGACAGCGATTCGCGACCTACCAGGCCAACTGCCACCAGACAATGTTCCTCGTGATGTCGACCTCGGCGACTTCCCTGCTCGTGCCGCCTCTGTACTTGGGTGTCTTGAAGAGCGTCACTTGACTTCATCGGCGCTATGGATGGACATGTGTGCCAAAACGAACCACCTGAAGACGCACAGCAAGGATGTCGCGAGAGCGTGGAGAAATTCCAAGCAGATCTACGACATCGAGGCTTCTTCCGCAAGTATAATTCGTCTACAAGGCACGTCCTGGATCCAGATTAGCCACACGTTCAAAGTCAAGCATCGGCAGCTTACTGGTCGAGGCTCTGGAATTGTGGGATTTGCCCTGGCCGGAAACAGTAAACAGTGGCGGATTTTCATGCTGACGACGGTGCTCGAGTACTACGAGGGTCATGGCAATCCTGATGTGCCCTTGAAGGCAGGAAGCGGTGAGTTTCAGGTCCTCAAGACCGAGAATCCTCGAGAAGAGCTGACACTGAACCAGACTTTCATGGCCACATACCGCCCGACCATGATGGTGGGCAGCAGAACTCGAGACCAGATACAACAAAGCACTATACAGTCGCCATCATTGGCGGAGGTCAAAGCGGTCTTGCTGTGGCAGCTCGCTTGCAGGCATTGGGAATCGACTACGTCGTGTTCGAAAGAAGCCACATGCCAGGCCATCGATGGGTCAGCCGGTACGACAGCGTAAGACAACATTCCATTCGTGAGCTCAACAACTTGCCCTTCGGCAGCACGTGGGACCCAAACGAGGAAGAGCATCTCCTAGGGGCTAGAGTCGCAGAAGGTTACCAAAGACATGTCAAGAAACACCGCATTAACATACGTACCAACACAGAGGTGACACGCATGGCCCGAGCAGGTCAGAGATGGGAGCTTTTGGCGAATGGGCAGAAGCTCGAGGCAACACATGTTGTCTTTGCTGTAGGCTCCGGGCTCAACATTCCGAGGTGGCCCAACTGGAATGCTCAGGAGCGCTTCAAGGGCACGATTATGCACATGTCTGACTTCAAGAACAGCAAGGCGTGGAAGGGCAAGCGTGCTGTAGTCGTTGGTGCCGGAACATCAGCTCACGATATTGCTCAAGACATGCTGGACAACGGTCTGGACGTGACAATGATCCAGCGTGGCCAAACCGCGGTCTATCCTATCGACTGGTACGCCAATCTGTCAAGAAAGATGTACGTTGCTGGCATTCCGAACGAAGGCCCCGATCGCGTTGCATTCGCGATTCCTACCAAAATCGCTGGCGAGATCCAACGAAAGAACTACCAGACACTGCTCGTAAAAGAGCGCAAGTTCTTCAATGACCTGGAAAAGGTTGGGTTCCGGACAGACCTGGACGAGAGCGAGGACCGAACCCCAATCGAATCCGTCCTCAATCGCTTCGGCGCGTACTACATAGACATCGGCACCAGCAAACACATCATCAACGGCGACATCAAGCTCGTCAATGGCACACTGGAGCGTTTTACCGAACATGGGGTCGTTGTGGACGGCAAGGAAATACCTGCAGATGTCGTGCTGGCTGCCACGGGCTTCGAGCCGGATATGAGAAAGGACCTCGAGCCTGTGATGGGTCCGGCGGCCAGGGACCTGCCAATCGTGTGGGGTCTGACGGAGGAAGGAGATATCAGAGGCATGGCAGAAGAGCTTTCGCCCGGACTCTGGCTGATGGGAGGAGCTGCTGCGCACTCGCGGTTCTACTCGAGGTTCGTGGCGCTGAAAATACAGGAGCAGATATTGAGACGGGACTCACACATGTGAGCAAGCTTGCCGGAGCCGGAATTCGTGGCCGAGTCGCCGCAATCAGGCTTGACATCACAGCTTGACAAGCACAATTCACGATGCTCTGTGACCAACACAAACACACCAACGACTTTGGCCATGACTCGAAATTTCAGCTTCGCGCAGTGACGCTTGTCCTTCCAGCCAGACATCAGAAGTCAACGGGAGCTTTCGATGCCTGTGGTTGTCACATATGCATGTACATATACAAAGGAAAGAAAACGCCTTTCACGTGAAATCTTGGCACTTGAGAAGCATTCAAGTGCTGAGCTCTTTCACAGTGACGGGCTGTAACAGCCCAAGATGTGTTGCTACAGCGGCATGAGGCTTTGTCAGTTGCCTGGCGTGGCGTCGTAGCATTAGTTGGTGTCAAGGGTGTCTTTTCTGCTGCACAATCTGCACTCACAGCTGCTCGTTAGTTCATACATAGTGACCCAGGGGCCACCAAACAAGCTGATTTTGACCGCAACGCCCCAGCAAGCACTCAAGTGACCTGCCAGCATGCCACTGAAGTCTACCATTGGCCGCTGCCGCTCGTCAGAAGACGTGTCATCTTTGCCAGCCATGGCTGAAGTCTTCCAGCAGTCCAACCAGTCTCATACATCGCTGATGAAGGAGCACCAGAAGCGCCTAGAAGCCAGAAGAGTCGCGACCGATCCTATACAGCGGCGCAGCTGGCAGCTCTGGCGCGTTAAAAGCGATGATAGCCTCGCAGAAACGCGACGAAAATCAGCCCATCACCACTGGCTTTCGACCCAGAAGGCGTCCGGTAGGGGTAGACGCTCCATCAAGTCGTTCCACGTCGCCAGAAGAAGAAGATGCAGAGCCTTGGGTACACAAAGAAGGCCCAATCATACTCCTCACTCCTGCATCCGGCGAGAGCCCTCCCCAGCCTCCACTCCCAAGGATACCCACACTTCTGCGTCCTGGCGCTGGCGCTCGCGCGAATCGTGGTGCGATCAAGGCGCTCCCACCGCTTTTGGAGGGCGAGGAGCAACCCATTCCCGCGTTCTCATCTGTTGCTGTTGCTGCCAGTGTGAACATCGTCGAACAGCAAAAGAAGAAGCAGCGACAAGAAGAGGAGCGGCAGCGTTACCCACCACCTCGAACTTCGCATCCCTCACAAGCAACAAGCAGCTCAATGCGATACTATCCTGTCGCCCTCTCCCTCCCCTCGCTCGATACTCTCAATCTCCCAATCCCATCTCCAACGATCGCAGCACAGTTCCCCGACGACCCACTGCGTGCAGAAATCGCGAGCCTGCGTCTGAGAGTGTCGGAACTAGAGGCACGGCTCACCGATAAGGAAGGCGAGAAGGAGGCCGCGCTGAGGGAAGCGGAAGAGAAGTGGAAGGCGAGGGTGGAGCGGCTGGAGCAGGAGCGGGATCTGCTGGTCCTTGAGCGGCTCTCGGTGGGGAGAATGGAAGAGCAACGAGCTTTCCGACCTTGGTCAGAGGCAGGACAAGAGGGAGATGGAGAAAGCGGAAGGGGAGAAATGGTGGGACTGGTGATTGGCTCATGAAGGCCCCCCTGCCGTATCAGGAGTGCTTCGCAAGCCCTAAGCCGATTCAGGAATCCACTGCGATGTCCATGTACTCCGCCGCGACAGGGTTTTCATGGGCCCGATTCAAGCCCGACGATCGTCAGGCGGTGTTGACTACCAAGAAAAAGCATATAACGAAGACATATCAAGCACTGCTAAGCTGTCACGGCGGAGACACACTGAGCATTCTGTCGCCAGGCCCAAATATCACCCTCTAGCTCTTCCCCTTCTGCACATTTTACACAGCATACAGCATTCATTATCGCCAACATGAGATCTCGAGGAGGTCGCGGTGAAAGCCGCGGAGGTAGCCGCGGACGCGGACGCGGACGAGGCGGTCGCGGCGGCACAAGCAATGATCACGGGAGCCACTATAGCATGCCACGCCCCATCGCAAAGGTCGCCGACGGCGGCACATTTCTGGTCGGCCTTGCATCTGAGGTCAACGCTGGGAACAAGGCGAGGAAAGCTGCAAACAAAACAGCAGAATCAGAAAGGCAGCAGCAGGGTGTTGCAAATTATCCCTCAACATCGTCATCAGGGCCTCAATACTCCTATGTGGATGGTCCGCCTCCATCGTATGACGATGCAGTCGATGGGCACCCTGGACAAAACCCGCCCAAGTCCTTTGCCGATATGGGCGTACCATTGCCGCACAGCTCTTTCTCACTCCAGCAAAGCGTCAACACGCCCATTCATCCGCTGCCATATCCGGTCATTCTGCCACAGCGGCGACCAAACAACAGGAGCCGAGGCTTCGTGCAAGCTTATCCGCCTGATCTTGGGACTTACAAGGGCATAGACGAAATCACCTTCCTGCAATTCCTGGCCGAGTTCCACAAGTCATCTCAAGCGTCGAAAGCATTCACCGCAGTCAATGTCGCAGCTATGGTCGCAGGCTTCACGCCTGGCATGATAGCGTTCGCGGTTTCCAATGCTGTGGCAATGACTTCTGCTGTTGGCCAGGAGTATCATGGGCGCTATCGGACGAACTCATACCTGGACAAGGCGAACGAGGAGTTCTTTCATCCGCGAAACTTGCACTGTATGGTAATGACGTTCAAGCGGGACGATCCGAATGTGCTCTTGGACATCGACGGCCAGACCGGGTCGAGCAAAGGTGTCCAAGCAGGTGGCCCGATCTCAAAGCTATCGCTGAAGGCGAAGTCATTGATGGGCGCAGACAAGCCGAAAACGGAAGGCACTTTCAGGACATCTGACGGTGTCACTGAGGGGGAGCTGAGCTTGCCACAAGCCGCTGAGTTGGTCTATCCTACTGCTGCAACAGTGGCGGCTTTTCAAGATGACAGCAGCAGTGATGATGAAGGGTCTGAGAAAGCGAAGAAACAGCCATCAGTCTGGAAGACAATGGGCAACTCAGCAGGAAACTACATCGATCGAAGGGAGCAGGCCAAGTTTGCCGCGGAGCATGGCTCTGACTCGAGGCTCGCCATGCCTGGCGCAACGGATTCCTCGAACTTCGCCAGCAAGTACTCCGATCCGAGTTATGTGAATCCTGTGACGTCGGGTCTGAGCAATCTCAGCCTTCGCGGATCTGGTCGAGACCGAGGCCTGGGCAACCGGTTGCATGGAATCTTCAAAAGCTCGAGACAGCCGTCTCCGAATGCGGAAGCATTTGAGCAACACCACGGCCAGGATATGAAAGCCCCTCAACTGCACAAGAAGAAGGGCGTTGGTCCGATGCTCGGAACACTGATGGCCGAAGATGTACTGTATTTGTTGATCGCTGAGCTGCCGTCTAAGGAAGAGCGGAATGCCATCCTACATCAAGCAACGTAGCTCTGAGATATGGGTGTGCTCCGAAGGCACGGAGTTGTGTCATGACTGGCCTTCGGCAACTTGTCATGTACGACAGATTCATTCAAGGAAGGAACGAACCACGGAGGTAGAAAGCCATATGTCGTCATGTTACCAGATTCAACATGTCGGGCGCGACATGTATTTAGCAGAATCTCCAACTTCGAGCAATCATCGATGTACAATCAGTCGATGACTATGCTTTCGAACTTTCCTAAGCAAGACGATGTTTCGCTTGACATCTCGCGGATGTGACAAAGACCGCCGTGCCGGCTGAGTGCTCTCTCAGTCTCTGCTTTCGTGGCAAGTGGCCTTTGTTGACAGTCACGATTGAACCCGTCAATATGACTCCTTTGAGCTCGAAAATGAGGCCTCCACTAGCCAATGTTGGCGTGAAGGAGCTGCACTTGAAGCAAACATGGTATACAGATATGCTTTGTGCTGAGTATGCTCTGGAGCTCTCTAGTAGCTCACAGTGTGGGCTTGATGTTTGCCGCAGACTGATCATTGTTGTTGAACGACATTTAGATCTCCTGGGTTCGGGCGTCCCTGTCATCTTCAGCTTAACTCAGCAAGCCTTCTCCTTGAGTAGGCACGATCCAGAATCATGGAAATTCCAGGCAGCTGGCCAGAGTCCCCCACATCCGGGAACGGTGAAGACAGCAACGATCCATCGGGAATGGGATACACAGACAACGAAGGCGATGCTTTCTCCGAGCCCAACACAACTGTGGAGTACTCTGTCAACAAAGGAGACGATGTCGACCCTGCAGATGAGCCCATCGACGGTACTCTCGGCCAGGCACATTCGGCTCGATCGAACGCCGCCACAAAGTCCTCCCCGAGCTCGCAAAGCGATGGCACTACCACTCCTCCAACTAACGCATCCGTGTCTGCCACAGCAGAAGATCAATCTCAAATACACCCTCACCAAATTCAAAGCGCCATGACAAGATTGCAGATCGGAGAAGACCCTAGATCCGCCGCGGACGCGGCCGCCCATACCGCACTAGAGGGAAGTGTCGCCCCTTTCTTACCCTCTCACCCTCTCATTGCTAGGCTCCAGCAACACCAAACCACCAGCTCGACTAGCAATGCCACAGCCATGGAAGCGCTCGAGGCCCTACACAGCAGAGAGATCAGCTGGCTTCAGCAACAGCACGAGGACAGCACTGCGAGGATGAGGGACGAGCTTCGCGATCTCAGAGTCGAGAATCACGAGCTCGAGATCGAATTGAGACGCCATGAACGCACGATTGCCGACAAAGACCAGCAGATCTTCCATCTCACATCATCCGGCCAGCCACACCCCACGGAGGCCTGTGCTCTTTGCGGAAGAGTTGGAGACCGGTATGCTGGAGATGCCGAAGAGCCAGTCAAGGATAAGGCGTCTGGAAGCAACCGCAAAGCAAGAGAAACCCCGTCCAATGGTAAATCCTGGGACGACGATCCGACAACGTACACTCTGCCCACCAGGCGGGCTCCTGATCACCACCACAACAAGGCTGCCAGAATCGAGGCGATGATCCGCAGACGAGATGGGCGTCCAAAGCCAGGCGACAAGGAGCTGATAGAGTGGGAATGCTCGAGCGACGACGAGGAAGTCCAGGCAGGCAAGATTGATACGGAGGCTGATCCAGATGACGAGGACGGAAATGATGGCTGGGCCGCAGATGGAGCGCTCTCCATGAGAGGAACCACAAATTCCAGCGGCGGATGGTAGAACACATGCCGAAGGCCGCCCGAACACCATGAGACGATTTGTTGCCATTTTCGAGATGACATATGGTGCACCAATCTTGTCATTAGCAACTTAGACCAGGACAGATAGACCAGGATAGACTGATAACGAATTTGACGACCGAACACACTGCCTTCGCTCCCTTCTCTACTTTCCTCCTTCAACTCTCTGAATCAAATCAACAACTTGCCTCGCCACAACTTCCGGCGTATCCCTCTGTACAAAATGCCCTGCCCCTTCCGCAATGATCACCCCCTTCACCCTCTCCTTGTGCGCGACCAACTCCATCAAACCTTCGTTATACGCGTCCCATACGGGCTGCATGTACATCTCGTTGAAGCCCACATGCGTTCCCTGCATTCTGAGGCCTTCCTGAGCGAAGGCGACGGGGTCGTGGCCTACGACTGTGAGGTAAGGTGACGTCTCCTTGCCCGTGGAGACCTCTGGTCCGCGCAGTGTCGGTTTGTCTGCGTTTGGTAGGAGCTCAGCGAGGTTGCTGCGGTCCAAACCCTCCGGATTTGGGATGGATGGGTGGAACATTGCCCTTGTGCGCTGGCGCAGACCGCGCAGATCATCCGGCGTGGTTCCCTCTGGCAGCTGTATCGAGGGGTCGAAGTCTGGTGAATCTGGGTCAGGGAAGATGGAGATGAAGTCCGTGTTGGCGATATTGCTGTCCAGAAACAGGTGCGCAGCTGCGAGGTGCTTCGAGTTGGTGGTTTGTTGGTTGTGGATACGTGCAAGGGGCACGCCGATGCTGTGGGACACGAATATCAGGGTTGGGTGCGGTCCCAACTCGGTGGCATGGGTCGCGAGGGTGTCTGCTAGAAGGGCGTCAAGCTCGGTGGCAGCAGCGGAGAGATCGTGTGGGGTGGGCTTCCAGTCTGGATTGTCGGGGGAGCGGGATTCACCTTGGCCGTATCGGTCGTAGGTGAGGGTGTAGATGGGCTTAGTTCGGGAGGCGAGGAGAGTCGAGAGTTGGTTGAGGGTGGCGGACCATTGTTTTCGGGGGAGCATAAGACCATTGATGAAGACGAGGAGGACAGGAGTCCTGGAGGATGGGCTCGAGGAGGCGTCGTTGATCTTCGCGAAAGTGTGAGCAAGGGTGATATCTTTGGTTGTGACCATGGTAGCTGTTGTCCTGATGCGGGCTGACTTGAGGATGTTGGTGAGGGTGCTGCGTCTGTAAGTGATGGAGTGGTAAGTAGTCGTGGACAGAACCACTGCTACAGACGGCTACTTGGTGACTTTTATACGGCTACTTGGTGACTTTTATACTGTACCGACGGCAAACCTGTATGGACCTACCTCGTAATTCTACGATCGGAGTCGGGCAGACGTAGAGGGTGGCCTGACAAATACAGCTGAAGTGAACGCAACGTCGTCGACGGCGTGTACATTAGTCTCGCGAAGCGACGCTATGCTCACGGAGGGATCAATATGCTTCAGTCCGTTCGGACAAGGTGCTCGCACGAAGATGCTGCTTTCGTCGGCTAATGCTGTTCTCTTGGTACGAGATGGCGTTAGACGTAGTAAGCACATGTTCAAGTTGTACGAAGCTTTGAGGTCTCAGAGTGGTCAAGAGCGCTGGGTAATGCTCGTCGATTGATTGGTGGGCTTGAAGTGCTCAGTCAGACCTAGCAGAAGCTGTCTAGTCGCTCACATACTATCTTCTCGTACACCACCCGAGAATTTTAGCCAGTTTTCGCGACCTGAGCAGCACCTTCCCAATCTACCGAGCATGCAACAATGACGTATATCCAACATTGTAGACACTCCGAACGCTGGCGGGACTGCCATTCCGAAGAGTAAGGTACAGAGGCATGAAAGTGGTGATGAGATAGATGCATGACTGTCCACATGGAATGGCATCATTGACTTGAGTCGCTTTGAGGTTGCTTAATCGAGCCTGAGCCTGTCTGCTGTTCATCATCCTCCAGTCTTCACTGACCACGCAACCCATCGTATCACTTACGCGTGTTTATGTTCTCCCCGCCTGCTCTCCGCAGTCTCTTCGCTTCTCACCGTGTACTTTACAGATCACTGATTTTGCAGTCCTGCGCCCATCCTCGCACATTTAGACCGTTTACCAACACCGCATACACCATGGCTCAAGAGTGGAAACTGAAGGACCTGTCCAAGCTCGACCTCAACAACTACGACAAGGTCGAGGCAGAGGTCGACGGCATAGAAGGCGGGAAGGTCGTCCTCGTCAAGGTCAAAGACCAGGTCCATGCCCTTAACGCCAACTGCACACATTTTGGAGCACCACTCAAGAACGGCGTTGTCACACCAGACGGCCGCTTGACCTGTCCATGGCACGGCGCCTGCTTCAACGTCGCTACCGGCGATGTCGAAGACGCACCTGCCCCACACGCTCTGAACAAGTTTGACGTCTTCGAGAAGGACGGCAGCGTATACATAAAAGGCAAAGAAGCAGACATCAAGGGCGGCAAGCGCACCGTCAACATCAAGACCACACCACAGTCAGACGAGAAGGTCGTCATCGTCGGCTCCGGCAGCGGCGCCTTCGGTGCTCTCCTCAAACTCCGCCAGCACGGCTTCAAGGGCAAGGTCACGGTCGTCACCTCCAAAACCTACCCGATCGACCGCACCAAACTCTCCAAAGCCCTCATCACCGACGAGTCCAAGCTCTATCTCAACCCGCCCGAATGGTACAAGGACGGCTCAATCGACTTCGCCAACGAGACCGTCAGCGGCGTCGACTTCGACAAGAAGACAGTCAAGACCGAATCCGGCAAGAACATCGAATACACCAAACTCATCCTCGCGACCGGCGGCACCCCCAAGAACCTTCCCCTCCCAGGCTTCCAAGACCTCTCCAACATCTTCGTCCTCCGCGACGTCAACAACGTCCAAGACATCATGAACGCCGTCGGCGACAAAGGCAAGAACATCGCCATAGTCGGCACGTCCTTCATCGGCATGGAAGTCGCCAACGGCCTCGCCAAGGAGAACAACGTCTCCCTAATCGGCATGGAAGACGCGCCCCTTGAGCGCGTCATGGGCAAGCAAGTAGGCCAGATCTTTCAAAAGACCCTTGAGAAGAACGGCGCGAAGTTTTACATGGGCGCCTCCGTCGACTCCGCTTACCCTTCGAAATCCAACAAGTCAGCCGTGGGTGGGATCAAGCTCAAAGACGGCACTGAAATCCCCGCCGACCTCGTCATCTTGGGCGTCGGCGTTGGTCCCGCAACGGAATACCTCAAGGATAACTCAAAGATCAAGCTGGAGAAAGATGGCTCGATCGCAGTCGACGAATCCTTCAAAGTCAAATCCCTCGACTCCGTCTGGGCGATCGGCGACATCGCAACCTACCCGTACTCCGGCCCTGGTGGCAACAAGACCCCAGTACGCATCGAGCACTGGAATGTCGCGCAGAACATGGGTCGTTCCGTCGGTCAACAGATCGCTGATCCATCTGGCCCGAAACCGAAGCCGTTCATTCCGATCTTCTGGTCAGCGCTGGGGAGTCAGCTGAGGTACTGTGGGAATACGCCGCAGGGTTGGGACGATGTAGTGCTGAAGGGCGAGCCGGAGGAGGGGAAGTTTGCGGCGTACTATGCCAAGGGCGAGGAGATTGTGGCGGTGGCGAGCATGCAGATGGATCCGGTGATGGTTAAGTGTGCCGAGTTGATGAGAAGGGGGGAGATGCTGGGAAAGAAGGATATTGAGGGTGGGAGGGATGTGTTGAAGGCGGGGCTATGAAGACGTGGTCAAGGGCTGTATCGCGGAGGAACGGTTTCGAGTAGATGAACGAGCAAAATCAGTAGTCAACATCGTTTAAAATATCTCCAATCCAAATCATCATAATCTTGTCGGCATCCTGACACCACCGTCCAGCCTTACCACAAACCCATTTAGCATAGGATTCTCGACGATCTCCTTGACCAGCCGCGCAAACTCCTCCCCTTTGCCCATCCGAACAGGGTAGTTGACCATCTCCGGGTTCACGCCCGCTCGCGCACCTGTCGGCTTCTTTTTCTCCTCCTTCTGAGCGCCGGATGCGCCGCCGTACGGTGTTGGTTGCGCAGTTGCGCCTGCGGTGACCTTGCCTCCGGCGTTTGGGGTTGCTGACTTCGGCTTCGGCTTTGGCACAGTCATTCCCGTCTCAAACATGCCCGGCGCAACACCCATGACCCTCACTCCAGCCTTCTGTCCCAGCTCCCTTGCCAGCGGCAGCACAATACTCCGCACGGCGCCTTTGCTTGCGCTGTATGCTAATTGGCCGACTTGGCCTTCGTATGCGGCGACGCTGCTTACAACGACTATGATGCCTCGTTCGCCGTCCGGGCCCCAGGGCTCGTTGCGGGCCATGTGTGGTACGGCTAGTCGGATGAGGTCAACGGTGCCGCGAAGGTTTATGGCGATGGTGCGGTCAAACGAGGACATGTCGTAGTATTTCACCGGCACGTCTGCTGGCCCCGCTGTCTTAGGGGTCTTTGAGCTCCCCGAAGCGCCGCCATATGGTGTTGGCTGGGCCGTCGCGCCGCCTTCTACTTTGCCCTTGGTGGACGCATTGGTGGTGTTGCCTCCAGATGCACCAGCGTATGGCGTTGCTTGAGCTGATGCGCCGCCTTGCGTTTCTCCTGCTCTTTGCGAGTGTTGCGGGTTAGCTGCCGTTTGCTTAGGAAGAACGAGGCCTGCAGTCCCGATTCCAGCGCTGCAGATGACGCCGGAGAGGGGCGCCGAGGTGTTGGCGGTCCATTTGAGAGTAGCTTGTAGGGCGGCTTGAAGAGAGTTGGTCGAGGACACGTCGGTGCTGGTGAAGAGAATATGGTGTTCGGGAAAAGAGGAGTCGGAGGGTGGTGGGTTGAGGTCGAGTATGGAGATGTACGCGCCATGTTGCGCGAGGAGAAGGGCGGTGGCGAGGCCTAAACCGGATGAGCCGCCGGAGATCGCAAACGTGCGGTCTTTGATCTGCATGGTTGCGAGATGCTTACGGTGGTGGTAGTGATCAAGCACAAGCATGCAGATGTGGTAGAATGAAAAGAAACACTTAGGATAAGATATTTCGTCACCTACCTCGCTGCTTCAAGCTGTGCTTGGGCCTGAGCGCTGCTGGTTATAGCATTCTTTGGGAACCAGTCGGAAGTTCCGACACTTGCATAACAGCATGTGCTGTATATTTCATCCTGCCAACCTTCGATAGATAAAGACAGGCACCCAGAGTTCAGCGGCTTTGCCCAAGGAAGGCTCATGGGAGCAGACATGTGACTGACTACCTGTGAACTCCAATGACGCAGGTGGGAGTTGCTGCTGATGGAGGGGCGGAAAGGAGGGACCGGGCAGTCGCCTTGGGGCTTGAATCTTGACCAAGACCGGTGACCGCATCCTCCAAGTGCCCGGCCTGCCAGTGGAAATCTGAAACACGAAACGGCCATCATATCAGATTTCCTACCAAGTCACCTTCACTGCCACCAACAGTCCAGCTGACGCTACTCAAACGTCTGTCACAGTCTCGATCGCAGCAAACGCCAACCTCCTGTGCCAACGCCGTCATTGCCCAGCCGGCGGTCGATATTGGACAAAAAGTCAAACATTGCAGGGAGGACTCTATTCAGAGCCAGATTTACCAGGCGCCAAAAGTGCAGACCTGTATCTGAGTGACTGCTGTCTTCATCGACTCTGTACCGGCACACCACGCTCAGGCCCCGCATCCCGCAACGCCCAGCGATCAGAACGGCGCCCATGTGTGCTTTATGTCGCAATACGCGGCTCCCACTCGGCCGCAGAACAAGCGAATAAGCAGCGTTGAGAGCCACAGCCGCCTATCGCGCGACACATCAAGAACACGTCGGAAGTCGATCAGCTTCAACGATGCCTACCTGTATGCGCTACGGGTCGCATTCCTGTCATACCTACTCCAGCCGCGAGCAAAACGGAAGCGCCATGTCACCAAGCCTCCATCAATCGGACGGAGACGTCGGCCTCTTTCAATGATTTGATGAAGGATTTCAGCCTTGTCAGGGATAGCAAGAGTACCAGGTTTCCCCATGACTTTGTCAAAGAGCTGGAAAAGAGACTGCAGGGCATACTCATTGGCAGGGAAACACGGCAGGAGTACAAGGAGCCTGTCACCAAGAGGTCGTTCGCCATATTCCTGAATACACTGTCGGACCCTTCATTCAAGAAGCGCATGGAAGCAGATCGGAGAGTTGAAGACCTGGTCCTAATATTCTTCTCCAACGCTACCAAGGAGTTGCAAAAGGGGAAGCCACCCGGAGATGATGGCGTGAAGCGCTTGGTCGATCGCCATGTGGCACTGTTCGTAAGGCTACTGAGTTCGATATTGAAGGAGAAAGGCTGGAATCAGGACAAGCCTGAATTGGCGACGAGATTGGCAACGTTGGAGAAGAAGCTACTCAAGCACGACGAGGACTTGACCTCACAGAATGGAACTTCCAGCCTGGTTGAAGAGGTTGTGCCTTTGACGTACGAAGTCAGGGATATGCCTCTGGTACAGGTCGTTGGACGAGTCTTCGGAATGCGCAATACGGCGCTGCAATCCGATGTCGACAAATACAAATCACAGTGGACAGAGAAGGCTGCATTACAGGACTTGAAGACGTATCAGACGCACCTGAACACTGGGTCAAAGAGGACGCTGACGGCTGACGACTTCGACACCGCAGATGCATTCGAAGCATGGAAGAAGTCTGAGGCCCCAGATCTATCTCAGATGATGCTCGCCATTATACAGGTAAATCCAGAGCTCGCCAAGGTTACGGCCCAGGGCACATTACCACAGTTCAATGCTCAGGCTGGAGAGTCTGCTGCCGACAAAGCATACACAGACATGTCACGAGCACTATCCAACGAGCAATCGTCTTCTTATGTTCTGGATCTACCAGACCTCAATGGCCTCAGTCTCATGGAGAACGGTGAGGATGACTCAAAACAGCCTGACCTGCTATACACCTTTATTCCTGCAGATCCGCGAGCCATGTACCGATTCATCATGCTTACTGTCCTAAACTTCGACCTGAATGATAAGACAACTGCAGAAGACGGGACAGCTTCGTCGAATCAGATCTTTTCCAAGCAGTCGGCGGAGTTCTTGAACGAAGTCGCACTTCGATGGCGGATACCAAAGTTCAGCAGAATAGTCATATTTCTCGATGTGATCCGCGAGAAGTATCTTGCTCAAGATTTGTCCCTCGACATGCTCGACGCAGCATTCAATTACGTCAAAGATCCTCCAGAAGAAGATCCGAAAAACAAGCGAGCTTCGATTATTATGAGTGCACCAGCATACTTCGCAAGGAACAACTGGACTGTTCAAGACTTTGCACAGATGCGAAAGCTGCTGGCGGATGTCTATCACGGTCTTCTCAGGACTTGTATAGCGTTGTACTGACCTCCTACGCCGATAAGGCAGAATTGCAGCGGCTGGGCGCAATCATGACTGTCATTGATGATCACATACGGGAGGACCCGAGCTTCAGCGAAAGCAAAGAAGGCTTCGAGCAGTTCAAGCAGTCTGCAAGCCAAGGTCTTGAAAACAGTGCAAGAGACATCTATCAGCAATTACTGGAAAAGCAGCTGCCCACAGAGCCGGAGCAGTGGGAGTTCTTCCATGTCCAAGAGCTTGCAAAGGCCGTTCTCAAGCTGTGTGAGAAGATCCAAAAACGCTTCAAGCGCAATCCAGAGATTCTGAGCATCAATCCGCTCATGCTGTTAATGGGAGTCATTCTGCCTGCATTCGCCGAAGACTCGAAAGCTCTGGTCGAGTCAGTATTAAAAGCTGCTCAGGACAAGAATCTTGAAATTGGTATTCAGGACGGCTTCGACCTTTACAAAGAGCTGAGCGACTTCAGGCGAGTACACGGCGACGCCTTACCTCGAGTAGCGTTCCCATACAAGATTGAGGAACTCTTGGCTGACTTTGTATGGCGATGGATCCATGCTACGGAGCAGCAAGTACTTGGCTGGGTCGAGAATGCCGTAAATCAGGACAACTTCAAAGTCCGGACGCAGGAGGCCGGACAAGTCCCAACGGAAGATCAACGGCACAGCGTTTCAGTCATTGACATCTTCAGATCGTTCAACCAGGTCATCGAGCAGATCGCCGCACTTAACTGGGACGACGATCTGACCTATGCTAAGTTCATGACTTCTGTATCCAAAGCTCTTGGAAACGGCATCGTCCGCTATTGTGAACTCGTTGACACTCAGTTCACCAAGGAGATGGATCGCTTAACACCTGAACAAGAGGCAGCAGCTAGCATGACACGCCAGGAAAAGTGGATGCAGATGGCCAAAGACACCTGGAACAATGCTGCTCGAGTAGAGCCCTTCAACTTCTATCCAGAATCGTTTGTGAAGCTCAACAACATCTCCTTCGCCATATCGCATTGGGATAAACTGGAGCAGGAAATCAACGTCGACGCGTGTGCGGATGTTATCAAGCAGTACAATCCGCCTGCCATTAACAAGCCGCGCAAGACCACGAACTACGTCTTCACCATTAAGATTGTCGAAGCCGAAGATCTCAAGGCCTGCGATGTCAGTGGCTTCAGTGATCCCTATGTTGTGCTTGCGGACGAGTATCAGAAGCGCTTGTCCAAGACGCGCATCATATATCGCAATCTCAATCCTCGATGGGACGAGTCGGTCGACATCTCGACTCAAGGACCGCTGAACCTGATCGCGACTATCTGGGATTGGGATGCTGTTGGTGATCATGACTATGTTGGTCGCACGTCACTGAAATTGGATCCGGCACATTTCAGCGATTTTCTGCCGCGAGAGTATTGGCTTGACCTTGATACACAGGGCCGACTTCTGGTTCGAGTCAGCATGGAGGGCGAAAGAGACGACATTCAGTTCTACTTCGGCAAAGCTTTCCGCACACTCCAGCGAACGCAACGAGACATGACGCGGAAGATCACAGACAAGCTGTCAGCATACATCCAAGAATGCTTGTCGAAGCGAGCACTCCGAGCATTACTGAGCAAGCCCATATCGGTACAGAGTGTCTCTGCGTACTTTCAGCGCAATCGTCCGGCGCCAGCATCAAATGTCCCGTCCGAAGGCGAAATCATCAATGCTCTTCGCCCTCTTTTCAACTACTTCGACGACAACTTCGCCATCATGAATCAAACACTGACTTCAGACGCCATGCTTGCCGTCATGACACGACTATGGAAGGAAGTCCTCGGTACTATCGAGTCCCTCCTGGTTCCACCGCTCTCAGACAAGCCATCCGCCCAAAAGCCTCTGTCACAACAGGAGCTCGACGTCGTCTTCAAATGGCTACAGTCCCTGTTTGATTTCTTCCACGCAGTCGACGAAGACAGCGGCGAAGCCAATGGCGTGCCGATGAACGTGCTCAAGAATCCCAAATACCACGAAATCAACACGCTCAACTTCTTCTACTTCGAGACTACCGAAAACCTCGTCCGGACATCCGAACGGATGGCCTCTGCCACTGCCGCAAATGCAGCGCACAACCGACAACGCCTCTCCGCGCCAGCTCAGCTCGGACATGGCTCTGGGTTTGGTGGTGGCCTGACTCCTAAATCAATCGCAGGCACGCGTCGTGCGAAATCGATTATGGTCTCGCGGAATCTGGGAACGATGCGCAAAGCGAAAGAGGAGAAGTGGAAGGCGGCGCAGGCGGAGCCGAGCGATGATATGATACTGAGGATATTGAGGATGAGGAGTGAGGCGAGTGGGTACTTGAGAGATAGGAGTCGGCAGAAGGAGAGGCTGGCTGCCGCAGCGGCTGCGGAGGCGATTGTGCGGATGAGTTTGATGAGTGATGGGAGGGGAGGGAGGATGACTGGGCCGAGTGTCATTCGAAGGTAGAGGTGAGAGACAACTGATCGGCGTTGAAACGTTGGGTGCAGGATGGGTCAGCAACGAAGTCAGACGAGGTCACGGTAATGAACAAGCAAAGGGAGTCACAGCCGATATGCATTTGGTTTTTGTTCAGCAGCTTCTCATTTGATTTTCATTTTTCACTCGTTCTTTCCTGGTTGCTGCTGCTGCTGCTGCTGCCACTGATGTTGCTTCTGCTTGGCTCTTTCCTCGGCCTCAGCTCTCACTCCTTCTTTCCTAATCCCTCACTCCTGCCTCATTCCCCTCTCTCCCCTCCCTCACTCAAACCTCCTCGATTGTCCTCAACTTCCTATGAAACGGCCTCGGCCGAATTTGTCGAGGCCGCTTCGGGGGGTAGGCCGGCACAGGGAAAGCGGAGGGGAACTCGAGGCCGGGCAGGCGGGGCGGGACGACGGGGCCGCCGGCAGGCGCGGACGAGGACGGGGACGAGGACGGCCACCAGGATGGCGGTGGTGGCGAGGGTGACGATTATGATGGTGGTGATAGTGGAGGAAGGCATGGTGAGGGGATGGTGGGTGGTGGTGAATGGCTTGTGGTGACTGGTGGGTGGTGAATGGGAGGTGGTGAATGGGAGGTGGTGAATGGCTGTAGTGAATGGATTGCAGGCAATGTGCTCCGGTGAATGTGCTGAGGTGAATGAATGGCTTGTAACACAGAGAAGGATTCACATCATCAAGGTCAACAAAAACAATTGTAGTATGGTCTTTCATTCAGTATGTGCAGCGACGTTAGTCACTGTGGTGATTCAAATTTCTGAATCACCGCGGTGACTTCTCTATTCTGAGACTCAGTATCAACTCCAACTCGAATCTGTCAAGCCTGACCTGGCTCTATCTTGAGACTCAGCGTCAACTCCAACTCGAAACTATCAAGCCTGACCCGGCGATGAGGGTGGCAGCATCTCGAACCTCACATCATCCTGCTTGCGACCGAAGAGTGCCTTGATCTTCCTCGACCAGCGCGATCCAGCTGGCACTGCGATCTCATTCAAGGCTGGACCACCACCAGAACCACCGATAGTCCGTCCCTCAATCTCCCCTCGAAATCTCCATCTTCCAATATCAGGCGGCGGAGCAGCTGCAGGCGCGGCAGTAATCTCGTCGACTTCCTGACCCGCTCCACCTCTAGCAGCCGTGCTGTCCTGAATTTCCCTCGTCGCGATGGTATCAAGAAACCCCTCATCAGCCGGAAATTTCATCTCGAGATGCTCGCCTTCCTCTGGGACCGTCGCACGCAATGCTTCAGCGTTCTCGAGTGCACGGGGATCATTGCCGATCGGTTGAGGGGAACCGATGAGGAGACCCTGGCGAGATGGTGCACCGGGAGCGTCGGGGTTGTCGGCGGAACGGTGGCGGTAGTAGAAGAAGGCGATGATAAGGAATACGAGGAGGAAGAAGCCAAGGACTGTGCCGAGACCAACTGCGAGCGCGGTGTTGATGGAGTGACTGGGATTGGAGATGGGAGTTGGGACTGTGGTGGTGGTGGTCGGTTCGATGAGCGAGATGGTGGTGGTGGGGTCGGTTGGCAGAGGTGAGACTGTTATTGTGAGAGTGGGTGTGATAGTCTGGCTAGTTGAGACCTCGTTTGTGGAAGTTGGGAGTGTGACTGGAGTGGTCGAAAATGTGATGGCGTATGAGGTGGTTTGGGTCGCTGATGTGATGGTAGCTGACGTTGTGGCCGTGGCTTGTGGTGACGAGGAGGTATCTGGCACCGTCGATGTTAGCTCATTCGGACAAGAGGTTGATTCGGCAATACCTGGTGATGCCTGGCTCCAAGTCTCTGCGGATGTGGTGGTAGGCCAATGCAGCGTATTTGAGTCGCTCGTTGAGGTGATGATTGAGGACGTGGCTGGCGTGGTGACAATGCCGACGGTAGTGCTTGTGTCGACGCTACTACTGGACGAGTAGGTCACTGCAGACTCGGACCATGGGTCTGTATTGCTTGTGGTGCCATAGTAGAAAGGGTCAAGGCCTGTGCTTGTCTCTCCGTACCACCATGGATAAGGACCGCCGCTTTCTCCTGCGCCATAGCTATCAGTAGTGTCGGCCTCTGTAGCGCTGGACGGACCGGAGTCGTAACCGGAGCCGAACAAGAAGGCTCGTAAGTTGAAGCCAATCATGATGGTAGGATGCTCATGAGTGGTGCAGGTACCGTATCATCGAGACAAGTCCGGCGTGTAAACAAAAACGTGCAAAGTGAAATTTAGTGCGCCGTTTGTAGGTGGCCATCGGTTTGTACGTAGGCATGGCAACCTAACTTGAGACTGCACTTCACTTGAGATGTAAGTGACTCATCTGAGAAGATTGCCTTGTTGGTTTCACTGCACAGCCAAGGCTATTCAACCTGTGTTGCCATCAACTCGTCTTACCTACATCCCCGGCTCCCAATCAGTGAAGTGAGGAAACCGAACCTTTCATCCTGATATCGATTCCATGTGCCCATGTTGATAAAAGGATCCGCTCGTGTAGCGCACGGTCTGCGCGAAATCTACACATCTCTGTCTGGTCTGGCATCGAATCTCGCAGCCAGCCGCAGAGAGCTGTCGTGAGGTTTCATGTACTGTTCGCGCCATGGCCGCGCGCCGCTGTCATGTGCGGCCAGGGTACGCCTCCGACCTGATGCTGTCGTCTCGAGTTGCAAAGTATGACTTCTCGATCATCGTGGTGGCCAGAGGAGGGTCTGAGAGGTCAGCAGCTGCTTCCAGCGTGACTGCCCTAGGATGGACGTCGACTTAGGATTGCTTGGCGGAAGCCGCGGCCGCTTTTGACGTCCAGCTTTGACTCTTTGCCTTTCCCTCCTTTTCCACCTCTTCCACTCTACCTCCAACATAAATCTCGCGCATTTCTTACGTCGTGATCACCGAGACATGTACGACACAACTGAAAAGTCGAGACTAACACGTATAGGTGGAGTTCTGATGCAGCGATCGGCGTACTATACAGATTTTGGGAATAAACTACAACCTCCACCAGCCCGTCAATAAGCCTTCACACCAGCCAATCTGAGCAGCTTGTCTGTGTATTCTGGCATCTCCCTCGGTCTATCCCTGTTCCTCGGATCCAGCTGCCCATCTGGTAGCTTCGCGTGCAAGCCTCTCAACTCCATATTGTCGTGCGGCCAGTGCGTTGTTGCTCCAAACTTCTCAAATACATGCTTCTTCTGCTTCAACGTATCCGCACTGGCTAGGGCGGCAGGAGCATATGCGGCATAAACGACCGTCCGGATGGTATCACTCTTGGGAGTCTGCTCTGCGCCCCAGTGGATGCTCCGCGAATCCCAGAGGATCAGGTCACCCGGATCCGCCTGGACCTTGATAGGCTTACAGCCGCGTTCCTCAAACCATTTGATGCCCTCCTTGCCGAAGTAGTACCTATCTTCGGGCTTCCAGGACGATTCATCAGTCTGTGTGCGGAAGTACTCTTCAACCAGGGCGTGTGATGCAGGATACAGCGCTAGCGAGCCGTCTTCGGGGCCTGCCTGACTTAAGTTAATGATACCCTGGATACAGTGCAGACCCTGGCGAAGTGGTGACTGATCGACATGTGGCCATGGCGAACGGGCTGGCTTGTCCGCACGATTTGGCAATGTGATGTTGACTGAATCGAAGGAGACGACTAGCTTGTCCGTGCCCCATATTTCGCTGAAGGGTTCGATGATGCCGTCTTCCTGGCGCAGATCCCACATGAATTTCTCGTGCACAACGCTGTAGGACTCGAAAGTGTTCAGCTTGGTCTGGACAGGCAAGTTCTCAGCTTTCCATGTTGACGGGTCGGCAAGGTCGAGTGGTGTGTTGAAGCTAGCCAGCCAATCGAAGGCCTTCTGTTGGTATGCTTTGGCTTGGTCCGGCGAAATAGCACTCTTGATCACCGTGTAGCCCTGCTTGACCAAGTCGTCCCGGAAGTCTCCATACGGTCCTTCAAGCCTGTAACGCCAGGTCAGTCGGTCATTCACTGAAGCAGCAGCGCCACACTCACTTGATGGCGGCCGGTCGTACTGGGTGCGTCGGCTGTGCGTGGTGGTCGTAGTGGTCGTAGTAGTACTCATGTTCGGGTCGTTGACGAGCTGGGGTGTGCTGCCTCGATGCTGAGCCCTTTAGAGAGCTATAGTCTGCTCAAATATTTATTTCATAAGTCAAAGACGCTATACCCCATTTTGGGTGGCTGATACCTCATGATCAGTGGCAAGGTGAGCAGTCGGCTAAACCACGAATTTGTCCAAGGCCAACCTCGCCGGGAGGATGATGTCCCGGGGATCTTCGCTTCCTGCCCAGACCAGATGATCACTAGCGTCAATAGGATGCCAATGATCCCCTATGCGCTTCTCCGCAGACTTCGGAAGACGTCCGAGGTAAGACTTGGCGCAGGGTCTGCTCCGGTCATCTGGTCTTCTGCTCGGCGATCGGAGAGACATCCGTCTACGACGTTTCCCGGATCGCGACCAGGCAAATGCTTTGGTGCCAAGCTTGAAGGAGACATGGCTTATGTGCACGCCCATATCAGATTGACATGCCCACAGGAGCCGCGAAAGGGTCGACGACAATCCTTAAAGCAGCTCATCATCGGCTAGCACGATGCGCGTCTTACTTACCGGTGCCGGTGGCTTCGTCGGTCAAATCACAGCAAAGGCATTACTAGACGATCCCAAGGTCACCGAGTTGATATTGACGGACATTGTCGAGCCGCCAGTACCTCACGATGCCAAATATCGAGATAGAGCAACTGTCGTCAAAGCAGACCTCCACGATGCAGCCAACGACCTCGCCGCAAAGAAGCCTGATGTTGTACTTCTGCTCCATGGCATCATGTCTTCGGGTGCCGAGGCCGACTTCGAGCTGGGGTATCGGGTGAACGTCGACGCCACACGCACGCTCCTTTTTGCTTTGGCCAGAGGGCGCCCCGGGGTGCGGGTGATCTACGCCTCCAGTATCGCTGTCTATGGCTCGCCTTGTCCGAAGAGAGGGCTGACCGAGGAGACTCCAACAACGCCTGAATCTTCCTACGGCTGCCAGAAAATCATCTGCGAGACGTACATCAATGATCTGACACGTCGAGGCAAGATTGACGGACTGGTTCTGCGATTTCCAGGCATTACTGTTCGTCCGGGCAAGCCAGCGGCTGCGGCATCGTCGTTCATGTCAGGGATCATCCGGGAGCCGATGGACGGCAAGGAGTGCGTCGTGCCCACCACAAATCGTACGTGGCGCATGTGGGTCTCAAGTCCGGGGACATTAGTCAAGAACATTCTGATTGCAACACGTCTGGACACATCAAGTCTGGCGCGCCATCGACGCGTTGTGCTTTTGCCGGGTTTCGCAACCACCATTGATGGTATGCTGGACGCTCTGGCGAAGGTCGGAGGCAAGGACAAGTTGGATTTGGTCAAGCTGGAGGAAGACGCTTCGCTAAAGCCCTTGTTTGATTCGTGGCCGGAGGAGTACGACAATTCTTTCGGCTTGGCTCTAGGCTTCAAGCAGGACGATTCCTTTGTCACAGTGGTGCAGGAGTACGTTGACGGGCTTAAGCAGACGAATGGAACAGCTCACTAGACACACTTCACAAAAGGTTGAGCGACAATACAAGTTTCTTCAGATGTGATCTATAGATGCTTGTGTTCGACATTGTTGATGCTGCATGCTAACTCTGCCTATGCCTTACCCGAAGACAACAGCCAATCCATGTTCTCCTCGATAACCCTCTGCATCGCATTCGTCTGCTCCTCTACCACCTTCGTCAGGGGCACCTTCCCTGTCAACCGTGCCCCGACTTCCGTGAATGCAGCATTCACTGGTCCGTTGATATTCATCTTCGCGATTCCGTACGAGATGCACTTCGCTATTAGGTCCTTTTGGAAGTACTTCTCGTGAGCACCATGCAGCACCAGCCTCACACGGTCTCCGACCTGTTCATGTATGCGCTGCAACCTCGGAAAGTCAAGCTGTGGCCCACTTGGACCGTATTGGCCGTGGACGTTGCCGAAGGCAGGAGCGAGCCAGTGGATGCCCAGGGCGACAAACTGCTCGGCTTGTTCTGGGGTGGTGAGGATCTCCTCCATATCCACTGTGTCGGCGATGCCGTCCTCAGACCCATTGATACGGCCTGGTTCGGCTTCCGTGATGATACCGCGCTCGTTGCAGTACTGCACAAGCTCCTTGGTCAAGGACAAGTTCTCCTCACGCTCATAGTGGGACATGTCGACCATGATACCGTCGAAGCCACCGATGTCGGCTGAGTGCCGGATGATCTTGGGGCTTTGCGCGTGGTCCATGTGTACTGCTATGGGGACTGATGCTTTGCTTGCAGCCTCCTGAGCGGCATGTAGAAGTAGACCATCGGCGTATTCAATTGACCATGGGAATAGTTGGATCAAGGCAGGTGACTTCTTGGCTTCTGCGGCGCGGACGGTGGCAATGATACCTTCCATATTGTAGCAGCATACTGCTGCGATGGCGTACTTTCCATTGTATGCCGCGTTGACGATTGTTTCAGCTTTGTTGCCTTGTAGTTTGGCGTGTGAGCCATTGGTGCCGTTGGTACCGTTGGTGGCGGTCATTGCGGCAGGGTCTGGATGTAGGATCTGTGAGGAATGTGGCTTCGGCCTCGTGCTCAAATTTGATATTAGATGAACTGATCGTACCCGATCATGCTAGATGTAGCAACGTCCGCAACGTCTCCACTATGGCTGGGGATCGGCAAGGGTCATGGTTGGCAAAAGGGTTCTGGCATATCAATGCCCCGTACTTGATAGAATGGAATGCCTTGAAACGGCCTGTGACCCCGAGGCTTCGACTCCAGCCTCCTCCCCACATGTGTTGCCACCCTCTTCTCAGCCCGCTCCTTCCGGAGTCTCTGTGCTCACACCTTCTGATCAGCAGCCAACCCAGCCTCCATGTGGGAGGCTCCACTGCTCTTCCGATCGCTCGGACTCTGCTGTGAAGGTGTAATACTGTCAATATCGACAACCTTGTCGCCGAAAGCAGCTGCGACCTCCTCCAGAGTCTTCCCTCGGGTCTCCGGGAAGTAGAAATAGATGCCGACGGCCCAAATTATACACAAGCCAACAAAGACATAGTAGTAATGTTCGCGAATATTGGCGAACGCTGTCGGGGCAGCCTGATTCACTATATATTGTCAGTTCAAGCCAGTCGAACAGGGTATGGGAACTTACATCCTGCATTGATGGCAAACTTGATGGCACATGACAAACCGACGATCCGGGCACGAATCGAGATTGGCACACATTCGACCATGTAGACAGGTGTGGTGCTGTTGATAGTGGCACTGGAGAACAAGAGTTGTCAGTGCTTCGTCCTTGCTAATCCCGGGAACACTTACTAGTATGCCACCACAAATAGGTAGATGCCGAGAATAGCAAAGCCCTGGCCAACGTTGTTATCCGTGCCTTGGAATTCACGCTGCATGACGGCGCTGTAGATGTCGATGACAGCAACGAGCGTGAGGCCAGACAAGAGCATGCTAGTACATATTAGCCCGGTACACTTGCAGAGGCCTCAAGGGTGCAACATACGTCCTTCGATTGAAGCGGTCTGCCAGGAATCTCAAACTGAGTGCATTCGAGAGAAAGCCCGTGGTACCCCACGCAGCAGCTAGTGCAAGAACTGTGTTTCCAGTCATGCCCAGATCCCGGTATAGACGTGTCTGGAAGTACTGAATGACATTGACTCCAGTGATGGTGGTGAGCACGTTGACCGCAATGGAGCAGAATACACGATGCTGATATAGCCGGAAGGCATCCTTGTATGACTTCAGCTCGCGCTCCTTCTCATATTCGATCTGCGACTGCATGAGTCTGAACTCGCTCTCGGATTCGTCAGAGCCCAGATCAGCTCTCACGCGTTGAAAAGCGTTTCGCGCTGCTGCTACATTGCCGATCCGGACCAGATGGCGTGGCGAATCCGGAATGAATGTGGAAAGGCCAATAAACAGTATGATGCCCCATGGAGCCTGCAGAGCCAACGGGAGACGCCACTGTACCTGTCCATACGGAGCGTAGCCGCAGGCGAAGCCGACCCAGTTTGAGATCATGATGCCGCAGGAGATTCCAAGTCCTGCAAGACCTCCCACCAAGCCACGAACGTTGGGTGCCGCAATTTCGGAGAGATAGACAGGGACAGTCGAGTACATGCCACTTGACAAGGTCAGATCAGTTGAAATCTGGCAGAGGGGAGTACTCGACCTACCCGACAGCAATACCAGCAAGAGCTCGGCCGGCCAGGAAGATCCCCATGTTCACTGCTGCGGTCTGAATGATGACGGCGATCGTAACCAGAACACTAAGGACTTGCATATACCGCGTCCTTCCAAGTTTGTCGCCCAGAATGATTGTGATAATTGAGCCCACTGCTTCACCTCCAATGTAAGATGAGACGATCTGGACATGTCAGACGGTAGCCTGGGCCAGGATGTATCAAACCCCATTGGACTTACGGCACCAGTGATTGCGGACGAAGGATTGTCCATGTACTCGGTGAAGCTCGCATGTGCAATAGCTATGGACTAGCTGTCAGTCATTGCTCACAACAGGCCTTGGATATACTAACTCGTGGTGATGATGCCTGTATCAAAGCCCTGGAAACAGTCAGTGCCACGCTCCAAGTAAATCGCTGACCATCACGTACGAAGAGGAACGTTCCCAATGCGGCACAGACGGCCACACCGAAGGTGGTCCATGTCAAACTTGCGTTGTTCGCCATTGCTGTGTCTGCTGTTAGGGTGTCGTGGAGATACTGCGATGATGTCGACAGCTGGCGGTCAGAGGCCACAGAATGCTAGGATGCGTGTCTGTATATGCATCGAGGGCAGGTCAGCATCAAGCTCGGCTCCATATTCGAGGAATCTGGGGTGCATTCTATTGACACTAGTGATCATCTGGTCTGGCCAGGAAGCGAAGACCTCCGGGACATCATCCTCCCGGCGAGGTCGGCCTTGGACAATTTCGTGGGCTAGCCGACCGCCCAGTGAGGAGACTAAGACGAAGTTGACGTAAACCGTTCCACTAGTAGCCATAAGCTGCTGGGATTTCGCCTGGGACTGCGAGTCCGTGACGTGGGCATCATTTCGAAGGGCAGATTTGAGATGCAAGTTCTCGAAGTGCGAGGAAGCTGTCGCTTCCCCATGACGCTTCCCCGGTTGGGGCTGCCTTGGCAAAATGGTCATGTAATGTTGCGACGTCTCGAGGCTTCCTTCCTCGTCAAGGCAACCTCACAGGGCAGCGACGATAGGAGAGATAGGTATACCTGTCCTCGGACACAGTGCAATCACATCCTCGAAGTTGTTGTGACGATGACCCGATGATGTAACAGTACGAGCTGGCAAGTACGCTTTCGCATTGCTTGGGGAAAGGCACGTGGCAAGCTGTTCGGCCAAGAAATAAGCGTTTCCTTCATCCTCAATATGCACGCCAAATTTCTTTCAGCGACCTCCCTGGCAGACAAAATAGTGGTAAACTGATTCTGCGACTTGAGGCTCAAGTGAGGCTCTTCCCAAACTGGCTGACTCGACCTGTAGAACAGTTCCAGCGTTCAGAGCCCGCCCTGACTTGAAATCTTGACAGTTAACAGACACGCTGAAAACGCTCAGTTTATGCCCGAACAGCCTGCGTGGCTGTGTGCTTTGACCATCCTATGACTCCTGCTATCTGGACCTATTCAGCAACTCTGCCGGACAGCAAGGAACGTCACCAAGAGTGGCAATGACGACATCTAGTAGCTCACCGTCGGCTAAGAGACAAAAAGTACTGTCCAGAGCGTAGGCCTCATTTCGTCTAGCCTCGATTGACTAGCTGACATTTCACGCAGCTGCGAGTATTGCAAGATCAAGAAGCTGCGGTGTGACAGCTGTCGACCACAGTGTGAACATTGTAGCAAACGAGGCAAGTCGATTCTTCTCTCTCTTCTCTCTCCTCTCTCTCCTCTCTCTCTCCTCTCTCCTCTCTCTCCTCTCTCTCCTCTCTCTCCTCTCTCTCCTCTCTCTTCTCTCTCTCCTCTCTCTCCTCTCTCTTCTCGCAGAGACCTCTTGGCGCGAGAACTAACGGCTGTGGTCATCTAGGCCAGCAATGTGTCTACAAGGAGAAAGGCCAGCCCGGTCTACGTCCAGGCTATGGTCGCGATGTTGAGAGGCGCCTTACCGAGATTGAGCAGAGGCTCGACAGATTGGATCAGACGAACGGTGCACCAAGCCTAGCGCCTGCAGATACCGTGAACCAAGCACCTCAACTGCCTGGCGTTCAAGCACAAGACCAGTCATTACAGCTCAACACGGCGTGGTCAGGTCCGCAACATCGCTCCACCACCAACAATTTGGATGTCATCGGCCTTTCGACTCCAGTGGTCGGATCGATGCCATACTCAACGACCGCAGATGCAATTAACGGCGAAGCTATGACTGCTGACAGTGGATTGCCTTCTGCTGAAGTGTTGATGAACCTTGTAGAGTTGTTCTTTGCGCATGTATACCCCTGGGCACCTCTGTTCGAGAAGCTGACGTTCATGACGAACATGTGGCAAGAGGAGAGAAGGCCATTGCTGCACGGCATCGTAGTGTGTTCAATCCGCTTTTGGGAGCTGTTGGCGCCTTCGCGGGAGGCGATGCAGGGCTATCTGCAGCACTCGAGAGACAGACTCGTCTTACACTGCCTCGATAGCTGCTCTCTGATCACAACGCAAGCACTGGCATTGCTCGCGATCGATGCCTTAGCGGAAGGACCAAGTACCAGAATATGGATGATCAGATCGATGCTGAACGCTGCGTCTCAGCAGCTCGGGTTGGGCAGAGAGCAGTCTTCACGTACTCCAGAAGTCAATACACCGATGGTAGGGAACGAAGGCCTCGACAATACGCCCGAGACGTCCAACATCGCGATCGAGGAGCGGCGGCGACTCTTCTGGACAATGTTCAGCATCGATCATTTTGCAAGTGTCGCGCTGGGACAATCAAGCAGTATCCCTACTCGCACAATAAAGTTGCGCTATCCATGTTCAGAAACACAGTGGTATCAGCCATCTCCCGCGGAGTGGTTCCAAGCTGGGTCACCAGTCAGAAGCATTCCCTCGACACACGCTTGGTCGCATTATATCGACATTCTTACTCTCCTGGATCGCTCCAACCGACTGTTAGTGCATCCCTGTGATCTTTCGCATCCTGCAAAGCGACAAGAGTGGCAAAGTCACTTCCGGATGATGAGCGTGACGTTGACAACCTGGTTGGAGACGTGCGCAGACGAGTGTCGGAACCCGAATCAGCATGAGTTTGATCCGATGTGGACGATTGTCAGAGCTACATATGAACTGTGAGTCCTTCTTGTTAATGCCGTATGCGCTCATGCTTGCTGACGTTCTCGGAGGATCAATCTGCGGATGTACACAGTCGCTGCCTTTCCGCAGCCCCGATATGTCGATATGCTACCCTCAGATTCCGCCAAGAGACATTGCCGTAATGCTGCAAGACGAGTGGCATCGCTCTGCAGCCCTCTGACAGCAGCACATTTGAACAACCTTGGGCCGGTGTTTGCTTTCATTGCCTGGGTCGCAGCTCGTAGTCTGATCATTCTGTGGACGACAGGCTATGAGGGCAGTCAGCAAACGATGCCTGTCGATCTTGAGATGCTGCTGAATGTTTTGCGACAGATGGCGCCAATCTGGCCCTGTGCTGGACGCTATGTTGACATCATCCAGGTCGTCCTCGACTCATGGCAAGTTGACGGCAACAACAGTACCCTGCAGATCTTCAACGACACAAGGCGTACTTCCTATGGTCTGCTACTGCGCCTGGGTCCGTCAGCGAAATCTCAAACACTTCCTGATATGGGCTTGTCCGAGTTCTTCGATGTGGGGTTTCTTGAAGAAGGCAATCCTGCACCATTTGCCGGACCATTCGACTTTGGATACACATCTGATTGGCTGCTCTGATTATTCAAGCGTCGAACGTCAGATCCACCTGCTCTGGCACTCTGTTCCTCAGCTTGCCTGTCTCCAGTACCGAAAGAAGGTTCGAGATCGCCCATCCCTCCATTTGACCCCGAGTCTCCTGCGTATAAGTACCAACATGAGGCAACATGAGCACACGCTTATTAGCTACAAGCCGATCGTCGACCTCGGGCTCCTTCTCGAATACGTCGAGTCCAGCGGACCAGACTTTGCCACTTTCCAGGGCTGTGATGAGAGCCTCTTCGTCCATGACCTTACCGCGAGCTGTGTTGACAATTGTCACACCGGTTTTCATCTTCTCGAACTCTGCTGTGGAGATAATGTGAAATGTCCTGTCCTATCGAGTCTGCGTCAGCACAAGGACGAGTCTTGCGTACCGCTCGACCTACGTTCAGTGGCAAGCACAACACGATCACATCGCTTGTGGCGAGTAAATCATCAAAGCTGACGTATGTGATGTCTGCGTCAACACCAGAGGCGGGCGATCTGTTGTGGTAGATGATCTTCATGCCGATACTCTTACACCTGTGGGCAACGCCTTTGCCAACGCCACCCATACCAAGTATACCACATGTCCGGCCTGCGGGCTCCATACCCATTGGGCAGTCCTGGTCCCACTTGCCGGCTCGTAGCTGCAAGATGGCCGGATTGAAAAGCCGAAGTGCGCCCAGTACGAGGAACAGTGTGGTGTCGGCGGTAGCATTGTCGACGGCCGCTTTGACGTTCGCCACCTGGATATTGGCCTTGGTGCACGCCGCGACATCGATCGAGTCATAGCCGGCGCCTATCGGAGCTCGACGTTAGCGGAATTCCTCGCCCTCAATCAGAACCCACCTGTATAGCACACGAATCTCAGCGACGCCGGCAATGCTGCAACCATCTCTGCGTCAAATTTACCGGCTACCGTGACGGCCGCACGGTACAATGCCACGACACCGTCGAAACGTCCCGAGCGACATTCTTTAATGAACTCTTCTCGGGTACTGGCCTGCGGCTGAAGCACCTCCGCTCGATCTGCAATTGCCTCCCAAGGACCCGTCGCGCTATGCGTCGTCAGACATCACCGATGCTTGCGGATGGAGGCGACTCCAGCAGAAGTCTAAGCTCGACAGTCAAGTGGACTCACAAGAAGACCTTGCCTAGTAACAGTACCTTAGGTCGCGACATAATGCCTGCCGCTCCTAATGCTTATACGACCAACCTCGTTGTAAGAAGTCGTAGCAATTGCCGACAATGGGAATAAGTACCAATTGCGACGCCGGAGGTGCAAAAACGCAGTTGCTCTCTGTAAGCTACCTAGGTATCTTGTAACTATGCAGGTCGAGTACTTCTGTCTCCAGTCGTATTCCAGCCCAGCATGCCTACCTTAGAGCAGACCTGTATGCAAGCATTTACTTTCCGGAAGTATTAATTGTGTCTACTGCTTGAATCCTAGCAGTGACGTACACTCGCAAGTCGGCATGTCCTCCGAATTCGGAATTCGGCCGATGTAGATGTAGTCTCGGGCTATCAGGAATCCGAAGCATTGCATTGCCTTCCGGACCACATTCAAGTTGTTCGGTCAAGAAATGAAATGAGCGTTTTCTCCAGCTCTAACAGAGACACCACGGACTCCTGCAGCGCCCGCCCGGGGAAGAAAACTAATGATCAATTGTTTCGGCGACTTAGACATGAAGTGAGGCTCATCTCAAAATTGCTGCCTCAATCTGTAAGACCATTCTGGGTAACAGAGCCCGCCCTGACCTAAAGACTTGAATTCAACAGACAAGTATACGAAACGCTCAATATATGCCCGAACAGCCTGACATTCGAGGCGCAGCCAGCAATCAAGCTCTGGGTAAGGATAGAAGACTATATGCGGACGTTGAATAGTCATGCGACACTATGTCGTCCGATCAAGCTGAAATTGATGCGCGTAGGCTGGTCTGATGCCTCCAGTAAAAAGATCTTACGAGTCATGGATCTCTCTTCCATAGGAGGATTCCTTCTCATGACTGTACGCACTAGCATCTTCAGCGGGGAGTGCGAGCTTCTCAGCTGCTTGACAGTCTTCAGGCCAGTGCGGCAGTTGGGCGTAGAGCAAGATTAATGTCGTCCCATGAGGTCGGAAAGCCCAGCTGCCAGTCTTGGCTATGGGAGCGGAATTTTCCGTGACGCGTTGAACGCGTCTTTTTCTCCACTCGACTGATCTGGACTGTCACTGATCACGACTGAAATTATACAGCATCGTCTGCATAGCGGCAGACAGACTGGCTCGCACTCATGCTGAAGCCTTTCAAGCCGCTGACTATCCGCAAGGATGCGCAGAAAGGCACTGATGACCCTCAACCGCCCGCAGCCAAACGCCGCAAGGTGAGTGAAGATGTTGAAGATCGTGTCGAAAGCAAGACTCCCGCCTCAATACGTGCACCAGTCCCCACTCTCGCACATCCTCGACCGCCTCTGCAGACCGTTGCAAATCCACCGAGTCCACCAAGGGAGAAGCTCACAGCCTTTGCCAACTACTACTCAGTCCTTTGGCGTGTCCCTACGAACAAGAAGAACAAAACCTGGTCTGGAGATGGTACCTTGGTAGTTACAGCCGGTACAGCAACATTCTACGATGGCACGGGCAAGCAGATGGGTCGCAAGCCTTTCTCTGAACCGTTGCTGCCAGGGTCCGCGTTGTCTCTAGGCGGCAAAGAGCTGGAGGTGGAAAGCCTGCTTAGCAAGGAGGAATTCGTCAACATCATGAAGCCGAAAAGGCAAGCTAAGAGCATGCCATCGCCTGCGCAGCCTCCTGCGAAGAATACGCCTCCCAAGCCTTCTCTCAAGGATAAGTTGAAGACGGCCAAAGCTGAGAGCAAGCCAACGCCTGTGACAGTCAACAAAGCACTTCTTCAACCTTTCAAGGGCACCACTACGAAGATTCCGAACTTGGACAAACCTGTGCCCAGACACGACCCTAATGCTGCTGGTGCTGTCGTCTTCAAGCGTCCGAAGAAGGCGCCCGAGGGCAGACAGATAGTTGATGTGGTGCTGGATCCAATGTTGTCCAAGAAACTACGGCCGCATCAAAAAGACGGCGTCAAATTCATGTACGAATGTGTCATGGGTCTGCGAGAGCACGCGGGTGACGGCTGCATTCTAGCCGATGACATGGGTCTAGGCAAGACATTGCAGACTATCGCACTGCTATGGACGTTGATTATGCAGAACCCAGTCTACAAGGCACCTCCGGTCGTTAAGAAGGCTCTGATCGTCTGTCCGGTCGGATTGATCAAGAATTGGAAGAAAGAGTTCAATAAGTGGCTGCCCTCGCAGTATGTGGGCGTGCTCGAGCTCGAAGACGCCAAGCAGGTCAAGCACCTGGATGGGAAAGCCTTCAAGGTCATGATCATTGGCTATGAGCGCCTTCGAGCACTTGCTGACGACTTCGCTGAAGCTCATGATATCGACATTATCATTTGCGACGAAGGTCATCGTCTCAAGACAGTCAAGAACAAAGCGGCCAAGGCTATTGAATCGCTCAACACGTCTCGTCGAGTGATTTTGTCTGGTACGCCTGTTCAAAACAACCTCAACGAGTTCTACGCGATGGTCAACTTTGTGAATGACGGCTGTCTCGGTTCCAGCAAAGCATTTGCCAAGGATTTTGAGACACCAATCATGAAGAGTCGACAACCAGATGCGACAGAGGACGACATCGAACGTGGCGAGGAAGCAAGCGAAGAACTGTCCAGGACGACCGCGCCATTTATCTTACGAAGAACAGCCGACATCTTGGCCGGCTTCCTGCCGCTGAAGAATGAGTACGTGCTTTTCTGCAACCCGACACCTGAGCAAGCACTCGTGTACCAGAGTGTGGTCAGCTCAGCAATGTTTAGCTCCGCGCTGGGCAGTATGGACACTGCACTACAGCTCATCACAATACTGAAGAAATTGTGCAACAGCCCAGCCCTGATGAAGTCCACCACTAGCAGTGATGCCCCAACCTCGTCATCACTGGCTACTTTGAACGAGATGCTGCCTGCGAAGACGTCGAGATACTATCACAATAGGCTTTCTTCGAAGATCAGACTGCTAGATATTCTTTTGCAGGAGATCAAGAAGACAACTGACGAGAAAGTCGTCCTGGTCTCGAACTACACCTCGACTCTCAATCTTATGGCAGACTTTCTTGAGAACACTGGCTTGAAATATCTGCGACTCGATGGCTCTGTTCCAGCGAAGAAGCGACAAGGTCTTGTGGATCAATTCAATAGAGCAAAGTCAACACAGCTTTTCGCGTTCCTGCTAAGTGCGAAGGCTGGCGGTGTCGGCATCGACCTGACTGGTGCAAGTCGACTGGTTCTGTTCGATGTCGACTGGAATCCGGCGACAGACGAGCAGGCTATTGCCAGAATTCATCGACAGGGACAGAAACGTCCGACTTACATCTACCGCTTCCTCATCAAAGGTGGCCTCGAGGAGCGTATTTGGCAGAGGCAGGTGGTCAAGCTGAGTCTCGCAGACAGCATCGTCGACAGCGGGAATGGCAAACCAAAGAAGAAGGGAGCTCGTAGTAGCGGCGGTGGGAAAGCTACATTCAGTCTGGACGAACTCAAGGACCTTTTTCGATTCGATGCCAGTCCCAGCCTGCGCACTCATAATCTGATCAACTGTCCTTGCGGTGGGAATGGTGACGTGTCAATTCAATCCAGTCGAGCGCAAACACCAGACGAGACCGATGATGATGCTGACATCTCATCCTTCGTGCGCTCATCCCAGCTGTCCGAAGGCTACCCGGAGGACGAGAGCGGGATCACGTCGCCCGTGAAGCGAGCACGAAAGAAACGTCAGCTTGAGGATGCTGATGCCGAGGCAGAAGAGCTGATGAAGTACACTCATCTAGACACGAGAGATGTCTGCGAGCTGCCTGAGGACGACATGCGATTAATACAGGTAGAAGAGAAGATCAGTGATTCATGCTTAATGCATGTGCTTCGACAAGATCAAGATGTGGTCGGCGGAGGCGTTGCCTATGTGTTCAAGAAGACGAAGGGTGTTGAGAGGGTCACTGAGACCAGCGCTGTATCATCAGAATGATGGGACGAGTTACGGAATAGCATAAAGATATGTCCACAGATTAGTAGTCAAATATACCTTCTGTCTTATGCATCCCTACGTCAACCGCCGGCAGATCTCCGGGCGGAAGGTGACATCTTTACCCGTACACGACTCGGCCTGTCGCGACTGCTGCGGCAAAGCGACTTCCGACTATTTGCCCACAGTGACTACCGCTGACTTACATGGAGGCAACAACGACCACCCACTCTTCCTCCGCACGTGTTTCTACGTCATGACGAATGGCGACATTGCGTCGAAGCTCGACCTGACCGACGGAGCGCTACCCGCGGTACCTGGCATCGCAGCCCTCTTCCTGGTCAAGTTCGACCACCGCAAAGGCTATGTCCTAGCATGGCACAAAGCGCTCGATGGCGTCCAAGTTGAAGATGCCGTCGAGTTCAAGTCCCTTCCTTCTGGCCTACATAACATACAACAGGACCTAGTGTACTTTGTTCAAGATCAGTACGCTGGTATCAGCGCATACATCAACCGTCCAGATGAGACGTCGGAACGTAATGCCAGTATGCTGGCCGTCGGGGTACTGGTCCTTCTGGAGCACGGCCGCATTGGCAAGGGATGGCTTCACGCAGAGGGCCTCGAGTCGTTATCGAGACAGTGCATGGACAGTCCGAGCGACAATGGTCCGCTCGAGCAATACTGGGATGAGCACAGGTTGGACGACTCATACGAAGTGGACGTACACACTCCACGATCTCCTGAAGCATCGACAGATAGCCTCAATATCAGTAAGACTCGAGACAGCAACACAAATGGCTACCAAGGCCACCGATCTATGAGCACCACCTCTGTTGGGATCGTCGGCAGTCATGCCTTCACACCACATCATCCAGCAGCTCGCCTGATGGAAACGCTACAGCTGTTCGGACCACTGCTTTTCCCGCTGTATCGCGCTGCCTTGCTCCGGAAACGCATTCTATTGATCTCGGAAGCGCCGATTGAATTGGCTTGCAACATAGTCTACAATCTATCGATCCTTGCCTCGTTTCCTCGAAGTCTTTCAGATTACGTCAATGCTCCTAGATCGGCCAGACGGAGCTCTCAGCCATTGTTCAATGTTGGCGTGCACGATATTCCGAAACTTGCAGATATGAAGGGCTGGATAGCCTGCACGACAGACGACGTCTTGGCCAGCAAGCCAGAGTTGTTCGATGTCGTGGTGTTCCTGCCGGGTATGAATGCAAAACAGGCGTCCAGAAAGAAATATCCGAAAATACTACTCTCGAGCCCAGAACTGCTCAAGACTTTTCCCAAGCATGGAGCGAGAGGTACACAGCGGGATGCTATCAGGTACCAGACTTTGATGAGAAGGTTGAAGAAATTTCCTGCAAGCACAATCACAAATCCAGAACCGACCCAAATACCGATGCCACCGGAAGGACCGGCGGAAGATGCTGCATCAGTGCTGTCTTCATCGACGATCGAGTTACGGAAGGAAGTGGTTGAGTCGCCTTCGTGGGGACAAGTCGCATACACGAGTCTACTCTGGTGGGCAAGTGCTGGTGCAAGGAGAGATGGCTTGTCGGAAGAGGAGCAGGATGAGCAAGACCAAGACGAGCAGCTATTGGGCGCAGAGGGCGACGAGGATCTCACGAAAGAGGTTGCTATGATCGGCTACTTCAGACGACTCACGGGTGTCATGGTGTCGGTAGTCAGTCAGCTCGTGGGCAGGACAGATGATGATGAGGATGAGGACGATGAGCCGTTGGAAGATGGAAGTGATGATCAGCAGCCACTACGAGCCGAAGCTGATGATGACGAAGTTGTGGAAGTAACGCCCGAAGACATGTCGTCTATGGCACTGGATGTCTGGTCAGACTCTGACAAGACGTTTGTCGAGGAGTTCGTGCAGCTCTACTGGCAGAGAGAGGCCAAGGTCAGGGGAGGGCGAGTCGAGTGTTGCGGTGTGAGAATTTTGTAAGCGAACATGGTCGAAGGAAGTTCGAAGCCACCTGCGATCACGCACAGCTTGCAATTGATTAGAGGATCACACTTGCTCTCCAATCATAATGCCACTGACCATCGTGACTTAAGAACGATCTATAGCTCAAGTCATCCGGCGTAAGCTTAGTATACCTAGGTACGTTCGGACCAACGAATCTCCGGCCACCGACAAGAAATCTTGGCGATGACTTTCCGATCTTTTGCCAAGCAAAATTCTAGCCCACCAACTGCGACCATCGCAACTCAACCTCAACTCACGACCGACGACGACACTTACCTCTCACAACGCCAACAACCCCCTGGCTCGACTTCCACCACCTCATAGTCCTTACTACCGCGACCATGGAGAACGAGAAAGGCGAGATTGTTGATCTGTATGTCCAAACCCTGTCCCAAGTTCAGCCAACCACCAGCAGCAACAGCTCTTGAAGCCGGCTACGACTCTACAATGCCAGCATCTCCACAGTCGTCGCGTGCACTGGCATGTCTTCGTATTCGAGCCTCTCACTAACATTTCTCCGCACAGCTACGTCCCCCGCAAATGCAGCGCAACCAACCGCATCATCAAAGCCAAGGACCACGCTTCCGTCCAAATCAGCGTCGGCAAGGTTGACGAGAACGGCCGATACACGGGCGAGAACCAGGTGTATGCGCTGTGTGGATTTGTTCGATCAAGAGCCGAGAGTGATGACAGCTTGAACCGGTTGGCGCAGAAGGATGGGTTCTTGAAGGCTGTTTGGAGCGCTAGCGGGAACCGATAGACGAGGAAGCGATGAGGATAGACGGATGGCCGTAGTCGTGGGAGGTCACCACGCTGAAGATTGCGAGAGTACTGCGGAATCGACCCCCAATGAGCCTCGATTATACCTTGTAAAGGACTCCGTGCTACCGGACAGACCACGACAGCGCACCGTCGACTGATGTGCGATGTCCACAAGCAACTTCACACGCTGATGAATATGTGCGGGCTCATGGGTAGACAGCGATTTGTTCAGAGAGGAGCACCCCTTACCACGCAACGAACGATACTGGGAAAGATTATGATAGAGGACAATAGCTAAACTGGCTACGAGTCGCTATCCTCGGAGAATCAAAAACACAAATTCACATTTCGAATCAGACGGATCGCAGTCTTTTCTGGTCCGCAAGGGTCGTCTTCGGATTCGTTCCAGGTGTTGCCAATGCCCTTGCGTTCTCTCTTGCCCGCGTGCCAGGCCCATGCCCGCCCCAGGCCCAGTCTGGTGCATGATGCCTCCCTCTAGTGACTTCCGCTCTTCGCTGACCCAGCACGTGCGAAGTGCAACTCACTGTACCTGTTGACAACGTCATAGGGCTCCGCTATTCCAGATGAAGGAAGCTGGGCTGCCGTGTCGGGTTGCATTCTTTACCTCTGACTTGGCGGAGCCTTCTACGCGAGGGAATCCGAGGGCTGCGGTAGAGAATTTTATGGAGGGTGTTGAGGCGAGGGTCAGGTATGATCAATTCGGATCTTGAACATCGATGATGTGTGAAGGGCTTGTCTTTTCTATGTAGGCAGGCTCCGCTGCTATCGTCATCACACCTCCGGTTCCAAGGTTAGCAGCCCAGAAGAAGAGAGGTCCACGCGGCTGCCCTGCCCGCCTCCCGCAACGTCGACGCGCACGCTGGGTATGCATCTCATCCATTCCCTTAGCAGGAGTAAAATGTCCCGCCCGTATCTGTGCTCCGACCCGTCAATCTTTGTTATCGCAGCTCTTCAAAAGGCAAGTAGTTTCTGTTCTTCGGCATTTGTATGTATGTATGTTTTTGAGTTTGTCTACCTCTCCAATGGTAGATTTTGTACGTGATGTACTGTCATGGAGAGGCCTTGATGCGCCGATTGTGATATGATTCGTGTGCTGTTGATGACGAGCACGAGGAACTGGGAGATCTCGGAGGCAGTACAGAAGGTGCGAGGTATGAGGGAAGATGCGAGACAGGAGAGAAGCCACGAGATGGAACGGCAGGCGCGAAGCCGGAAGGATAGTGCAAGGAAGGAAGTGGGGAGGACCGGGACATGCTGAATGGGTATCACATTTCTATGTCGTCTTCGCTCTTCCGCTCTTCGCAATGTCGTCGAAATGCTTTTGGCTCTTACGTGCTGGATTGTCTTCAGCTCGTGCGGATGTCGTGGCCGTATCGAGCAGCCTGGAGGACGTACTTAGTCCTTGTCGAGTCGTACAGCAGGATTCTCCTCGATGAAGTTGAGGTTGACCTTGTGGCCGAGCAGTTCTCGGATGTTGTTCACGCCGTACCTACGCATGTCAGCTTCTGGGTGTGGTACGGGGTGCAGTACTCACTTGATCATGGTCGGTCTCTCCAGACTCAGGCCCCAACCATATATCCTCATGTCCTTCGGCAGTCCCATCGGCTCCAGCATTTCCGGTCTGAACATGCCGCTGTTGCCAATCTCGACCCACTTCTTCAATCCCTCGTGGTAGCTGAAGATCTCCATGGACGGCTCCGTGTACGGGTTGTACGCTGGCTTGAAGCGGAGGTTGGTGATGCCCATCTTGCCAAAGAAGACTTCCATGAAACCGATCAGACCGCCGAGCGTGAGGCCATAGTCTGCGATGACACCCTCGACTTGGTGGAACTCTGCTAGATGGGTTTGGTCGACGGTCTCGTTGCGGAAAACGCGGTCTATCGAGAAGTAGCGCGCTGGTCGTGGATTCTGGGCGAGCTTGTAGAGCATGTATGTGGAGATGGCGGTTGTGTGTGTCCGCAGGACGAGGCGTAATGATTCTTCGGGGTCCCATGTGTATCTATAGCCTATCGAGCCGAATTTGCCGTCCTGGTGTACGGCTGCGACGTCTTTCCAGTATTGCTCGTAGTTGAGGACGTTTTCTTTCGAGCTCTTTCGCTTGTGTTTGCGGGCGTCGGCGTCTTTGAGTCCTGTGTCTTCTCGTGGAGGGTCTGCTCGAGGTGGATCTGAGATGTAAAAGGTGTCTTGTAGATCGCGGGCGGGATGTTGTTGGGGAACGAAAAGAGCGTCGAAATTCCAGAAGCCGGTCTCTACGAAGCGGTTGGTGGGCATTTCCTCGAAGCCCATCTCGAAGAAGATGTCTCGGAACTCTGCTCGGACTTTGTTGAGTGGGTGAAGTGCTCCGGATGGTGTTGGTGCGCCTTTGGCTTTGAAATTGTATGGCTTTAACTTGACTGACTTCCATGCGCCTGTGGCCAGCATCTCGGCTGTGAGGTCTGTCTCTTCCTTGACGAACTCGGTTGAGAAGTTCTTGCCCTTAGCGATGCGGAAATCGAAGACTTTACGATCAGTGACATATTGTCGCTTCTTGAATTCCTTAAGTGCTGCGGCATCGCCTAGTGATTTTGTGGTTTTGACCTCTTGTAATTGTTTCTGCACTTTGTCGTCGATGTTCTTGGTCAGAGGCTTCAGACTATCGCCGTCTTTCTTGAGCCATTTGTTCTTGAAGCCGTCAGCTTGTCCGAACTTTGCGACTTGTGGTCCGACTTTCGAGGGAAGGTCCTTGATTTTGAGGCCGTCGAGTTGTGACACGAGCTGAAAGACTCTTGCGCCGAAGCTGCCATTCTCGGCAATGTCCTGACCCTCGTCCGTCAGGCCAATCTCTAGCCGGTCGAGTTGTTCCGCTGTGATGAATTCTCGTGATCGTAAACGGTCGACTGCGGATTTTATTGTGATGTAGGAAAGCTCGGGGAAGATCTCGGAGGTGAGGAGTGGTCCGTTGGCGGCGTCGAGCTTGCTGAGGACCTGATGGGGCAGGTCTTCCGCCATGATGGGTGCGCGCAGAGAAGTGCCATGGACATAGCGGTTGCGTCGTCTTCTCGAAAAGCGTCTGAGTCAAATTGCTGGCGAGTCGGAGAAGCAGCCTTGGCGTTACAAGGCAACCTGTACGCACCTTGACCCTCCTCATCCTCGCCCAGCCACGCATATTCCTCACCTATTGTGTTACCACGACGTAGAGATCGTTTTGCAGCGTACGAGCGGCCGTGGCTGAAGACTCACTCAACTTAAGAACATTCAAGCTGCTCAGGCCTTAGTTATTCCAGCTTGAGTTGTTCTTGCTCAAGCCACTCCTACTCAAGCTGTTTTTGCTTAAGCTGCTCCTGCTCAAGTTGTTCTTCATTAAGTTATACTCGGTCAAGCTACTCTTACTTAAATCGTTCCTACTCAAGTTATTCTTGCTTAAGCGACTCCTGCTCAAGTCGTTCTTGTTTGAGCCGGTCTTACTTGAGCCACTTCTACTCACGCGGTTCTTGTCCATGCTGTTCAGATCTAAGCTGTCACTAACTTTGTGGATCTTGGTCTCGGTTTTGCTCACGCTTGGCTCGGTACTGATCCTTTCTGGTTCTGTATCCTTGCGATCTTTTAATTCCATCCGTTCCTGTACCTTGGAAGAATGATATTTCATCGACATGGGCATTTTCTGGGTCTGCTAGTTTACCAAAGAAGGCTAGATAGACAGATCGACACACAAAACCCCGTAGCACCGCCGAATCCGCCCTGTTGGCATCTCTCAAGGCTGTGGATGGCAGTCTTGTCAGCTCCATAGTGGCCCGAGGCCTGCATGTAACTATGGAGGTGAATGATGGACTCGAGGAGACAGCCCAAGTCGAGCCTTGCGAGTCCCATCACGTCTGAAACTCTACCCGCCGCAGGGCCAAAGAAGAAAGCTAGCCATATAGAAGATGGGCACTCTCGTCGGATGTACGGTATTGACGCTGATTGGCGACGTTTAGCAAGGGTTTGCATCTCTGCCGAACCCGCCTCCTATAGTGGCCTCGAGATCAAACGTCCTGACTGAACATCGATTTTCCGCCTTGTACTTATCACATCTGACCTCGACCACTAGGCAGCGACGATGTGGGCGGATCACATTTTGGGTGGACGGTGATTTTGGAGCTGCCGCGGTGCCCTAGCACGCTGCTTACTACTGAACACGCCGGAAATGCGAGAAGCAGACGATGAATGTTACCGGGATCCGTTCATCTGTGAATGCGGAGATATATGCACGGCTGCGCGGCTTGATCAAGAGGAAGCTCGGGAACAGCCCGGGAGCAGGGTCATGTCCTTCAGTCATTGGCCAGTACTGAAACTGAGAGGTATGCTTCTCGGTGAACATCTCTATCACGGTTCCTAAGTAGTATGAACCACCCCCCCTGCCCCATGTTATAATGTCATGAGGCGCCCATTCGATACTGGGACGTCTTGTGCTCTTAGACTGGCGAAAGAGATCTACTTCTCATTTCAGACCTGTCCGCTTGGCGAGAAAAGGTACATCTTGGTTCTTCTATAGGCTGGCGAAACGCCATGGTCCTGTTCATCGAAACAACGGATGGAAGAGAATGGCCTTCGTATGCTCCAAATGACCTCATCACTGGAGTTGTGAGGCTTCACACCGATAAAGATCTCAGCCCATGCGAGTCGCTCTACATCACTCTGCAAGGGCAAGCTCGGGCGTCTCTGACACAGCCAGACGACGGCTTCGTTCGCCATAATATTGCTGGAGACCAATCGTCTCGGGCTCCTTTGATCAGAAAGTCTGTCCTTCTGGCCCACAGCACAGAATTGAAATCTCCCGGTAATCACTGCTGGCCTTTCTGCTTCAGGCTTCCCTCACACACCGACAGCAGCATTGACTACGATGGTGCTAATCGCAATGGTAGCTTCGAATGCTTGTCCCCTTGGAGGGGGTCTATCGACGCAGGGTATCAACCTCTCCCGCCTACAATGGTCTACTTCGACCACACTGGCTTCAATTGTGCCGTCGAGTATACACTTGTTGCGAGACTAATTCGTCCACCGTTTACACTGCTGTCTTCACACATTAATATGAGCACGACTAAAACTCTCACAATACACTCAGCACCTGCTTCACCAGGGACTCACATAAGCGATGCCATGCAGACGGTCAGTTGGGATGCTGTCCTGACCAAAGGCAATCAGATATGGACCAAAATTCGGCGTCATAGTTCCTCACAAGGCCACCCATCTCTTGAGCCCCAGACAGGCCAACTCCGTCTTGAACTCGTCTTCCCTACCATCATTCACTTGTGGAAGACCGCACCAATCCCCATTGTGTTCAAGGTCAACTCTGCGGACGGCACCCATCTTGATCTAGATCAATTACTGATCAAAAAAATCTCGATTCACCTCGTTGTCTGCACGATGGCTCGCGCAGGTCTGCGACAACAGACCCGGACCACTATGATACCGCTCTACGAAGACAGCTTCACCATTCCTTTGACGCACGACAGACCCGAGAAGGATCACCACGGTGTGACCAGCCCCCAAGATGGCGCTTCAGCTGAATCAATAGCAGGCTGCAATCTCAACACTGACGCAACGCAGACCGGTACAATACTACGCCAGGCTCTGCGTAAGCATGGCATCGTGCCCGAGTTCTCCACCTACAACATCTTCCGTGCCTACAGCCTCCAGCTTTCCGTGCGTCTACGTGCGGCCGGCCAGAAGTTCACTTTTCGTCGCAAGGAGGTTCCGATTTCGATACCGATGAAGGCTTCTTTAGAGAATGCATTCCAACTGCCGCCTCCATATGACGCTCCTATGGATGCAGCATGGGCGGCCGACGGTCCTAGAAACCAGGTAGATGTAGCAGATGAGCAGGTTGTCTGCCTCGAGGGGCAGCCCCCGGTCGGCGTGGACCAGCTGCCACCTTACACCCGACGCAGAGGGCCGATATCTGCATGAGGAATGTTTGTCTTCCAGCTGATCTTGCGACGTAGCCATCTCACGAGATATTGTAGCGTTTCGTAGCGAATTTGAGACTCTGATCGAGATGCGTTCATTGCTCGAAAACACTTCGCGGACAGTCGTCTGCCCGACCAACTTATACCAAATTCTTTTGCACGCCGAGAATCATATCTGCTATACAACTCCAAAATCACACCCAAGAGTACTTCCAACCGGACCAAGCGCCGACCCCACTCCGACCAAGCATACCACCTCAATAAGGATCCCTGTTCTTATAAGGAACACGATGCCATGCACCAGTCAGATTCCCCCTGAAATTGTAGTACGGCTCGTGGCCCCCCGGCTGCGTATTGTAACCCTCATCCACAGCCTTGACGACAAAATTTGCACCCGCCAGCCGCCTGGGCACCACGAGCTTCCACTGCGTCCAAGCCCACCGCTTGCGGCCCGCGGCCTCGTCCTCCAGCAGCTCCGCCTGCGTCCACGACCGCCCGTCATCCGGACTGACGTCGACGCGCACAATTCGCCTTCCGCCGCCAGCAAAGGCATACCCTTTCACCTCGATCGAATCCTCCTCGAGGCCGTAGACCTGTAGTAGGCGCTCGCCCTTAGGCAAGTCCTTTACGGACGTGATGGCGCTCTGCACGGGCGTCTCCTGGATAGCAGGCGCGGCCGCCCAATCCACATCCGACCCGCTCTGGTTGGGTCCAAAGCACTTGTAGTCGCGCTGCTGCCACTGCGACTGGCTCTCCTCCTCAGCCAGCGAGATGCGCTTCAGCCACTTGACGCTGCGGGCCGCGACGTGGCCGGGCACGAGGACCCTCAGTGGAAACCCATGGTCCTGCGGGAGCGGCTGCCCATTCATCTCGTGCACCAGCAGGACGTCACCGTATTGGCTCAGCGCCTTCTCCAGCGGGATCGACGCCCCGTACGCCTCCGCGCCTTGGAACTGGACGTGCTTGATCTCGGCGTTGTCCTCCGCCGTGCCGTCGAAGCCCGCGTGCGCGAGAATGTCCCGGAGCCGCACGCCGCGGAAGCTGGCGTTGCTTATCGCGCCGATGCCCCACTGCAGGCCGTTGGCGTAGCGGGAGCCTTCGGTCATGTGCTTTCTTCTGTTGCCGGAGCATTGAAGGGTGGCCGTGACGTCGACTTGAGGGAATTTCTTGAGTTCCTCGAGGCTATAGGCGACCTCCTCCCCGTCCGGCAGCTCGATGGTCAGACGATACGATTCTGGATCGAGCTTCGGAGCCCAGAGGTGGTTTCGCACGTAGAATTGCTCCGATGGTGTGATAAACTTGTCGAGAACCTCAACAGGCGATTCGGCATTGCAGGGCCGCTCAGTGTGGACTTTTAAAGTGCTGTGCCGCAGGGGGTCATCCTCGAAGGGATCCTCGATGCCGTCCTGCGGGACGCGACCGTCCACCAGATCCCGAGGGTCGACGTCCCCAATGTAGTACTGCTCCAGTATGTCGTAGACTTCTTGCTTTTTGTGAATGCTGAAGATCTCCCAGTACGTGTCGATGACGCCACCGACCGCGCGCAGAATGACCTCGCCTCCAGGGTGGTTGGGGATCCATTCGGTGATATCGTACACCTTGTTGCCGCGCACAACCCAGCGCTTCTCTGACCGGCGGCCGTGTTTGCGGACTTCGGATAGGCGGATTTTTCGCGGTTTGTCCTCCGTCGGAGCTTCAGCCCAGGCGGGGCTGATCCCACAATAGAACCACCATGGTACAGTCGCGACGGCGATTGCAGCTCCGGCTGCAAAGGACCCAAGATGATTCTGATGCGGTGGGTATTGGCTCCACTGCGTGGATCGAAGAGCAGGCTCTCTTTTCGAGGCTGCTGCTGTGCTCGCCCGTGCAACTCGAGCTCTGCTGGACGCTGCAGATATCTGCCTTATGAGACGGTTCATTGTTGCAGGGGGGGAGACAGAGGGGAGGAGGGAGAGAGCATCGCATCGCGCGACGCGCCAAGAATACCCGAGGTTGGGATGATGCTCTAAACCTGGAATATTTACTGCGTGGCTGCTCCACCCTGGGACCCCTTCCAATTGTCCCTCGTCCCGCACAGCCGATCCCCCCAAACCCCCTAGGCGTCATCGTCCGGGTGGATCTGTTCTGTTATTGGCTGGATATTCTCAAATTCCCCTTTCAGAGGTATAACCCACCCTTCCCGAGCTCGCCGAAGAGGTTTCCCGTACTGGAGTCAGTGGAGCCTGAAAGCCTTGATGTGCTGCTGGGGGCCGATACTTTTGAGCAGTCTTGCCACAGCTCAGGGCCAGCAATGGGAAACAACATCTAAGATCTAGGCGAGCTGATGTGCAATCAAACCAATCTTGTGCTGCCGTCACAAGATTCGACACCGCGGACCGAAAGCAGGATCGCCACGTACTTGAGTGCGCAGCTCGCCCCAGATGCTTTCCTGGAGGTGGAATTAATGCTCTTAGCATTTGCAGCCGGCATCAACGACGCGACTACGTTCCCAGACTAGATATCGTGTCTTCGCATCGAAACAGACGGGCAATACAGCTTTGCTCGCTGTTGAGCATCGGGTCTCGCCCAGGACACAGTAGACTTGGGAGATGTTGACTTATCCCTCGGCTTATCCGTCGGAGGTGGCACTCTGCTGGGACAACTCGGTCATCGAAGACGTCGAACCAAGAGATCATGGCTGCTATGCACCAATATAGTGCAGACCTTGTTCGTGGCTGCTGCAGCAGCGCTCAGACACTGGGTGTCCACCGACATCGACAATTTCGCGCGATTCGCTGTCATTTGCTTGCAGGCATTCGCTTCCGGGAGACAAGTTGCTATGGCACGTACAGTGGATGTGCCTGAATTCATCACGAAGATGGTGACATCGGCGTACATCGACCTGGTAACAGATCGCGCCCTACTTGCAGCCCTCTACTGTCCTCGCAATCGCAGAGGAGTATTTGTGCTGGCCCTACTGCTGGGAAGCTTTGTTGGGGCTGCAGCATATCGAGAAGTAGTCCAGCGTTCGCTCTGCTGTTGGCTGGGTTGTTGAAGCTGGGGCTATGCATTTCTCTGTTGTTCGACCGCACGTCACTCCACAACTCGCACCGGCATTCGGATCGGTGCAGCCTCATAAGGATATTGCACCAATTTAATGCTATGAATGACGTGCAACTAGAAGTCTCCGAAGGAGTGTGCTATTCAGACGACGAATGTCATCGTGGCAGTCGCACCTCATAGTGTACCATGTGTGAATCCCGGAAGTGTGTCGTAAACTCAGAATAACGCAAAAGTGCCTCGCCGCAGGGTATTCATGACCCTATGTCGTAGACGCCCATCATCTCGCATAATATGAGTTCATGACGAATCACGCACAATTCGCTCTGCGAACCAGACCGTCTCACCTTCCCTTTTGATCGCACATGGACTTGTGGTACACCGCACAAATCTCTCGCACTATCGAGGAGTAGTCCATCTAACTCCAATTGCGGTAGAGAAGGAAGATATAAGATGGGATACGCCACGTCGCCGTACAGAATTATTGACTGCAAGAGCCAACAGTAACAAACTCGACTACACAAGGTCAGGCTTCCAACTTCTCTGTGACGAAACCACTGTGGCAACTCAACCATGTCAACTTATCACGAGCCGCTGGCGCTCGTGATTATCTCATCGATCTCCCTTGGCTTCGCTGCGATCGTGGCCCTGTGGATCGCAGGCGACATCGTCCTCCGTCGAGGTTGGAGATCAATGATGGCAGTGATGATCCCGGTCTACATAATCAACGCGCTGTACTTATGGCCCATTACGCTATGGACGTATCTTAAATACGGCCGACCAGCAGCTCCCGAAGGACAATCTACAGCGAAAGCCACTGCCGCAGGTGAAGCGGAAGAAGGGAGCGCTGACTCACCAGACGATTCCCACAGTCATTTGAGAACCGAGAATGGTATGACCCAACATCAACATGATCACCATCGCCACCATCACCACCACGACGCCCACGCTGCACAGCGACCCATGTTCGCCAGCGCCACCATCGCCGTCTGCCACTGCGGCGCAGGCTGTGTCCTGGGCGACATTGTGGGCGAATGGCTCGTATGGGGCACTGGCGCCACTCTAGGCTTACCACCACGCGCCCTCTGGGCCGAGTTCCTCGTTGACTTCGGATTCGCGTTCGCGTTCGGCATCGTCTTCCAGTACTTCTCTATCGCGCCCATGGAGGGCAAGTACGGTCCGCAAATCATCTACCGCGCCTTGAAAGCTGATGCGCTTTCGCTCCTGTTCTTCGAGATCGGTCTGTTTGGCTGGATGGCCATTTTCCAGGTCGCTATCTTCAACTGGAATTTGCCCATGAACACGGTGACTTACTGGTGGATGATGCAGATCGGAATGTTTCTGGGCCACTGGACGGGTGTTCCGATCAATTGGTGGCTCATCAAGACGGGGGTGAAGGTGCCGTGCGCCTAAATGGCAATTCAGCCGGTTAAGCGTGATTGTTGACCATGTGAGGAGCTGCAATGACGGGTTGCTGAAGGATTAGCGAGGCTGTTGGATGTGAGCTTTGTTCTACTTGACTTAGATATTCTTTGCCGGGGAAGGTAGCAGGTGGTGTACGCCGTATGCGATGTGTAGAATGGGCTGTTAAGCTTCGAGCTTTATGCCTAATATTGACATGTCGAGAGCTTTCCAACTCCATGTTTTCCATTACCTCTATGCCCTCGCGTCTGCGCATAGTCCCTTAGAGTTGTGTGGCCCGAGATAGCATGGATAAGCTGGAATGCACAGCTCTTGGAACGCCGGTTCCGTCGGTTGTGCCGAAGCAACAAGAGAAGGAAAGTCTTCAGAGCACCAACAGACTGTTTGTGAATCGTCAAGGCTGCCAGTGCGGTCATCACGGCAAGGGCTAGTCTTGATCATCGGCTAGAGAGTTGTCCCGGTAGCGAAGCTTCTCTGGACGAGAATCGGAAACGTCGTTATCACTTAGATTGTATCTTCAACCGTCATCCACCTCACAAACCGACACAGATGGAGAAAGATCCTGCCCGGCGGTTACTTTTGGCGACTCGGCGCATATTCAGCCATTCGAGAATGAGCCAGCACGCCATAGTAAAGACACAGCGTCCGGCGACTGATCTTCAGCATCTGTTTCAACCATCATAGGTGCGGCTGGGGTGCCGGCAGGCTGCCTGGCTGCAGTCCTTGGGTCTATAGATACCGGATCGACACTCGCTGTTCCCGTAGGCGTCCCACCCGTGGATAAAGATGGCTTGACGACCGTAGGCGATGCGTGACGGTTTCGAGTGGCGACGAGAAAGCTCTCTGTCTGAGTATGGACGTATACGTGGCCTACAGCCTTGCGCAAGTTGGGATGCGACTCGGACATCAACTGGATGTGTTTAGCGCTCAGTGCGTTGAGATGAATGGCTTGGATGGCTGGGAAGGCGTGTGAAGGCATGCTGCCTGTGTGGTCGATGACTATCAAATGACTTCAGGTATCTGGTTGGGCGAGTGCACTGACGGACCACCAGAATGGCTTGTGATTCCTAGTCACTGAGATATAATTCCCATACTCCAGTATGTACAATGGTATTTCTAGCCAACTAGCACACGCAATGCCTCCTTCTCGTCACGCGTCACGCCTCGAGAGATGTGACCGACCTCCCGTAGGTTCTTTGGTTTCCAGTCACCCATGCTGCACCAAAGAAGACACCGCGGACGTGACGAAGCGTACGGATCCTCGCTTGGAATGAGGCACCATTACATCACCTGCTGAAACCGCGAAACGGACCGACTTGCGCACGGACGCTGTCTCGGGATCCCCGCAAAGTCCGGCGATCCCCTGGGCTCCACCGCACGGAAGCACGGGACTGACGACGGAGGCATGCTTGTACGGCGTAAGCGGGTGGAGCAGGAGTACGAGACAAGACGGCGAGTGATTGGCTGCCCAGCTGGCGAGTGACAGCAACCAGCTCTAATGCAACGATCACTCTTTCATCCGTGAGATGTACCAAACTTCACGAGTTTCAGCAGCAAAGCATGACTGCCCCAGACGATGAGCAGCGTCGGGCCAGACAACAAGAAGGAAGAAACAACAGGCGGCCCAGCCGTGGATGGTCGCAGCAGCAGGAGGAGGAAGAGGACGAGGAGAATGGGCTCACTGAACTGGCAGCGCCTGCCCCAGCCTCGCCAGAGCAGCATGTGGACGATTTGAGCCGGGAACAGTCAAGAGCAGCAGAGGAACAGCGCTCCGTGTCCGAAGGCGATGAGGCCGGGCTTACAGAGGTCGCTGCCCCAGTTCCAGTTGCTGAACGGGAGAGCGGAGACGCGCTAGAAGACGAAGAAGAGACAGTAGCAAAGGCAGTGTCTGACGGCGGCAGCACATACGATTACGTGGATGCTGGAACAGCTTCTGGTGCCGCTCCTGAAAAGGCACGTGGCAGTCAAGAGTCTGCGCCCGCCGAAGGATCGGGCGAGGAAGAGAAGGTCACCGGCTCGGCACAAGCGAGTAAAGCAGCGACAGCTTGGAACGAGGCCGTCATCGTATCATGCTTATCTTCTTCTCGCTCTTGGGCACGCTCGCTAGGCTGGGTGTGGAGGCGCTGACAACATACCCATCCACCCCTTTCGCGTCGACCGTCCTTTGGGCGAACTTGGGAGGTTCGCTCTGCCTGGCTTCCTCCTCGAGGATCGCCGGCTCTTTCGCAAGACAGTCCCGGCACATCTGATCACCGACAACAAGGAAGCGATGCACGGACACATTGCGCGTCATCAGAAGACACTGCCTCTCTATATTGGTCTCGCAACTGGGTTCTGCGGCAGCTTCACCAGTTTCTCCACCTTCATCACCGACGCCTTCCTCGCCCTCGCCAACCGCTTGGCTTCCGCATCCCCAACATCTCCCTACCACACCATTCCTGCGACATCGATCTCTGCGCGCAACGGAGGCTATAGTTTCCTGGCCGTCGTTGGCGTCTTCATCGTTCACCCCGCTGTCTCCATCAGCGCCCTCAAGACGGGTGCGCATCTCGCCTTGGCCACAGAGCGGGTGATGCCCGGCATCTCCCAAAGGTTGTTCTCCCGCTGGCTTGACTGCATGGTGCTAGCTCTGGGCCTCGGGTGCTGGATCGGCGCTGTCCTCTTGTCAATCTTCCCGCCCGGCCCTGCTTCGGCCTGGCGGTCGCGGGCCACGCTGCCGCTCGTCTTCTCGCCTCCGGGCGCACTGCTGCGCTTCTACCTGTCCATGCACTTGAACTCGCGTGTGCCTTCTTTTCCGTTGGGGACCTTCGCGGCCAACATCATTGGGACTGTGGTTGAAGCCGTGTGCTATGTCCTTCAGCACACAGATAGGTTTGTTGTCAAGAACGACCTGGTCGAAGCGAGCACTTGTACAGTGCTTCAGGGGTTGATGCAGGGGTTTTGTGGCTGTCTCACAACGGTGAGTACCTGGGTGGCGGAATTAAATGGGCTCAGAAGGAGGCATGCGTGGCTATACGGGCTCATGAGTGTGGCAGTGGCGTTGGGGTTCCAGGTCGCCATCATGGGCAGTGTGCTCTGGACCCGAGGATTTGTTGACAGCTGTGAAGCATTTGCATGAAGACTTTAGCTATAAAAATGCTCTCGTGCGGTCTGTAACATGTTCGTAACACAGAGGCTTCCTACAGAATAGCCCAGGGTTTGAGACCCAGACATGACGTCGGTGTGCAAAAGCAAAAGTACTTCTCAAAGAGAGGGCGCCGTTGATAACAAATCCGTTCCTGGTACTGAGTACCTAGTATGTCATTGTGTATGAACATCATAATGACGGATGCAACTTTGTCGGAATGAACTGATGGGGATTGCCCGTATTGAGTGCTGGTTCGGATCATGGTTGATTTGCTGCGGAGTCCAGGAGAAGGACCGAATCCCACTCAACGAGTTCATCGAAATTGAATGTGTTTGTCTCCGGCAGTGCTTCCGAGTCAAATGGTACATCTGCGACCGCTGAGCGCCCTGGCTGCGTTGCGGGATACGAGTTGCTAAAATCGGAGCACTGGCCGAGTGGCTCGTTGTCTTGAAGCTGGTCCCAGAGTCCGAGCCACGCAGGGCCGGAAATCTGGTCGAGCGCCGCCGGGGCCAAGACAACGGGTTGAGTGGTGGCATTGGTCGTCGTCGAGCTGAGTGGGAGATTCTTCAGTGACAAACCCATGTTGCTAAGCAATTCACGCAATCTCGCGACCTCAATTTCATCCTTGCCGTGAAGAATTTCCGAGATGATCTGCAGGAGGCGGTCACGCTGAGACTCGACGAGATGGTACTGTCGCGCTTCTACCGGACCTTGCTCTACCTCCGAGTTCAAGGTCGTGATGCAGACCACGCCATCTAACTCGCATCGTTTGCACAATTTGCCCCCACTGCATTTCACCTTTTTCAGTCGACATCGATCACAAGCCTTCGGAATACGTCGTGGATAGTATCCGCTGGCCACATCTTGGGTTGATGGCGGCTCCGGCTGATAGTGTTGGTGCCTTCGCTTCTTCGATGGGCCGTGCTCGTGCCCGGTCTCGCTCGCGTAGACAAGGTGTTCTTTTTGAGGCGTAATGAAGAACATTATTGCTTTCAAGATCGGTGGTAGTTAGCTCATAGCTTTGATACACTGGATTCTTATCGTAAACTGCCCAAACTTGCGCCAAGAGTGACGGAATGCGGAAATCACGCAGAAAGGACTCGTATGACGTACCGCGTGAGGCACGACAGGTCATGAGATGCCAAGAGGGGAACATTCTAGGCCTGACGATCCTACCTTAGCCAGCCTTTGAGGTCTCTCAGACTAGTACACAAGGAGGTTTGGGGAAGCCCTACCCCTATCAGTCCCCCCATTTGCTTTCTGTCATGTGAACCCTCCTATATCTAGCAATGCCTGAGACTACTTGGACGACACTGGTCCAGAACAAACGTGAGTCATTGAGCTCACTGATACCTAGTGAGTGGCGACTTCATTCGCTGCCATCGACCGTCGAGTGTCCTAATGCATGGGACTGGGTTCGTGCTACATTGACGGCGGAAGAGATCGAAATCACCGAGCTTGCCCCCACAAGCCTGCTTGCCAACATCCATGCTCAAGCCTGGTCTGCAGAAGATGTCGTCCGCGCATTCTGTCATCGCGCGGCGATTGTGCATCAGCTCACAAACTGCCTCGCCGAGATAATGTTCGACGAGGCCATCGCGGCCGCTCGGTCTCTCGATCAACACTACCAACTGCATGGGACACTACGCGGTCCGCTTCACGGGTTACCGATAAGCTTCATGGACCGTTATCGCGTCGCTGGGTATGAAACGTCGGCCGGGTTCGTTGCCTGGCTCGGGCTCAAAGAAACGCTGCAATCTGAGGCTCTGATCGTCCGCCATATGCGCCAACTTGGAGCTGTGCCCTTCTGCAAGACTAATTGTCCACAAAGCATGCTCATCGCCGCCACCGACAACAATGTAACAGGCCCCACTCTGAATCCATTCTGTCGCGCACTCTCTGCTGGAGGTGCTGCTGGAGGTGAAGGCGCCCTGCAGGCAATGCGTGGCTCTCCCGTTGGATGGGTGACAGAAATTGCAGGCTCAGCACGAATCCCCGGAGCCTTTGGCCATGTCTTTGCGCTTCGCGTTTGCCAGGGCCGCCTCTCAAATGCTGGCATTGCCTCGGCTAGCGAAGGATTTCCCGAGCATGCCTTTACGCCTGCACTCATGTCCTGGGATCTTCCCATGCTTCAGCATATGTCGCGCTTGACCCTAGGCGCACAAATCTACCAAGGAGATCCATACTGTCTAGATCTCCCATGGCGAGAACCCAAGTGGATGCGACTCCAGCGTGCCCGACCACGGTTCGCCATTCTGCATCACGACCATCGCGTCCGTCCTCAGCCTCCTGTTCAGAGAGCCCTAAATCTCGTGCATGCGGCATTGCAGGCACAGCAATTCGATGTTGTCACTTGGTCGCCCCCACAACACGCGGCAGCCGTCCAGACACACTTTCGGCTACTGGGAGCTGATGGCGGTTCGACTATCCGTAGTCTTATGAATAAGACGGGCGAACCTCCCGTCCGGGGTCTGCAGCCATGGTACCAGGAGTCCACCTCAAGTGGTAAACTCTTGGCGGAGCAACTATGGTCGTGGTCTAGAGAGAGAGCTGAGTACCGAAAGTCATACGCCACATACTGGAATCAATGCAATGCAACGGATGCAACGCTAGCCAGAGTTGAAGGAGTTATCATGCCAGTTTTGGCGAATGCCGCCGCCTATGAGCACGATCTCTCTTACTTTGGTATGCTCCCCATGTCAGCAATCGAATTGCCTAACAGTAACAGGCTATAGCGCGATTGTCAACTACCTCGACTTCACCGCCATTTCCTTTCCCGTGACCAGTCAATGAGTCACTCGATGCCAAACAATTTGACCGGAACCCAAAAAATGCCGACGACGCCAAAGTGCTTGCAGATTGTGAGAATTGACACATTCACATGTTTGTACGTAATTACTGACGTTCTTCCAGATGATCCTCGCGCATTCCATGGTCATCCTGTAGGCCTCCAGGTCATGTGCCGTCGACTCGAAGAGGAGAAGTGCCTAAAACTCGCCGAGATCATCACAAATGCTATTCAGCAGCACAACCTCCAAAGCCGCCGTTCAGAAGCAAGCAATCCAGTATTTGAGGGCCTAGCCACCTTCTAGAGACTCTGCCACGCGAGCCGAAACGCATCTCCAGCATATCTAACCCGGCTATCTTCAGCTCTCAAGTCGTCCTCAATGTCCATCAGCCGGTTGTACTTAGCCACACGCTCACCCCTGCAAGGGCTTCCGCTCTTGAGATGGCCGGTCCCTAGACCGACGCAGAGATCGGCAATGAAATCATCCGTCGTTTCACCACTGCGATGACTAACGAAGACAGCCCAGCCGAGGGCATATGCTCGCTTGGCCGCTTCGATGGCTTCTGAGATGGTCCCAATCTGGTTGATTTTCAAAAGGAGACTGTTGCATGCCTTCTTCTGGTCTGCCTCGTTGACACGTCCGATATTGGTTGCTAGCAAATCATCTCCAACCAACTCAACCGGACAGTTCTTGTTGAACTCTGTCCAAGCAGCCCAGTCGTCCTGAGCGAAGGGATCCTCCAGGAGCACAATTGGATATTTGTCCAGAAGCTTGTGGTACAGCTCCATCATATCTTGTCGAGACAAATTGTGAGGTTTGGCCCATTTCATACCCAGGTTGTAGGTCATAGATTCCGCGTCAAAGAACTCGGTGCTCGCTGGATCGATCCCGATCTTGACCCGGCCCTTGTGGCCAGCAGCTTCGATGGCGTCGCTCAGAAGATCTAGGGCTTCGTGTGGTAGAGAGATTGGTGGTGCAAAGCCACCCTCATCGCCGATACCTGCTGCTGAGCGCCCGAAACGTTTGATCAGGATGGCCTTCAGGTGTGCGTACACTTCAGCACCAATCTGTACGGCATGACTAAAGGATTGGGCAGCTACTGGCGCAATCATCATTTCTTGGAATGCCATAGGGTTGCCCGAATGAACACCGCCGTTCAAGACGTTGAAGAACGGAACTGGCATCACGAATTCTTCAGTGTCTCGGCCCGCTATGATTGCAATGTGTCGGTACAGTGGCAGTCCCTGTTGGAGGATCAGCCCAACTTTCCCTCCTATGTCCCTCTGTGAGGGGTATGGGGTGAACATACCTTTGCCGCCGCGCCCGCCCTTGCAACCGCCATGCTAACACCGAGAATCGCGTTGGCACCTAGGCGCCCTTTATCTTCTGTGCCATCTAGCTCGCGCATTAGACTATCGATCTCAGCCTGCTGTGTTGCCACGTCGAATCCCTTGGCAACGAGCTCTGGCCCAAGGACGTTCCGAACATTGTCTACCGCGCGATGGACGCTGTTGCCATCGTACATGGTTTCATCGCCGTCGCGCAGTTCAATCGCCTCGTAATCGCCTTTGGAGGCACCGGAGGGCACTATGGCGGTGAATCGCCCATCCTGGGTTGTCAGGACAACTTGGGCAGTGGGCTTTCCGCGGGAGTCGAGCCGCTGCGCGGCGGTTATGGCGGTGATCCGGGGAGGCATAGGATTATGTCTTTCACGGCTTGTGGGTGTGGAAGGTGAGACCTGATTGCGCTTGCGCGATGGGACGTTCTTATGTCATGACAGTGGAAGTGCTGGAACTGCATGGCGATTGCTCTACGTCAATAATTAAGATGCTGAGCGATGCTGTCACCGTATCAGAGCGAGGTCGGGGCAATTCGTCACGCACGAGAAGTTTGCTTGACTGCTTTAAGGAAGTAATTGGTTGTTTGAACATCTGGTGTCGCCGCTTGCAGTGGCTGCATGAAAAATCAGGTACAAATGACGATCAGGTTTGGCCCTCCGTACTTCCGCAGAACTTTCAGGCTCCGCCGGGCTTCGTATGGGCCGAAGGCGATGACCGTATATCCGTAGCTCGGAGTCTTTTCCAAGGATGATCAACACTCGCGGTCGCTTCATGTCTGCGATGCCCATTCGTGCCAAGCTAAGTGGTCGGATTAGGTGGCCCGTAGGCATTACCGATTTCACCCTACGTCGCACGATTCAGGTCCCTCCCACTGGTGACCAACCTCGGGATCTCATGTAACTTCTGCACAGCGGAGTTTCTCTACGAGATTCTTCGATGACAGTGTTCATGGGGCTCTTTCCTGCAGTCGCTGTGAAACTAGAGGCAGCCCAGTCTTGCTGACCCACCTTGATTGCCGAACTCACTCTCGAAGCCCCGCATGCTAAGTGGAATGGGGAGACAGCTCAGAAACAGTTCATTTTGCTACCTATGCAAGCAACATCTCGTCTTCTACGAGCTCAGAGCTGGGAATGGTCGCACAAAATGTGCCGGGCAATGGTAACCGAAGGGCTCCTTCTCCAGGTACTGCTGGTGGTAGTCCTCCGCATCCCACCACTGTGTGGCAGGAGCGATCTGTGTTGTGATCTTCTTGCCCTTGTACCATTCCTTCGATGCCTTCTCTGCAATTTCATGGGAAATCTTGGCCTGTTCTTCATTCTCGGTGAAAATGGCTGACCGATATTGGGTGCCAGTGTCCGCGCCTTGTCTGTTCAAGGTCGTTGGGTCGTGCATCTTGAAGAAGTATTCCACAAGCTGGCTGTATTTGACCTTCTCGGGATCGAAGATGAGTAGAAGTGACTCTGCGTGTCCGCTCGAGCCTGAGCAGACTTCTCGATATGAGGGCGCCTCTGATTTGCCACCTGTATAGCCGACTCGACAGTCGAGGAGGCCCTTTCCGTTGCCCCAGTCCTTGCGATATAGTTCTTCAAGACCCCAGAAACACCCTCCAGCGAATATTGCTCTTTGTGAGTTGGGAGGCCATTGCATTCCAGCCATGGCGTCTGGCTGTAGAGGACGTGACATTGATGTTGTGAATGGGCGTATGAGTCTGTTGAGGAAGCCCGGCATTTGGAAGGCCATGACGAGAATCAGTAGGATTGCGATGGATATATAGTTGCGAGGCTCCAGCTTTGACAGTGCTGTGTTGTATTTATCAGAGAAATGTTTGTGGCGATGAATGTTGTAGAATGGCAGCCATTCCAAATGTTGCAGCTTTCTACCTCGTCCGCAGTCGTCAGGAACAGATCGATCACGTCACTCCAGCCAATCGTCCCGAGGCTTCGGATTAGATAATCTCGCCACTTCGCTAAGCCTCGCTATTTCTGCTGCATGATCCATCATCGTTCACGGAGAGCTATATTGCGAGGTTCTTTGACTATGCCAAGGTCTTTCACGCAGTCAACATCGACGTCAATACTGCAGCGCTGGGCGTCAGAAACAACGCAAATCGAGTACGGTCGTCTTGGAGCCCTGCTCTATACGGGTGGGAACTATGGCGGCGGTGCGCGAGCTACATCTGGGCCTGCCTCCGACAGCGATCGAAGTCGATCCTATTGTCTCTGGTATCGCCGTTCAACTCCTCATGGCGGATCTCTCGTCTTCCCGGACGAGGGGCTCCTACTTTCACAGATGCAGCATTGCTGATCGGCTCCCCCGTGCTTCTATGCTGGATGGTGGACTCTGTAAGAGTTTCTGCTTGACTTGCTGCGTTCTCAACCGTCTAGAGCTCCGGTGGTCGTCGAGTGTTCTGGGTTCACGAGGACCCTCCGTCGTCCCATTCTCGCTGCGTCGTTAAAAGACTAGCCACGAGCTGTTCTTCACTTCATCTAGGGATTGTGCCATTAAGCCTCGGCGAATCTTCGCCAGCGCGATTTCCGTTCCGACCTCTCGTCGTGGCGACTTCTCTCTGCTGCTACTCCGGCACCATATGCCTTCCCCTGCCTTCTTGCTGACCTCGGCTTAGCCTCTGGACACAGGAAGCGTGACCTGCAAACAGGAGAGACCCTTCTTAAGCCTGGCCGGAGCCTTGTTCATCGCTTTGTGCGGTAGTTGGCAGAGCGGCAGTCTTTTCGGCTTCCGCTCCATCCTTTCCGCCGCCAAAGACCTGGCCAATCTTCCGCACAGCTTTCTTCCCGCCGAAGTAGACGGCTTGGACTGGTCCGATCCCAGTATTGGTGCTTCCACAGCCATGACAACGCCCACATCGTCCACAGGTACTCTTCCCAAAGCCATAGTTGTTGCCGTTGTTGCATACAGTGCAGCCATTACCATCTCGCGCGTCTCCTTGGCTCACGCCGTTACCGACGGGATCACTGCAAGCCCGGCGGGACCTTTTTGCTGTTTCTGTGGCCATGTTGTCCAAGTATTGGGTGTGCGAAATTTGTTAAATGGCCGGAGACGTACGTCGTCCCGACAAAGAGGACTTTCTACTTGACCTTATAATGCCCTCGCGAATTATGCCAATTTGGATAGCCAAGCATGATCGTCGGATGGGGCCTATTTCTGTTCCTGTTCCGCCGAGCGTTGGCAGACGGCGGGGCGTGCCGTACCAGTCTTACAGTGTACGACGACCATCCTTTCCTTGCCGGGGCGCTTCCAGACTCGTATATGCCCGAAAGATGGCCGGACTTGTCGGCATTACAGCGTCTGTGCCCGCCCTCGATGCGTAGGCGCCGGCTTCTTGGACCCCACGAGGCACACAGCCTCCATCAATTTCGATAAGCGAGTCTTGACCTCATCATCAGGCCGCGGGTATCTTGCCTTTCACGCCGTGAGACCTCGAGGACTTGCATGTCTTGACTCTACTGCCGGCAGCTCGTGGTGTGAAGCTCTGTTCATCCACGTGGACGTCGTGAAAGTCTGCTTCGGAGAGTTTTTGCCCTCGTATAGCTTTTCGTATTTCAACGTCATGATTTCATGTCTTGTCATCCTTCATGGAACAACCACGACGGCGGAGGCGCCACAACAACTCGCGCAATGGCTGCATATCGTGCAAGCAGGCTAGGAAGAAGGTCCGCGGCCCCAGAGACTTTGGACGCTGGCTGACCGTGTCCAGTGCGATGAGGGGACGCCATGCACGCGTTGCGCGCGCCTACACATTCCGTGCTCGCTCGCACCGCCGAGTCCGCCTTCCACCGAAAGTCCCGTGTCCCTCATAACGCCCACTGACGGCAGACTGATTCGAATGGAAGCAATGTTCAGCCCTTTGATGATGAAGTACATGGAATCAACCTGCTCGTCTCTGGGCGAGCTGACCCGGGATCTGAATACCGACGTCTGGAAGACCACCGTGCCAGAGCTCGCGTCAGATCATCGCTTCGTACGACACGGCATTCTAGCCGCTGCATCTCTTCCGGACCGGACTCTGGCACTGGAGCACCACAACATCGGGCTGTCGATGTTTATAGAAGCCCTCAATTCCTCCAACAATGTGGACGCGTTGTTCGCGCATCAGTGTATGATGCTGGTATTCAGCTATGGCTATCTTGAGAAGAACCTCTCGGGCTTTCGGGATGTCGTCATCATCATACGGGGAACTTCTGTTGTCATCCAGGAGAAAGGTGAGCCGAAGGGCAAGCTCAGTGCGCTTATGAAGGACAATCCCGAAGCTACGTCCGTTGGTATGCAGATCCTGACCGACAAACTACTTGGGAGCATATCTGCCATGGTCTATCATGATCTCTATGTCGATGCAATTAAGAGGCTCGAGTACAGCCTCGGCGTTGCGAAGGACCCGCAGTACCGTCAGATCATCGCCAATAATGTCTGGTTTGAGCTTCCGAATGAGTTCTTGAATCTCGTCTGGCTAGGTGAGCCGCTGGCGTTGGCAATCATGGCGGGCTTTGGAGTGGCGCTGCATTGGTCGTGTAATGATAACGCGTTCACGAAGGGTTGGGGCAAGGGCATTGTTGAGTCGGTGGGGAAGGTGCTGGGTCCGGAGTGGGACGATATCATGATTTGGGCGATGACGGAGGTTGCGGATTGATCGGAACGTGCAGCTTGAAGTGTCTGGACTTACTTCTCGCAACCTCGTTGTTGCATCAAGGACGGGTGTCCTGTCTGTTGCGCACGCGCTGAATAGGCAAACTATGCCACGGCAGCGGTACAGGTCAGTCGTAGTGGGTCAGGAGAAAGACGCCTCATACTGGGGAGAAAGCTGCGAGATTTACTGCTCGAGTACACAGCGCCGAAACACTACAGCGGACTTCCTAAACCATGACGAGCCAGAGAGGCATGTGTGCGGAGACACAGGCAAATGGAGAGGTACACGGTGCTCGAAGCAAGCAAGTCTGATCGTCCATCTCGCTTGCCAAGATGCTGGTCGCGATCACACGATAGACACGACAATCAAGAACAACCCGGCAACGCCCAATTGCCAAGACCCTCAAACAGTCTGCGGGTTAGAACCTCGCACTTGTCGGGGCTTTTCGAAAAAGCAAAAACGTTTCCAATCAACCACATATCTCGGAATATGTGGGTGATTGGGCGTGAAACTGGTCCGTTCCTAACCCAAGCTTGCTACGGTGTACCAAGTCGAGAATGGCACACCCCAAGTGTAGGGGCAAGCTTGGATTAACAGTCTGGATGAGACCAGTTTTTCCGGGGTGTGGTGACCGCACAGCACCACTCGATCCCTTGGGAAATCGGGCTGTTGATTAACCCGATTCCGTGCGGTTGTTGGGGCAAATTTTGGCTCAAAAATATATAAAGGTACAGCTCACCTGGCAACGAGATAGAGGCTGGAACCAATGCAATGTCTTGTCACACGGCAACCACTCGCGTTCTCTACAGAACTTTTTGAGTGATCTTCGAGTGATCTCCAAGTCACTCGAAATTCAAGGCACAACAACTTTCGAGAAAGAAGAACACCATGCGTACATCTCCAGTAGCTTTGAGGCATCGGCAGTGGACTAACTAGCCTCTCAGGTCTCTTCTCTCCGAGCTTGGGCGATGCAGCCCGCTGCGCAGCCGAATATTCCTTCGAGAAGTTCCGAAGTCGCCAAGCCTTGCTAGAGGTGAGGATCACCTATCTCTCATCGAGTCTGCCAGAACCACGCAGCGGTTCCATTCTTGGCTCCATCCTTCCGCTATAGCCGCTGCAGCAGGCTCCGGCCTCGACATCAGTCAGCATCCTAACGCCGGCTGAACAGCTCGACAGGTAAATCTCCTCGACCTGCCGTCTGATCCACAGCTGACTTGTGCAGACATCACTGTCCATCGTGGAACATCCTTATTGAATTGTCTGCGAAGCTTTCATTTACCTGTCGTCGCCACCCGCTGGTCCTCCGATATCTCGAATTACGCCTGCCCGAGGCCCCTCTCCGCGACCTGAAGTCGGAGCCGATGATGTTGATGCCACATGACCTGGGACTGAATTCACAGAACCCTGATAGAGAAGTGACGGTCTGTGGCGTTGGCGTTGTTGGCGAAGACGGAGGGCTGTGATTGAGGCGGTTTGGGTGTGCCTGAGTAATGGGTCTGAATGTGAGTGCCATCGTTGACCTAATGATCTCGCTGATGCTTGATAGCAATGGAAGCTCGTCGAGGGAGTCCAGCGAGGTCCGGCCAATCGAGCTCCGCCACCCATGTAGGTAGAAGTCGTGAAACCGCACGAGTGATGTCTGATGCGATGTAGGTTTCCTCCAAGCGACTTTGGCCTCGCTCGTGATGATGACGTCGTCGTCACCGCTGCCGACCCATTCGCGGGCCGTCTGCTATTGCTGGCGACGGCGATTATGCCGATGACTACGATTCGACTTCTTCTCCTCCTTCACGCAGCCACACACCATGCTGTCCCGACCTCAGCTCCATCACCAGTAGTTCCATCTCAGTCTCGTTGCCGTTCGCGTCTCTGTCGTGGTCATTGTCGCTCTGTATGGTGTGCAAGCTCTGATCATGCGTAGAACAAGTCGCTATCACTTACGCTGCAGCCTCGGCTTCCTTGCGACCCACAATGCAGTGTAGTTGTGTATACTCTTGTCGTCCGCTTCCCAGGGCAGCACAGTGGCCTCGACCAATGCTTCCCTGAGTACCAAGCGGCTGCCTGGCGCCGTCCCGCCGGCGAGCTTGGTCTTTTCTGACAGGAATATATTTGCACGAACCAAGCCGTCACTGCCACCAACCCCCGTCATGTTGTTCGACCGCAGCTCAATACTGTCAACCATATCGACGTGAGGTCGTCATCCAGTCACTTCCTTCTCGCCATTGTCCGGCTCGCCGCAACGACGATTGAGGCATTTCCTTGCCGTCAGCCAGCTCGTAGGTCGCAACGTCGTCTCGCTTTTGCTTCGCTATTATCCGGCCCACAATCACATCGCCCAGACAGGGTTCGCCTGTTCCATTCCAAGAGTGGCGAGCTATTCAGCGAACCCAATCAGAAACTTCGCTGCTGTCCGCTCATAGGGCCTACCTGTAAAACGGCCCCGACGCTCGCTGCTGGAGAAGATCTAGTCGCCGAAGACTGCTGGTCAGGACGCTGAGTGTCTCGAGGGCCAGAAAATCCCTCAGGCGTCAGAAACCTACCTCAACTGCTGAATGGACATGTCGAAGAATGAATCATGAGACGCTCGAAGGTCAAATAGCGACATGAAGTGCCTCCAAGACCGAGGAAAGCGCCCTCAAGACCAAGAAGGGACTGCAGCATGACTTCTCAGCTTGGCACATCTGGAGTCCTCCCGATGGACCAGGATCGTCTCGACATGGAAATTCGAGACAACAGGTTGGTGGATCCCTAATGCTGCACTGCTGTTGCCGACAGTGAAGCAGAGGTTAGCGCTGGTCGGATGCAAGAACAATGTTCTTGTCCTTCACGACGCTGTCGACGAGGGACCTTGGCGTCGGCGACAACTTCGGGCTGGCGCGGTGTTTTAAGCAAAGACTCACAACGGCGGACGCTCACACGAGCGATCTTCCTCGAGGCACAGTTCACAGAGTTTTTGGACGACCCATACATCTCGACCCAGGGCCTGATCAATGGCAGCGAGTATCACGACCGTTCAGCTACGAGATGGTTCCTGCAAAAATCATCTGCGAAGGTTACTCAGCGTTTGCGGCGGTGTTTCTTTGGTGTTCAAGCGGCATATGACCTGTTCCTGGCTATCGAGAGGACACTGACACTTCCCCCATCGGACAGTCTTGTGCAACGTCAATCAGCGCGCTGTGTTGTCATACTCCGTTACCGCGTCAGGCCTGCTCAGGCCCAGCAACAGCCTCTCTGGGGTCAAAGCTCAACGAGAGCTTATGTGCTGTGGCACCACGGGACAAGCATTGAAGTCAACTAGTTCTGCTCATACTTCGGCTGGTCTTCGGCCATCGCAGGACAGGATGCTATCCGGCCGAAACAGGCAACGTGATCTACTCAGGTTCGCCCTCCGACGATGATGTCTTTTCAAGATCAATTTCAAAGCAATCCGACGGTCAGAGATCTGACACTTTTTCGGCCAGTCCAAGGGGCGCTGAAACACTCCTGACACCGTTGCAGAAAGCCTACGTTCTCGCCAAGTACCAAGCTTGAACGATGCATTGCGGTTTTCTGTCACACGAGCTTGACACTCGCTGGAGGACCTTGGGGGCTGTAGTCACGCGAGTCTGAGCCACTACACCACCTTGTCTCCTAGTTCTCGCGCGGCACACGTATTAGTAAGATGCCGACGATGGTGAGCTCTCAATTTCGCCGACAATTCGGTTACCAGTGCCGCCAGAACGAATGAATCAGTCGCTGGGGCTCGACGTCGACGAATCGACGGCCTTGTCGACGTCCAACTTGTCTGGATCTACTCTTGTCCGTGGACTGCAGTACCCAGACCGCGGATGCTCAGTCGAACATCTCACCTTGCTCTCCTCGAGCCTCCAGATGGTGACCAGATATCGAACAAAGTGATAGCTTCCGGATCGCTTATGAGCCTAGTGTCTGCGGGCAGCCTCTTTTTCAAAGCAACAGCCTCCTGGGAAAATTTTGGAACCAACCTACTAGGTAGCCCTTGCAGGAACATCAAGCGGACATAACTGATGTAAGGGCAACGACCCTAGCTTCCCTATGTCTAAGTACACCTCTTGAGAGTAGAAGTAAGGAGCACTTATTATATATCTAAGTTTTTAAAATAGTAGAGAATAATAATTCTAATATTATAAATCAGATACTTCTTAATATTAATATTAATAAAGAAATAGAATAGTGTATAGGATATAAGAGAGATAAATATAATGTAAGAATAGATAATAGAGATAGAGAGAATAAGAGTAGAAAGTGTATTAAGAGCAAGTATCCTTAGATAAGATTGGCTCCGAGGAGGCTGTTGCTTTGGAAAAGAGGCTGCCCGCAGACATGAGGGGGTACGAGTCACCCAGCCCGGAGGTATGCTGCACTCCACTGTTCATCGTTCGCGGACTTCTTTGACTCCTGCAGCAGAAAATAGCAAGCCGGGATCACGCGCAAATAAAAGTAGGATTGCAAGCCTATGAGCCAGAACGGCCCAACACTTGTCTGGATCTAGCGAGCAGCGAACGTTGAGACAGATTTTTGGACGCTTTCCTCGCCGTCGGCGTTGGAACCGCCATGACCCAAGATCATAACTCAACTGCGAAAAGCTCTGCCTGAACCTCGACAATTCTCGCCAGGGACGATATAGCTGCACTGCATCCACAATGGCGACGACGAGCTGTCCTGATGTCGAAGATTCGACAGAGAACTTACCGCGATAGCGGCAAGTGTTGACGATGTAGAGACTTCGACGTTCTCGTACATCAGTCTGCCGTACAGTGGGCAGCATGTCGTCGATCCTGGGGTCGTTCGAAAGTGGGCATGTCAATCTGCACTTGGCCAGACGATGTCGTCTGCTCGCACGTATTTGGGCGCTCCTCCAGAGCCCATGTAGAGGCCCGTTAGGTCTCAATCCATGGGATTTACACCATGAGATTTGCACCATGAGAAGTTGTCGCGAGCAGCTGAAAAATTCAAGATCGTGCCGTTCTGAAAGCTGCGATCAG